TGGCCTATCTCAAAGTATAGAGGTAATACTCATTATATTATAGATTTATTTCTTATGATTGATTCCGTCAATTGGTCACAAAGTACAAGATGTTAGTTTTATACATATCTATACAGAAAACTTTGTGACCGAAACGAATTGCTCGTTTAAACATATTAGATTTAAAGCCATAGGGTTTTGTATTTACCATATATATTGCCATACTTTGTATTTTTGTAGCTTAATAAGGAAATCTTTAGCAGAAGCCATAGAAAGTTTTTATTTTTAGGCAACCTATAAACCTGCAGAAAAAACACAAATTATACAGTCAGCTTCAAATATTAAAAAACAGGAAGAAGATAAAATATAACCCGGTAATGAATCACAACAGCAATGCGAAATTAATGAAAATACAGATAAACAGATAGCAAAACCTTCTCAGGAAGCTATGAAAAATAAGATTGCTCTACTCGAAAAAAATGTGAATGCTTTGTATTCTACCAGAGATACTATGCCAAGTCGTACAGATCATTAAGTTGCGCGAGGAAATAAAAACAGCAAAACAGTCTTTAAACAGGAAGGTACAAAACGCAGTTGCCCAGAAGAAACACAGGGATGGTTTGAAAAGAAAGTTAGAAGATATTTGTCATGAAAATCCAGAAATAAAAAAAACTATCTCTGAGGGATTCAGTAGGACGTCCTAATCTTGAAAGCAATCAACATTCACTATTGAAAACAATCGCGGATATAGCTTAATTTGGGAGTGCAGCAGATGATAGAAGACGAACGTAATCCATTCGCAGCGTAAAAACTCTTGATGAACTCACACAAGAATTATGTAAAATAGGATTTGGCATTAGTCGCAGTGGGACATATCTTCGTTTGATTCCCAGAAAATCTAATTCTGTAGAGGGACGAAGAAATGTAACGACAGTCCCTGTTAAGCTCATTCGGGCTCAAACTGATCACCACAAGAACCACTTAGATAGCAAGTTCGCTGAAACATCAATCCATTATTTAGAGAACATATCATCTATACTTAGACCAGATCAAGTATTTTTAATATCTCAAGATGATAAAGCTCGAGTCCCTAGCACCTCTTCTAATGCACATGGAATATAGAATCAAATTGCCTGATCACGATTGGGTAATCGCTGAGCGTCATAAATTAATACCATCTGTTTATGCTGATGTCAAAATAACTTCCAATATGCTAGGACAACCGCAAGCCGTTGGATATTCTGGACCAACATACATCGCTATTCGAAGTTGAAAGCATAGTTCATCTACTGCTAATACTCATGCTCAGGATTTCGAGACGCTTCTCGAACTTGAAGAGTTTCGACCATTAGCTAAAACTGACCATCGATTAGTAAAACCAGTGGTAATCCTGACGGTTGATGGAGGGCCAGATGAAAATCCACGTTATCAAAAAGTCATAGGGTTTGCTATACAACACTTTAAGCGACATGACATTGTTTTTAGCTACCAATGCTCCTGGAAGAAGTGCGTATAACAGAGTAGAGCGCAGAATGGCTCCTCTTAGCCGGGAACTGGCTGGTTTAATATTGCCTCATGACCATTTTAGGTCTCATTTGGATGAACGTGGCGTCACAATTGATGAACATTTAGAAAGATCTAATTTCGAATTTGCAGGAAATGTATTAGCTGAATTATGGAAATTGATGGCTATAATGTTAATGCAAAATATGTTGGGGCAGGCGAACAAGATCTTCCTGATTTTCCAGACATTAAATGATATTCAGAACATTTGCGTGAGAGCCAATACTTGCTTCAAATTGTAAAATGTAGAAATAGAGAATGCTGTCGTCCAAGAAGTGGCCTATTTAGATTACTAGACAATAGGTTTCTTCCACCACCTGTAAAAGTAAAACAAACAGTTGATGACTTGGTTTTGGATGAAGGAGGGCAATTTCTTAATCTTCCAGTCAATTTAGCTCTACGCTTAAGTGCTTCAATCAAAGATTTCCTGCAAATGCCCTACGATTATTTTTGTCCAACGGTAAAATTGAGGCTAAATAATTGTAATAAATCTGCTTACATAATACTTGAACGGCCCCTTTGAGACAAGAACCCAATAAGTATCATCAACACATACAACTTACAGTAACGCCATCTCAGAAGCCGATTTTACATCACATCAGAGCCAAAGATTGATAACAAGTCTCATGACGTTTAGGCAACACGTACAACTAAGCGCTCAGTTAATACCTTGTATAAAAACCTACATAATGCCAAAAAATCGGCATATTGTCACTTTTCAAGTTACGTGATACCCGTGCAGATTAAGGAAATGGGTCCAGCTTAGGGCACTTTCCTCTATTATCCAGGTCTATCTACAGTATATTCAGATAAGAGATAGACCGGATGTAAACAAGACCACGTGATCATCGAACGCTGTAACATTCGGCAGGGACGTATTAAGAGTCACGCAGTACATATTTTAGATAGTAGATGCTGCTTTGCGTAACTTTGTAGTAAATTAGCACAATTCGATGTGTATACGATTGGTGATGGATATAGGATCATGTGGGGGTGGGGTAAGAAATATATAATGATGTAAATATACATAAGGGTTTCAAAATTTTCGCTTCGATTTCCAGCTTCGGATGCCGCCTGATGTTTGGTGAAATACAGTCGAATATAATCTCAAAATGGCGTTTAAATTAGCCTAAATTAAAAATAATCGTATATCTCTTAAAATTGCTTTTAGAATATTGATTAGTATATTTTTTGATTTCTAGGTAAATATGTAACCAAATTAAAACGTTCAAAACGTAAAAAAATGTGCATGGTTGAACATTGTCAGAAAGTAGATTCTGAGGTTAGGTTTAGGTTTTGCCAAAATGGGTTCAAAAATGTCAATAATTAATTAAAAAATACAGTAGCTTTATAATTACTTATAACTTACCGAATTTGATGAACGACATCTTTTATTGGAAAGATGAGCTTGATGAGCTTTCATCATCGCTACTGCCTGAAGCACCAACGTCAATAATGAATGGCTCGACTTGTTCCTCTAAAATATTGTCCAGTTCCCACATTCTCTTTTCAACTTTGTCTTTCACGTGCTTAATACAGTTTTCCCATTTTTGCGCTGTTATTAATTCTAGTGCTTCTTTGAAAATTCCTTTGAGGTCACAAAATTTAAAAGTTGTATTGTGCTTAGCTATATAATTTTTAAGCTCTGCCCATATGACCTCAATGGGATTGAGCTCGCAATGGTATGGAGGTAAACGGGGCACAGTTTTATTTTGACTTGCTGCCATTTCGTCAATGGCGTATTTTTGATATTCCGCCTTGCGATCCTTGACAATTCTTAATAATTGTACTTTCAGCATTGCTTCTTCAAAGTTGATATTTTTCGAGCGGAGCCAATTTTGAACATCAATTTTCCTTGAAGCCGTTGTTGGGACCTTCTCCATTCTTCGAGAATGATAAGGCGCATTATCCAACACAATTACTGCGTTTTCCTCTAAGTTCGGTAAAATTTTTGAAAACCACTGTTCAAACGATTCGCCATTCATTTCCCCGAGGGAAATCTCCAGTTTTCTTAGACTCAAAGCACCACAGACCGTCAACAACAAATCCATCCTCACTGCCAATATGGCAGATAATGAGCCTTTTCCCTGTACCTGGAAATCGAAGTACTAACTGGTGTAGATTTATTTCAATAAGCGAACCTTTTTCAAATGTTTTCATCACATTCAGCGAAAAAACATTGAGACATGAGTATCAGATTGCTATAATTGGGATTATTTAGTCATATTGAAAGAAAGAATATTGAACGTCGTATGATTACTCAGCGCTTCACAATTTAATTTAAAGTTATAATCCTTTAAAAAATGAATGATCAGGAACCTGAAATACGCGCAAATATTAATATTAACAAATTATAACTTTATAAAACTTAAAGTATGAATTAAAATGATTAGAAATATTAGGAACGGTACACAATATAAAACTTAGTAACTTTTTTAAGTTTATAATATTCGACATATTTTAAGATTATATTAAAAAATTATTGAAATATCGAAAACACATAAAAACATGGCTTAAAAAAGTTCTAACAAATGAAAATGACAATAAAACATCCACGCATTTTATCGAAAGTTATAAAAGTTTTGTTACTTGTAATATGTTTTATCTGCCCCCTGGAATTAATGTTTAGAACCTTGTTCCCAAGGTTTGAAAAACATCCGATTGTTGTCTATTACTCGTATTTACCTGCTGGATTTTTTAATCCGGTGGACAGTCCATCTAGAAAGGCCCTCCTGGATGAAGTTACAGAATCATCAACCCATACTTTACTTGTAGTGTGTCCTGCGTTTACCCACGTTTCATCAAGGTAATAAATCTTCCTGTTTTGATTTCTATATTTCCCAATTTTTGTTAAATAATCCCTCCTCCATAGCACAATTTCTTCTCTATCCAGTAGTAAACTATTACGACCCCGTTTTTTCCATTTGAAATTTAAATGCTTCAGTAACGCATGGAAAGTTGATCGTTTAAAATTTGGCAACGTTGTATCTCCATTTACCTCCTGCAGTACTTTATCTATAGTAGGTATTTCATTCCTAAAGAAGAATTCATGCACTTTCCTCCTAATCGCATGCTTATCAGCTTCATCCAATGATTTAACAATACTTTTGCGATATTTACTGGTGATTGGCTCAGAAAAGGTGTGATTTTTTTGGTATTGTCTTAACACATTATACACTGATGCGCGACACACCCCAACTTTGTGAGAAACCTTCACAACAATTTCTTTCATGGTTGATGCCACGTTCTCCTCGCGCTCGATCTTATATATATTCAAAATGACCTCTTTCATTTCTGCACTCAGGTGTCTTTTTTTAGAGCGTTTCCTAGGTGGACTACAGGAGTTTACAACTTCATCGGCAGTATCTGTACTACTGGGCATTTTGCGCAAGCAGTTGATAACAATAACAAGGTATAACAATAACAACGACAAACTCAACAACTTAATAAGATAACAAACGAAAACGTCCAAAGAAATATCAAATTGCAATGATGCACACGACATACGTAACACGTCTGAACCTGAATGTGACTCTGCCTTGATACGACTGCTCTGCCACTCGGCATAGGCATTTAATTGCGAATTGACCAATGAGGGCTCCTGTTTTACGTCGAGACGGCGGCGTTAGCGTGAAAATCACCCGAACCTTTTGTTTACATCCGGTCTATCTCTTATCTGAATATACTGTAGTTTATTTTTCCAGCCTGCAGTTGCTGCAAGCAACTCGCCTAACGCTGCAGCGTTGCTGATGTTCTCAGGAGCGCTCTACTACGTGTACAACCAACTGAAAAATGGAACTTTAGTCAGAATCGGTCAAGGTCATCCGAAAAATTCTCAGATGTCTTCACGGCATGCGATACAGCAGTAAGTGCTTTGCAATTTTGGATAATTTTAATCAACGTATGTAAAACCACCTGTGCATCCACCAAGGGCGAACCCAGCTCAAATTGTAAGGCGGAATGAATGAAAACACCTTCAAAATGAGTATGAGTCTATTAGTTGTTGCAAAAAATCGTTCATAAAGTGAATAAGAGTAAATATGAAATAGTAGCCAATTTAGTGAATAACATCGAAAAATTCTTCAGCAGATTAGACATACAGAATTTTAAGTTCTTCTTACAGTACGGTTGGATGCTATTATTCAACTGTGTCGCCGTAAGTTTCCTTTCAAGGTTCTGGATGAAAGGGTCCTTTTTCGCCTTACTTCCTGCAATAAATGTCTTTCCTCCCGACCTCGTTTTTTATTACCTCCTCCGTGCAAGTAGGACGTTTTTTCCGGTATCTTGATATCTACGCCTATATTGAGGACCGAGCAACATACATTTAAGCTACATCACTTACTAAACGACTTTCGCTCAATAATCTCTCGTTCTTTTTGAAAAAGATCAGGCATTTTTGAGAAAGTAAAAGTATACTAGTTATTATATCAGAGCGCAATCATTTGATTAAATTTATTATATTATACTTCGATTGGTTACACCAATTTATCTAAAAGTAGGAACAACATCGAAGATAAAATTTGTTTTTCGAACACCTGCGGGATCAACAGCAACATTGATGCTGTTCATCACTACCTGCAATCCAATCGTCCCGCCGTGCTTTTCTTGGCGGAGACAAAAATCTCAGAGACTGCACCGATTAACCATCTCAATTTCCCAAACTACGAGGTGCACTCCAATCTGAGAAAGAACGGGGGAGTTGTGGCTTTTGTCCGCAGCAGTCTTTCCTGCTCCAGGGATCTTTCTTTGGAATCAGACCGGAAGGACATTCTGTGGCTTCGCCTCAACTCCAAAACATCACCCAAATTTATTTGCTGCCTTTATCGCTCTCCATCGAACCATAACTGGGATGACCTACTCGAATACCTCGCCGTCCAGATCGACTTCCTGAACATCAATCACCCCGCTTCAGAGGTAGTTCTTCTCGGTGATTTCAATGCCCATAATGAGCTTTGGTTGGGCTCAAATAAGACCGATGCAGCAGGTCGTGCAGTCGAAGCGTTCGCTCTTACTCAAGGGCTGACCCAGCTGGTGACGAGCCCTACTTTTTTCCCCCGCGTCTCGTCACACGCCAGTAGCCTGCTGGATCTCTTTCTGACCACGCATCCTGCCCCTTACAGCACTGCTGTCCTGTCCCCCCCTGGGTAACTCAGATCACGGTGTTCTGGAGGTTAGGTTTCGGTCAGAAGCCGCTGTGGCAGCAGAAACTCGCACAGGCCGCAAAACTTGGCATTACGGACATGCCGACTGGGAGGGGCTCAGAGACTTCTTCTCTAGCTTTCCTTGGAGAGATGTTTGTTTCACTGACGCGGATGCGTCGACTGTCTGTTCTTCAATAACCGAAATTATCCACGTCGGAATGGAGGAATACATCCCTCACACAGTGAAAGTTCCTAAACCAGCGTCCAACGGCTGGTTCAACAAATCGTGTGACACTGCTCGCCAGCAGAAGATCAAGGCCCACAGAACCTACTTACAAAACCCCACTGTAGAGAACAGACAAGCCGACGTCGAGTCCAGAAACAAATATAACGAAGCGGTTCGCAATACCAAAAACCAGCATGATATAAAAGTTAGGCACAGGGTAATGTCGCAGCGCAATGTCAGTCGGTCTTTCTGGACGCTGGCCAAGCAGATTGAAAAGAACTTCTCACACAGTAGCCTTCCACCACTTACGTGTTAGGATGGAACCATTGTATTCGACTCAAAGGCCAAGGCGGAAGTGCTAGCCAAGATCTTTGCTGCCAACTCCACCATGGACGTCCCCACCAACGCCCAAGTGCCGTCAATTCAAAGGGTTCCCCACACTATGCGGGAGGTAACATTCAGGCATAAGACCGTAAGACGAGTACTCTTGTCGCTCGACATCAACAAAGCTTCTGGTCCGGACTTGATTCCTGCCATTGTACTGAAGAGATGTGCAGCGGAGCTTGCTCCAGTTCTTTCGCGTCTCTTCCAGATCTCTTATGAATCCGGCACCTTCCCAGAAAACTGGAAATTTGCTCATGTACAGCCCATCCCAAAAAAAGGATCTAAAACCGACCCTTACAACTACAGGCCTATAGCTCTGCTTTCTGTTATAAGTAAAGTGATGGAGAGGTGCATAAATCGCGAGCTTCTGGACTACCTCGAACGTCACAGCTTGATTAGCGACAGGCAGTACGGTTTCCGGCACCAACGATCCACAGGGGACCTCCTAGCTTACGTCACGCAACTGTGGAGTAAACTCATCCAGTCTCATGGTGAGGCTCATGTCGTTGCTCTTGACAGCACGAAAGCGTTCGATCAGCTGTGGCACGCTGCCCTCTTAAGCAAACTTCCATCCTATGGCCTCCCAGAAATGCTTTGCAGATGGGTGGCTGACTTTATCTCTGGCCGCAAGATATCCGTCGTAATTGACGGATTCTCCTCTTCATCCCACAACGTCAACGCGGGTGTTCCCCAGGGATCGGTCTTGGCTCCAACACTGTTTCTCTTACATATCAATGACCTCCTTTCCTGTACGATCAACCCAATCCACAGCTTCGCTGATGACAGCACTCTACATGCAGGAATTCAGAGTGACAAGCCGATCTCTGCCGCTGAGCTGGAAAAAAGAAGACTAGCGACGACTTCTTCTCTGACAAGAGACCTGGAGGCTATCACTGCTTGGGGACGCAACAATCTTGTACAGTTCAATGCTTCCAAAACACAGTACTGTACTTTGACGAACAAAAAGCGTCCTAGCGCTCATACAGTTTCGATGGACGGTCGAGTTCTACCAAAGAGCCATTCATTTCGGCTGGTCGGAGTCCAGATCACCGAGGACCTGATCTGGCACGAACACATCTCTTCAATAGCTGCAGCTGCTGGGAAAAAGCTAGGCTATTTGTTTAGGGCTAAGAAGTACTTTTCTCCGCATGACCTTCTCACTCTATACAAGGCCCAGATAAGGCCTAGCCTCGAGTATTGCTCACACATTTGGGGTGCTGCCGCCCCGACTACATTGTCCATGCTCGATGCTGTCCAGAGGAGGGCGGTCCGACTGATCGATGACTCTTCCCTAACAGACAGTCTCGGGACTCTTTCGCACCGGCGGGCCGTCGGCGATCTAGCTCTTTTCTATCGCTACACCAACGGGCTTTGCTCCTCAGAGCTCTCTTCCATGATGCCGCCGCGCGATGTGCCTGCCAGACAGACTCGTCTGACTTCGGCGTCCATCCTAACCGTGTCAAACTTCGTACATCCAGAACTGGCCGATACGACCGCTCCTTTGTCCCGAGGGTATCTAGATTGTGGAACAATCTACGGGAGGAAGCTTTTCCCACTTCTACTAACCTTAGGCAGTTCAAAAATCGTATTAACAAAATTTCTTTGGGATCATCATAGCAGCCGCGGTGTTCCGGCATTTAGGCTTCTGCCTGCGCGGCTGTATCGATATATAAAAAAAACTATTAAAATAAGTTTACCAGATCCAAGTAAAACAATTTAATAATATTTTGGATTAGTGTGTTTTGTTTGATTATTATATTTAGAATTGAAAACATATTTGGACATAGAATTTAAAATACAAATTACATTTAAATGTTCCTGAAAACATTCTGCTACTCCAGCTTGTTCATGTTTCTTTAGCCGTCGTCAGAATAGCAAATCTTGGTTCTTGAGGAACGCTTGGGGCAAACGGAAAAACTACACAAACGCCATCTGCAAACTGGCGAAGCAATCGTACGATTCGCTGACGAACTTGAATCCCTGCCTGTTGCTACCCAACAAGAGTTTCCAGATCAGTTTTCTCAAAGAGGAAACTATTCCTGTCGACAGGGAGTCGAAACCGACGAATGACAAAAGATGCAATGTCCTCTACAGTAATCAAACTTTCGGTAAGTAGCGTCACTGATAGAGTAACGTTTGGGAATTCGACTCCGTGGTTTCGATTCCGGCATCGGAACCGATTTCCTCCGATTCGCTCACAATTCCAATTTTGGATTTTTGACTTATCGTCTAGAAATACTCCCAGAAAGTTTCAAATGATAAATCAATAATCTTTCAGTTCTCTTTTTGGGTAATTACCTTCAGGTAGAACACGTTAATCGATGATTTTGTTCTTCCAGGCAAAGATTCAAAACAGACTCTAACCGAGACGGCGAGCAATCGTAGCGTTTCGACAGGACCAGAAAACAGTGCATTTGAAGTGAAACGAAGCATTCGAAGGAATTCCTTGAAGCGATTGTCGAAAGAAGCAGATTCGAAACCGACCAAACGTTCGGTGATGCTCACATTGGAAAGACGAAAAACGAGGAGCGGGAAAGTCTACAACCCGTTCACTTGACTCGGTGTGGGGGGTATTGGCATGTCAATACGTATCCGGTGGTGTATTTAAATAAATCTGTATCAAATAACAAAATAAGTCTATTCATGTTTAAATAAATAGTGTAGATGAAATTATACGCACGAAAATGAATTTGATCGTTTCTCTTCTCTACCATGAACTTATAAACCGCCCCTCGTATATCCAAGACCGGTACGTCATTTCAAAATTATAACGTCGCTTGTTTTTTCAATTAATTCAAATGAAATCTCCTCTCATATACTAATAATACTACGTATCTTTCTACAAAAGCTGGGTTTCTTAGATTCTTAAGTTCTTGAAGTATATAACATTAAATTTTTATTGTTCATTCTCAATAAAAACAGTTCTTGATCAAAGAAACTTTCATCGTTCGAGATAAACTAGCAATCTATATGTTTATCAGTTTTATCACATCTTAAGGTCATAGCCTATTTTAAAAATGAATAAAAAGCAGAAATCAGTTTCGCCATCTAGCCTACCGACGATGTATTAAGGACTTGCTACATAAAATCAGTAAACCGTATGTAGATGCCTACCGCATCGGGATATTCAGGAAAGAGTAGTTTGCAAAGTCACTGCTAGATGGTAGCTCCTTACAAATTAGAAATAAAACAATTTTATGTGCTAACACTTATTCTCTGTTATTCGGTCGCGGTCCAAAATGACTTTTTTACACTTAAAAATACCAAATTGCGTATAACTACCTCGAAAAACAGAAAAGTTGCTTAGAGTAAATGTCAAAGTTTCGGCCCGAGTAAAGATAACATGGCTACGCACGACAACTATCGAAATATACTCTACTAGAAACTAGAAGACTATCCGTAGCTAAATTTTTCTCGAAATCGTTGCATACCGCTTGAAAAATGCAAATGAAGATTGGAAAACTGCCGCTTTGACGTACTAAATGACTCCGTCGTTACCCTGGGATAGACATACGATCTTGTCATTCTTTGTCACCTAGATTGCGGCGTTGTCAGCTCACCGGACAATTTTACTATCTCTGCTATTTTACTAGAATGTAAAAAAAAGAAGCTTTTGATAAAATATTGAGGGATACCAATAGAGATATATAAAATTTGAGGCGTAGCAATGTTTGCCAAAAAAAACCTGTTATTTACATTTTGCGTCGTCTGCGGCGAAACCTTAATGTCTCTGAACACTTTTATAAATGACCATTTTATAGGATAAAATATCGTTGCCGTCTACTATACAACGTTATTAAAATTCTCATTTATTTAAAAAAACATAGGATGTCAACCCTAACACACAAGTGATGAGTATGCAAGGCTCACCTAGTTTCCCTCAAAAGAGTTGGAAGTAAACCTAATTTATACTTTGGAGACACTTGACATCCACGTCACAGCACTAAAGCACCACTGAGACACAATCGAGGACCCTTATAGTGAACACCACTACTAAAAAAAAAGTAGCGAATAGAGCTCAACACGGAGCTGTGAACGCGTAGACATTCCGCTGCGCCGACGGTTGCTAAGAGACTGAAACGTGTGAGTGCTGTACCTCGCTGCGGCGATACGGTACGGCCGGGTAGTACAGCCATGCCCCTTTCCAGCTCCCACTCCGCGCGTCTGCGTTTTCTTATCTGACTATCACGAAGCGACTCGATGTTTACGTTGACGGGAGCGGACGCGCAGAGTGGGAGCTGGAAAGTGGCGTGGCTCCCGTTCAAACCTGGAATCTCAGCCTCGTGTTGAGGAAACTACAATGTCTTACCTTGGTTGTTGCAGAATACGTGGACACCAAATGTCCAACAAGAGTAGGGATGTGATGCGACCAAAATGCGTCTACCTGTAATTCCACATGATCGACGAGTTATAAGTTGGATTCAAGTTATCAAGCTATACATTTTTACCTTCCTCAAAATGAATGCCTAATATCTCTGCGTATAAGACGGATACTAATATATAGTAGAGTAAAATGAAAGTCGTACTTCTCCTATTAATGATCATGTAATTTTAGATCAAATTGTTAATAAATATATTTATATAATAAAACATTGTTTTTTCCAATTGTTATTTTATATATCTCCATTGGTATATTTTATTCAAAACTTCCTTTTTTTTTATAACATTCTATCAAAATAGCAGAGGTAGCAAAATCGTCCGATGAGCTGGCAATGCCGCAATCCAGGTGGCAGGAATGACAAGGTTATCTGTCAAGACGGATGTCTATCCCGGGGTACCGACGAGTTATTTGGAACGTCAAAGCGCCAACCTTCATTTGCATTTTTTCAAGTGTTGTGCAAAGATTTCGGCAAAAATTTCGCTACGGATAGTCTTCTACAGACTAATAGAATACATTTCAACAGTTGTCTTGCGTGGCCATGTTGTCTTTACTTGGACCAAAGTTTCATTTAAATACGATTTACATAACAAAAAAAGCATGATACATTAACACATTGTACAAATTAGGTAATTAAGTATATATTTCATGCTTTTGTAAGCACGGGAGACTAAATAGATATTTTATCCTACAAACTACAAATTCCTCCGTATTTTGCGTATTTTAAAACATCTCGTCTCTCTCTCTCTCTCCCGCTCTCTGTCATTAATAACCGTCAACGTTTCATCAAAATCCGATTTACATAGCAAAAAAGCATAATTATCTAGATAACCGAGTTTTTTTGCGATTTTAATGCTTGACCTAGGTATTACGACCTCGCCGAAAACTTTCTATAGATTTTGGCAATTGAATAGCTTATCTATCATCTGGATGACCTTGGACCAAAAATTGTCTTTTTTTGCTTTGTCGATGATAATATATTTATATGTTGCATGATTTTTTATTTTATTTATCCTGCAAATGAGACTTTGTTCAGATCAGAGATACCTAAGCAAAAATTAAATAATTCCAACATTTTTAATAAATCCGATGAAGGTTGTGGCGCGATCTAACGGAAAATAGTTTAACTAAAAAGAACTAATAAAAGCGCTGCATGTGTTACGTACATATGACGTGTATGTAATGTGTCAGGTCTGTCAAATGAAACGTCATCCCAAAATATGCCACTCGAAGATGAACTTTATGAATATTTTCTTCAATAAAAAACTTAATGAAGTATTTTATGCTTTGTTTTTAAGTCTAAGCAGGAACTGTCAATTTTACAGGTAGACTCTTAAGATTTCCTGGTTCTTTTGGAGAGTTCGAAAAGTGCGCGTCGTGTTTGCGCACACCTTACGATTTGCGCGTACTCATCTGTCAATTCTGTCAGCGTCGATAATGGCCGCGGCAGACGGCAGTAGAAAAGATGGATATTGTTGTTCCTGAAAAGGTACTTTAAGATGCCGATAAAAACCCAATTTTCCTCACATTTCTCGAGAGTACTTTCAGTTAAGCGTAGCTAAAAATAAACCAGAAGCAAATGGTCGCTATTTAATCTTAACCAACAGCTAGTGGATTACCAGTCTTGAATTTTAGGTGAAAAGGCGCCTCTACGAAGTCAATGCCAAACACAGGAATTTGATATCGAAGATTTGCACATCAAACATAGTAAATTTTCTTCAGATGCCGCGGCTAGACGCCAGAAGACACTAAATTTACCAAGTGGAGTAGAGTAATTGTATATAGATATATCCAGAAAGTGCATCTCAGATGCTTTAGTGTATGTACATAAGGAACAAATCGTGTTAAGGATGAACATAGAAACTTGAAGACGGGATAGTCACTATTTCCAATCGGAAGTAAAATATTCCCAGTTTGTGATTTTGTTATTGTACAGTTTATGAGACATTTGACCATAATACGAAGACTTTTGGATTAACCGCTGGTAAGTAAGAAACTATGAGGCAATACTGTTAATTTGTTTGGAAATATAGGTTTTTGTTAGTCAAATTTGATAAAAGTTTATCTTGTTTTGTCAATAATGTACTAATGCTAAATTTTGTGTTGATCGACAGGTGAACTGTAGCTAAAAATGCTTTGAACATAATACATTTTTATGTTACACGAAGTTGCACTACATAATGTAAAATGTTAATGTATATATGCTTTTATTATTTTGGGCAAAGCTTGAATAAGTATGCTTTAATAACTATAATGTTGAAACGTTAGGTCTTTTTCATCATAGATGCAATGCCCTACATGGCTAAACATTTCAAGTTCAAAAAAAAATGAAAGCATCACAAATGGAACATAACCTAGTTTTACCTAAGTTTCCAAAACAGACATAACTAGAGGCACTTGCAGCCATTACACAAGCATTCTTTTCCATCATTCAATCATGCCATTTTTTCCTGTCAAACAATTGTTCCATCATGATAGGAATCATTCTGTAAGAATTGTTGCTTTGTTAACTCTTCAAATTTGTACTACGATGACAAATTTCAGGGCTAACTGTCGAATATCTCAATGAAAGATTGAAGGGACTATTTTTTCTTCCAAAACAAAGTTTGAGAGAACATTATTTCGCAATTTTCAAAGTAATGCAATAGTTACTTTGGTAACATATCTTTTTTATTCAATGTAAATGTGACTGTCTCTCTAGTCTGTTAGTATCACCTCTAGTGGCATACCTTGCTCTTTAGGGGCGACAATAAAAGTTCGCATTGTTTGTTTTTTTGAGCATTGATGCTATAATGTCAAGTTTGTATAATTATTTATCTACACATTTTTTTGAATCTATTTTCCATTCTTGTCTATCAAAATTACATCACTATGCATTTTGAGTATTCATAAACTGATTTTTTAATTTCACCATAAACATTTTTAAATTCAAACATTGTTTAATATCATCATTCAATTTATTATAAAAGTACTCCCTTTTAAAATACAGATTTGCTAGTTATGCTATTATTACAATTTTGCGGAGCAAAATCTATACTGCCTCTAGTTTCCTAGTTATGATAATGACTATTTAATTTTCTGAAGTTTTCTAAATGTTGTGGTAATGAATGATTTTTTAATTTGAATATGGAAATGGGAACTAATTAACATATGAAATTTTTTAAATTCAACCACTGTAGCTCTTCTAACATAGATTTAATCATAGCATTTTTTTAATTAAAATGATTTTCATAGCTTTATTTTGTAGAATGTGTAATTTTGAAAATATGTTTTCATTTGCTGTAAACAAGATGGTTGAACGAAATAAAAATGGGAAAAATTATATTGTTTATACCTATTTTTTGGAATACATACTAAGATTACGGGAAGCTCTATAGAAGAAATTTACCTTTTTTGATATTTTTGAAATAATGTAAAAGTAGTTTACTATCCACATATATATACCCAGATATTTAAATGATTCAACTACTTAAATTTTCTCATCATTAATCATGAGCCTAAATATTTCCCTATTGACATACATTTTGTTTTATTAGTGTTTAATTTAAGATTATTGACATTAAACCAATTCATATTTTTTTAATATTACTATTTAACAGTTCTGAAGCAGGGTCCAAAAGTTTATGTGTTGTATATATACAGTAATGGACAAAAATATATAGACAAATATGAATATTTACCTAAATACCTTTAGAAAGCGAATTCATACTTCATTGCTCCATAAACAAATGCGTTATTAGTAGTAAAAACTAAATTTGTTGTTTTTACATTATCTGCAAACAACACAGTGCAAGTCTGAATATAAGAACTTTTTTATGATGGACAAAAATATGTAGAATTCTTTTCAACATTAGTTTAGTACAGTTTCGTGTCAGAAGACAATTAGTTTGTGTTCATCAAGTTGAGTTATACAAAGATGGTCAACATCAAGTCGATATTGCCAAAAATTTGAAGCTGAAGCGTAAAGCAGTTTGGGCAATATTGAACAAATATAAACAAAAAGATATCTTGGAAGCCTCTAAGAGAAGTAGTCGGCCTAGAAAACTAAATGCTGGATCAGTTAGATTAATAAAAGAAGCTGCTAATCTCAAGGAAAAGCCATAAGGACCGATTACAATTTGCACGGTTGCATCTTGATTGGAGCATCTGTGACTGGAAGAGGGTATGTTTCAGTGACAAATCCAAGTTCAATATGTTTGGATCAGATGGTGTTCGTTACGTTAGACGTCCTAGTGGACAAAGATTGAACCCCAAGTACACTTTGCCTACTGCCAAACATGGAGGCGGGTCTGTTATGGTTTGGGGGTGCGTTTCGGGGTTTGGGATGGGACCTTTGCATAGAATAGATGGCATTATGGATAAGTTTGTATACACAGACATACTAAAGCATGTCATGCTACGCTATATGGAAGACAATATGCCCTTAAGATCAATCTTCCAGCAAGATAATGACCCGAAGCACACTTCAAATCTCACAAAGAAATTTTTTCTGGATAAAAAAATACCAGTTCTCAAATGGCCTTCACAATCTCCCGATATAAATCCCATTGAACAAACAAGTTAAAAAAGAAATACAGCACCAATATTATATTGTCTATATACAGATAGTGAAAGCTACTGCTTTTTTACTTTAATAAATTGATTTACTGCTCTTTTGTTTAGGAAATGTAATTAATATTAAATATTTGTGAAATTAAAGCAATAACTATTTTTGTTAAATAACGCGATCAATGATATATTTTTTATTTATTTCATTCACACTCTGTCACTATAATCAAACAACTTTCTTTCATTCCACTTTCGTAATGAATTTTTGTTTAGAAAAAGGATACCTCTCCCTAAAATCTCAAATCATACTGAACTTGAACATCTTAGACCTTGTTACTCATTCTTTCAAATCTAGAAAAGATCATACAGGAACAATATAGATTATATTTGCAGTAAAACAGAACACCAAAAAAATCTAAATCTAGATGATCACACTCATTAAAAGAATGTCAAAATGCACGTTGCAAATGCGCTTTTTATACTAAGTGACATATAAATCCGAACACCCAGTTTAAATGGTTTTATTTTAATAAAAGTTGGTGAATGTATTTACCTTACTGTAAATAACAAGTGAAAAAATTTTCAGCCTTATCAGTTGGACATTCCGGTTTTTATACTGCTTTTTTTTAATTCACTAACGCTCTAAAAATGAATATTTCAGCCGCAGTAAAGAATCAACGTTGGCGGATTTTGGTTCTTGACATCCTTTACGATCGGTTACGATGCCTAGAGTACGGAGACCTGTACGATTTCGTCAACTTAGTGAGTTTGATAGGGGCCGTCTAGTGGGACTTCGGGAAGCTGGACTTTCTTTTCGGGCAATTGCAGTTAGAGTGCAAAGAAGTGTAGACACTGTGGTTAGGTGTTGTCAGGCATGGCTTCGAGAAGGCCGTACGCAAAGAGCAAGGGGCACTGGACGCCGCCGTAGAACAACAGACCGTGAAGATCGCCGCCTAAGATTATTGGCCTTAAGGGACCGTTTCTCCACTACCAGGTCCATTGCAAATGAATGGTTTGCAGAACACGGAAGACCTATTGGCATGCGAAGTGTTTACCGACGAATGAGAAGTTTTGGCTTGTTTTCATACCGGCCACACTGGGTCTTCCCTTTAACTCGAGAACACCGACGTAATCGCCTTGAGTGGTGCAGACAACGGTCACTCTGGGAACAGGAATGGAACAGTATTGTGTTTAGTGACGAGTCTCGATTTTGTTTAGGCACGCACGATGGTCGTGCCAGGGTTAGAAGGCGACGTGGTGAAAGGAGGAATCCACAGTTTTTTGTTGAAAGACATGTTCATCACACTGTTGGAGTTATGGTTTGGGGTGCTATAGCTTATGGTTCCAGGCCACCTTTAATCTTCATCAGAGGTAACATGAACGCGCAGCGTTATATCCACGAAGTTCTAGAACCCCATCTTTTACCCTATCTTGACACCCTGGCAGATCCAACTTTCCAACAAGATAATGCCCGACCACATGTTGCAAGAGTCACAATAGACTTCTTTCAACATAATGATATCACATTGTTACCATGGCCACCAAGATCTCCCGGCTTATAACCAATTGAGCACGTGTGGGATATGATGGGTAGGAGATTGCGCAATTTGCAACGTCCTCCTCAGACTCTAGAAGCACTTCGAGAGGAGTTGGTGGTTGCCTGGAATGAGATACCACAGGAGGACATTGACCACCTGATCAGAAGCATGCCTAGGCGCGTTGGAGAATGCGTAGCACATCAGGGTGCATCCACACATTATTAAAGGTCAAAGAGCTTTAAAGCAGTGCAATCATTTTAAAATTTTTATCATTTACGTATTATGCTTCATTAAGTACTTATACAAAATTTTATTAAAATAAAACCATTTAAACTGGGTGTTCGGATTTATATGTCACTTAGTATATGTACCCTTACTCATTCTAGTCGGACCAGCAACTGAACGCTTTTCGCATCAGACACCTCATGTCAAAGTCGTTTAGACTGTAGCCTGTGAAATGATATTTCATCGTTATTTATCAGGTTAAAAAAGTAGCATACGTGCTAAACCAGACTATTATCTATCTCTGTCCGAAATTTCATCCAGATCAGCTCAGGCGTTTTGGCGTGGTTGAATAACAAATATCGGCACTTTCTCATTTATTATAGTAGGGTTTCAGTCTTGTGACATTACGCGTACAGAGTGGTCAACTAAGAATGCGAGGTACTGTATCTGGGAATCTCAGCACTTGTAATTCTAGATTTTGAATAAATATCATTATAGCATTTTCAAAAAATTTAATATTTATTTTGCATGTTGTTCCATAGTGTCTCGGAGAATTAAGCATCGAGCATGGCGTCCGCCAAATTCCTGGAGGAAGCCCTCAGCACAGACGTGGACGAATCTGCAGTGAACGCGATCGTAGGTTCGCTCGAAACGCAGCTGGTGACCGCAGCGCCACCTGTCGCGTCTTCGCCTGCGTCGACTCAGCAGCCTGTCAGTCAGCAGAACCACACGACCGTGTCGAATGGCGCGACAGGGAACATGGTCGCCGTCGGCCAATCCGTGGTCGCCGTGTCGCAGGCCCAACAGCAGAAGCATCATATGGCTAACGGGGAGGCTGTTATCAGCGGAACGCAGGTTGAACAAGGTATGTTGCTTCCCATTTTTTTGTCCTGCTTTTTGCGGATTTGGCCCATTATTTTCCTATTTATTGTTATATACAACGTTAGTTGTCGCTTTGAAAAACTCGAGGTCTAGCCATTTTATACTACAATGTGTAGGTTAGCTCTTGTTGTGGACTTCGTGTGTCTTTTTTCGTTTCCTCAGGTTACACCCGTATTCGGATGTACGGGCATGTGTATCTACTTTTGTAGTTGCATATGTGCATTCATTTCGGACCTGATGAAGCCAATCAGCAGAAATATGTATCTTTGCTTCGCTTATTTTGGATGGCATGAAGGGCAGGGGAGTGTAGATGATGATTACGTCATCGGTAATTTACTTTTTTGCACGAATGGCAACCGTCACATTGCCTTTGCTTGAAAACGAAACGCATTTTCGGGGATTCCCGTAAATAATGCATACGTTTAGTGAACAGCGCGCGGTTATTCACCTACTCGCTTTAGAACCGAGTAGGGGAATTACCGCGCGGTGTTCACTCGTCTAAATTTCCTCTATCAGTGTATTGTTTCGTTTGGACACTATAGCGAGTAGACGTATTGTAAGCATAGTAAAGCAAGTTAACATTTGCGTTACCATTCATTCCATTAGCCAAAGTTTAATGTTTAACACGTTCACTGCGAACGACGCTGATCCGCGTCCGACCGATGTTTAACGAAAGGCGGCGGGCGCGAATCCGCGCTTCTGCCTGATATAAACTCACAAGACTGTGGTGTTCTGAAATTAATTAAAGAAACATCTTTAATAGGGTTTCAAGACATGTTTCGTGTTACTGCACGAAAAAAAAACGAGATAGAAGAAGAAAATGTATATATGAAATAGTTTTCAATTACACAACGCACATCCAATAGGCTTACGACGCGAATCCGCGCTTCGCTTGTGCAGCGCCTAAAATCGTTTAGCCGCTACCGTGCGCGCGGCGCGAGGCAGGTCGCAGCGAACATGTTAAATAAGATGTCGTTTCACATAGACAAATCCAAGTTATACCAAAAATTGTTTGAAAGTTTTAAAAAATCTCATACAAGTACGAAAGTACAAAAGTGCAAAAGTTAGTTAACGAAGTGTGGCGAAATTACAAATTACAAGCAAAATCCGACAAGGAACTAAATATTATTGAAACTAAGAGAATCGAAGAAGAATTGCAAGCGGCGACTAAGAATAAATCCAATCTACTAAATTTTCTTTCTAAGGTGAGTGGCGAAATCATTTTAGGTACCTATGAGTACTAGAAATATTAGAAATCGCCAAAAAGTTTCTCTTTACTGATTAGAAAATGTTATGGCCTATCTCAAAGTATAGAGGTAATATTCATTATATTATAGATTTATTTCTTATGATTGATTCCGTCAATTGGTCACAAAGTACAGGATGTTAGTTTTTTACATATATACAGAAAACTAACACCGTGTATTTTGTGACCGGAACGAATTGCTCGTTTAAACATATTAGATTTAAAGCCACAGGGTTTTGTATTTACCATATATATTGCCATACTTTGTATTTATGTAGCTTAATAAGAGAATCTTTAGCAGAAGCAGTAGAAAGTTTTTATTTTTAGGCAACCTGTAAACCTGCAAAAAAAACACAAATTATACAGTCAGCTTCAAATATTAAAAAAGAGGAATCAGATAAAATATAACCCGGTAATGAATCACAATAGCAATGCGAAATTAATGAAAATACAGATAAACACACACAAACGTTATAATTATAATATTAAAAAAAAACAATACATTAATTGACAAATGTTTACATAAGCATGGGGGGAGGGGGTAAGAGCTTTGCTTACTTTTGCAAGGGGGGATGGGGGGGTAAATAATTGTAATAAATCTGCTTACGTAATACTTGAACGGCCCCTAACCAACTGGAAACCCGTTTCTGAGGAATGCTTTTTACGAAAGCCTGCTTGTGTTTACGATAAAATTTTGTTTTCTTCTATAAACTGCATTAATCGATCACGTACTATAGACTGCAACAATTTTTCAGTGTCTTGTAACACATTTACTGTTCGCTACATTTTTTGAATTACTTACATTGAGAATTCGCGTTATTAGTAGTACAAACTAAGTCTGAAATGTCGAATGTTCGATTCCAGTAAACCAACAACAGCAGCAGCAGCAACAAACTGTAAAGTCCGGCACGGAACCCGTGAAGATCGTCCAGTTGAACCAAGCGATGTCCGGTGCTGCCGCCGGGGCCATCTTGCAAAATCGTGTTACCCTGCCGAACGGTACAATCAGCTTGCCGCAGCAGAAGGTAAGACTCCTCGTAAAATTATGGCACCACTCGGTACCTAATTGTTTTGTTTGCTGTAGGTGGTGCTGAAGACCAGCGGGGGCCCCGGAGCGCCGAACATTGTCACGCTGCCCATGCAACAGGCTAACAACGTGGACACCTCGGTAGTCACGTCCCAACCTCAACAGAATCAGATCATTTCCGGGCTGCAGGTGGTCAACGTTCGACCCAGTGCTATGCAGCAACAGAAGGGTGAGTCACTATGCTTCAATGGTAGCTTGAAACTGATTTGTATCGGCAAGTCTACGTTTAATGAATGATGATGAAAACAGGGATAGTATAAATTCACTATTTTCTCACTACTTTTTTTTGAAAAACTCATTTTTCTCGCCTAAATTCATGCTTTGAGCCACCAGCACCCCTGATGTCCACTTAACTTTCCTTCCTGATGTTTGTTTGTTTCAGATTTATTTAGCATTAATGCTACAATATTCATATTACACAATGTATGTATGTAATGTAATATTGGTTATTGTTAAATCGATCTTAGTTCGTAAAAGTTCAGTACTTGTTTACATTTTTTTGACATAAAAATCTGGATTATCAAAATTTATTTTGAAGTTTCCCAAGTACACAGTGGAGCAATTTCGATAATACTGTTTTTTACACACTCAAAAAATCGGCTAATATTACAGCTTGGAGATCTGTAGTAAACGGGTACATCGTAATTTTGTTTCACCTTAATTTCAAAACTAATATACCACCATTGATAATCAACAACTACAGTATTATATTTTTACTTCAATCAGACTCCGTTTGTATATTAGTATGCATTATTTTTTGTGATTCCATTTTGCAACACTATGTATAATATAGTCTCTTTTTATATACTAAGTGACATATAAATCCGAACACCCAGTTTAAATGGTTTTATTTTAATAAAAGTTGGTGAATGTATTTATCTTACTGTAAACAACAAGTGAAAAAATTTTCAGCCTTATCAGTTGGACATTCCGGTTTTTATACTGCTTTTTTCTAATTCACTAACGCTCTAAAAATGAATATTTCGGCCGCAGTAAAGAATCAACGTTGGCGGATTTTGGTTCTTGACATCCTTTACGATCGGTTACGATGCCTAGAGTACGGAGACCTGTACGATTTCGTCAACTTAGTGAGTTTGATAGGGGCCGTATAGTGGGACTTCGGGAAGCTGGACTTTCTTTTCGGGCAATTGCAGTTAGAGTGCAAAGAAGTGTAGACACTGTGGTTAGGTGTTGTCAGGCATGGCTTCGAGAATGCCGTACGCAAAGAGCAAGGGGCACTGGACGCCGCCGTAGAACAACATACCGTGAAGATCGCCCCCTAAGAGTATTGGCCTTAAGGGACCGTTTCTCCACTACCAGGTCCATTGCAAATGAATGGTTTGCAGAACACGGAAGACCTATTGGCATGCGAAGTGTTTACCGACGAATGAGAAGTTTTGGCTTGTTTTCATACCGGCCACACTGGGTCCTCCCTTTAACTCGAGAACACCGACGTAATCGCCTTGAGTGGTGCAGACAACGGTCACTCTGGGATCAGGAATGGAACAGTATTGTCTTAAGTGACGAGTCTCGATTTTGTTTAGGCATGCACGATAGTCGTGCCAGGGTTAGAAGGCGACGTGGTGAAAGGAGGAATCCTTAGTTTTTTGTTGAAAGACATGTTCATCACACTGTTGGAGTTATGGTTTGTGGTGCTTTAGCTTATGGTTCCAGGTCACCTTTAATCTTCGTCAGAGGTAACATGAACGCGCAGCGTAAAGCATCCCACAAACCGGCGCGAAATATTCGCTTTGGCTGCGAAAATTTCGCGGGGATGAATTCGCGATCAGATTAAAACGCGACGGTTTACGGAGAGGCTCAGACTTGTGCGAAGCGAATGCGATTGTTCCAGCGTTTTTCTTTCAACATAATGATGTCACATTGTTACCATGGCCACCAAGATCTCCCGACTTATCCCCAATTGAGCACGTGTGGGATATAATGGGTAGGAGATTGCTCAATTTGCAACGTCCTCCTCAGACTCTAGAAGCACTTCGAGAGGAGTTGGTGGTGGCCTGGAATGAGATACCACAGGAGGACATTGACCACCTGATCAGAAGCATGCCTAGGCGCGTTGGAGAATGCGTAGCACATCAGGGTGCATCCACACATTATTAAAGGTCAAAGGGCTTTAAAGCAGTGCAATCATTTTGACATTTTTATCATTTACTTATCATGCTTCATTAAGTACTTATACAAAATTTTATTAAAATAAAACCATTTAAATTGGGTGCTCGGATTTATATGTCACTTAGTATATATGATCTCTTGACGATTTCTGAACAACCTTTGTCTCAATTATTATTATAATTCTCGTTACAGGCCAACCAGCCCGAGTCGTTCTGAGCGCGCCCCAACTTGTAGGCGCCAGGCCCGGTACTCCCCAACTAACTTTGCAGTCCTTCCACGGTTTGCAACCCGGCCAACAGGGGGCGTTGCTGTTGAAGACGGAGAATGGCCAATACCAGCTGTTGCGCGTCGGTCCACCGCCTACGGCGGTGTCGCAGGCCACCGGGCAGCCCGTTGCCTATAGGATGCAAACGGTAATTGTTTTTAGTTCTGCTGCCATTCAGTACAAAGGGTACGATAAAAGTTTTGCAGTATGACCTTACAAACGGACTCAGGAGGCTGCATGTTGCTGCATGTCCCTGAGTGCATAGTAGCCGCCAGCAACGCGTATGTTGATTTAGTTGTTCATTCTGTATAAAATCATGAAATATTTACCCACGAAAGAAAATATAGATCATTATAATCAGTATAAAAACAAATTTATGGAACTTTTGAGAAAAGCAAAAAAAAATTACTATATAAAACAATTGAATAATAATTCACATGACTCTAGACACCTATGGTCCACTGTCAATGATATATTCAATAAGTCATCCTATTCAAAAAACAATATTAATGAAATAAAAACAAAAACAGGACAGAAAACAGACAATATTCAGCAAATATGTGATGAGTTCATAGAATTTTTCACGAATATAGGAGGAAACTTAGCAAATAATATCAAACAAAATGCTGATATTAATCTGCATGAAACAAGACTGAATAATTCATTTGTATTAACTGAAGTAGACTATCAGGATGTTTTCAATGCCATTATGACTCTAAATGGAGTTGACGAAATTAGAGCTGAACATCTAAAGATACTGGCCAAACAAATCACAGAACCACTTGCTTATATCATTAACAAATCCTTCCAATCTGGAGTATTTCCATCAGCTTTCAAGACAGCAATCATCATAAGTATCTATAAATCTAATGATAATACGGACGTCACTAACTATCGACCTATTTCACTTATATCAAGTTTAGCTAAAGTTTTTGAGAAATTACTCCTTAATAAAATGATTAATTTTCTTAATAAATTCAAAATTCTAAATTCAAATCAATATGGTTTTATAGCGGGCAAATCTACAACAGATGGGGTATTAAGTATAGTAGATGAAATAACCCAAAATATAGATGGAAAAGTACCATCGATATGCGTATTTGTGGCCTTACAAAAAGCGTTTGACACAGTTAACCACAATATACTTTTGGAAATCTTAGAAAGAATAGGTTTTCGTGGAAAGATGTATACTTTAATGGAAAATTATTTATCAAATAGACCGCAATCAGTAAAATTATTAAGCTCGTATAGTAAAGAAATGTTTGTTAAATGTGGTGTTCCACAAGGTACAATTTTGGGTCCTCTGTTATTCAATATTTATTTAAACGTTATATTCAAAGTTAACAGTACTGGTAAAATAGTCAGTTTTGCAGACGATACTGCTATACTCTATAAAGGTAAGGATTGGAACGATTTAAAAGATATTATCCAAAATGACTTTTGCAAAATTATTCAGTGGTTTAATAACCGAAAATTAACAATTAACTTTACTAAAACTAATTTTTTACCATTTTCATCACTATCTAATCATCTACCAAAATATAACCACCTTCGGTTTAAGGTAAATGATAAAAATATAAAAATCAATAGAGTTAATGATACAAAATATTTAGGAATTTATCTAGATCCCCACTTGAGATGGGATGTACATATTTCTCACATACTAAAGAAAATTAGATTCATAGCATATAAAATAAAATTTCTAACCGGTATATTAACTGAATATTATCTACGAATGATATATCAAGCTTTAGTCGAGCCACACATAACATATGGTATAGTAGTATGGGGTGCTGCATACACGACATACTTTAACGATTTAGATGTACTTCAAAGAAGAATTTTAAAATCAATGTTAGGCAAATCAAAATTATACCCAACTAATGACTTATATAATGATGCACAAGTATATGATACTAAACAACTTTACTTCTTCCATACGATCACTCATTATCACAAAACTATTAGTGAACACGACATAATTAAACATAATCATAAAACCAGATATAAATTACGCGCAAAAAATGTTCCTAAACCAAACAAATCCGTAATGAAACGATGTCACCTGTATATAGCTCCAAAATTGTACGAACATTTACCAAATAATTTAAAACAATTACGCAATACATTAGGCTTCAAAAAAAAATTAAAAAAATTTAGTAACACGATTGGGAGAAATCAAATTAATAAAATAATCTCAAATATTACACAATAAATGCTCTACCATTCTTACGAATAATTTCTTTTTTCTCTCTATTTTATTATATTTTGCAATTCAACATACATATGATCCATGCACAGGCGTTGTCCTCCTATGGATATATTATATTTATTTACTCGTTTCATGTTCCCTGTATTTTAGAGTAAATAAATATTATTATTATTATTATTATTCGTCCTGACAGAGTTAAGTGCGGACTATGGTAACGTGGTCACGTAGTTTTCGGTATAACTTTATGCGTTGTTTAAGCTTAGACCAGTGCTTAGAAGAAATGATGCTGGAATTGAAGAATGATTGTCCACGAACATCAGTAAACGGTTCTCTAGCGAGGAGGAGCTTCTGACGGTTTGAGACGAGTATGCCGCACTCCCGGGTGAAATTTGGCAGAGCTGGTTTAAGGATCGGTGGTGAATGAAGTCAATAGATAAAGCTGTATTGCAAAACTTTTAAAATACCCTTTGTATCGTGATTCTTGATTTACGCATTTTCTGTTTTTGTTCTTGTCTGTTTTTTCCTCAAGTTAGTACCTACATTTCTATATTGTGTTACCAATCGTCAACTGATTGGTTAAGTGTAAAACTGAACTTCGCCAATCAGCTAGTCTATTTTCAAATAAAGACGACTATTATTATTATATAGGTGCCTGCGACGGCTGTCAGCGCTCCAACCCCGATCCAAACGTCTACCATCTCATCGACAACCCCCGCCGTGGTGCACCAGCAAGACCAGGCGGCAGTACAACAGCAGCAACAACAGGTAGGGATCCACCTGCCTCCCCAACTTTTTATCGGTAGCTAACACTGATCACTTTCAAACTCTAGTCAATCTGTCTGACATTTTTTTTTCGAAAATATTGATTTTTTATTATTAATAGACGGTAACGACTGCTCCTCAACAGCAGACAGTCCAAGTGCAACAAACGCGACCAGCGAACGACAACACCAAAGAAAAGTGCCGGAAGTTCCTCGCCAATTTGCTGGAATTGTCCAGCAGGGAGCCGAAAGCTGTGGAAAAGAACGTGCGGACGTTGATACAAGAATTGATAGACAATAAGGTTGGTTTTTAATCATATTCTAACGACAATTCTTAACAAATTATAAGCGAATTCTGACTTCACAAAATTCTAATATTTGCTAATGGCAATAGAACTTATGAATAATGATATGAAAAATATAACTAATCGGTTGAATATCAATCAACTCAAATTAAACACAAACAAAATAAAATTTATGCTAGGAAAATCTTTAGATGAACATTTGTTGGTTTATTTATTGAAGTTTTATTTCTCATTAATGCTACAATGTCAATTTTGTATAATTATTCGCTTACACATTTTTTTTTAATTAATTTTATGTGTTTTTATGTTCTTGTCTATTAAAATTACATCGCTATGCATCTTGGGGATTCATAAAGTGATTTTTTAATTATATATTACATTTGAACTACCAACAGTACACTTGAACTACTTACGGTACATTTGAACTACTTGCGGTAATTTTGAATTACTTACGGTACATTTGAACTAATAACTGTATTATAATGATTATTTAATTTTATGAAGTTTTCTAAATGTGGTGGTAATAAATGATTTTTTTCATTTGGATATAAAAATGAGAAGTAAATAACACATAATCATTTTTACAGTATTTCTTCTAACATAGACTTACTCCTACAATATTTTTTTTATTTAAAATGATTCTCATAGCTTTATTTTCTAAAATTTGTAATTATGAAAATATCTTTTCATTTGCTGTGAACAAAATAACACTGGTCAACAAAATTTTAACTTTGTCGTGCCACACGGACTTTTTTGATATTTTTTACTTTAATTGGTGATTGTAAGAAAAAATAAACAGTTAAAAAAAATTTGCTAGACAAGGATTTTATTCTATTGAGTAATTTAAAATATTAAGAAAAAACACATCTCGTAAATCAAAAGCTATTTTTTTTATAAATGACTTAATAATCTAAGATTTTCTTGAATATTTAGCTTCTGGTTGGTCCCTTTTAATTGTCCAGCAGTAATCTGCTAACATATTTGGGCTCCATTTGCCCTGGTACCGCTTTTCCATATTAGAAATATCCTGATGGAACCTCTCACCGTGCTCGTCGCTGACAGCCCCTAAATTGTCAGGAAAAAAATCCAGGTGCGAGTCTAAAAAATGGATCTTAAGTGACATGTTGCAACCCAGTGCTTGATATGACAATAATAGCTCGCTAACCAACTCTCTGTAGCTGTCACTCTTGTGGTTACCCAAAAAATTTGCAACAACATTTTTAAAAGCCTTCCATGCAGATGTTTCTAAATCGCTTAATTTTTCTTCAAATCTTGAATCTTTTATTAACTCCCTAATTTGAGGGCCAACAAAAATACCCTCTTTTATCTTTGCATCACTTATTTTAGGGAATTTTTCTTTTAGATACAAAAACCCACTCCCATTGCGATCCATTGCCTTCACAAAATTTTTTATTAATCCTAATTTGATATACAATGGTGGTAGAAGCACATTATTTGGCTGTACAAGGGATAAATACTTTACGTTTTTTGCCCAGGAACTAACGATGCACGCGTAGGCCATGTTTTTTTTTACATAGTGATTAGTTCTGTCTCGGCTATCCCATTCACATAAAAAGCAGCAAAACTTTGTATAACCCAGCTGAAGTCCAAGTAATAGTGCAACAACTTTAAGATCACCGCAGATTTTGAAGGAATATGTACTGTAATTTATTTTTTCAAATAAAAGTTTCATATTTTCATAGGTTTCTTTCATATTTGCAGCATGGGCCAGAGGTACAGACGGAAGCTTATTTCCATTATGCAATAACACTGCTTTTAGACTTGCTTTCGAAGAATCAATGAATAAACGCCACTGAGAGAGATCAAAATCTATGTCCAACATTTTCATAATCTCATTTATGTTATTGCAAAACACCAAATCTCCATCCTGAGAAAAATACGTTCTGAAGTCTTGATCACGGTTTCGAAAATAGCTAACTTTTGTATTATGATGTAGCAAATTCCATTCTTTTAGACGTGATCCTAATAGTTCTGACTGCTTTTTTGACAAATTTAAATCCCGAACCAAATCATTTAGGTCTCCTTGAGTTATCAAATGTGGCTCGTTTACAATTCCTTTTAACTCAAAGTCATCGTCCTCGTCAACACATTCACCTGAAGTGGACGGGTGTGAATTGTTCTCAACAGACGTAGTTGCAACTGGTATTAGTTCTGGCAATTTTTTACAATGAGAGACTGGTCTTATAGCCGAAGATAAGTTAGGGTAAATAACTGTGGTTTTTTTCTTGTAATTTATATCTTTTATGTCTGTGAGACAAAAATAGCAATCTGAAACGTTATCTCGCTGTTCATCCATATCATGGGTACAGCAAACGGCATAGGTCGTGCACCTTTCTTCCAGTCAGTTAAATTTTTCACACACGTTATGCAACAGACATGAGGGGCCCAGGATTTGTGTTGATGGGCGACAGAAAAACCAAAACATTGGTGATAACACTCCAACACAAGATTCGTAAAATTTCGTCCTTGTTTTTTGAATGTTAGTTCTCCGCAGACATAACAAAAAGAGTTAGGATCATTATTACACTTCCTCGACATATTCACAGGGTTAATGAATCACAAAAAAGTGTTCAAATTCAACAACAAATATTTTTATAAGGATTTACTTGTAAGCGTTTCTGTTAATTTACTGCCGTAGTACTAGTTATGAGATTACCGTATCACAACAAATATGAGGCTAATAGACATATGACAGCTGTCATGTAATAATGAGGGTAGACTGATAAAACAAAATTAGCTATCAAAGTTCGTGTGGCAAAACCAGTGATGACCAGTGTAATTGGACAATATAAAAAATGGGGAAAAATTATAGTGTTATTCACAAAAGTTTGGTATATGGAAAATTCTTTAGAATTTATCTTTTTTGATATTTTTGAAATTGTAGTTTACTATCCACATATGTTATTTGAATGATTCCATTACTTCAATTTTTTCAACATTAATCATGAGCCTAAATGCTTCCCCATATCTTGTTTTATTGTTGTTCTTTTTTAGTTTATTAACGTATATATCTAACTATATTTTTAGGTGGAACCGGAAGATTTCTGCGACAAACTGGAGCGACTCCTGAACGCGTCCCCGCAACCGTGTCTGATTGGCTTCCTGAAGAAGAGTCTGCCATTACTGAGACACTCTTTGGCTACCCAGGAGATGACCATAGACGGGATCCGACCACCTGCGGCTGACGTCGTGTTTTCAGTCGCTGGGGCTGCGCCTACTGTACAGACGGTATGTCAATATATTATCTGTCATTTCTTATGCCATTGATCAATCTGTACTTACGGAGGAAAAAGAACAGCCAGTAATGATAAATTTTTTGTAACAGTTTTTCATATACATGTCTAAGGCTCACGTTCCTGACTGACCCATTTTTTGCCTTTTTGGTAACAAATTATGAACAAAATTTTGTATCGTGACAGACGAAAATGGAAATTGAAAATGAAAAATGATGCAATCGAAATTGTAAATAGTTTTAAGAATTTAAAAATCAAGTTCTGAACATTATTTATTAAGGAATACCTCAGTACCGATTGCCGGGTGGCGGTACAAGTCCGCCAACGGGCCACTTTAGGTCTATTTAACATCACTAACACGAAAAAAGAAGGTGGTAGACAAGGACCAGTCGACCGAGGCAGTACCACCCGCTAGCTTTTCCCTTATAAATGTCCGCATGTTTCCACACATAAGCTATGCAGTCGGTTATCTACCAAAACAAAGAAATTAATGATGATGGATCCCTCGAGCACTAAAAACTCCGGACGTAAACTCACTCCACTCTCGGAATGTCCGGGTGGAGGGTGGGCTCGAGGGAACAACATCGAAGATAAAATTTGTTTTTCGAACATCTGCGGGATCAACAGCAACATTGATGCTGTTCATCACTACCTGCAATCGAATCGTCACGCCGTGCTTTTCTTGGCGGAGACAAAAATCTCAGAGACTGCACCGATTAACCATCTCAACTTTCCAAACTACGAGGTGCACTCCAATCTGAGAAAGAACGGGGGAATTGTGGCTTTTGTCCGCTTCAGTCTTTCCTGCTCCAGGGATCTTTCTTTGTAATCAGACCGGAAGGACATTCTGTGGCTTCGCCTCAACTCCAAAACATCACCCAAATTTATTTGCTGCCTTTATCGCTCTCCCTCGAACCATAACTGGGATGACCTACTCGAATACCTCGCCGTCCAGTTCGACTTCCTGAACATCAATCACCCCGCTTCAGAGGTAGTTCTTCTCGGTGATTTCAATGCCCATAATGAGCTTTGGTTGGGCTCAAATAAGACCGATGCAGCAGGTCGTGCAGTCGAAGCGTTCGCTCTTACTCAAGGGCTGACCCAGCTGGTGACGAGCCCTACTTTTTTCCCCCGCGTCTCTTCACACGCCAATAGCCTGCTAGATCTCTTTCTGACCACGCATCCTGCCCCTTACAGCACTGCTGTCCTGTCCCCCCTGGGTAATTCAGATCACGGTGTTGTGGAGGTTAGGTTTCGGTCAGAAGCCGCTGTGGCAGCAGAAACTCGCACAGGCCGCAAAACTTGGCATTACGGACATGCCGACTGGGAGGGGCTCAGAGACTTCTTCTCTAGCTTTCCTTGGAGAGATGTCTGTTTCACTGACGCGGATGCGTCGACTGTCTGTTCTTCGATAACCGAAATTATCCACGTCGGAATGGAGGAATACATCCCTCACACAGTGAAAGTTCCTAAACCAGGTCCAACGGCTGGTTCAACAAATCGTGTGACACTGCTCGCCAGCAGAAGATCAAGGCCCACAGAACCTACTTACAAAACCCCACTGTAGAGAACAGACAAGCCGACGTCGAGTCCAGAAACAAATATAACGAAGCGGTTCGCAATGCCAAAACCCAGCATGATATAAAAGTTAGGCACAGGGTAATGTCGCAGCGCAATGGCAGTCGGTCTTTCTGGACAGTGGCCAAGCAGATTGAAAAGAACTTCTCACACAGTAGCCTTCCACCACTTACGCGTCAGGATGGAACTATTGTATTCGACTCAAAGGCCAAGGCGGAAGTGCTAGCCAAGATCTTTGCTGCTAACTCCACCATGGACGTCCCCACCAACGCCCAAGTGCCGTCAATTCAAAGGGTTCCCCACACTATGCGGGAGGTAACATTCAGGCATAAGACCGTAAGACGAGTGCTCTTGTCGCTCGACATCAACAAAGCTTCTGGTCCGGACTTGATTCCTGCCATTGTACTGAAGAGATGTGCAGCGGAGCTTGCTCCAGTTCTTTCGCGTCTCTTCCAGATATCTTATGAATCCGGCACCTTCCCAGAAAACTGGAAATTTGCTCATGTACAGCCCATCCCAAAAAAAGGATCTAAAACCGACCCTTACAACTACAGGCCTATAGCTCTGCTTTCTGTTATAAGTAAAGTGATGGAGAGGTGCATAAATCGCGAGCTTCTGGACTACCTCGAACGTCACAGCTTGATTAGCGACAGGCAGTACGGTTTCTGGCACCAACGATCCACAGGGGACCTCCTAGCTTACGTCACGCAACTGTGGAGTAAACTCATCCAGTCTCATGGTGAGGCTCATGTCGTTGCTCTTGACATCACGAAAGCGTTCGATCAGCTGTGGCATGCTGCCCTCTTAAGCAAACTTCCATCCTACGGCCTCCCAGAAAAGCTTTGCAGATGGGTGGCTGACTTTATCTCTGGCCGCAAGATATCCGTCGTAATTGACGGATTCTCCTCTTCATCCCACAACGTCAACGCGAGTATTCCCCAGTGATCGGTCTTGGCTCCAACACTGTTTCTCTTACATATCAACGACCTCCTTTCCTGCACGATCAACCCAATCCACAGCTTCGCTAATGACAGCACTCTACATGCAGGAATTCAGAGTGACAAGCCGATCTCTGCCGCTGAGCTGGAAAAAAAGAAGACTAGCGACGACTTCTTCTCTGACAAGAGACCTGGAGGCTATCACTGCTTGGGGACGCAACAATCTTGTACAGTTCAATGCTTCCAAAACACAGTACTGTACCTTGACGAACAAAAAGCGTCCTAGCGCTCATACAGTTTCGATGGACGGTCGAGTTCTACCAAAGAGCCATTCATTTCGGCTGGTCGGAGTCCAGATCACCGAGGACCTGATCTGGCACGAACACATCTCTTCAATAGCTGCAGCTGCTGGGAAAAAGCTAGGCTATTTGTTTAGGGCTAAGAAGTACTTTTCTCCGCATGACGTTCTCACTCTATACAAGGCCCAGATAAGGCCTAGCCTCGAGTATTGCTCACACATTTGGGGTGCTGCCGCCCCGACTACATTGTCCATGCTCGATGCTGTCCAGAGGAGGGCGGTCCGACTGATCGATGACTCTTCTCTAACAGACAGTCTCGGGACTCTTTCGCACCGGCGGGCCGTCGGCGATCTAGCTCTTTTCTATCGCTACACCAACGGGCTTTGCTCCTCAGAGCTCTCTTCCATGATGCCGCCGCGCGATGCGCCTGCCAGACAGACCCGCCTGACTTCGGCATCCCATCCTAACCGTGTCAAACTTCGTACATCCAGAACTGGCCGATACGACCGCTCCTTTGTCCCGAGGGTGTCTAGATTGTGGAACAATCTACGGGAGGAAGCTTTTCCCAGTTCTACTAACCTTAGGCAGTTCAAAAATCGTATTAACAAAATTTCTTTGGGATCATCATAGCAGCCGCGGTGTTCCGGCATTTAGGCTTCTGCCTGCGCGGCTGTTTCGATATAAAAAAAAAAAAATAATTCCACCTCGTTTCCTGTATTGTTCTACAATTTTATATTAAGCAAATTGTTCAAAATATACTACAAAATCAATGCATACACATAATTTTATATAAAGGAAGATAAACAAGAATAAAAGATATGCTAAATCAGTTAATGTGGAATGTGCTTCTAATAATTATATATATATAATAATTTTAGGATAAATGCAAGGAATACAAATTAATACTCATAACTGTGTCTGGCATTATCCATTGACATCTTGATACTTTTTCTTAGATAATTCGTCCAGGAATAGCTACTCAAGTTAGGATGGTGAGAATCAACAAAAAAATCTCCTATAAGCATGTTTAGTATGTTGGTGTACTTTGTTTTGTTATTTCAGTCGTGATATCTTCCAAATTTTGGTAGTTTTGATTTACCTTTATTTTCGCGTATAAGTTGGAGCATTTTGGGGTCGAAGTATTTTTATTTTGGTAGAATTAGCAGTAGTTTAGTTGATCATTCTTCCTTAAATATTTTATCGTATTATCTAGAATGATTTTTGTGTGTGTCGTTGGTCCATATTTATATCTAGTAGACAGTATATTGTAGATTGTTGTTATAGATAGACATAGTACACACTTCCTTTATCTTAGGATACATTTTCAGGGTCATATCCTTAAATTTTTACAATGTAAGCTCCATATTATTTATATTGTTCGAGTACATTTTTGCGTTGGATGTTTTTGAACACTTTACTGTCTGTGATGACACTAAGTAATGTTGAAGTTTGAATGAAAGAAGCTACAGTCAAGACAACAATTTGTAAAAGGAAAAATCCAACACCTTGGTTCTCACAGACGTTCTAGGATTCTAAGTTAAGAAGAGACTGCAGTTACAAAATGATTATGATTACTGGAACTGAAAATAATTGGCTAGGATACAAAAGATCAAAAAACTGGATTCAGGGAGAAACACGCAACTAGAGAGGACTGGAGGAGATGTATGGACTATATGAAACATACAGTGATAATGTTTTTGGACTTCAAAAGAGTGTTTGAAACTATTGATAAAGATAAATTGCTTCACTATGGATTTAAATGATCTGTAATCAGAATTCTACGAAAGTACTTAATTGACAGAAGTCAACAATCAAAATTGGATTAATTGAATTTAATAAACTAAATAGTCACGAGGGATGTCTTTTAAGTTTTGCACATGGAAATAAAACAACACGGTAGGTAGTTTTAAATGACTTTAATTGTTTTTCGAAGTATTCTCCACGAAGATTGATACACATCTACATGCGCTCGAATCAATTTTCGAAGCACTTATTCCAACCATTTGCTGGCTATATGGAGGATGGTCCAATAATTCCACGTTTTCTTCCGTAAAATACTGCCTTGTTTTTTGGGCTGTGTGCGAGCTTGCATTGTCTTGGTGGAGGATGATTCTTCTTTCGGGGTTGTTCGAAGCTCGTTGATGACTTTTGGCAAACAAATGGTGGAATACCAATCCGCAGTAACAATTCTTTGCTCATTACGAGGAATTGTTGCAATATGACCCGATTTTGACACAAATGTCGCGACCATCTTTTTCGAAACACTTCGAGAACGGATGACTTTTGTTGGCTTTTCTTCACCTTGGAACACCCAAACAGCCGACTGTCGTTTACTTTCTGGTTCATAACAGTAAATCCACGATTCATCACCACCAACAATGCTGTATATCGTCGGTGATACTGCAATATGTCGTATGTCGAAAAGAGGTAATTTTTCAGGAGAGAAAGAAAACTGTTTTTATCGACCAATTTTAAATTTGAAATTGCTATTTTTTGTCTACTATGTATTTTTCTATTAGGGTATTAGTACTTAACTCGATTTTTTTGTTCAATGGAATATTAAGCAAAATGCCGTTACATACGACATATTGCATTGAAAATGGAAATATTTATGTCACATACGACAATTTTGTAATCCATTATACATCTCACAAAAATAATTTTTAACAGTTCTATTCTTTTTATTTACGTAATGAAAAACTAAACAAAAAATTCTAAACAAATATGTAATCTTAAAATAAACAGGAAAGAATAAAATATATTAATTTTTGATATGTGAACAAACTTGGTCAGACTTGCAGCTGTGCTTTAAATTGTCATAAAATCCATGGTAATCTGATTCGATGACAGATTTCAATTCTTGAAGATGTATGAATTTTGTATCCTCAATTTGGCGAGGAGATAAATATAGAGGTTCGTGAGAGAAAGAAGTTCTAGTACGACATGGTCTACGTGGCAGTTCGAGCCATTCATCCGAAAAATTTATTTTGTATTTTATTAGTCCTTCAGGAAGATACTGCAATGCACAATTGTCTGTAACACAGGGATCACCTTTTTTGCTTCCAGGTCGAATTTGTGAATACATTCCTTTTTTGTATTGCAAAAAATCGTTGAAATGCAGAGACACTACTTTATAAGGGGATGGGTTTTGCCTGGCCGCTCTTATAATTTTATTATAATCGGCGGGAACAGCTATATCATTTCTTCTTCCCAGCTTTCTCTCTATTACACTATGGACTGAATCCACCTCCATCTGGGTATGTCCTACCTCCAGGTACTTTTGTTCAATAATAATATTTTTTTCCATGGCTATCTCCAGCAAACCATTTGACAAATTCACATTTCTGTTTTGGTAGGTACAACCGTCGCTCCATAGGATTATTACCTTCGGGCTCTGCCTTTCTATCTCTTCATTAAGAAACTTTACTAAAATGGAAACAAAAACATCGCTGTCTAAACCTCCATTTCCCTCGTGCCATAAATAACAAGACACATCTTTGTTATTAAGATTAAAAAATGTTTGGTTGTGAACCTTCAGTTTTTGTTTATAGTACATGGCGGAGGCTTGGGTAAAAGGACAAAGAAGAACAGCTTGTAAGTCCATAGTGTAGACATACTTTGAGTTTCCTGCCTCTGATGAGATAGCTTCTTGTTTGTCGTGCTCTTTTTCTGACCGTGCCTGTTCTTTCTTGGCAACGTGACTATCGTAATCTGCTTGACTTAAATTTCCCTTTTTAAACTTCACGCATGTGTTGCACTGGTCCTTACGAGGTGTATAAATTTCAAGATTTCTTGTCTTAAAAGTTTTATAGAAAAGTCTCCAAGAACAAGATCTTAGGTTTTGACGTTCACAATAGTTAATAAACTCACGATGCAAATGTCTGTAACTATTCCAAGTGGGTTCCAAATAAAGTTTCCTAGTGGATGCTCGACAGTAGTGCGATTCAACTTTAGGCAAGCTGTCTAAGAATTGATTAACATTTTTTGTGCATTCGGAATCCTGAGGTGGCTCTACTAAAGCCGGTTCAATACCTAGCTCCATATTTGGTAAACATTTGTTTAAAACCCATTCTCTTACACATCTTTCTCCAATACCTAAAGTGGCTAAAAACATTTTCTTGCATACGTGATATTTTTTGGTAGACTCTGGATTATCTTTAGTTATTAAATAATATTTAAACCCTGTTTTCTTTCGAGACTCTTCTTCTGCAGTGTTTCGTCTTCTGTGTTTGGGCTGAGAGTGCAGTACAAGACTACTTACATAAATTTTTTTACCTTCCCAAGAACTAATTTCCCAAAAAGATTGAAATATTTGATTACGCATTTCATTTGTAATTTGCAAACATTCAAATTTTTGTTGTGGTCCCTTAGAGTCATTTTTGTGTCCCCCACATGACGGCTTTACTTTGCGCTGAACTCTACAGACTGTTTGCTGGTACTTGCCTCCAGTATTTTTCTGAAATCCCATGTATGCATGGCCTTTAAGTCTCGCTTGCGAATTTTTTGCTCGTTTCCATTGCGATGGATCTCTTTGCCCTTTACTCTTACGTTTTTTTGTTCTTCCATCCGGTGTCCGACGATCTTCTTGGTTTCCACCTCCTTGGTTTTCAACGTTTTCGTTTCCTAAACTATTTTCTGAGTCAGTATCTGTTGGCAGATACTCGCTGCCACTTTCCTGAAATGGATCTGGTTCTGAATGTCTTTCAGTATCTGAAGTTGCATCATGGACCTCTTCTTCATCTGCTACAACTTCTTCCTGATAGTCAATTATTGGTACAATACCACTATCAGAATCTGTGTTTTGTTCCAAATAATATAACTTTTCATCAGTTTTGGAATACGATGTTTCTTTTGGGATTTCTGCCACTTCTAGGACTGTTAAAATTGGATTATCTACCAATTCTGCATTTCCTAATAGATCTTGAACTGACACTTGAACCATGCTCTCTGTTCTTTGAGGATCTGATGCATCGTTCAATTGGGTCGCAAAATTGTTAATGTTATCGTCTTTGGGCACTTGGTGAGAGGCTACTGCACTAGATGCTGAATTTCGAGCTAGTTCCACCAACAGTCGCGCTCTGTTTGACATTATGGATTCACTGAAAATAAAAAAAAACAAAGATGCAATATGTTGTATGTCAATACTTAACAAACAGAAATAATACTAAATAAAAGCTAAATTTGGAATGTAAAATATCGTATGTCACACAGTGTTCAAAAAAATCGATTAATTACTACAATAAATCATATCATTAAAGAGAAAAGGAATAAATAACCTACGTGAATTTTACTTGCCGTTTTGATATAATATATTTATTCAGAAAAAATTAAGGTTATACAAAATAATATTGTTGTTTTTTTTTTGTTAATTATGGTATTTCTTGACTAAAAACTACAAACACTACGTTTTTGTAGTTTAAATTAAGAAAATAACAACAAACTCACCATGTAAACTCAAAAAACTATCACAAAACTCACATTTAGTTGTTACTGACACGTTACTGCTTGCAGCTAACCTAAAATGTATAATAATTTAAGTGACATACGACGTATCGAAATATCCAATTGTGTAGCGTTACGACATAGACGGAGAGCATGATTCTGACATACGGCATATTGAAGTATCCAGTTTTGTCAAGAAAAACATACGACATATTTGTATGTGTAAACAATCAGGGTACCTGTTCAAATTTCATATACAACATTTTGCAGGGGCATAGAGGACTGTATTTTGGTTACAATGGATATATAAACAAAAAATTGCAATTTTTGTGACATACGACATATTGCAGTATCACCGACGATATCTGAAGTCACTTGAAATAGCATAAAAACCTTTGGTCGGCGCGTCCTTTGTAATTTCATGACGTATCATAGGCGTGCGGCCATTTATTTAGAACGATAATAATAATGTTTTTATATCACAATAAATGGATTTTACTATCTTCTTATTTTGTTGATTTGGGATAAAAAATACTTATATTGGGAGTTTAATTTATGTTGACTGAAAGTTAAGAAATGGAAAAATTACAGAATTCCAACGTTTGACATAGGCAAATATTTACATAGCAGGTAGGTATATAAAAAGGTATATAAAGACTTACATTATAGGTATTTATATATCATCCTCGCCTTCGGAGCTGTCGCTAGAATCATCTTGTAGAGGAATTACAACGGGATTTACAGGAGGCAAAACACAATATTCATTTTCTTTTTCAATAATATGCCTAGAACACTGCTTCCATAGGTCTGTGGCAGTAATATGAGATACTGCATCTCTTATTGTGGCCAATAGCGATTCACTTAATTGAGGGGTCTGATTATGTTTTCTTACTTTTTTTTTTTAAGCAGCCCAGACCAACTCAATCGGGTTAAAAATGCAGTAATATGGAGGTAGACGTAATACTTCATGGCCATTTTGCTGAAGCAGATTGTCAACAACATACTCTTTTTCAAATTTTTGTCTTTTAATAAGATCCAATAATATGGCTTTGGTTGATTTTTGTGGTATTTCCATTCCCTTATCCTTCATGTCTTGTTTTTTTGTGCCTGTATTCGGAATTTTGTTTTTCTGTCGGGAATGGCATGGCGCATTGTCCATAATAATCACTGAATTTGGGGAAATGTTTGGTATTAACTGCTGCTCTATCCACTTTTCAAATAAGTCGGAGGTCATGTCCTCATGATAGTCGGCACATGATTCTTTGATATTTTTGGCAGATAACAGCAAGGCATTAGGTATAAATCCATTTTCACTGCCAGCTTGGAGAATAATGATTCGTTTTCCACGGTTGCATGGTGCATTTAAAATGCACTTGTTGCTGTCGTCAACCCAGCCGTACTGCACAACATCATGGGTATCATACCACGTTTCATACAGGTAAATCAGATTTCTTTTCTGCTCTCTATAGATTTTAACTTTGTGCAAAAATTCTTGGCGCAATTCAACGATTCGAGACGACTCCATAATCACCATTCTTTTATCTAATATTTTGTATTGAAAACCACACAGTTTTACAATACAGTGCACTGAGTCTAAGCATTTGTAATTATAAAAATCTTCAGGATAATCTTTTAATTTATCCCGTATCATTTTCAACGTGGGCACCAAATTTTCTTTATAAAATCCGTATATTATACGACGAATATCTTCCTGAAAACCCACGTCTATTCTTTTTAATTTTTGCCCTATGCGCTTTCTGTGGAAGGAATGGTTGACTACATCTCCCCTTTTTATAACCCGATAAATGGTAGACCGACTGATTTTTGTCAGGATACAAATTCTGTTTAAAATTTGATTTTGCGAGGAATCTGGATTTTAGTTTTTCAAACAATCATACATATTTAGGATTACTCTTTGGGTCTGTTCCTCTAAATCTTTATGAAAGAATTCTGCCTGCACAGGTTCATCAACCATCTCCTCGTGGCTTGGAGCATTTTCCCAAGGTCTCCAAAGAGCCATATTTAGGACACACAAGAACAATCAACACAACAATTAAATCAACGAGTAAACTGAGTATTCAAAAGTCAAAAACACACAAGCTAATAAAATCTATGAAAAAACACGGACAGATTAAAGAAAACACGTTTATTCACCGCTACACGGCACTGGCTAAACTGTTTCAATTTTCAGTAGCCACCTGCACTTGTTCGGAGCTCTGAAATACACGCTTTCTCATTGGCTATGTCCACGCATAGGCTTGCTTTACTCCACGTGGACCGGTGAAACTGCCTTTGGTCTTATACGGGGGATATTTGCTGCGGAATTTGGCGATTTTTGCAGCAACAGAGCGTGTTAAATATAGATATATAAAACGCACCCGGTATTTCACAGTGTTTCAAGTGACTTCAGATAAACTATACACATTTTTTGAGTTTCCGGAAGTGAAACTGCTCTTCAGTCAACAGGTGGGGTATCCAACGAGAAACTGATTTTCTTACTCCTAATTCTTTATGTAAAATTTTTTCAATTGAGGTCTTTGAGATCTTCAAGGACGCCTCAATCTCGCGATATGTCACATGTCTATCTTCTATGATGAGTTTGCGCACAGCATCGACGTTTTCCTGGGTGACTGCCATTTTTGGTACAGCCACCCTGGAATCGTCGCTAAGTCTCACCCGTACATGTTTGAATTCTCCATACCAACGGCAAATTGTCGACTGATGTGGCGCTTCCTTGCCGAAAACAGACAGTAACTCAGCAAAGCGTTCTTGTTGTGATAATTGTCTCTGAAAGTTGTAATAAATTATGGCGCGAAAATGTTCTCCCATTTTTCTAATGACTTGGGGATACTTAAAAATTCACTGTAGTGAGAACACTGCACGTATTGCCGTGAAACTTTGAATTTAAGTTTACCAAAGAGTGAGGTTAAGATTCAGTACTGACTATCGATCCGCGCGGCCTACTGTGTTTCTATATGCAAAACTTAAAAGACATCCCTCGTATATAAAGTCGACTTGTAATTGAAAGATGTTTAAAAGAAGATTAAAGGAATATTTCGCGAACTGTGTACATTCTTAGAGATGCAAATATTGTTTTTCTAAATATTTATGGGTTATGTAATTGTAGTAGTTTCTCAAAAGAATGTAATTGTAGGAGTCATGCTAAATAAAGCTTAAACAAACTTTGTAGGCGGTACGTCCTGGTCTGGCTAACCAGGTGAGGATAGTGGGGGCCCCCGGAGCGACGACCGCAGTGAATCGGCCAGGTCAGCAGGTGATCCAGCAACGGATGGTGGCCCCCGTTCGGACCGCAGCGCCGGCCGGGGTCGCAACGACTGTTCCTATCTCCCAAATGCAGGTAATTATTCGTGAAAGAGACCTGATCGATTTTTTTTATCCATAATCACTGTGGTTGTATGCCTTGGTTTAAAACGCCCCGAATTGTATCAAGATATTGTATTTCAAAAAAACTGACTACAAAAGCAGGAGTGCCTCAAGGATCAGCACTAGGTCCGATCCTTTTAGTTTATATTAACGATATAATAAATTCTAAATGCATATCCAAATAATCAAGGATTTTGTTCGTCGAATGCATATATCAGAAATAATAAAGGTCCTAACACAGATCCTTGAGGCACGCGTGAAGGAATTGCAGTCATGAGAAAATTTTTAATCAGTACAACCACGTTAAGCCGTTTCTTTCAAATAAACGTTTCGTAATGCCTTGCAGGTGGTCCGACCTCAGCAGCAGCAACAGCAACAAACCATTCAACCGCCCGCTTTGCACCCCGTTTTTGCGAACAGCGGCGGGCAGCCCGTCGTACGGGCAGCTGCCGGGGGCATCATTCGACAGCCCGTTCAAGTCCGGACTGTAGGTCCAGGCGCAGTTATCGCACCACGACCGCATCAGGTGGGAAAACTGTATTCCATTACGGTGATAGTAGTTCGGACGTAACAGTAGTAGTTCAAATGCACCATTAGCAGTTTAAAAAAATATTAGTTCAAAGTTAACATCAGTAGTTCAAATGCACCATTACTAGTTCACATACACCATTAGTAGTGCAAAGGTAACATTAGTAGTTCAAATGCGCCATTAGTATACCAAGTGACATATAAATCCGAACACCCAGTTTAAATGGTTTTATTTTAATAAAAGTTGGTGAATGTATTTATCTTACTGTAAATAACAAGCGAAAAAATGTTCAGCCTTATCAGTTGGACATTCCGGTTTTTATACTGCTTTTTTTTTAATTCACTAACGCTCTAAAAATGAATATTTCAGCCGCAGTAAAGAATCAACGTTGGCGGATTTTGGTTCTTGACATCCTTTACGATCGGTTACGATGCCTAGAGTACGGAGACCTGTACGATTTCGTCGACTTAGTGAGTTTGATAGGGGCCGTATAGTGGGACTTCGGAAAGCTGGACTTTCTTTTCGGACAATTGCAGTTAGAGTGCAAAGAAGTGTAGACACTGTGGTTAGGTGTCGTCAGGCATGGCTTCGAGAAGGCCGTACGCAAAGAGCAAGGGGCACTGGACGCCGCCGTGGAACTACAGGCCGCGAAGATCGCCGCCTAAGATTATTGGCCTTAAGAGACCGTTTCTCCACTACCAAGTCCATTGCAAATGAATGGTTTGCAGAACACGGAAGACCTATTGGCATGCGAAGTGTTTACCGACGAATAAGAAGTTTTGGCTTGTTTTCATACCGGCCACACTGGGTCCTCCCTTTAACTCGAGAACACCGACGTAATCGCCTTGAGTGGTGCAGACAACGGTCACTCTGGGATCAGGAATGGAACAGTATTGTCTTTAGTGACGAGTCTTGATTTTGTTTAGGCATGCACGATGTTCGTGCCAGGGTTAGAAGGCGACGTGGGGAAAGGAGGAATCCACATTTTTGTGTTGAAAGACATGTTCATCACACTGTTGGAGTTATGGTTTGGGGTGCTATAGCTTATGGTTCCAGGTCACCTTTAATCTTCATCAGAGGTAACATGAACGCGCAGCGTTATATCCACCAAGTTCTAGTACCCCATCTTTTACCCTATCTTGACACCCTGGCAGATCCAACTTTCCAACAAGATAATGCCCGACCTCATGTTGCAAGAGTCACAATAGACTTCTTTCAACATAATGATGTCACATTGTTACCATGGCCACCAAGATCGCCCGACTTATCCCCAATTGAGCACGTGTGGGATATGATGGGTAGGAGATTGCTCAATTTGCAACGTCCTCCTCAGACTCTAGAAGCACTTCTAGAGGAGTTGGTGGTTGCCTGGAATGAGATACCACAGGAGGACTTTGACCACCTGATCAGAAGCATGCCTAGGCGCGTTGCACATCAGGGTGCATCCACACATTATTAAAGGTCAAAGGGCTTTAAAGCAGCGCAATGATTTTGAAAATTTTATCATTTACTTATTATGCTTCATTAAGTACTTATAAAAAATTTTATTAAAATAAAACCATTTAAACTGGGTGTTCGGATTTATATGTCACTTAGTATAGTTCAAATGCGCCATTAGTAGTTCAAATGCGCCATTAGTAGTTCAAATGCGCCATTAGTAGTGCAAACGAACCATTAGTAGTTCAAATGCGCCATTAGTAGTTCAAATGCGCCATTAGTAGTGCAAACGAACCATTAGTAGTTCAAATGCACCGTTAGTAGTTCAAATACACCATTAGTAGTTCAAATGCACCCGTAACAGTTCAAATGCACCAGTAATAGTTCAAAGGTAACATTAGTAGTTCGAATGCACCATTAGTTGCTACTTTTCCATAATGACCTGCTGATAATCTCGAATGCTGACAGTGGACCTAATCAGTGCATTGTGTAGCTAAGCATCGCAATATTAATTTGTTTGGATCAATGTATTTATCAATGCTTCTGATATTTAGAAATTTCTTGTTGGTAGTAACTGTGCAATCCAGACATTAGTAGTTCAAATGTAACATTTAATATTCAAATGTAACATTGGTTGGTTCTTTCCAACAATGACTTTCTGATAACGTTAATAATTCGAACGTATCATGTGTCGGTAGCAGTTTTCGTTCTGACAATGTGCCAGGTCAGTTCATCGCGTAGCTAGAAATCACCATATCATTCATTTGCTTGGATGGAAGTATTTGACAGACCCTGATAAAATTTCTCGTAACCGATTCAAAAGTAACATTAGCTGGTCCTTTTATTACCATTACCAGTAGTTCGAACGTATCCGCATTTCAAACATACCAGTAGTTCAAATGCATCAGTACTTCAATTGTGCGTGTAGTTCAAATGCACCAGTAGTTCAAATATGTCGGTATGTTGGCATCTCCCGGAGAAGATTAAAACTCCGGCAATTTTCTTTTTAGCTGCAAATCCGGCAGGTGGCGCCTGCGATATCCCCGGCCACTCACAAAGCGGCCGCCCCTCCCAGTCGCCCGATGCCTGCGCCGAAGGGGGCGGGCCAACCGACAGGCAAACAGCAGCTCAAGGACAAGGAAAAGAAGACGTTTCAATCGGCGGCAGCCGCTGCGGCAGGTAAATATGCTCCTCAGATCAGAAACTATATAAATGGACGATATAAAATAACCTAGTTTCTTTTGTAACCTCCTTCCAAAGACAGCTCAGATTCATATACGATTTAGATTCTGCGTTCTTGATGACTTTGACACGGCATCGAATCTATTAGGATTTTTTTCGAAATACAAATGCTTTGCCTACCTTTAGTAAAACTATTCCTTAAGCTAACTCGAAACATTGTTCTATTTTTCTACTTGAGCGCTATCGTATTTTCAGCTGCAGCTTCTGCGTCAGCTGCGTACGGCGGAGATGACGATATCAACGACGTCGCTGCCATGGGTGGTGTCAATTTAGCAGAAGAAACGCAGAAAATTCTGGGATCTACCGAATTCGTAGGCACTCAAATACGCTCCTGTAAAGAAGAACCTATTTGCCTGATGCAACCCTTGCAACAGGTAAGATTTTACATCTACCTGTACATCAACTAACGCCCTGTGACCTAAATGGTACAGGTGAGTTCAAATGAGGACGTAACGACCTCGTCTAGGACTGGTTGAGGGGATAGTGGACAAAGAGCGGAGTAGCTATCATTTAAGCCTTCACTGATTTTTTTTTTTTTTTTTAGAAAATTCGTTCGGCTGTTCAAAAATACGGTTTGGACGATCCGACGACGATAGACGTGGCGGCATGCGTGTCGCACGCGGCTCAAGAGCGACTGAAAAACCTGCTGGAAAAACTGGCGATCATCACCGAGCACAGATTGGAAAACGTGCGTACCGATAATCGGTACGAAGTCACCAATGATGTTAAAGGTAACATTACAAATCATAAGCTTCGTCGTTTTTTATGTAAAAGATAACGATTTTGAAAAATATCTTTATTCGTCGTTATTCTGTAGGATGAGAGAAAATTTCCTCATCCCGAATAAACTAAAAGAGTTCGTTTTTTGCATTGTTATTTGACAGTCCCTTAGTCAACTTTCTTGTTGGAACTAACTGAACAGTAGAAACGTGCCATTTGTAGTTAAAACGTAACAGTAGTTCAAATGCACCATTAGTAGTTCAAACGTAACATTAATAGGTTTTCAGCAATGATTTTCTGACATTTCCTTAAGACTAGTCTGCCCATAAGAAACCAAAAGAGTCTGTTTGCATTGTTGATAGCCCCTCATAGGCAAATTTCTTATTGGGAGGAACGGAGTAGTTCAAACGCAATATTTGTAGTTTTAACGTATCACTAGTAGTTCGAACGGAACGTTAATAGTTCAAACGTAACATTAGTAGGTTCTTTTCAACAATGATTTTCTGACATTTCCTTAAGACTAGTCTGCCCATAAGAAACCAAAAGAGTCTGTTTGCATTGTTGATAGCCCCTCATAGGCAAATTTCTTATTGGGAGGAACGAAGTAGTTCAAACGCAATATTTGTAGTTTTAACTTATCACTAGTAGTTCGAACGTAACGTTAATATTTCAAACGTAACATTATTAGGTTCTTTTCAGCAATGATTTTCTGACATTTCCTTAAGACTAGTCTGCCCATAAGAAACCAAAAGAGTCTGTTTGCATTGTTTATAGCCCCTCATAGGCAAATTTCCTATTGGGAGGAACGGAGTAGTTCAAACGCAACATTTGTAGTTTAAACGTATCACTAATAGATCGAACGTAACGTTAATAGTTCAAACGTAACATTGATAGGTTCTTTTCAACAATGATTTTCTGACATTTCCTTAAGACTAGTCTGCCCATAAGAAACCAAAAGAGTCTGCTTACATTGTTGATAGCCCCTCATAGTCAAATTTCTTATTGGAAGGAACAGAGTAGTTCAAACGCAACATTTGTAGTCTAAACGTATCACTAGTAGTTCAAACGTAACGTTAATAGTTCAAACGTAACATTAATAGGTTCTTTTGAGCAATGATTTTCTGACATTTCCCTAAGACTAGTCTGTCCATAAGAAACCAAAAGAGTCTGTTTGCATTGTTGATAGCTCCTCATAGTCAAATTTCTTATTGGAAGGAACAGAGTAGTTCAAACGCAACATTTGTAGTCTAAACGTATCACTAGTAGTTCAAACGTAACGGTAATAGTTCACACGTAACATTAATAGGTTCTTTTCAGCAATGATTTTCTGACATTTCCCTAAGGCTAGTCTGTCCATAAGAAACCAAAAGAGTCTGTTTGCAGTGTTGATAGCCTCTCATAGTCAAATTTCTTATTGGAAGAAACAGAGTAGTTCAAACGCAACATTTGTAGTTTAAACGTAGTTAACTAGTAGTTTAAACGTAACGTTAATAGTTCAAACGTAACATTAATAGGTTCTTTTCAGCAATGATTTTATGACATTTCCTTAAGACTAGTCTGCCCATAAGAAACCAAAAGAGTCTGTTTGCATTGTTGATAGCCCCTCATAGGCAAATTTCTTATTGGGAGGAACGGAGTAGTTCAAACGCAATATTTGTAGTTTTAACGTATCACTAGTAGTTCGAACGGAACGTTAATAGTTCAAACGTAACATTAGTAGGTTCTTTTCAACAATGATTTTCTGACATTTCCTTAAGACTAGTCTGCCCATAAGAAACCAAAAGAGTCTGTTTGCATTGTTGATAGCTCCTCATAGTCAAATTTCTTATTGGAAGGAACAGAGTAGTTCAAACGCAACATTTGTAGTCTAAACGTATCACTAGTAGTTCAAACGTAACGGTAATAGTTCACACGTAACATTAATAGGTTCTTTTCAGCAATGATTTTCTGACATTTCCCTAAGGCTAGTCTGTCCATAAGAAACCAAAAGAGTCTGTTTGCAGTGTTGATAGCCTCTCATAGTCAAATTTCTTATTGGAAGAAACAGAGTAGTTCAAACGCAACATTTGTAGTTTAAACGTAGTTAACTAGTAGTTTAAACGTAACGTTAATAGTTCAAACGTAACATTAATAGGTTCTTTTCAGCAATGATTTTCTGACATTTCCTTAAGACTAGTCTGCCCATAAGAAACCAAAAGAGTCTGTTTGCATTGTTGATAGCCCCTCATAGGCAAATTTCTTATTGGGAGGAACGGAGTAGTTCAAACGCAATATTTGTAGTTTTAACGTATCACTAGTAGTTCGAACGGAACGTTAATAGTTCAAACGTAACATTAGTAGGTTCTTTTCAACAATGATTTTCTGACATTTCCTTAAGACTAGTCTGCCCATAAGAAACCAAAAGAGTCTGTTTGCATTGTTGATAGCCCCTCATAGGCAAATTTCTTATTGGGAGGAACGAAGTAGTTCAAACGCAATATTTGTAGTTTTAACTTATCACTAGTAGTTCGAACGTAACGTTAATATTTCAAACGTAACATTATTAGGTTCTTTTCAGCAATGATTTTCTGACATTTCCTTAAGACTAGTCTGCCCATAAGAAACCAAAAGAGTCTGTTTGCATTGTTTATAGCCCCTCATAGGCAAATTTCCTATTGGGAGGAACGGAGTAGTTCAAACGCAACATTTGTAGTTTAAACGTATCACTAATAGATCGAACGTAACGTTAATAGTTCAAACGTAACATTGATAGGTTCTTTTCAACAATGATTTTCTGACATTTCCTTAAGACTAGTCTGCCCATAAGAAACCAAAAGAGTCTGCTTACATTGTTGATAGCCCCTCATAGTCAAATTTCTTATTGGAAGGAACAGAGTAGTTCAAACGCAACATTTGTAGTCTAAACGTATCACTAGTAGTTCAAACGTAACGTTAATAGTTCAAACGTAACATTAATAGGTTCTTTTGAGCAATGATTTTCTGACATTTCCCTAAGACTAGTCTGTCCATAAGAAACCAAAAGAGTCTGTTTGCATTGTTGATAGCTCCTCATAGTCAAATTTCTTATTGGAAGGAACAGAGTAGTTCAAACGCAACATTTGTAGTCTAAACGTATCACTAGTAGTTCAAACGTAACGGTAATAGTTCACACGTAACATTAATAGGTTCTTTTCAGCAATGATTTTCTGACATTTCCCTAAGGCTAGTCTGTCCATAAGAAACCAAAAGAGTCTGTTTGCAGTGTTGATAGCCTCTCATAGTCAAATTTCTTATTGGAAGAAACAGAGTAGTTCAAACGCAACATTTGTAGTTTAAACGTAGTTAACTAGTAGTTTAAACGTAACGTTAATAGTTCAAACGTAACATTAATAGGTTCTTTTCAGCAATGATTTTATGACATTTCCTTAAGACTAGTCTGCCCATAAGAAACCAAAAGAGTCTGTTTGCATTGTTGATAGCCCCTCATAGGCAAATTTCTTATTGGGAGGAACGGAGTAGTTCAAACGCAATATTTGTAGTTTTAACGTATCACTAGTAGTTCGAACGGAACGTTAATAGTTCAAACGTAACATTAGTAGGTTCTTTTCAACAATGATTTTCTGACATTTCCTTAAGACTAGTCTGCCCATAAGAAACCAAAAGAGTCTGTTTGCATTGTTGATAGCTCCTCATAGTCAAATTTCTTATTGGAAGGAACAGAGTAGTTCAAACGCAACATTTGTAGTCTAAACGTATCACTAGTAGTTCAAACGTAACGGTAATAGTTCACACGTAACATTAATAGGTTCTTTTCAGCAATGATTTTCTGACATTTCCCTAAGGCTAGTCTGTCCATAAGAAACCAAAAGAGTCTGTTTGCAGTGTTGATAGCCTCTCATAGTCAAATTTCTTATTGGAAGAAACAGAGTAGTTCAAACGCAACATTTGTAGTTTAAACGTAGTTAACTAGTAGTTTAAACGTAACGTTAATAGTTCAAACGTAACATTAATAGGTTCTTTTCAGCAATGATTTTCTGACATTTCCTTAAGACTAGTCTGCCCATAAGAAACCAAAAGAGTCTGTTTGCATTGTTGATAGCCCCTCATAGGCAAATTTCTTATTGGGAGGAACGGAGTAGTTCAAACGCAATATTTGTAGTTTTAACGTATCACTAGTAGTTCGAACGGAACGTTAATAGTTCAAACGTAACATTAGTAGGTTCTTTTCAACAATGATTTTCTGACATTTCCTTAAGACTAGTCTGCCCATAAGAAACCAAAAGAGTCTGTTTGCATTGTTGATAGCCCCTCATAGGCAAATTTCTTATTGGGAGGAACGAAGTAGTTCAAACGCAATATTTGTAGTTTTAACTTATCACTAGTAGTTCGAACGTAACGTTAATATTTCAAACGTAACATTATTAGGTTCTTTTCAGCAATGATTTTCTGACATTTCCTTAAGACTAGTCTGCCCATAAGAAACCAAAAGAGTCTGTTTGCATTGTTTATAGCCCCTCATAGGCAAATTTCCTATTGGGAGGAACGGAGTAGTTCAAACGCAACATTTGTAGTTTAAACGTATCACTAATAGATCGAACGTAACGTTAATAGTTCAAACGTAACATTGATAGGTTCTTTTCAACAATGATTTTCTGACATTTCCTTAAGACTAGTCTGCCCATAAGAAACCAAAAGAGTCTGCTTACATTGTTGATAGCCCCTCATAGTCAAATTTCTTATTGGAAGGAACAGAGTAGTTCAAACGCAACATTTGTAGTCTAAACGTATCACTAGTAGTTCAAACGTAACGTTAATAGTTCAAACGTAACATTAATAGGTTCTTTTGAGCAATGATTTTCTGACATTTCCCTAAGACTAGTCTGTCCATAAGAAACCAAAAGAGTCTGTTTGCATTGTTGATAGCTCCTCATAGTCAAATTTCTTATTGGAAGGAACAGAGTAGTTCAAACGCAACATTTGTAGTCTAAACGTATCACTAGTAGTTCAAACGTAACGGTAATAGTTCACACGTAACATTAATAGGTTCTTTTCAGCAATGATTTTCTGACATTTCCCTAAGGCTAGTCTGTCCATAAGAAACCAAAAGAGTCTGTTTGCAGTGTTGATAGCCTCTCATAGTCAAATTTCTTATTGGAAGAAACAGAGTAGTTCAAACGCAACATTTGTAGTTTAAACGTAGTTAACTAGTAGTTTAAACGTAACGTTAATAGTTCAAACGTAACATTAATAGGTTCTTTTCAGCAATGATTTTATGACATTTCCTTAAGACTAGTCTGCCCATAAGAAACCAAAAGAGTCTGTTTGCATTGTTTATAGCCCCTCATAGGCAAATTTCTTATTGGGAGGAACAGAGTAGTTCAAACGCAACATTTGTAGTCTAAACGTATCACTAGTAGTTCAAACGTAACGTTAATAGTTCAAACGTAACATTAATAGGTTCTTTTCAGCAATGATTTTATGACATTTCCTTAAGACTAGTCTGTCCATAAGAAGCCAAAAGAGTCTGTTTGCATTGTTGATAGCCCCTCATAGTCAAATTTCTTATTGGAACAGAGTAGTTCAAATGCAACATTTGTAGTTTAAACGTATCACTAGTAGTTCAGACGTAACGTTAATAGTTCAAACGTAACATTAATAGGTTCTTTTCAGCAATGATTTTCTAACATTTCCCTAAGACTAGTGTGTCCATAAGAAACCAAAATAGTCTGTTTGCATTGTTGATAGCCCCTCATAGTCAAATTTCTTATTGGAAGGAACAGAGTAGTTCAAATGCAACATTTGTAGTTTAAACGTATCACTAGTAGTTCAAACGTAACGTTAATAGTTCAAACGTAACATTAATAGGTTCTTTACAGCAATGATTTTCTGACATTTCCCTAAAACTAGTCTGTCCATAAGAAACCAAAAGAGTCTGTTTGCATTGTTGATAGCCCCTCATAGTCAAATTTCTTATTGGAAGGAACAGAGTAGTTTACGCGCAACATTTGTAGTCTAAACGTATCACTAGTAGTTCAAACGTAACGTTAATAGTTCAAACGTAACATTAATAGGTTCTTTTCAGCAATGATTTTTTGACATTTCCTTAAGACTAGTCTGTCCATAAGAAACCAAAAGAGTCTGTTTGCATTGTTGATAGCCCCTCATAGTCAAATTTCTTATTGGAAGGAACAGAGTAGTTTAAACGCAACATTTGTAGTCTAAACGTATCACTAGTAGTTCAAACGTAACGTTAATAGTTCAAACGTAACATTAATAGGTTCTTTTCAGCAATGATTTTCTGACATTTCCCTAAGACTGTCCATAAGAAACCAAAAGAGTCTGTTTGCATTGTTGATGGCCCCTCATAGTCAAATTTCTTATTGGGAGGAACAGAGTAGTTCAAACGCAACATTTGTAGTTTAAACGTATCACTAGTAGTTCAAACGTAACGTTAATAGTTCAAACGTAACATTAATAGGTTCTTTTCAGCAATGATTTTATGACATTTCCTTAAGACTAGTCTGCCCATAAGAAACCAAAAGAGTCTGTTTGCATTGTTTATAGCCCCTCATAGGCAAATTTCTTATTGGGAGGAACAGAGTAGTTCAAACGCAACATTTGTAGTCTAAACGTATCACTAGTAGTTCAAACGTAACGTTAATAGTTCAAACGTAACATTAATAGGTTCTTTTCAGCAATGATTTTATGACATTTCCTTAAGACTAGTCTGTCCATAAGAAGCCAAAAGAGTCTGTTTGCATTGTTGATAGCCCCTCATAGTCAAATTTCTTATTGGAAGGAACAGAGTAGTTCAAACGCAACATTTGTAGTCTAACCGTATCACTAGTAGTTCAAACGTAACGTTAATAGTTCAAACGTAACATTAATAGGTTCTTTTCAGCAATGTTTTTCTGACATTTCCCTAAGACTAGTCTGTCCATAAGAAACCAAAAGAGTCTGTTTGCATTGTTGATAGCCCCTAATAGTCAAATTTCTTATTGGAAGGAACAGAGTAGTTCAAATGCAACATTTGTAGTTTAAACGTATCACTAGTAGTTCGAACGTAACGTTAATAGTTCAAACGTAACATTAATAGGTTCTTTTCAACAATGATTTTCTGACATTTCCTTAAGACTAGTCTGCCCATAAGAAACCAAAAGAGTCTGTTTGCATTGTTGATAGCACCTCATAGTCAAATTTCTTATAGGGAGGAACTGAGTAGTTCAAACGCAACATTAGTAGTTGAGAGAAAATTGTTATTTCCCTAACAAACTCAAAGAGTGTGTTCTTTGCATCCTGATCACTTTTTGAATTATTTTTTAAGGGTTTTAAAATTTTTGGTTGTAAATATTGCATCTTGGTTATAAATCACATCATTAAGTAGCTTCTGATACTGGCTAGCAGATATAACAGTCAGTAAAAATAGTAAAGGTGTGAGAAGTATGGAACCAATCTACTGGACGTCATTTTCTTGTGTGTTGAAGAGAATAAAGCGTATTATTGTGTGATTAGGTCAATTGAAATTTCTGGAGGACTTGGACAAGGCGGAGCGCAAAAGGCACGAAGAGACGGAACGAGAGTTACTTTTGCGTGCTGCGAAAAGCCGTTCGAAATCGGAGGATCCCGAACAGGCGAAGTTGAAGGCAAAAGCGAAAGAAATGCAACGGGTGGAAATGGAAGAGCTGAGACAGAGAGAAGCCAACGCGACAGCGTTACAGGTAAAAATATGCTTTTTTGAGTTATAGCATTGGATCGGTCTTTGCAAAACATTCATAAGCCTCGCAATAAAAAAAGTGTGTGCCAATTTGAAAATGTTCAAAGGGAAATTGTTTACATATTTCATAGAAAACCAAAACTCATAGTACTGAAGTTTCTACTGTCTAACATTGATATTGTAGCATTAAAGCTGAATAAATCCACAATAACAACAATCAGTTCGGAATTGTTTGTGAACACCGGCTGTATATTTATCGACTTTTTCTGCAGGCGATCGGCCCCAGAAAAAGACCGAAACTGGACGGAGACCATTCGTCCGGTCCCCAGACGAGCACCGGCCCGAACAGCACCCTCAGGGCTCAAATGCCCCTCAGACAACGGATGAAAAAAGTGACACTTAGAGACTTACAGTTTTTGTTCGAAACGGAAAAGGACCTGTGCAAAAGTAAACTGTTGTATAGATCGTACCTTAAGTGATGCACGAGTGAGGACTCGCAGCAGTTCGTTATTGTGTATATAATGTGGTAAGATTAAATGACTTAGATTACGTATGAAATAAGAGCGGAGACAGATGTTTCTATCGCCCTTATATACCAGCATCCTTGTCGAGTGAAAAATTGCAACGTTGTCGCAAATAGACTGCCTTCTGTAGGCGAAAGTACATGTGAAAATTGCCCCCAAAGGTTTCCAGATACTTGTGTTTTTTCAAATTAATTTTCCGCTGTCGTAGTTTTGCTCCAAGAATTTTGAAAAAATTCCCGGTGCCTCATTGTTCTGTACTATACAGGGTGTCCCAGAAGTCGATGTCAAGCCGAAACCGGGTGATAGGCAAAGTCATAACAGCTATCAAAAAAATATTTAAAAAAATTGTATGTATGTGTTTTGAAAATTATAGGTCTTTGAAAAAGATATAGAAATTTCACACCCTACAGCAGTCTGTCAACTCCTGTTACTACAAATATTAACTTTTTTTGGATTTTATTTTTACAACGTAATGATGAATAATGCATCTTCAAACTGGTGTCTCAACCTTACTGCCAACTTTTCTCGTTCAGGAAAAATTGCCACTTATTTCCCAACCAAGTATTCCAAAGTAAAACTTTGCTCAACTTTAACTGGCTGTACTGGAAAAAAATGTACTACGAGAGTTTGGCAAGTAACCTTAAAAGTTGGTGCATTTAATAAGGATTCCAAAATGGTATAACACTTAGAAGATTACTCGTTAACTTATGCACAATTTTTATTTGAAGAAAAACTGATTAAAATTTTTCAAAATTTCCTAATTAAACAGCGATTATGAAAACGCACAAGGACCCTCAAGGATAACTGTTTGCACAACAGTGGGCGTCAAAATGCTGCTGATGATGATTTACCTTTACAGCAAATGCTCAAACTGTTTTCCTTCAGCCGCAATACACGCTCGACATCTTCTTAAAAAAGATCGGGTTATTAAACGAGCGAATCCACGGTTATTAACAAACTCAGCTGCTTCCAATAGTCTTTGCCGTAGCTCAGCTACATTTTGAATCGGCTTGAAATACACTTTTTCTTTCACAGTTCCCCGGTAAAAAAATCTAAAGGATTCAAATCAGGTGATCGGGCTGGCCACGGTATTGTACCAGACCGCCCTATCCATCTGCCTGGAAAGTTTTGATCGAGATACTCTCTCACTGAGAGTGCATAGTGCGCTGGGCAGCCATCATGCTAAAACCACATGTCCCTGTAAATACTCAGTGGCACGTCCACCAATAAATTTTGTACATGTTTTTTCAAAAAATCCAAATAAACTTCAGCAGTCAAAGTCTCTGGGAACTCAAACGGACCGATTATTTTACCATTTAAAATTCCTATCCAATGGTTTATCTTGAAGGGATATTGAGATTTATCTTCTCTCATCAAATGTGGGTTTGCTACGTGCCACTCGTGTAAGTTATGCAGGTTCATGTACCCATCTTTCTTAAATGTGGTCTCATCCGACCATAAAATTTTTTCAAAGAACTGTGGATCTTTCCTGTGTCTTTCTAACATTGTGCGACAAAAAGCAACTCGGGGCTCATAATCCCGGTTCAGGAGAGGTTGAACACGCTGTATGTGGTAACGATGAAGCACATCACTTACTTGCTATTGCACACTTTGATACCGATCAGTTCGTGCGTTTACTGCGCATCTTTACATGTTCGTGCTTGTTGATTTCGTACTGTTACTAATTTTAGATTCGTGAACTGGACTGTTGATCGCTTTTGATTTGGATTTGGACTGTTTAATTGCTCTTCAAAACAACATTTGCTTCCCTTAGACTATCTTTGATAGTGTGATTGTGCAGCGCCGCTATGTCCGTGTACACCGTACAAGAATATGCTAACATGCACCTCATTTATGGGGAATGCAGATGCAACGCTAGTGCTGCAGCGAGACTTTTCTGTGAGAGGTTCACAAATGTGCACCGCTTACTGTTCTCAGAGGGCCAACTACCAAACCAATCACACGGTGAGAGAAGATCTTTCCTTCCTTACGAAGACGTGGTGCTAGGAGCTGTCGAAGAAGACCCGAGTACTTCAGTGCGTGCAATAGAACTAAAAACAGGTGTGCCCAAAAGTACAGCCCATAGAATCTTGTAAAAAAACGTGCTCCATCCATACCACGTACAGCGTGTTCAAGCTCTTCTGCCCTGGGATTATGAGCCCCGAGTTGCTTTTTGTCGCACAATGTTAGAAAGACACAGGGAAGATCCACGGTTCTTTGAAAAAATGTTATGGTCAGATGAGACCACATTTGTGAAAGATGGGTACATGAACCTGCATAACTTACACGAGTGGCACGTAGCAAACCCACATTTGATGAGAGAAGATAAATCTCAATATCGCTTCAAGATAAACCATTGGACAGGAATTTTAAATGGTAAAATAATCGGTCCGTTTGAGTTCCCAGAAACTTTGACTGCTGAGGTTTATTTAGGTTTTTTGCAAAATCATTTAGAAAATTTATTGGAGGACGTGCCACTGAGTATTTACAGGCATGATGGCTGCCCAGCGCACTATGCACTCTCAGTGAGAGAGTATCTCGATCAAAACTTTCCAGGCAGATGGATAGGGCGGTCTGGTACAATACCGTGGCCAGCCCGATCACCAGATTTGAATCCGTTAGATTTTTTTTTACTGGGGAACTGTAAAAGAAAAAGTGTATTTCAAGCCGATTCAAAATGTAGCTGAGCAACGGCAAAGACTATTGGAAGCAGCTGAGTTTGTTAATAACCGTGGATTCGCTCGTTTAATAACCCGATCTTTTTTAAGAAGATGTCGAGCGTGTATTGCGGCTGAAGGAATACAGTTTGAGCATTTGCTGTAAAGGTAAATCATCATCAGCAGCATTTTGACGCCCACTGTTGTGCAAACAGTTATCCTTAAGGGTCCTTGTGCGTTTTCATAATCGCTGTTTAATTAGGAAATTTTGAAAAATTTTCTTCAGTTTTTCTTCAAATAAAAATTGTGTATAAGTTAACGAGTAATCTTCTAAGTGTTATACCATTTTGGAATCCTTATTAAATGCGCCAACTTTTAAGGTTACTTGTCAAACTCTCGTAGTACATTTTTTTCCAGTACAGCAAGTTAAAGTTGAGCAAAGTTTTACTTTGGAATACTTGGTTGGGACATAAGTGGCAATTTTTCCTGAACGAGAAAAGTTGGCAGTAAGGTTGAGACACCAGTTTGAAGATGCATTATTCATCATTACATTGTAAAAATAAAAACCAAAAAAAGTTAATATTTGTAGTAACAGGAGTTCACAGACTGCCGTAGGGTGTGAAATTTCTATGTTTTTTTCAAAGACCTATAATTTTCAAAACACATACATAACATTTTTTTAAATATTTTTATGATAGCTGTTATGACTTTGCCTATCACCCGGTTTCGGCTTGACGTCGACTTCTGGGACACCTTGTATAAAAATGTTTTCGAAATAATCAAAAAAACTTCAATTTTAAGAGAAAAAGGTTTGTTACCTCAGGGCCGACCTATCAATCTGAAAAAAGTTCAATTCGGATTGATTCAGATTTGGATACATTTGAGGGTAATTTCCATATGTAGTTTAGCCTTTGATTCTATTGAGTGTTGAATGGAATTCTATGGAGTTTTACCATTGATCAACGTCCATTTTTATTCGGTATCTGAAGATTCCCAACTAAAACAGGCAACTAGAGAGGTCAAAATGGATCAAAAATATCACCGCCATCTATGAGACCATAGCTGAACCATACACATTCTTTTCAAAGTAGTTTTGTAAATTAAATTAATTTTTCTCTTTCGCCACCGTCTCGTAGATGGCGTTAGTAGAGTTCGTCAAATTTAAATTTGTGAATTTACGGATTTTATCGCTTAGGTGGTGGTATATAAGGGCTATATGAAACGTAAAAAATAATACACGTAAGTTCTTGAAAGGAATTTAAGTTTGGACACGTTCTATCAGTCTGACGATTGTGACATTTCCGGCTTTCGATACATTGATATTCGTTTTAAAAACTATCGCTCTCGAAGGTGTGTGGTTTCAGCAGGAATGAACCGCATGTCCCGTCGTTTGTAAATCACCGAGGCGTACAAAAAGAGATATGAATGATCATAACGCCATCTGCGGGGAAGTAGCGGAACACAAAACATTTTGGTTTCATAGCCATCCTGTGAAGCGTTTCCATGATATACAGGGCGACCCAAAAATACAGAAACTCGACCTAAATTTGTCAAAAAAGTGATGTCAAATGTCGCGCACGTCAGACTTTCAGATCTGCCCTCACTAAAAAACGATCACCAAATGTTTTGTATCAAATACAGCTTATTGCTAGTGTATTTCGCGTTCTGTCAGAGGACCAACTTCTGCAGAACGCGAAAGTGATTAGTTGTCTAGTAAGGTAACGGCAAATCTTATATAAATTTGTTATACATACTGTGGTAATATTTGTTACGCTGTAAGTTTTATAAAGTTGTGATTGAAACATCCGGATCACCTTCTTGAATACCTCGGGCTGACGTTGGATTGGTTTTTGTTTGAGTCGCATTATAAGCGTCGTTATCGATACGAAAAATCGAAAAAAATGCCAGCGCCCACACATTAATTTTTTCAGCATATTGCGAGTGTACCTCTCGATACAAACATGTGGATTCGACTCATTCCAGTATCGACAATAATGTCTACTTGGAGCACCTTACAAATAGAACGTACACTCATCCTAGAAACAAATATTAAATAACATATGCATTGTTGACTAAACGTTGGGACATTAATTTGCAAAACTCCAACCTGCTATCAAAATGGAGACTATTAAGTTTATGGACAAGTTTCATCTTGTACGGGTGAAATTTGTCTTTCAAAATTCTTTGTACTGTAAATCCTGAAAAAGTTGTCAGTCCACCAGTGCTTTGGGTGTTGTCAAGTGCTACATGTCCCAAAACTGCCATTTCTGCGGCTTAATTTTCTCGATGGCGATTACGGCGAATATTAGATACCGATCCAGTTTCCTCAAATTTTCTTATCGACTTACCCACTTATTTCAGTGCAAAAAGATTTTTTCAATTCGTCCTGTAATGCACACTCAAACACAAATCAATGTCAACAATGCCTATATCCTTTTAAAGTCGTGTGGACTAGAAGTGCACTATCTACCTCTATAAACCCATGGTTCGCTGCAGTCATTTTTATATTATTTTCGCTCTTCTTTCCTTTTGCTATCGTTCTTCATTCTCTCCTTTCCTTCGCTTTTTTTCTTAAAATTGTCTTGTTTCTGGGTTACCAGACCTGGCAGACTTACAAACTGACACTTTAACTCAAGAGCTAAGCTATTATTTTCTTTAAGAGATTCCTTACTTTGTTTTTATACGTCAAACTCTTGTCATAAATCCGTTTAATTTTGGTAAATAAATACAGGTTGTCAATATTTAAGGGGCGCATTTTTTGGTCCATTTTAAGAAAACTTGGTATTTCCTAAACGTCTTGATTTTGTTTGTTTATATATAATAACCGTGCATCATATTGAAAAAGTCAAGAATGATTTTTATTTTAAGAGGAAGCTGTGGCATACCATTAGTGTCAGCCAAAATTACATACGAACGCCACTGGTAGGTATTAAAAAACATGAAAAAATGCCTGTTGATACGTAGTACATAATTACGGATATTATAAATGATTTATTTTTGATTTTTACCATCCTGTATCTCAAAAATTAAGGCGTTTGGACATACGTTCATTTAAAGTTTTCTTCTTAAAATGAGCCGCAAAATCGCACCGTTAAGGATTCAGTTAGGAAACACCTTGGCGTTATCATAAAAATACCCATTCAAATGGTCAAGTGTATTCTTGATATGGCTTTATAGGGGTAGATGAATGTTATGACTTTGGACATATTATAAGATCAGCAAGGAACAATAGAGCCAGACAACTGGAAATTACAATGCTGCCAGGTAAAATAGGGCCACTTTGTATATAGTCCTCTTCCTATTGTAATTTTTATTGAGCCTAATATGAGATGTCTATTTCTCATGTAATGACAGTGTTGTATTTTTTTGTTTGGCTGTATTGTTTTATTAGCACCGGTGTATATGTTTATATATTGTGCCACTTTACTAACAGTGACAGATCTTGTCTTCGATGCTGGGTGATGTGTTTCCCAAAAAAAAAAAAGCTTTGAAAAGATTTTGAAACGTACAAGCTGAACTCAATATGCATGCGGAAATCTCTCGGAAACAAAGAAAGTACAGAGCCATTAGAATTTTTTTCTGGACGACACTGTATAGTTCAATATTCCTAATTTTTTATATAATAATGGCTCAGCGGTGCTATTTTTGGAAAAATGAGTCTTATCTGAAAAATATAACTCCAGTTCAGCATCAATAAAATAAGTTGCTTTTAAGTTTCAACCAACTCATGTCATTTCGGTTTTCAAGACCCTTTGAAAAAGTATAAAAACCTTCCGTTATTTTTCGAAGTGCTTTTTGCTTTGGAAATAATGCCATGGTTTTTATGATCATCCCGTATTTTTGTGAAACAAATCACCTTTGTATGTATTTTATTCTAAAGGATATCAGAAGAGGCGTGATGTAGACGCAAGTAGGGGGGGCTTTTAATGAAAACAAAAATTATATATATATTTTTTTGTATTCTGTATTATTTATAAATTAATTGTTAAAAAATAAAACAGTCTAGTAATATAACTGATCAGATTTTTATTGAATCACTGTATTACCTTAAGTTCCTTTCCATTTTATAATATTATGTAGTAAAACCGACTCATAAAAATGGATCGAGATGATTTATTTATATATTTCGTCGTATGAAGCGATTTTACTGATAAACTCAAGTTAGCAAGCCAGTACTTCTGACTTTTCGATCTGCTGTCGTAATGCATTTCATATCAGGACCAAGTGATTAACAGCGAAAAAGGGGCGTGGTCTCATAAAGTGGGTGTTACCTCTTAGTTCGCTCTCTTTCCACTACTAAAATTTTGTCTGGGACTGTGCCTGCCAGTATAGAAATGTCAACTGTTACTTTTTTTTGTTGAAAGGGTTTTTGGGTCCATTTTAAGAAGGCTAAAAACATCTTACTTTTGAGATACAGAGTGATAAAGTCTACAAAAATAAATCTTTTGGCGCGTCACAGACTTTTCCTAACAAAACAAATTGAAATGTGCATTTATGAGCAGTTTTGATCTTTTAAATTTTTTCAGCCGGACGCACGATTTTCAGCTAAAAATACAATTTTCTGCATTATGATATTTTCATATCAACGACATTGTTATGATCATGTAGAGAAACGGTTTTTATTTTTTGAAGCGAAAACCTGGCATCATATTGAAATAATCTAGAAATGATTTTCTTAGAACGATGTGGGACTCGAGAATGATTTTTATTTTAAGAGAAAGCAGTGACGTACCATCAATGTTCGCCAAAATTCAGTACGAACGCCACTGGAGGATATTCAAAAAAAAATGTGGTACATTAAAAGATGCCTCTTGATACGTAGTACATGTGTGCCAAATTATTTATGTGAAACAAATTACCTTTGTATGTATTTTATTCTAAAAGATATCCAAAGAGAGGTAATATAGATGCAAGTAAGGGGGCTTTTAATGAAAAAAGTCTAGTAATATAATTGTCAGGTTTTTATTAAATCAAATCCTCCTCCCCCCCCCTGGGACCTCCTAGCTTACGTCACGCAACTGTGGAGTAAACTCATCCAGTCTCAGGGTGAGGCTCATGTCGTTGCTCTTGACATCACGAAAGCGTTCGATCAGCTGTGGCACGCTGCCCTCTTGAGCAAACTTCCATCCTACGGCCTCCCAGAAAAGCTTTGCAGATGGGTGGCTGACTTTATCTCTGGCCGCAAGATATCCGTCGTAATTGACGGATTCTCCTCTTCATCCCACAACGTCAACGCGGGTGTTCCCCAGGGATCGGTCTTGGCTCCAACACTGTTTCTCTTACATATCAACGACCTCCTTTCCTGCACGATCAACCCAATCCACAGCTTCGCTGATGACAGCACTCTACATGCAGGAATTCAGAGTGACAAGCCGAGACTAACGACGACTTCTTCTCTGACAAGAGACCTGGAAGCTATCACTGCTTGGGGACGCAACAATCTTGTACAGTTCAATGCTTCCAAAACACAGTACTGTACTTTGACGAACAAAAAGCGTCCTAGCGCTCATACAGTTTCGATGGACGGTCGAATTCTACCAAAGAGCCATTCATTTCGGCTGGTCGGAGTCCAGATCACCGAGGAACTGATCTGGCACGAACACATCTCTTCAATAGCTGCAGCTGCTGGGAAAAAGCTAGGCTATTTGTTTAGGGCTAAGAAGTACTTTTCTCCGCATGATCTTCTCACTCTATACAAGGCCCAGATTGCTCACACATTTGGGGTGCTGCCGCCCCGACTACATTGTCCATGCTCGATGCTGTCCAGAGGAGGGCGGTCCGACTGATCGATGACTCTTCTCTAACAGACAGTCTCGGGACTCTTTCGCACCGACGGGCCGTCGGCGATCTAGCTCTTTTCTATCGCTACACCAACGGGCTTTGCTCCTCAGAGCTCTCTTCCATGATGCCGCCGCGCGATGTGCCTGCCAGACAGACCCGCCTGACTTCGGCGTCCCATCCTAACCGTGTCAAACTTCGTACATCCAGAACTGGCCGATACGACCGCTCCTTTGTTCCGAGGGTGTCTAGATTGTGGAACAATCTACGGGAGGAAGCTTTTCCCAGTTCTACTAACCTTAGGCAGTTCAAAAATCGTATTAACAAAATTTCTTTGGGATCATCATAGCAGCCGCGGTGTTCCGGCATTTAGGCTTTAACCTGCGCGGCTGTTTCGATATAAAAAAAAAATCATTTCCTAAGTCCCTTTCCTTAACTTTTCATATTATGTGATCAAAGCCACATAAAATTTCCTCAATGTAGTTCATATTAGGGCCACGTGACTAATGGACAAACAGTGGAAAAAAGGCGTGGTCGTATAAAGTGGGTGTTACCTCTTAGTTAAGCCCTCTTTCCACTCCTATAATTCTGTCTGGTTACTGTACCTGCCAGAATAGAACTGTCAACTGTCACTTTTTTGCGAATTTTTTCGACAAAAATAAATAAAATTTCCAAGTCATCATGGCAGCGGCAGTAGAAACTATGGATATTGTTATTCCTGAAAAGGTACGCTTGGTTAGACGTTTGATAGTCGCTGAATTTTTTGCATTTTTTACGCGACGTTCCTTCATTCGCGATGAGGCGCAGAAAAATGGTTATATTAACGTTTTAGTGCCTTGTACAAGATGTAATTTGATTAATTTTAGGAAGAGGGAAGCCCCTCAGAATCAAAACAGCCCCTACAAGACGTAGATACGGAGGATCTGTACACGAAATACAAGAAACTGCAGCAAATGCTGGAATTCTTGGAGGTGCAAGAAGAGTACATCAAAGATGAACAAAGGAACTTGAAAAAGGAGTATCTTCATGCTCAAGAGGAGGTGAAACGTATCCAGTCCGTTCCGCTGGTTATCGGGCAGTTCCTTGAAGCCGTTGATCAGAATACGGGAATTGTTGGGTCTACTACAGGTAAAAAAATGTATAGCAGATTAGATATATTTTAGGTGAATATCACACGATCACTAGTTGCTTTGGCCCTTTACTATTTATCAAGGATTGTGATGTTTATTTACAGTCTGGACGCGGCAACATTGAGATATGCAATAGCAATACTCTCAGAAAAAAAAATTATTTTATTTTTTGTCTGGTTAGGAGAACACATTACTGTGTCCGCGTCCATTCAAGAGAGAGTTAATAGGCTGCAATCCATACACTTTGCATTATGCTATAGCAATTTTGCTAAGTTGATTCAAATCCCCAGGTTCGAACTACTATGTCCGCATCCTGTCGACGATCGACCGCGAGCTGCTGAAACCCTCGGCGAGCGTAGCCCTTCACAAACACAGCAATGCCTTGGTGGACGTCCTACCCCCCGAAGCGGATTCTTCCATTTCCATGCTGCAAGCTGACGAAAAACCGGACGTTCAATACAGCGACATCGGAGGCATGGACGTGCAGAAACAGGAAATAAGGGAGGCGGTCGAGCTGCCCCTGACGCACTTTGAGTTGTACAAGCAGATTGGGATCGACCCTCCTAGGGGGGTGTTGATGTACGGACCCCCCGGGTGCGGGAAGACTATGCTGGCCAAGGCCGTGGCGCATCATACCACCGGTAAGACGCAACTTGCAATTAACCAAATTTTCATGTTTGTCTTTTATTTCAAGATGTCAGAAAGGCAATTTAGTTCTCGAAGGTTCATATTTTTTAGATTATTATGGCCTAAAACAGTGCTAGTGTAAATGATATTTTAGCAGAATATTTTGCAGTTAGTTGTGATTAATATTGAACAATGACTTATTTAATTTAAGGAAGGGTAGAAATAACAAAGTATTTTGATTTTGTAGCATTTTTGTGCAACAAACCAACAAATTCGATTACTTCAAACTAAATATTTTTCAGCTGCGTTCATCAGAGTGGTGGGGTCGGAGTTTGTGCAGAAGTACCTGGGCGAAGGCCCCCGTATGGTCAGAGACGTCTTCAGGTTAGCCAAAGAAAACTCGCCAGCGATCATTTTCATCGACGAAATAGACGCGATCGCCACCAAGAGATTCGATGCTCAGACAGGTGCTGATAGAGAAGTGCAACGTATTCTGCTAGAGTTACTCAACCAGATGGACGGTTTCGATCAGACCACCAACGTCAAGGTGAGAATTCAGTTTGTCACGCTATAAGCAGTGAATTCTATTTTCGGTCTTTTCGAAAAACACATATGCGATAGGTTTGAATTTTTGACTCGATTTGCTTTTTTGTTCACAGGTTATTATGGCGACAAACCGCGCAGATACTCTGGATCCTGCTCTTCTCAGGCCGGGTCGTCTCGATAGGAAGATAGAATTTCCTTTGCCAGATCGTCGTCAGAAGCGTTTGGTTTTCAGTACGATTACGTCCAAAATGAACCTTTCAGAAGAGGTAAGTCTCTGTACACTTAATAATTTAATTTATCGCACTTGGTTGTTAACGTTTTTTTCGCAGGTGGACCTAGAAGATTATGTCGCTCGTCCAGACAGAATTTCCGGTGCTGACATCAACGCCATTTGTCAAGAAGCCGGAATGCACGCTGTTAGGGAGAATCGTTACATCGTATTACCCAAGGACTTTGAGAAAGGCTACAAGAATAATATTAAGAAGGATGAGAGCGAACATGAGTTTTATAAATAATTTTGCTTATCACTATATTCGCTTTTTTGTAATCTAACAAATAAAACTATATTAGGTCGGAACTGTTTAATTTCTAATCCCAACTGCATAAAAAAATAAATGTTATCAAATGTACCGCGGAGTAGTTCAAATGTAACGTGTACCAATCGTACCCAGGAATGTACAGTGTAGTAGTTCAAATGCACCGCGGAGTAGGTCAAATGCAAATTAGAGTTCATATGAAACGTAATGCAAAACTTCAACCTTTGTACAGAGATAGTAGTTCAAATGCTACATAGTAGGTGAACTGTAATGTGTGGTTGAAATGTAACCTCGTAAATCAAATATCAAATTGGCCAAATAATAGTTCGAACATCACATAGTAGACCAAATGTAACGTGGGGTAGTTCAAATGTAACGAGTAAGGGTACAATAATCAAGTAGGTCAAATGCACAAAGTGGTTCAAATCGCACATAGTATGTCAAGCTAAATAAACCTACAACACGAACACTAAAAATTCTGTATCATTTAAAAGAATGAACGATTTTCACATGCTAAAATTTCTTTACGAACATAACAGAAACTTCAAGTGATATCTACATCGGTAATTTTTCTCTAAACTTAACGTGATTCCGACCTTTGAGGTATCAAACATTACTTGTCTTAGAATTTTCTAGAACATTATGCTTCAAACGAAACTCATGGATAATAGAGAGATGATTTATTGATATAACGTAAATACATTTAGACATATTTCTCTACAGTATCGTGTAACGAGTACTAAGTTTATATTATAAAATAAACCAAATTACCAAAAAAAAACAATATAGGGGAAATCAAACTGTGATTTACAATTTCATATTGCAAAAAAGATCACAAAAAAATCACGTTGCCGCAATATATTTATGAATTTGGTCATAAATTTTTCGTCGTACATTTCAGCTCTTTATTATCACTAGAAGCACAGCAAACTCAATGTTTACAACAAGAGATGCCGGAACTGATATTTCACTAAAAAGTAAGTGTATCGCACGTCAATCACTTCTGAACCATACCTTTTCTCAATAAACACTCGACAGAAAATTTACTATACCTTTAATAAATATAAAAAAAACTTAAATACTAGCTTTCAATAGACATTCCGGGATTTAGCTGTGATTGTTCTACTGGATCATACAAGCAAGATAGTACCAATTCATTGGTGATATCAGCCCCTAAAGGACAGGAATTTGATACAGAAGCAAATATCTTTTACGTAAGTGAAAAATTCGCAAATTTTGAGGTAACTAAGCTTAAAAATCGCTACAAAATAAAATTCAAAATAAGGCTCCAGTAACTTGTATTTAAATTTTGCCGTTTTCAAGTTATTCTGCGACTCTGAAACCCTGAAAATGGGCATATTCAATACTTAAAAACTCAGTTAAACACTACAATTTTTCAAGTATCTTCATTAAAGTTACAACCTTGCTCTTGCAAGACCACGAAGGGTATTTTAAGATAAATTTATTTTAACGCGATTTTTAAGTTTGTTTGTTAGGCCACAATTGACGAACTTTTAACTGTACTAGATCCAGAGCTATTCCAAAAGCTCTATCGAAACGACCGGATTTATACTACATCACTTCAATGTCCTTTACAGCAAGGACAAAAAACTCAAAACACCAAAATGAAACAAACCAATTTCCGAATTTATCTAACTATATACAAGTCGCTTTCTCTTCAAACTTTTCAAGCTTCGATATTGGAAAAATTACGAATGGCATTCCAAACCGCTTAGTGAGATTTTTTAGATAGGATGGTGAAACTAGCGATTTTTTATACGTACGTCGTCGGAAAAAATGCAACGACGTACGAAATAATTACAGAACTTTTTCAAAATTCGTTACTCCCGTCTCGCTATTCGTGCATCCGTGGATATATTTAAACGAAAACCAAATTGCTATAAATATACTATATCTCCGAAAAATGTACACCACAGAGAGCAACTAAAAATACAGTAGTTCATCTAGTGCTTTTACATTTGAATACGAATGTATCTAAGTCCAAACGAGCTCAGTGAAACCACGGAGCTGCTCTTCATAAATACGCCAATATGAGCCAACGTCAATGCGTAGAGACTAAACTTAGTTTTTGATCATTATAGAACACACTAGTTTGAAGACTTCATTATATACCTATAATCAATGAAAGTTTTAGTGTCTCATTATATAGTGGTGTTAATAAGTATGTAGCATGAATTTAACATTCTTTGAGTAAGTTGTAAGACAAAAAGTTCATATAAACACAGGTCCGTAAAATTCTTCGTTCTCAAGAGGGTGTTTGGAATTAAAAAACAATGTTTTGCACTTTTTACTATGTTCTTTGGATTAGGCAAATGGAAATACAACTTTTTTCTCTTACATTTTTTCGCATCTTGCTCAGTTTTTCGCGAAAAAAAAAATCCACTTAATTCCATACCCCTGGACCACATAAGGAATATGGGTAAACGTTTCTTTTGGAAATTAATATTTTTATAAGCTTGGTTTTCCTCTTGTCTGAAAATTATCATTTTCGCTGGATTGGGAGAGCAGGCCCGCACCTATGGCCCGCTCGCTCGCCCGATACGAATCCCTTAGATTATTTTCTCTGGGGACACCTTAAAGCGTTCGTATACAAAACGACCTATTTATTTCATCCAAAGAACCGTTCATCTGTGTGTTCTACAATGTCCGAGTACCGCCTTTAACCTCTACATATTGACAAATGACACATCTTAACATTTTCCGAAGAAGCACCCTAGTTCAAGTGGAATCCTTTCTCTTTAGTAGCCGCCAACAGCCTCTGCCTCAGGATATCCTCGGTGGGGTAATCGGGCAGCTTCAGGTAGTGCACGCAGGTGTTGACCGAAGGGTAAGACCCTTCGCCGGCGTCCACTTTGCGTACGATCGTCAGTCGCGGGTAGAGATTGGCGAGTCCGCCTGGAGGCAGAGAGCTGCATCCGGTGGTGAACTGCAAGAAGGCCTTCCGTTCTTCCGCGGACATCGCCACCAGAACGTTTACGAAACGCAGGAAACCGGGGCTGCGAAGGAAGCGGATCGTTTAACGTGATTTGTTGTTTGAAAAACGGTGAGGTTTTTACAACGAAATTAAAAGGTGTTCGCGATGATGGTTTTGAATTTAAGTGCCATACCAAATAAGCAATCAAAGCTTACGGTTCTCCGAATCTAACAAACCAACAGAATAAATTACTTATAAAATTGCACTTACTATGCATTTGAAGAATTCTTTTAAACGCATTAATTGACAGATGTCAAAAAAACTAAAATTGGATCTACATTATCGAGCTCAAAAAATATTTCTGTTGGTGTACCACAAGGTAGTAAACTAGGCCCACTACTATTTATTTTACACATTGATGACATTTGCGATTATTGTAAAATTCAGATATTTGCAGATGATACATTAATATAGATATCAGATGAAAATATAGGCACTGCTTAAAAAATCATAAATTGGTTAAATGTAGATAAACTAAAAGTGAATGCTTCTAAAACAAAAGGTATGCTAATAGGTAAATACCAATTGAAAATACGATCACAGTATGAAATGGTGAAATAATTGAAAATGTTGGCGACTCCACAACTGAATACACCCCTGTATACGTCTAGTCATCGACAAAATGAGATGATCGATATCTGTTGTGACAAACTCATTCCATCTTCGTGTAGCTGTGGCAACAAACAAACAATTTATGAACACACCACTAACCTGTCTTTGGTATATCCGAGCTTCGGCTCCGTATAATTGATGAGATCCTCTCTGGTCCACTCCGGATTCTGATCGCCGCACAACATGACGCACATCTCGTCCGGGCTGAACGCAGCCAATTTTTCCATGGGGAACACGGTCGAGAAGCCCCTGTAGAAGGCGTCCAGCTGCCGCGTAATGCCCTTGTCCAGACAATAGCTCGTCGTCAAATCCGCGTATTCTTCTACGTTTTCTATGTTCACTTCTATATCGGCACCGTTGTGAACGAGGTCGACCGACGTGAATCCGTATACGCTAGAGCTAGGCGAATAGGTGAAGGTCAAAGCGAGATCCTCGAGCAGGACTGGGCCGCTGGAGTGCATCAGACAGAGGTTCTGGATCTGGTGGGAACGAACCTCGGCTGACAGTTGATGGTCCTGCGCTATCTTGTGCTGCAATTAAGTAATAAGAGTTGAATAATAACACTGGTCAACACTGGTTTTGCCATACGAACTTTGATACCTAATTTTGTTTTATCAGTCTACCCTCATTATTACATGACAGCTGTCATATGTCTATTAGCCTCATATTTGTTGTGATACGGTAATACTCATAACTAGTACTACGGCAGTAAATTAACAGAAACGCTTACAAGTAAATCCTTATAAAAATATTTGTTGTTGAATTTGAACACTTTTTTGTTATTTATTAACCCTGTGAATATGTCGAGGAAGTGTAATAATGATCCTAACTCTTTTTGTTATGTCTGCGGAGAACTAACATTCAAAAAACGACGAAATTTTACGAATCTTGTGTTGGAGTGTTATCACCAATGTTTTGGTTTTTCTGTCGCCCATCAAGACAAATCCTGGGCCCCTCATGTCTGTTGCTTAACGTGTGTGAAAAATTTAACTGACTGGAAGAAAGGTGCACGACCTATGCCGTTTGCTGTACCCATGATATGGACTGAACAGCGAGATCACGTTTCAGATTGCTATTTTTGTCTCATAGACATAAAAGGTATAAATTACAAGAAAAAAACCACAGTTATTTACCCTAACTTATCTTCGGCTATAAGACCAGTCTCTCATTGTAAAAAATTGCCAGAACTAATACCAGTTGCAACTACGTCTGTTGAGAACAATTCACAACCGTCCACTTCAGGTGAATGTGTTGACGAGGACGATGACTTTGAGTTAAAAGGAATTGTAAACGAGCCACATTTGATAACTCAAGGAGACCTAAATGATTTGGTTCGGGATTTAAATTTGTCAAAAAAGCAGTCAGAACTATTAGGATCACGTCTAAAAGAACGGAATTTGCTACATCATAATACAAAAGTTACTATTTTCGAAACCGTGATCAACACTTCAGAACGTATTTTTCTCAGGATGGAAATTTGGTGTTTTGCAATAACATAAATAAAAGCAGTGTTATTGCATAATGGAAATAAGCTTCCGTCTGTACCTCTGGCCCATGCTGCAAATATGAAAGAAACCGATGAAAATATGAAACTTTTACTTGAAAAAATAAATTACAGTACATATTCGTTCAAAATCTGCGGTGATCTTAAAGTTGTTGCACTATTACTTGGACTTCAGCTGGGTTATACAAAGTTTTGCTACTTTTTATGTGAATGGAATAGCCGAGACAGAACTAATCACTATATAAAAAAAACATGGCCTACGCGTGCATCGTTAGTTCCTGGGCAAAAAAACGTAAAGTATTTACCCCTTGTACAGCCAAATAATGTGCTTCTACCACCATTGCATATCAAATTAGGATTAATAAAAATTTTGTGAAGGCAATGGATCGCAATGGGAGTGGATTTTTGTATCTAAAAGAAAAATTCCCTAAAATAAGTGATGCAAAGATAAAAGAGGGTAGTTTTGTTGGCCCTCAAATTAGGGAGATAATAAAAGATTCAAGATTTGAAGAAAAATTAAGCGATTTAGAAACATCTGCATGGAAGGCTTTTAAAAATGTTGTTTCAAATTTTTTGAGTAACCACAAGAGTGACAGCTACAGAGAGTTGGTTAGCGAGCTATTATTGTCATATCAAGCATTGGGTTGCAACATGTCACTTAAGATCCATTTTTTAGACTCGCACCTGGATTTTTTTCCTGACAATTTAGGGGCTGTCAGCGACGAGCACGGTGAGAGGTTCCATCAGGACATTTCTAATATGGAAAAGCGGTACCAGGGCAAATGGAGCCCAAATATGTTAGCAGATTACTGCTGGACAATTAAAAGGGACCAACCAGAAGCTAAATATTCAAGAAAATCTTAGATTATTAAGTCATTTATAAAAAAAATAACTTTTGATTTACGAGATCTGTGTTTTTTCTTAATATTTTAAATTACTCAATAGAATAAAATCCTTGTCTAGCAAATTTTTTTAACTGTTTATTTTTTCTTACAATCACCAATTAAAGTAAAAAATATCAAAAAAGTCCGTGTAGCACGACAAAGTTAAAATTTTGTTGACCAGTGTAATAAGTGTGACTAGTATATCACTATTCGTGAGTGCATTATTTACTGGAAAGAAGCGCGTACAGTAACGGACAAAAGTATATAGACAAATATGAATCTTTACCTAAATACCTTTAGAAAACGAATTCATACTCCATTGCTCCATAAAGAAATGCGTTATTAGTAGAAAAACTAAATTCCTTGTTTTTACATTATCAGCAATGAACACAAAACAAGTTTGAATATAAGCACTTTGTTATGAGGGACAAAAATATATAGACAAATTCTTTTCAACATTAGTTTAGTACAGTTTCGGGTCAGAAGAGGGTTAGTTTGTGTTCATCAAGTATTGTGGAATAAGTTGAGTGATTTTAAGACCATGCCGCCTGGTCCAGAAATTTCTTTCGACGTGAAAACTAAGATCATTGAGTTATAAAAAGATGGTCAACGTCAAGTCGACATTGCCAAAAATTTTAAGCTGAACCGTAAAGCAGTTTGGGCAATATTGAACAAATATAAACAAAAATGTATCTTGGAAGCTTCTAAGAGAAGTGGTCGGCCTAGAAAACTAAATGCTAGATCAGATTAATAAAAGTAATTTCGTCCAAAGATCCGTTTGAAACCCCAAGACAAATAAAAGGGGAGTCTAATGAATTTACTGAAAAGCTATAAAGACTGACTTACAGAGCAAGGTACCGGATACTGTAACTGTCCACTGAGATGGCAAATTGTCGCCACTTTTAAATGCACCGAAAAGCTGTCATGCCTGTATATTTCAGAGACTGACAAGCTGCTAGAATTTTATCGACATGAATTGACCAAAGAAGTTGCTAGAAATATCGGGAATTAATAGATAATATTCCTTGGCGGAAATAGAGAAAAAATTTAAGATTCGACCGCCAAGCTCAATGGATGGCCAGAGGGATCTATTCATTAAAAAAAGCGTTACTAAGTTCTCTGCTCAAATTTTCTAATAAGGATAAGGCAGATCTGTTAGATAGCTGCCTGTTCATCATGACAACACACGTGAAACCGTGGTTGCAATGCACTTTAGCGGTAAAAGCACCTAACCAGGATTTATGCTTTTTAAAGGCAATGAAGGCTTACAAGGTATTTATACATCTCGAAATTGGATATCCTGACACTGTATCAAGAGATTTATAAAAAATAAAAGTTTCAATAACTACTCTCATCGAATATACAGGGTGCGGCAGAGAGGATGGACAGTTTTAAAAAAATCATAAAATAGTTAATTTTTAGTCGAAAACAAATTTATTGATGGAATCAGGTTCACAAGGAATTAGCATTTGAGACAGTCAAGTGTGGAAAATCACATCAGGCATGTGGTGGCCTAAATCGTTCATGCAGTGCTGGAGGCGTTCTTGGAAGTTCGCGTAGACTCTCTCCAACATCGCTCCCTCAACTTGGGCGACTTCCACGCGAATTTCGCCCTTCAATTCGTCCAGAGTTCGGGGCTTGTCCGCGTATACTCTAGCCTTGAGGTGTCCCCATAAGAAAAAATCGCATATGGATAAATCTGGGGACCGAGGAGGCCAATGAACATCGCCAAACCTGGAAATAAGGCGACCAGGGAAGAGAGGATGAATATCGTCCATGGATGCTCGGGCTGTGTGGGCGGTCGCCCCATCCTGCTGGAACCACGCACGTCGGACTGGAATACGTCGCCACGTCGCCGTCGTAATTCAGGGAGAAAGAAGTTGGCGATCATGTCGACGTAGCGCTCTGAGTGCACGGTAACATCACGACCATTACCGAAGTAAGGGCCAATGATGCAAGTTTGCGATACAGCGCAACAAACCGTTACTTTTGGGCTGTGCAGCGGTGTTTCATGTAACTGTTGCGGATTTTCATTAGCCCACTAACGACAATTCTGCTGGTTAACCATGCTGTTTAGGTGAACGTGGGCTTCGTCACTCATAAACAAAATGAGGTTCTCATTTTGATCGATCAGTGCTTCCATCTCACGTGCGAAGTTCATTCGTTGTGCATAATCTCCGGGCTGTAACTGTTGCATAATGGCCAATTTGTAGGGGTGAAAGCGGAGATCCATATGCAAAATTCGCCTTACCGAACGATCACTAAGGCGAAGTGCAGCAGCATGTTTCCGGGCAGATCGAGTCGGACTGCGAAGAAATACCTGTCGAACGCGTTCAACATTTTCAGGAGTCCGAACTGTTCGCGGCGCTCCTCTTGGTCTTCTGTTGATCAGTTCACCACGCCTGCGAAATGATTCAACCCAACGAAGGATGGTGTTTCGATAGGGAACAGCTCTATTCCGATGAATGTTGAAGTGGCGACGAAACTCACGCTGTACGACGATGACTGACTTATTATTTCGGACGAAACAATCATAGGCGAAAACGCGGTGCTCTTACGAGTCAAACGGCACCCTCCCCACCTCTCTCGTAGACCCAGTCGGAGAGTACTACCGATCCCAAAAACGTCCGTCCTCTCTGCCGCACCCTGTATAAGCAACTTTTAGCTTCAACATTATTTAAATCTAACGGAAAGCAACTTACCTTCTGCCTGATGAGATCGCGCAACTGGGACAAGAAAGCAGATCTGATCGGATCGATCTCGTATAGGTCATCCTCGCCAAGGATGCCGTGATACCACGGCCGTTTTTCCTCGTAAATCTTCGGAGGATCCAATTCCAGTTCTTTTTCGCTCTCCTCGGATATGAACGAAGACATCATCGAGTCCTCGTCGTTCTTCTTTACGATACTTCCGCCGTTGAAGCCTATCCTCTCGTTCACGTTATTCTGAAATGTAACTCGTTATTAACAAGTACCACGCCAAATCTGAATAAAAAAGAACATTTTCATCTAAAATTATGTTCATTACAAGTATATCATAATTCATAAATGGACATAAACATCAACAATTTAAGAAAAGCTATCTCAGAATTGAAATCTAATAAAAAGCGATGTGAAAATCTCTCAAAGAATATTATAAATGATGGTTTCAATTGGAGAAAAAATATTATTGGTGAATCATTGTTTAGTAAATGGTGAGTTCCCATCAAAATTAAAGTGTTCCACCAATCCATAACTATTATTGGAGACTAGCGTTGGATAGGCACATCTTTCATTGATGTCCTGTCAAAATTCCATTACAATCTAACCACTTCACGCGGAGTTATCGTGCCCAAAGTACCTTTTTAGCATCGGTCGAAAAATGAGCATCGAACAAAGAGTCAATTCTGTGTTAAACTTGGTAAAAAATTTACTGAAACGCATCAGATATTGATGCAAGTGTATGATGATTGTTGTTTACACGGTTCAAACAGGGTCGTGAGTCACTGGGACATGTTGGCCAACCAAAATTTCTAATTACGCCAGAAACCGTCGAAAAAGTGCGTTAATTGATCAAAAATAATCCACAATCTGCATTGAGATACATAGAAATATACTAAGTGACATATAAATCCGAACACCCAGTTTAAATGGTTTTATTTTAATAAAAGTTGGTGAATGTATTTATCTTACTGCAAATAACAAGTGAAAAAAATTTCAGCCTTATCAGTTGGACATTCCGGTTTTTATACTGCTTTTTTTTAATTCACTAACGCTCTAAAAATGAATATTTCAGCCGCAGTAAAGAATCGACGTTGGCGGATTTTGGTTCTTGACATCCTTTACGATCGGTTACGATGCCTAGAGTACGGAGACCTGTACGATTTCGTCAACTTAGTGAGTTTGATAGGGGCCGTATAGTGGGACTTCGGGAAGCTGGACTTTCTTTTCGGGCAATTGCAGTTAGAGTGCAAAGAAGTGTAGACACTGTGGTTAGGTGTTGTCAGGCATGGCTTCGAGAAGGCCGTACGCAAAGAGCAAGGGGCACTGGACGCCGCCGTAGAACAACAGACCGTGAAGATCGCCGCCTAAGATTATTGGCCTTCAGGGACCGTTTCTCCACTACCAGGTCCATTGCAAATGAATGGTTTGCAGAACACGGAAGACCTATTGGCATGCGAAGTGTTTACCGACGAATGAGAAGTTTTGGCTTGTTTTCATACCGGCCACACTGGGTCCTCCCTTTAACTCGAGAACACCGACGTAATCGCCTTGAGTGGTGCAGACAACGGTCACTCTGGGATCAGGAATGGAACAGTATTGTCTTTAGTGACGAGTCTCGATTTTGTTTAGGCATGCACGATGGTCGTGCCAGGGTTAGAAGGCGACGTAGTGAAAGGAGGAATCCACAGTTTTTTGTTGAAAGACTTGTTCATCACACTGTTGGAGTTATGGTTTGGGGTGCTATAGCTTATGGTTCCAGGTCACCTTTAATCTTCATTAGAGGTAACATGAACGCGCAGCGTTATATCCACGAAGTTCTAGAACCCCATCTTGACACCCTGGCAGATCCAACTTTCCAACAAGATAATGCCCGACCACATGTTGCAAGAATCACAATAGACTTCTTTCAACATAATGATGTCACATTGTTACCATGACCACCAAGATCTCCCGACTTATCCCCAATTGAGCACGTGTGGGATATGATGGGTAGGAGATTGCTCAATTTGCAACGTCCTCCTCAGACTCTAGAAGCACTTCGAGAGGAGTTGGTGGTTGCCTGGAATGAGATACCACAGGAGGACATTGACCACCTGATCAGAAGCATGCCTAGGCGCGTTGGAGAATGCGTAGCACATCAGGGTGCATCCACACATTATTAAAGGTAAAAGGGCTTTAAAGCAGTGCAATCATTTTGAAATTTTTATCATTTACTTATTATGCTTCATTAAGTACTTATACAAAATTTTATTAAAATAAAACTATTTAAACTATATTTTGTGTTCGGTAAACTACGGTTGGCCATAAAGGGACAGCGGTATGCCGACGTAGAGACCATCCAAAAGGCGTCGACGATCATTTTGAGCTAAAATCTGTATTGACTTTGAATAAAATAAATTCGATTTTCCGATACGAAAAATTTGGGTTCATTTTTTCTTTGTCCTGTTTACTTTACGACAGACCTTGCGCTTCCTCGCACAGAAAGTAAAACCAACATACCTGTATCTCCCCGTTGCACATAAGCTTCAGAAAACTCTTGCTCAACGGCAAATCGACCAGCCGATTGTCCTGCAGCACCTTGGCGAGGAAAATGCCCAAAAAGTAGAAGTACTTGACCGCTTTATCACAGATGGGCGACGCCTGCGGCAGGGGGGCAGGGAACAGGCCGGTCGGGCGCCGTACGTAGTAGCCGGGAGGACGCAGGCCTTCGCCGAGGTCGACCGGTTCCTCGTTCAAGTTGATTTGTTCGTCGTCGCACAGCCACATGCCGATATCGCGTCGCTGCAATTCGGCGGCGACCAGAGCGTAGAATTCCAAGGTCGGGCCCAAGCCGGTGCCTTCCTCGCCGGCGAATTCCACTTCGAGGATCGATTTGCGAGAGGAATGTATCTTCATCACCTGCATGGCCCATTCGAGAAGCTGCTCGCCCCTGGGAACCTTCACTCGTTCGTGTTTCAGTCTTCCAACTCTGCATCGAGAATAACAATATTTATTCACGGAAAACTAAATTTGTCTGGCGGCTCAAGTTCAATGTGTACCAGAGAGAAGTGTGTATCAACAACACATGTTATACTACAACTATTTAAAACTGTAATGACTCATACGCGTGATCAACACGTGATCAGAGCTCGATCCCGGCTTCCTTCCAGTACAGCCGTAGAGCGTACGACATATGTCGATGGTCAACAGCACAGACAGAGATGGAAATAATGGCTGATTGTTCTCCGCCGGTAGAACCAATGAAATCAAAGACGCGCCTCGACCGGCAGACTCATAGGCGTCGGCAACGCATTGGAACGTGTTTCGTTGAGCGATCGCACATTGTGTGTTTTTATAAGAATTGTTGTGTGATTGTTATTGTTGTGGTTTCTGTGGTTACTGTTTTGGTTATACTTAACCATGGAGAGTACAAATGGCACGAGTGGAAGTACTGAAAGCCAGGGAACAAGTAGACGGCTTCGTAAAGCACTGAAGAGGGACGCGAAAGAAATCGTGCTCAACGTGTTCAATTATCTGAACAGAACTATGTCGCAGGGAGATGCACTCGCGACTTGTGAAAGTATGACAGGCGTTCCAGAGTGGACCATTCGCAGGGTGGTGCATGCAAAGAAGAAAACTGGAGCTACTACTGATCCAAAGTTTAATTTGAAGGGACGAAAGGCCGTTAAATTGGATGACGATAGCAAAATGGCGTTAAGGCGAACCGTACATTCATTCTTCTTTAGGAATGAGATACAAACCCTCAAGGCTGTACATGCAGCGATCAAGGAAAATGAAATTATACCCCAAATGAGCGTCGAAGTAATGAGGAAATCCCTGCACGAAATTAATTTTCGTTACGAAACGCGTAATCGGAAGTCAGTATTGATAGAGAGACCTGAAATAGTCGCCTGGCGTCGAAAATACCTACGCGAAATGATTGAATATAGGCGACAAAGCAGAAAAATCTATTATTTGGACGAGACATGGGTAAATGCAGGTCACACAGTTAAAAAAACCTGGATAGACAAAAACGTAGTGAGTAACCGACAAGCAAGCATTGAAGGTTTGTCAACAGGTCTTCGTGGACCGACAGGGAAAGGTCAAAGATAGATCGTAACTCATATTGGTAGCGATAGTAGCTTTTTAGAAGAGCGTGACTTGATTTTCGTCTCTAAGAAAGGAGGTGATTACCATGACGAAATGAATGCCAGCTGCTTCGAGAGCTGGTTTCAAGGGGTGCTTCAGCGAGTTGAGCCCAACTCTGTGATCGTCATGGATAATGCTTCCTACCATAGTCGTCGAGCCGAACGTGTACCGACTATGGGATCTCGAAAAAGTGACATGCAGCAATGGTTGCGCGAAAACGGAATCCCGTTTGACGATTCATGTGTGAAAGCGGAATTGTATGAAAAAATTAAACAGCACAAACCTGCGAACATTAGTTACGTGACTGATGAGATGGCCCGTCAATGTGGTGTCACTGTGCTGCGGTTACCGCCCTACCACTGTGAACTGAACCCAATAGAGCTCATCTGGACTCAAGTGAAGGGTTATATTGCGCGCCATAACACAACCTTCAAATTACCAGACGTTAAGGTTTTACTTGAGACTTCCATACAGCTAGTAACGCCCGAAGCTTGGCAGAATGCTATCCGTCATGTTGTGAAGGAAGAAACCAACATGTGGCAGCTTGACCACCACATCGACACCATCGTAGAGCCAGTTATGGTCAATTTCAGCGAGGAAAGCGATAGCGACAGTTTATTACTGTCAGATGTAAGTGGAAGCGACGATGAATAAAGGTAATTCCCAAATTTTTGACTTACAATATGTTTCAAACCACTCTTTATTAAGCATGTGACAAATCTAGTTCACCCATGATAAACATTCATACCCCGCCTATGGACAGCCGACTACTGGTAGTTAAGTGATGTTCACGTGAACATCGATGAGTCATTACAGTTTTAGATAGTTATAGTATAGAAAGAGATAGAAGCCGACCGAAGAACGAAGCTCATCACCACATTGCCTAGCAATTTTTAAATAAATCTAAATTTGAAACATCAAATTAAGCAAAAATACACTACCGTTCAAAAGTATTTGAACACCCAGAAAACAAGGAAACTGTTGGAAGTTATTGAAGAAAACATTACAATATTTGTTTCAGATTTATTTAGCATTAATGCTACAATGTCCATAATATCCATATTATACAGTGTATCACAAAATATATTATGTCTTCAAGACTATATATTTCTATACAAAATTTCACTACTATGAATTCTGGTTTTCCGTGAGATATTTTTTCAATTTCCCTTTAAACATTTTCAAACTGACACACATCTTGATATCATTACCTAATTTATTAAATTCGTACAATCCCTTCTAGTAGAATTATTGTGGGACTCATTGTTCAGTACAATAATATTTTCTAAATGATTTGGTAGAAGATGATTTTTTAACTTGAATATGAAAATGAAGACCAAGTGGTCTATGAAATTTTTGATATTTAACCATTGTATTTCTTTCAGCATAAAATTTATTCTAGTATATTTATTTTTATTTAAGATGATTCTCATAGCTTTATTTTGTAATATTTGTAATTTTGAAAATACAGTTTCATTTACAGTGAACAAAATAATCAAGATCAAGAATGATAAGTTTTTTTTGTAATGATTTTAAATAGAAATATGCAGGTGTTCAAATACTTTTGAACGGTAGTGTATGCTCTTAAATTAATAGTATTTGAATAAACGCTTATGAAAGATTCAATCATTTATAATGGTATGAAAATGTGCATACTATCAAAAGAGTTAACAATTTAAAAATATTCCGCCGCAGCCCAAAATTCTAATAAGTAAACGATATTTGAACTTGAGTTCTACAATAGATTCACATACAGCAGACGCTCGATAACGTAAACACGGGATAATGAAAACTTGCGCTAATGTAAACGCAAACATCGTTCTATAGGATCAAACGGAACGCGCGATAACGTAAACAACTCTCGGCGCACGGAAACAGCGCGACGGTAAAATGCTGAAGCCTCGATGATTTATGTCGGGCGTCGGGGAGTCCCCGATTTATGATGTAGAGTATTCTAGGGGATTCACCTCTGCGATAAAATACGACAAACTCGGTCGGTCGTATGATCGCTTAGGATACGTTTATACGTACGTATGTATTTCATTTTTGAACTTAAGTGAATACATTGCACGCGTTAATATATTTTACGACTATGGCATCCACATTCTATAAAAGAAAGTGTTTAAAGTTGTGTGAGAAAGTGAAAATCATAGACGAAGTTGCACTAGGTGCGGGAGTGACACAGTTAAAAATATGGAGTCTCGTCAGCAACAATCTGTAAAATTAAGCGTATGAAAACTCAAATTTTACAAAGAACGTGCAATACATTTGGAGGTCCGGGAAAAAGAAAAACTTTAAAAAATGCGAACGCACCTAAAATGGAAAATTCCCTGTATAAGTGGTTTTTAAAACAACGGGAAAATCATGTCTCAGTTAGTGGCGAAGTACTTAAACAGAGAGCGAGACTGTTAAATGAAAAACTGAAAGAAACTGAAAATTTCGTAGCTAGTGATGGCCGGCTACAACGATTCAAAACAAGATATGGAATTTGACTGCTGTCTATATCTGGTGAAAAATTATCAGCACAACCACAATTAGTGCAACCATTCAAAGAAAAATTGATGAAAACAATTACCGAGCTAGATTTAAGAATGGAACAAATTTACAACGCAGATGAAAGTGGCCTTTATTGGAAAATGTTACCAGAGAAAACCTATGCTGCATCATTTGAAAAATCTGCCCCGGGAAGAAAGCCGGAGAAACAACGAATAACGTTTCTAGCCTGCACTAATGCTAATGGTTCACACAAAATAAAGCCACTGGTAATTGGGAAAGCAAAAAATCCGCGCTCATTTAAAAATGTTAGTATCCCTGTTGATTATGTCTGTTCAAAAACAGCTTGGATGACTAGCAGTATATTCCTGAAATGGTTCCACAGGTGCTTTGTCCCTCAGGTATGACAATCAATTATCACAAATGCTCTATTCATAATTTGAAGATGTGTTTTCAATTTGTAGGTAAAAGGTTTCCTAAAACAACAGAAGCTTCCAATAAAAGCGTTGTTACTATTGGATAATGCACCAAGTCATCCTCCCGAGCAACAACTGAGGAGCAGGGATGGGTCAATTTTCGTCATGTACATGCCGCCCAACGTAACACCGTCAATTCAACCGATGGACCAGAATATAATAAGACTCACCAAACTATACTATAGGAAGTTTCTACTTTCGTCTGTCTTATCAAAGAATCCTGAAAACTTATGAGGCTTTAAAAAAAGTAACATTACGAGAAGCTGTTTTAGATTTACATATGACCTGGAATGAACTTAACCAGCGAACTATTCAAAAATGTTGGAACAATCTCTTTTGTACCAATAATGAAGATGATGAAGAAGACGATGTCCCCTTAAGCGTAATTAGAGAACGTTTGCGATCCAATAATGATAATGTTATTAGTGTGTCATTGGATGTTGTTGATTTATTGAAAACAGTGAATCCCAACATTGTTTCTACTCCTGCTGATATTAATTTATGGAACGAAGATAAGCAGACGAGTGATGCTGATAAGGAGGAGGATATGAACAGAGAGGATGATGAGAACGATCCCATTGAAGTCAGAAGTGTAGTGACTGACGCGCAAGCTATACAAGTTTTTAACCAAGCTTTAGATTGGGCTGAAAGAAAAGAAGTTTCATACACGGATATTTTAGTTCTTCGTAAATTACGCGCGTAGGCATTGGAAGACAATGCTAAGCGCAAATTTACGCAGACAAAAATTGTTAATTATTTTTCTTCTAATTAAAAAAATACTTATCGCGGTTAGAATATTTGTTTATTTTGTTAGTATGTATTAAACGTTTCTTTTAATAAATCAAATATTATATAAATCACGTTCGCTAATGTGAACCACACTTGGATTAAATTAGTTTACATCATCGAGCGTCTGCTGTATTTTAATTTGTCATGTTTTCCGTTGCGCAATTTCGAGATGATTCAAAGGGCGTACCTAAATTCGTGCGGATCGTCCCTGCGCGGCGACAATCCCGGCGTCCGTTGCCTTTCCATCGTGACATCGCGCTGCGTCTGCAACCACACGATGCTCCTGGACGCGCCGAAAGCGGTACAATTGAAATACAGCTGCCTCGTCTCGAACGGAAACAAAAACGGGCAAGAATGCGTCAGCTCCTCGCACCAGGCCGGCAAGCTCGCGCTGCTCAACACCAAAGGATCTTGAATCTGCTGCAACAGCTTATTCGTGATCTTCTTGCTGGAGAACTCGTCGGGCAACACGTCCCCCTGATGATCGATACCGGGGACGATGTTATCCTTCAGCGTGGCGGTGGTGATGACGAACAAATGCCGGAGCAATTGCAAGACGTCCTCGACGGTGCAATGCGAGACGGAAGGCGTACCGGGCACCGGAGTGCTAGGTGAGAGGGTAGTGCCGGCTATCGAGCTACCTGTAACGAGAAGAGATACATTTGTGAATCTTCCACGTAACTATTTAGCAGTTTACGGGCCAATTTTACCAACGTTAATATTTGACGGTCAGTTGGACCAATAGGAAAAGACCTTATCGAAATGCAATTTGACGGAAGCTGTCAAAGCTCTCTGAGTATCAGTGATTTCTATTGAAATTTTGAATAAAGTCGTGAAAAAACGGTTGCCTTATCAATAAGGGTAAATTATAGATGTAATATTATGTCTTTGTGCTTTAGAATTAGGATAACTTTCATAGAATTTCAAATTTTTATCATTTCAGAAAAGACGGTCAGTTATTTAAATCGACCAATGAAAATGAGAGAAATAATAGGTCGATTTTCTAGCTATTATATTTGGTAGGCTGTTTTCACCGTTTTTGACGACTGTTCATGCATGGCAATCTAGTTTTGTCTCTATATCACGTACAGGGTGTTGTACATAATTCGTACCTGTAGAAATGTACCGATTTTAATATTGCAAAAAAAAACGAATATAAAACGTATTCCAACTGGTTCATCATCTTTTGTTACATCAAAGACAATTTTTGCCAATTTATGATCTAGAAATCCATACCAAATGTAAACAAACAGCACATTCTTTATTTTTTCGGTCTTAAAACATCGATATTTGTAAAAGTATCCACATCCACCTATTATTCATCGTCTAGATATTATAAGTCACAATCAAAAATACCTATTTATGAAAATATATCTCCAAACATTGCAATATTTTCTTTTTTTATATATATATGTATATATACTAAGTGACATATAAATCCAAACACCCAGTTTAAATGGTTTTATTTTAATAAAAGTAAATAACAAGTGATAAAATTTTCAGCCTTATCAGTTGGACATTCCGGTTTTTATACTACTTTTTTTTAATTCACTAACGCTCTAAAAATGAATATTTCAGCCGCAGTAAAGAATCAACGTTGGCGGATTTTGGTTCTTGACATCCTTTACGATCGGTTACGATGCCTAGAGTACGGAGACCGGTACGATTTCGTCAACTTAGTGAGTTTGATAGGGGCCGTATAGTGGGACTTCGGGAAGCTGGACTTTCTTTTCGGGCAATTGCAGTTAGAGTGCAAAGAAGTGTAGACACTGTGGTTAGGTGTTGTCAGGCATGGCTTCAAGAAGGCCGTACGCAAAGAGCAAGGGGCACTTGGACGCCGCCGTAGAACAACAGACCGTGAAGATCGCCGCCTAAGATTATTGGCCTTAAGGGACCGTTTCTCCACTACCAGGTCCATTGCAAATGAATGCTTTGCAGAACACGGAAGACCTATTGGCGTGCGAAGTGTTTACCGACGAATGAGAAGTTTTGGCTTGTTTTCATACCGGCCACACTGGGTCCTCCCTTTAACTCGAGAACACCGACGTAATCGCCTTGAGTGGTGCAGACAACGGTCACTCTGGGATCAGGAATGGAACAGTATTGTCTTTAGTGACGAGTCTCGATTTTGTTTAGGCATGCACGATGGTCGTGCCAGGGTTAGAAGGCGACGTGGTGAAAGGAGGAATCCACAGTTTTTTGTTGAAAGACATGTTCATCACACTGTTGGAGTTATGGTTTGGGGTGCTTTAGCTTATGGTTCCAGGTCACCTTTAATCTTCATCAGAGGTAACATGAACGCGCAACGTTATATCCACGAAGTTCTAAAACCCCATCTTTTACCCTATCTTGACACCCTGGCAAATCCAACTTTCCAACAAGATAATGCTAGACCACATGTTGCAAGAGTCACAATAGACTTCTTTCAACATAATGATATCACATTGTTACCATGGCCACCAAGATCTCCCGACTTATCCCCAATTGAGCACGTGTGGGATATGATGGGTAGGAGATTGCTCAATTTGCAACGTCCTCCTGAGACTCTAGAAGCACTTCGAGAGGAGTTGGTGGTTGCCTGGAATGAGATACCACAGGAGGACATTGACCGCCTGATCAGAAGCATGCCTAGGCGCGTTGGAGAATGCGTAGCACATCAGGGTGCATCCACAGATTATTAAAGGTCAAAGGGCTTTAAAGCAGTGCAATCATTTTGAAATTTTTATCATTTACTTATTATGCTTCATTAAGTACTTATACAAAATTTTATTAAAATAAAACCATTTAAACTGGGTGTTCGGATTTATATGTCACTTAGTATATATATATATATTTGAGTATTTCTTAATCGCTGTAAATATAGTGTGGATGTTTGTTCAGTTCCTGAACAACCAAAAAATATTTGACTATGGATGTATGGATATCAAAAATCCTGAATGGTTTTGTGGAAATATCAATCGACGGTGCTGTAACGGTACTGATGAACGGCAAGTAAATGAATGAATGTTTGGAAACGAGCAATATCTATGAAATTATTGGTAGAGTCTGTCATCAAGTAGGTGATTAATGGCTATCTGCAAGAGGTTTATAGGAAAAAAAACACATGGTAGGTGATGTTGAATCAGTAAAATCGCATATCAATTGAAGAAAATAATATAAACATGAATAAACAATCGACAATATTAAATAAAAACATGAATTCTATTCAAAAATCGAACACTTTTTTAAATTCTGACTAAAGTATATGTAATTTCTTAATATTCAATAAGCTGGTGATGTTTCAATGACAAGCTGTCATCTCATACTTTGACAGTATTTTGTTTTCAACATTTCATAGCTATTGGTTGCTAAAATTTTTTGATTGGAACTTGAAGCTCATTCGCTGTATTTGACGGAGTGTTACCCTATAGGTGGAGAATAACAGACTGTTGATTTGACAATCCTGATGAAATCCACCCTACATAATTCAACAGACTTTTGAATGCCAGAAATTACTTTCGATACCGGTCATTGCTTAGGTGAAAGAAGTTCCTTTTATTATGTAAATGTTAATGTTTGACCGCGAATATTTAGAAAACTATGAGGTCAACGTATGTTCAATAAAAAGTATTCCGAATTTCTCGCAGAATATAAACATCTAACAAAATGTATAGCATTCCCTAAGAAAAACAAAATTTGCTATCAGTTTCGGATCCGCCGTGGTTTCGAACTTAAAGCTACCGATTTTTAAAGAAAATAGATGAGTCATTCGTTAGATATTCTATGCGTTCCAAACCTTTAATGCAATAATGGTCAATTTATTACATACCTCCGCTGCGCGACATCTGACTCCCGCTGATCACCGGAGTCGCGCGGCCTTCACAGTCGTACAGACCATCGTCGCGCACCTCTTTGTACACGATCTGGTACGTCGGTTCCCATATCCTCCTTATTTTCTCCTGTTTCGTGTTGAACTCGGCTATTTGCATCAGTTCCTGTACGGCTCTGAAGATCGTCCATTGCGGATTGTTCAGTTCCACTTCGACGTCGGGGACGCCGGGCATGTTGGGGCCCCTCAGCACCAACTGAAGCTTAGGCTGAGGCAACAGTTCGTGCTCCAAGCTCGAGTTGCTTTCTTCTTGGCCGGGCGGAGGCACTTCCAAATCTGGAAACGGACAGAATTTTTTAAATAACGTACTAGAGTCATTTCTTCGTTATGTCAAATGTGTTACAATGTTTAGCGTTAAGCTAAAATACTTGTATTTCGTTCGTTAACAAATTTAAACAATAGGTATCAGTTTTATGTACTATGATCATACCAGAATTACAAACCAATCAAGAACAATTATAGATTTCATAATCGCGACCGAACAAAATTCAATTGGAAAAGTTATGCATGCTCCTAAAATCAGTGAATATTCATGGATATATTTTGAAGTTGATCGTATACTTTATGCTAACAAAGCGGAAGGGATTACTAATAAATAAAATTACGAGAAGCTCTTTTACTGCAAGATATGACTGAAATGTTTATTGAAGTTGATAGCCACTATGCAAGCCTATTGGATATTGTTGAAGTTCGCATAAAAGAAGATACAGTCAAGACGACAGGTTATGAAAGAAAAAATCCAACACTTTGATTCTCACCATTAAAAAGAGGCTACAATCATAAAAAGTGTATGATTACTAGGGTGAAAATTATTGGCTAGAATACACAAGATCAAGAAACGAATCTGTAGCAGTTCTATGAGATGAAAAGATAAAAATATTACAATACCTAAACTGATGACATAAAAAACAGATGTGGAAAACATTGTTTTTCCGATTAGCTAAAATGAAGTTCGACGATGGGATAATAACAAATTAAAAAATAATAGCAGAAAAATATCCTAAATAAAATCAATAAAATATTACTATTTTTAATGTGCTAAAACCAGAATGAAACTTATTTTTTCAATATTAGTTCAAGTTTTAGAGATACGGTAATTATGTGTTCCTGCTGTGACAGTGTTAATATACTGTAATTCACAAGAATGCACGTGCTACATTTTTATATTCGGCAAGGAAAGATGATGTAACCGGCATGATTGTGTTACGTTATACATACGTGTACATTATATTGTTTTATATTAGCCATTTTTTCCTCAGTTGGCTGACAGCGTTCATGCAAGATGTCTCGAAAGTGTGTAAACAATCCAGATCAGTTTTGTTACGTGTGGTGATGTGACTTTTGCGTCTCAGAGACGGTCTATTACTCCACTAATAACAAAGGCATATCAGCTTTATTTCGGTTGTAAACTAGGTGATCAAGACAAACAGTGGGCACCCCACATCTGCTGTAATACATGTACTTCAAGTCTGAGGAGCTGGTTAAATGGCAAAAAACGGTCTATGCGCTTTGCTGTCCCAATGGTTTGTAAAGAGCCTACAAATCATATTAATGATTGTTACTTTTGCATGGTACCTTGTGTTGGACAAGCCACAGGTATGTCCAAGAAAAAAAAAATCGGTTATTAACTACCCAAACATACCATCTGCGATGAGACCTGTGCCTCACAGTGACGAAAATCCTATTCCAAAACCCCCAGAATCCTACACTTGCGAATCAGCAAACGAATCAGATCATGGCGATCGAGTGATTCGTCAGGAAGAAGATATGCCATCAACGTCAAGAGATCCTGATTTTATACCGAACACGTCATGCCACCAACCACACAAAATAACACAGTCAGAATTAAATGATCTTGTAAGAGATTTAGAACTTCCAAAATGTAAGGCAGAGTTACTTGGATCAAGACTGCAGCAGTGGAACTTGTGTGTGAATGGGACAGTCGGGCAAAGGCACTTCATTACACCAGACAAAACTGGCCTGTTCGTCAATTCCTAGAGCCAGATCAAAAAAATGTACAGCATATGCCATTAGTAGATTCGAAAAAAAATTTATTACCACCACTGCATATCAAGTTGGGCCTAATGAAAAACTTTGTCAAGGCATTAGATAGAGAAGGGTCAGCTTTTCAATACCTGCGTCAGAAATTTCCAAGACTAAGTGAGGCAAAGGTTAAAGAAGGTATTTTTGTTGGGCCACAGATTGCGGAGCCGTAAGTGATGAGCACGGCGAACGTTTTCATCAGGATATTTCAACAATGGAAAAAAGGTACCAGGGAAAGTGGAATCCTTCCATGCTTGCAGACTACTGTTGGACTCTTGGTAGAGATGCTCCAGAAACGATCCATAAAAGAACAGCAAAAAGACAGCGCATATAGTGATTCTTATAAGTATGTGAATCTTGTTACTTTTTTTAATATATCCTTAAAAATAAAAAGTTTTTTTTTCTAAACCGCAACTAATTTTTTTATTTCATTGTCATTTTTGGATTCAGCGCCCCAAAATTAACAAAGAGGTGCACTTTTCCCACAAGATACAATTAAAAAACTAAAATTTGTTGTCCAGTGTTATTGATGGGAATTCCGATTAGATCCCCATTAGATCTGATTATAATACATCATTCAGTAAATAATCGTCTCAAGAACATTATATCAAAATTGAAAGAGTGATATTTTGTCCGGAAGGGTGCTTACTGAATGTTTTGATATTATTGGAGCAAGAATATTAATCCTGATAAATTACTGTTTAAAATATTTCCAACAAATCTTAAGTGTTCTACCATAACTCCTGTTTCGAAAGTTAAGAATTCTGAGTTGTACACCAATATGCGCTTCAAAAGCGCGTTTGAAACTATTGGCACAAAATTGCATTACTATGGATTCAAAGGATCTGTATTCAAAGTTCTACAAAACTTAATGAGAGAAGTCAAAAGACGAAAATTGGATCTACATTATCAAAAAATATTTTTCTTGGTGTACCACAAGGTAGTAAACTAGGTCTACTACTATTAATTTTATACAAGGTTTGTCCGGAAAGTAATAGGACTGAGTCGATTTAAAAAAAAAATTATTGAGCCAATCGTTAAAATTCTTTCGATGCAGCGCTGCCAGCGCGATTTCCAAGCATTGAAGGTGTCACGGAAGGCATTCTCCGGAATAGCCTTGAGAGCCGCGGTGCATGCTGCTTGGATCCCCTCTGTCGTCTCAAAATGCTTGCCTCTCATCGGCCTTTTCTGGGCGAGGAAACAAAAAAAGTCGGGGGGGGGAGGGGGGGGGGCGCCATATCAAACGTATCTGTCGCAGATTTACCGAGTTTCACACATAATTTAATCGCGTACCTCTACCTCTACAAACCCTGTATATTAATGACATTTGTCAATTCAGATATTTGCAGATGACACGTATCATACGAAAATAGTCAACTAACCAGAAAGTTAGCTTGCGTTCGAAATACCGCGCCTAAATGATCGTACCTGTCGTCTGGTTGACGTTAGTCCTGCCAGGTCTGGGATCGAAAGCGGGTATGAGCGCCGAAAACTGCCTCTTGAGCACGTACTCGTCGTCCCACGATCTCCTTTTCGTCGGTTTCGTCTCGAAACTCTCCTCTTCCATGAAAGACAGCAAATTGCGCGACACCATCGAAGACAACTCTTCGTAATCGGCGTCGTCTTCGTTTTCGTCGTCGTCATTATCCTCCTCTTCACCCATTTCTTCGTCGTCGTCGAGCTCGGCGAGAAGCGTCGGCGCGCGGCAAGACTCCAGAAAGTCTTCCAGGCTCACCTAGAAAAAAGGGCAAAGAATAATTTGTTTTTACTTATTAACCCATAAACGATACATCCCCTCCCTGCTATCGCACCTTTATATCAAAGTACACCAACCTGTTCGCTATCGCTACTGGTGCTCGTAAGGCTCATCGTCAACGCTTGGCTGAGACCCTGCACGGCGCCAGCCGCAGGCGAAATGCCGGCTCCGCCCACTCCGGCGACACCGCCCCCGCCTGCGCATTGCTGATTGGCCGGATTGCCGTTGCTCGACGACGATAGGCTCGGGTAACTCTGGGCGGTGCTTAGCAGGCCGCTGTGAAAGTTCGACGAGAGCGCCAGCCGTACCAGGCTCGATACGGAGTTCGGCGCTCGCGGGAAAAAGGAACCGCCGGAGTTTGCGCCACCCTGAAATACAGAGTAGAATAATAATAATTTATTCGTATTAATTACAAAAATTCGTGTTGCACAAAAAGTAAAATATCCTTGTGTGTAGATATCATTCTATCTAACCCATATCTATAGCTCGGAGGTAAATAGTCGAAAAAGCAATGTTACGATCAATGAGAAAAACAAGTTTAAATGGTCGTATTAGATTTTTATAACAAATATTGATAACCAACAATATTATGCTTCGTAGTTCAAATGCACATTTAATTGTTAAACTGCAGATTCAGTAGTTCAAATGCACATTTAGTAGTTCAATTGTACATTTAGTAGTTCAAATACACATATAACGGGTGATTTTTTAAGAGGTATAGGATTTGAAAAAAACACAAAAAATTTGAAAAAACGATTAAATCTTTATTTGAGTCGATAGAACGGTCGATATAATTTAATGTTTAAGGATTATTTCATGTAAATGTTGGCCGCGGCTCCGCTTTAGATGACCCATGCGCAAGGTCCAATTTTGGCATACTCTCTCCAACATATCGGCCGGTATCTCACGAATAAATGCTTCAATATTGGCTTCCAGTGCGTCAATCGTTGCTGGTTTATCCCTATAGACATTAGCCTGAACATGGCCCCACAAGAAATAGTCCAACGGCATTAAATCACACGATCTAGGCGGTCAATTGACGGGCCCCAAACGCGAGATAAACTGTTCACCGAACTCGCCTCTCAATAGGGTCATTGTTTCGTGTGCGGTGTGGTATGTGGCACCGTCTTGTTGAAACCACATGTCAGCCAAGTCCAGCTCTTCCATTTTGGGCAAAAAAAAGTTTGTTATCATTTCACGGTAGCGCTCGCCATTCACAGTTACGTTCAGGCCATTGTCGTCTTTGAAGAAGTACGGCCCGATGATGCCACCGGCCCATAATCCACACCAAACAGTGATTTTTTCGGGATGCCTTGGTAGCTCTTGCAATGCTTCTGGCTGGTCTTCACTCGAGATGCGGCAATTTTGCTTGTAAAAGTACCCATTCGACCAGAAATGAGCTTCGTCGCTGAACACAATTTTTCGATAAAAATGTGGATCTTCCTCCAACTTTGCCAGCGCCCATTCACCAAATTGGAAACGCTGTGGAGGTCGTGTGGCTTCAATTCTTGCACCAGCTGTATTTTATAAGGTTTTACACCCAAATCCTGTCGCAAAATTTTCCACGTAGTGAAGTAACAGAGGCCCCATTGCTGCGAACGGCGGCGAATCGACATCTCACGGTCATAACTAACACTGGCGGATACAGCAGCAATATTTTCTTCAGTCCTCACTCTACGTCTGCGTGTTGGTGGTTTAATGTCCAATAATGTAAACTGGGTTCGAAATTTAGTCACAATCTTCCGAATAGCTCCCTCAGTAGGCCGACCAAATTGTCCATAAATTGGAAGCATTGCTCGATGCACTCTCTTAACCGAGCATGAATTTTGATAGTAAAATTCAATAATTTGCAAGCGTCGTTCGTTCGTAAGTCGATTCATGGTTAAATTATAGACCGTCATCTGTCAAAAACAGTGTTGCCAAAAAGATACTAGCAAAAAAATCACCCATTAGTAGTTGAAATGCACATTTAGTAGTTCAAATATACATACCTGTGAGTTGCTGTTGAGTGTGTTGTTTTTATTTGTGGAATTTGCCGCGTTAGAAGAGGAGACTGTGGCTAGAGTCCGCCGTCTGGTGAGAGCGGCGAAAGTCTCTAGAAGACCCGCCGTTGTCGTCGGCTCGATCTGGATATAAACAAAAATCGTTAAAAAATGGCACACTGCTGACTACCGTCAACTACGTAGGGAACCTATAGCTGGAAAAACAATCTAATAATCAAATATTTTATTCGTATCACTAGACATAGCCCCTGGAGAAATGTTTCACAATACATCCAAAACGGGCAAAACATATCCATGATATATTTACGATTAAAAACTATTAAGAAAATATCTATGGAAATGAAACAGCACTAAGCGCTATCTATGTCCAGAATCGACCACTGCTACTGTATAGCTGCTAACGGTTGGAACTGAAAAGATCGCAGTTCGCGTTTGATAGCCCAGTTACCACCTTGGCTGCTAAAGGCTGACGATTCTGGCGGTATAGTAAACATAGCCTACTCGGATAGAGGATTATAAAATTATTTACCTGGCTGTTGGACTCGCTGCTGGTTAAATTAGGCACACTGACGCTCATCGGATTCGTGACGACTATCGAGTTTGCACTGCTTCCGCCACCGTTGTTGCTATTGTTTTTCGCGTTGTTCGAATGCACCGTCTGTTCCACTTTATCGCTGGCACTGGCTTTCATCGAGTCTGTCTTTTGCCTGCAACACAAAAATAATTGAAGACTCAAGTGGATGAAGGTGGCAGGAATTCGCAGAAACATCACTTTTTTAGATCAAGATTGTAGATACTCCCCCTAGTGGCCATCTCAGAAACTTTTAGTAAGAACTTTTTTCTGATAACTATTATGACTTGGTCTATTCCCCGTTTCCACCTTGACTTCGGGGACAGCCTGTATACATTCTTTTCACTCACTTTGTGGTTTTCTCGTCCTCAGTTTCCGACCCGCTGGATATCCTAACGGTCGCCGATCCGCCCAAGTTGGACAGCGTGCTGATCTGACTGCTCTGCCCGATATTCAAAGCGGACTGCAGCAATTCGGCCGAGAGGAAATTGTTCGTGTTATTTCTGAGCATGTCCGAGGAACCTTCCCGGATCTTGTCAAGCACCTCGACAGCTTCGACGAAACTTTGAGCTGCAGCCGCTACGGCGACCGCAGCTTGCGAATTGCTCACTTTTGAGGTACGGTTCGATTTGTTCGAAGACGTGTTGCTTAGGGACACCTGAAACAAACATTTTTTCATGTCTCAAACGTACCGCAAGTAGGTCAAATGTACCGCAAGTAGGTCAAATGTACCGCAAGTAGTGCAAATGTACCGCAAGTAGTGCAAATGTACAGTAAGTAGTTCAACTGTACCGCGAGTAGTTCGAGTGTCCCGCAAGTAGTCCAAATGTACTGTTAGTAGTTCAAATGTAATATCGGTACAAAATATAAACACCTGTGGAAATCAAAATGTCAAGATCTTGCAGTTTTGACGTTAATCCATCATCATTATAAACTTACCGCTTTCTGTGAATCTGAAGTATTCGAAGTGTTGGTTTTCGAGTTGCACAGTGCGAGACTCTCCACGATCGTCGCCAAATCCGTTGAATTGTTGATAGCTGACAAATCATGGTGAGGATCCCTCAAAGGATGCACCACTACCGATAGACCGCTCTCGTTGCTGGCCATCTGCGAACCACCTAGTACAGAACAAGATAGCATCAAGTAGATGGACTTAGGGATACAAGTAAGGTCATAGATCAACGAAAGTTTGTGCATAATTTGTTTGCTACTTGTCGTACCTGTAACCGCGACTAGGGCTTCGTTTCTGGCTACGGAAAGGACGCTTTCGGCTATAGTTTCTGCTGCTTGTTTAGCAGCCAAGTTGTCCGCGGACGCAGCTTGTTCAGTGGATGCTACAGATGCCTTAGCGTCCGTCGCCTCGGGTAAACTGGGCGTTGAACTGCTTTTCCTACTTGTCAGCACGCTCTGCTGTTGCTAAATGTACACATACATATTAGTTTTCTATGTTTCAAAATAATGTTCATATTAAATATCGCAACATAAACTGCACGAAGAAGCTTACGCTTAGGATATCAACAGGCCACAGAGTTATAGACCAGGGTAATAGGCGTAAAAAGACGCCTGTTTAAACGGTCATTTCAAATACTATAATACCAACAGACTTGAAGATCATCATACCTGTTTGTCTTTATCATTTTTCTGTTTGTTAGAATACTTTGAGGATGATGCTGACGCGGCTTCAACATCATATCCCGGTGCCAGTTTCAAATCGTATTTTCCCTCGGCGCCCATTCTATACGAATTCGAACCGCCGTGGTCCCATGTTACATCAATCCAACCGCTGTGTAGCTCACCAGTTACTGTACCTGTAATATTCGATCAACATTATTTTGTTCTCGGTTCTCACAGACGATCAGAGCTCGATTCCGGCTTCCTTCCAGTACAGCCGTAGAGCGTACGACATATGTCGATGGTCAACAGCACAGACAGAGATGGAAATAATGGCTGATTGTTCTCCACCGGTAGAACCAATGAAATCAAAGACGCGCCTCGACCGGCAGACTCATAGGCGTCGGCAACGCATTGGAACGTGTTTCGTTGAGCGATCGCGTATTGTGTGTTTTTATAAGAATTGTTGTGTGATCGTTATTGTTGTGGTTTCTGTGGTTACTGTTTTGGTTATACTTAACCATGGATAGTACAAATGGCAGGAGTGGAAGTACTGAAAGCCAGGGAACAAGTACACGGCTTCGTAAGGCACTGAAGAGGGACGCGAAAGAAATCGTGCTCAACGTGTTCAATTATCTGAACAGAACTATGTCGCAGGGAGATGCACTCGCGAGTTGTGAAAGTATGACAGGCGTTCCAGAGTTTACCATTCGCAGGGTGGTGCATGAAAAGAAGAAAACTGGAGCTACTACTGATCCAAAGTTTAATTTGAAGGGACGAAAGGCCGTTAAATTGGATGACGATAGCAAAATGGCGTTAAGGCGAACCGTACATTCATTCTTCTTTAGGAATGAGACACCAACCCTCAAGGCTGTACATGCAGCGATCAAGGAAAATGAAATTATACCCCAAATGAGCGTCGAGGTAATGAGGAAATCCCTGCACGAAATTAATTTTCGTTACGAAACGCGTAATCGGAAGTCAGTATTGATAGAGAGACCTGAAATAGTCGCCTGGCGTCGAAAATACCTACGCGAAATGATTGAATATAGGCGACAAAGCAGAAAAATCTATTATTTGGACGAGACATGGGTAAATGCAGGTCACACAGTTAAAAAAACCTGGATAGACAAAAACGTAGTGAGTAACGACAAGCAAGCATTGAAGGTTTGTCAACAGGTCTTCGTGGACCGTCAGGAAAAGGTCAAAGATTGATCGTAACTCATATTGGTAGCGATAGTGGCTTTTTAGAAGAGTGTGACTTGATTTTCGTCTCTAAGAAAGGAGGTGATTACCATGACGAAATGAATGCCAGCTGCTTCGAGAGCTGGTTCAAGGGTTGCTTCAGCGAGTTGAGCCCAACTCTGTGATCGTCATGGATAATGCTTCCTACCATAGTCGTCGAGCCGAACGTGTACCGACTATGGGATCTCGAAAAAGTGACATGCAGCAATGGTTGCGCGAAAAAGGAATCCCGTTTGACGATTCATGTGTGAAAGCGGAATTGTATGAAAAAATTAAACAGCACAAACCTGCTAACATTAGTTACGTGACTGATGAGATGGCCCGTCAATGTGGTGTCACTGTGCTGCGGTTACCGCCCTACCAGTGTGAACTGAACCCAATAGAGCTCATCTGGGCTCAAGTGAAGGGTTATATTGCGCGCCATAACACAACCTTCAAATTACCAGACGTTAAGGTTTTACTTGAGACTTCCATACAGCTAGTAACGCCCGAAGCTTGGCAGAATGCTATCCGTCATGTTGTGAAAGAAGAAACAAAAATGTGGCAGCTTGACCAACACATCGACACCAGCCAGTTATAGTCAATTTCAACGAGGAAAGCGATAGCGATAGTTTATTACTGTCAGATGTAAGTGGAAGCGACGATGAATAAAGGTAATTCCCAAATTTTTGACTTACAATATGTTTCAAACCACACTTTATTAAGCATGTGACAAATCTAGTTCACCCATGTTAAACATTCATACCCCGCCTATGAACAGCCGACTACTGGTAGTTAAGTGATGTTCACGTGAACATCGATGAGTCATTACATTTTAGATAGTTATAGTATAGTCAGTGTTGCATTTTCTATGTCATCTAGTGTAGATTTTCATTTACACAATTGCAATAGTAATATAACTAGCAAATCAATATTCCAGAAAGGATTATTTGAATTTAACAAATTATATAATGATATAAAATCTACTTGTAACTTAAAGACATTTGAAAGAAAATTAGAGGAATGTTTCATGGACAGTGTCATTTTTGTAGTTTTTTTTAAAGAATGTAGTTGTAGCAATGAGGTTAAATAAATCTATCTGTTAGTAAAATAGGGCCTTAGTGTTGCAATATTCAATAAAGAAAAACTTGCATATCGCCTTACCTTCTCCAGGCGGGTTCCCGTCCTGATCCCGCCACTTCCAATCGACGCCTTTCACCACCCTGGCGCCGACGACCATATGTTTGAGCAGCTGCGACTTGACCAGTCTCCGTTGCTTCCTCAAATGCGCCTCCTGTTCTTTGTGCGCCTTGCCCATATCCTCGCAAACGGACGTGATCCGACCGTATATCTCGAATCCGCTCAGGCTGAGGTAGTGCGTTTGACCGGATGCGTTTTTCCCTGCTTGTTGGATACGGACGTGGCGCCAGCCTTGTTGTTCCTCGGCCGGCGGTTCCAGAGGCCACGTCGCCGTGCTGCCGGGATCGTTCAGAGACATGTCCTGTGAAGAAATGAGAGATTGAGTTTTTATTTCCCCTTCGCGGACACCTCCTTCAAGCGGACACCCCTCTTGAACGAACTGATTATACGATCCGATTCACTCACCTGCGAATGCGCGTACAACGTGGTCCAAGTACTCCCGTCCTTGGACATCTGGAAATGCCAATTCCTCAACGCCGATCTGCCGTAACCTCTGGCGTGCCTAAGCGTATAGGCAGTAGGCACGATGTACACTCCTAAATCGACGCTGAACCATGCTCGCTTATCATCGTTCGTATGACAATTCAACGCCGAAGGGTCGCGCGACAAGATGTCCTCCACCCGGCCGTAAGGTAGATTTCTCGCATCAGAACTGGTCACGGCAACTAAACCGTATTGGCCGGGATTCACCCATTCACAACTCGTCTTTCCATTCGTACCTGTATAAAACAGAACATTAAATATTATGTCCTCTTTCTGAAATGAATAACCGTTCATCGGATAGTAAATTCCATGCGCAAAAATATTGTAATTCAAGCAAAATACGCACAGTAGTTCAAATGAACAGTAGTTCAAATGAACAGTAGTTCAAATGAACAGTAGTTCAAATGAACAGTAGTTCAAATGAACAGTAGTTCAAATGAACAGTAGTTCAAATGAACAGTAGTTCAAATGAACAGTAGTTCAAATGAACAGTAGTTCAAATGAACAGTAGTTCAAATGAACAGTAGTTCAAATGAACAGTAGTTCAAATGAACAGTAGTTCAAATGAACAGTAGTTCAAATGAACAGTAGTTCAAATGAACAGTAGTTCAAATGAACTGAACAGTAGTTCAAATGAACAGTAGTTCAAATGAACAGTAGTTCAAATGAACAGTAGTTCAAATGAACAGTAGTTCAAATGAACACTAGTTCAAATGAACACTAGTTCAAATGAACACTAGTTCAAATGAACACTAGTTCAAATGAACACTAGTTCAAATGAACACTAGTTCAAATGAACACTAGTTCAAATGAACACTAGTTCAAATGAACACTAGTTCAAATGAACACTAGTTCAAATGAACACTAGTTCAAATGAACACTAGTTCAAATGAACACTAGTTCAAATGAACACTAGTTCAAATGAACACTAGTTCAAATGAACACTAGTTCAAATGAACACTAGTTCAAATGAACACTAGTTCAAATGAACACTAGTTCAAATGAACACTAGTTCAAATGAACAGTAGTTCAAATGAACAGTAGTTCAAATGAACAGTAGTTCAAATGAACAGTAGTTCAAATGAACAGTAGTTCAAATGAACAGTAGTTCAAATGAACAGTAGTTCAAATGAACAGTAGTTCAAATGAACAGTAGTTCAAATGAACAGTAGTTCAAATGAACAGTACAGTAGTCCAAACTATACAATAGTTCAAACGAACAGTGCGGTAGTTCAAACGAACAACTACGTACCTATGAAGTATATCAGTCCGTTTTCGTCGAAATCGTGCGTGTGCTTGAAATGCTGATACTTGGCGTCCCTGAGCTTCTTCAGGAACTGGAACGAGGTGCGTTCGTAGTCGTACCATTGCTTGGCGACCATTTTGAGCAGGTATTTTTCGAGCTGCGCGACGGTAGCGAGCGGTTCCATTTTTAGGCCGCGTCCGGATCGGTCGATCAGCGAACTTTCTCCCGGGGCTTTTTCCAGCCTGAATCTGAGCCGTCTGGTGAGGATCTGCAATCCGTAGCCGCTGCTCGGGGTGTCGTAGAGATAAACGGGGAGTTTCTCGATGCTTTCGAATACGGAGATCAGTTTGTGGATGAGGATCGAGACCGAGCCGTAATCGTCGGTCGCTTTGCCTTTGAAGCATTGCTTGAACACTTGGACGCGTTGCTTTTGGTGCTTGCTCATTTTACTCGATTTCAGACCTGCCAGGAAATATTCAAGTTGTTAACCAAATCAGACATTGCATAATAAGTTTTAGATTAGTTCTGTCATTAAGAATGATTGTATTCTTCAGACAATAAAGCATATCTATCCATCCATCTAGCGACAAGAATACTTCTGAAAATCGTATAAATGCCGTGTGCGCGTGACTCCTCACCTTGATCCCAATAACTGGTAGACAACAAGGACAACAGAGCCTGCACCAGCCCCGAACTGTGCAGCTCGTACGCCGACACGACGCCGTCTTCCTTCAAAATAGCGGTGAGATCGTCGAGCGCGTGTCTCAGTATCTCCTTCCAGCCGTTGTTGCCGCCTCCGCTGCCCTGGACGGCCGCCGACGCCTCCCTGTTGTTGCCGCTTCCGCCGTAAGCGCACTGCTTCTGGCAAGCGCGCTCTATCTGCGCGACGATGTTGCCCAGTTTCGCGACTATGCCGCGAGGTTGGGCCTGCGCGGCGCGGAAGTACTGCTCGTAGATCTGGAAAGAAGCATAGGAGGTATCATTAAAGAAACGTAAAGTTTACGAAGCTTGTTCTTTGGTCAGGCCAGCCTTAGAAACAATTCTAATCACTTAACTGAAGTTTTGCAGAAGAAGTTTAAAGGTCATGTTAACATTTTTTTTCAATTGAATAAGCCTCGTATGTCACTAATTTGCACTGACGGACATTCTCTGGAACGGATGCGGACCCGAGAAACTAACCGGACAAAAAACAAAATAAAAAGATAGCTCTAGCTCATACGTTTTATGCCATAGTAGTAAAGTTTTCTAAGAATGTTTACTATAAACAACAGAATAAGCTCACCTGGTGCGCCAAATACTTGACTTTCATCTTGGTAGCTTCGCCTTTCGATCTTAACCTCTTCCCTTTCTTATTTGTCCAACTGGTCGAGAACTCGGGGCCGAGGCTGGTCTCGGCGATAAACGAATGCTTTGTGCCACGATTCGATTCGAAAATGAACCCTGGTAACTCATCCCTAAAGAAAAAAAAACAATAATCAGTAGTTAAACAGGGTTTCAGTTTATTGTTGCATAACTTTAAGATTCGATAGAACTTTTAAAATTAATGCATAAAGTGTATATAAATATGGGTCGAAAAATGCATGGCTTCCGAAATACAGGGTGTTTAAATTTACTTTCTAAAATAGTTTTTTTTTAAATATTTCGAACAATATTTGATGTATAGCAGTGAAAATTGGTATACAATTGTTTTTTGGTACGACAAAACGAACCATGGGCATAGTTTTACTGTAGCCGCTAGAGAGCGCTCTCTACTGTACCTGTAGTGTATTAAAATAACCGAAAAAATTTTCTTAGTGCAATTTTTTGCTTTTTGAATAAAAAAACTGATTCTTCGCACTTTTCAACATAAAAAAGCTATCTTGTGAATTTTCGTTATAGTTAGCCATTTTTGAGATATTTCGATTTTTAAGGTTCGATGCATTTTTAATTATTTATGATAAAATAACGTTAAAACGTAAGTATCTAGATAATTTTTAGAGGTAGGCTGTGCCTGCAAATATTTTTGAAATTGAAAGCAGAATAAGGTTAAACGTCAATTAGTTGACAGTTTGTTTTGTTCTCTGTTGAAATCTGAAACGTTTTTTTGCAATTGTGAGTGCACGTAATTTAGTTTCTTTTACCTGTTTTTTTTTTGTAAGTTTTATAAAAATGCCATTTTTATTCTCCAATCAAGAGTTAGCGGATATTCATTTTGTGTATGGCTTTGTAAATGGAAACGCAGCAGAAGCAGCCAGGGAATATGCACGAAGATTTCCAAACAGACGACATCCAACTCGCTCAGTATTTGTAAGAGTTCATCGCCAAATAATTGAAAATGGTTTTGGAAATCTCCAAAGGGATCAAAACATAAATGTTCGTCAGTAAAGATTTACCCGTATGATTCTGCGTGAGTTTGATAGAGATCCGACCACAAGTGTTAAGAGAGTTTCTGGTGCCTTGGGAATTTCAGCAAGCCATGTTCACCGTGTTTTTAGAAATAACCATAGACGTCCTTACCATTTGCAACCTGTGCAAGGACTACAGCCAGGGGACGGAGAACGAAGGATCACATTGTATCAGTGGATTCTTGATAGAACTGATAATAATAGGGAGTTTTTAAGTAACGTTTTATGGACCGATGAGTCATGCTTCACTAGACGTGGACCGGTAAATTTTCATAATCAACATATTTGGTCGTATGAAAATCCGCATGGAGTTCGGGAAAGAAATTTTCAGCATGAATTTAGTGTGAACGTGTGGATTGGTATCTACCGTAATCGACTATTTGGACCCTACCTTTTGCCTGCAAGGTTAAATGCTGCGACCTTCTTGGAATTTTTAAAGGCTGAACATGCAAATATGTGGGATGATGTTATGCTAGATTTAAGAAGATTGGCCTGGTTCCAGCTTGATGGTTGTCCAGCTCATTATTGGAGAATAGTTAGAAACTGGCTGGACGAAAATTATCCAAAAAGATAGATCGGCCGTGGAGGACCAGTCGCCTGGCCTCCACGATCCCCTGACCTAAATCCATTAGATTTCTTTGTGTGGGGATTTCTAAAAGAAAAAGTGTACCAGACTCCCGTAACCACAAGAGATATGCTAATAGACAGAATCAGCAATGCATGTGATGAAATAAGGCCTTATTTGAATAATGCTATACCACGTTCGATCATTCGTAGATGTGAATTGTGAATTGAACAATTGGGTTTACATTTCGAGCAACTACTTTAGATTTTGTATGTTTGTCCTAACTATCCAATAGCATTTTAGTTGTAAATAATTAATTTAATTTGTTAAAAATAATATTGGAAAATTAAACAAATTAATATTCTTTTTTTTTGTGTTTATTTGGAGTTAGGAATTATTGCTGTGTTTAAAAACACAATCTAAACGATCATCTTAATTACTTGTAATGCCCAAATCGAAAATGTAAAAAAATATTATTTTCCCATAAATAATTAAAAATGCATCGAACCTTAAAAATCGAAATATCTCAAAAACTATAACAAAAACTCACAGGAGAGCTTTTTTATGTTGAAAAGTGCGAAGAATCAGTTTTTTTATTCAAAAAGCAAAACATTGCACTAAGAAAAATTTTTCGGTCATTTTAATACACTACAGGTACAGTAGAGAGCGCCCTCTAGCGGCTACAGTAAAACTATGCCCATGGTACGTTTTGTCGTACCAAAAAACCCTTGTATACCAATTTTCACTGTTATACATCAAATATTGTTCGAAATATTTAAAAAAAACTATTTTAGAAAGTAAATTTAACCACCCTGTATTTCGGAAGTCACGCATTTTTCGACCTATATTTATATAGACTTTATGCATTAATTTTAAAAGTTCTATCGAATCTTAAAGTTATGCAACAATAAACTGAAACACCCTGTATATTGGATTTCAACTTGCAAAATCCGTTTCCAACAACTAAATTTTACAACTTACAGACGTTTACAGTTTTGTTTAAAAATTATTTAGCATGATTGCAATTACATTGGATCTCTAAGAATTGTCACTGACCATGAAATGTTTCTTTAATTTTCTTTTAGTGACAGAAAAAATAATTATAGCAGAAAGTGTGAACATTTATTTCATAGACAGTATAAATCAAATAGTGAACACCGTTGACTATAGTTAGGGAAAAATTGAGCCAGTATAAATTTTCATCTGCAAAATTGTAACAGTGTTCGAATTTAAAAATGTTTAAGGTGAAATTAAAAAATCACTTTATGAATATTCAAAGCGCATAGTGAAGTAATTTTACTAGGCAAGAATGTAAAATTACAGAAAATCTATTCAAAAAAATGTGTACAAAATTGGCATTGTAACATTAATGCTAAATAAATCCACAACAAACAAAAAGTGTTACCTGATCACTGTAGATTGCTGTTGTCCATCAGAATTGTGTATGTGAAGTTCGGCCTCCTTGCGAGACGACAGCGACCAGTTGCCGACGACAAGTCGCGTACCTCCGGGCTTCGATAGGATCGGAGTGGAATTGTTAGTACAACGAACGGCAGCGCGGGCGCGCTGTAGTTTCTCGAGGAACTCGCCGCGATTCTCTGCAATAAAGACATTCTAGTTTAGTAAGTTATTATTATTATTATTATTATTATGATAATTGAGATGAGCAGAGTACACAGTACTATAAGCTCATTTAGTAAATATAGTGTACGGACACGTAACACAAATACATCAAATAGAAAAAAATAAAAAAATACAGTTCATAGCTATAAAGTTTGTACACTCCTCCAGCTATCATACTGCACTTTGAAGCTATTAACTGAAGTAGCACCAACCACACTTTCAGGTAAACTGTTCCAGGTGTTGAATATGCGGTTGGGAAGAAACCACTGTCGGACTGTTGTTTTAAATGGCTCCTTATGCAGTTTGAAGCTGTGTCCGCGTAGATTGCTGCGCGACAGACGGTATAGATGCATGAGGTTGGTGCCCATCAAACCATGAAGTATCCTGAACGTAACTATAAGATCGCCACGAAGTCTTCGCTCAGAGAATGAGGTCAGGTTGAATAATTCAAGGCGATCTTCATAGCTTGGTCTTCGTGCTCCAAAAGGGATACGAGTAGCCTGACGCTGTACTGATTCGACGAGATTTCTATCGCGCAGAAGCACAGTGTCCCATACCGGGCCAGCGAATTCAAGAATTGGCCTCACGAATGCCTTGTAAATGTAGGCGCAAGTGTTGACATCGGATGTATAGAAGTTTCTTGGCTTTTGATGTAACGTGGTGAATATGCTCTGACCAGGAAAGACGATCGTTGACTACAACGCCCAGATCAGTGTGGCTGGAAACTGCTTCGATGTTGTGGTCAGAGATCTTGTATGTAAATCGCGGATTTGTCTTCCCGAGGTGAAGGACACAACACTTAGTTAGATTTAAGGGTAAAAGCCAACTGACTGACCATTGACAAACAATATCATGATCTCGTTGAAGCATAGCAGAATTTACGACAGTATTGTAAATGTTGGTGTCGTCGGCATAAGCTGAACATGTGGAGGAAATCAATGCGGGCAGGTCACTTGTATACAGAAGGAACAGCACTGGCCCCAAGACAGAGCCTTGAGGAACTCCGCTTGCTACATGATGAAGGTGAGACTGGCTATCACTGACGCGCACAGAGAAAGTCCTCCCGGTGAGAAAAGCCTGTGTTGTGCGAAACATTAACGCATGTCACTTTGGTAGATCCGTACGATAAATATCTTGGCCTGACGTGACTAAAGACGTTAAGCCATATCCCCTAGAAGTGCTAAGTCAACTGAAGGGCATGCAGGCTATTTTTTGTATTAGTTATTATTAGTTCAAGCAAAAAATTGAAGAGAGTACCAGAATAACATCATTATCAGAGACTTTGTTAGATCTTGTTATTGTAAATTTCGAATGTGCAGGGATTAAAGCTGTACATACACCTAAAGTTAGCGATTACGGTTGGACAATGCTGCCCTTGGTAGGGCATTTTTCTGATACAAAAATTAAGAAAATCGTAAATACTATTAATTACGAAAAACTTGAACGAGAACTTGCTGGCTGCTATTGGAATTTTGGTGAGAATATGGAAAAAATATATGACAACATAATAGGAAATATAAAAACTTGTTTAGATCTTGCAACTGATAAAAAAGTGATTTGCTCGACAAAAAATACTCCCTGGTATAACAAGAATATTAAGGCAGCTCAAAATTTGAGAGACAAACAATACAATAAATGTATATTCTCAAAATCAAATGATGATTGGGAGGTATATAAAACTCTTAGGAATAAATGTGTATATGTAATTAGAGAAGAAAAAAGGAAATTCTACGATAAACAAATCGATAATAACAGGTGCGACAGTGTAAAGATGTGGAAGACTTTAAAAAGACTGATCAATTCGAAGCCGCATGATTGTGTAAATCAAGTTCAATACGAAAACGGTACCGAAACAAATTCTTTGGTGACTGCAAACAAACTAAATGAATATTTTGTGGAAAGTATTGTTGATATTGTGGGTACTGCCAATGCTGCACCTGACTATATGAAAATCAGTTTCCAGGGGGAAATGTTGCATACACTTTCAAAATTTCACAGAGTATCATTGAATTATCTAAGAAAAAAAGTAAACAGTTTAAAATCAAATCACAACTGTGCCGAAATCACTACTAAAAACGTGCTGAAAAACTGTTTACAAATTTTGGGATATCCTGTATTAAATTGGATCAATTGTTCACTGAGAAGCAGTTCTTTTCCTGAAAATTTTAAATGCTCTACAATAACACCAGTTCCCAAAATAAAAAATTCTAAAAGATGCAGCGATATGAGACCAGTAAATGTGTTACCAGATATTGAAAAATTATTAGAGTCCATAGTGCATGACCAATTAATGCAGTTTATAGAAGAAAACAAAATTTTAGTGGAGGCACAAGCAGGCTTTCGAAAAAAATATTCCACAGAAACAGCTTTCCAGTTGGTAACTGAGAATTGGAGAAGAGCCATAGACTGAGAAGAAGATGTCATAGCAGTATTTTTGGATTTGAAGATGGCATTTGAAACGATTGATAGAGATATTTTGTTAGGTAAATTGAAGGCATATGGTATAACAGGAAGTGTTTTAGATTGGTTTAGGAATTATTTGTCTAAAAGGATGCAAGTTACAAAAGTTAATGACACTATTTCATCAAAAATTGAAAATACATTGGGTGTTCCACAAGGCAGTATCCTGGGACCACTTCTTTTTATTTTATACATAAATGATTTACCTGCCATAGTCAAAAAATGCAAAATTCAGATTTTCGCCGATGACACTATGATTTATATAAGAACTAAAAATATTCAGTCTGGTATCTCTTAAATAAATGAAGACTTGAAGCTTGTCTCAAAATGGTTAGCATCTAACAGACTAAAATTAAATGCAAGTAAAACGAAAGCCTTGTTAATCGGAAAAAAGCAATGTACAAATGTTCAACTGAATATTGATGGTGAAGATATTGAATTCGTAGAAAATTTTAAATACCTGGGGTTTTTGTTGACTCTCGATTAATTTTTGATATCCATTATGAAAAAGTAATAAATCAGATTAGTAGTAAAGTGGGATATTTATCGAGAGTTTCTGGATGTCTGAGTTCATATAGCAGAAAAATTATCTATAATACCATCATTCTTTCAAATTTCTTGTACTGTTCGACTATTCTATATTTAGCAAATAATTCCATTTTTGAAAGACTGCAAATTTTACAAAATAAGTGCATGAGAATAATACTAAATAAAGATAAATATACTCCAATTAGGCAAATGCTTAGCAAATTAAAATGGCTCAATGTAAAAAAAAATTATCAAATATCTTGTAATGGTATTCATTTATAAAGTAAAAAATAATATATTTCCATCAAGTCTAACTAATTTAACATCATCAAATGTCGACCATCATTTACATAATACCAGAAATAAAGATGACTTCCATTTAATGACCAAAAAGTATAACATATGCTACAAGTCTGTATTCCATCAAGGGTTGATTGAATATAATAAATTATATTCGGAGATAAAAGACCAGAAAACTTTGACAAAATTGAGAAATCACTTGTTAAATCTACAATTATAGGTTGCCCAGCATTTACATCATACACCATATGGCTTGAATTTACTAGTTCTAAGTTGTTTACAATTATTCTGTTTATGTAGTCAAAATGTGCTAAATAAATATTTCTACTACTACTACTACTACTAGTTTCACAACACCTTGAGATCATGATTTCAAACCATCTATTTATCAAAATATCAATAATAATTATAATACAGTGAAATTCCCCTTCACGGACACCCCTCTTACACGGACAGCTTCTCATGGTCCCGACCGACTCATGAATTTGCATGGTATTAACTTTCTCTCGAAATAAACTCAATGTGGTTTAGGTACTTTACCCTTCATTATTCAATCAGTTAGTTACCTGACGTATCAGCGCCACCTTCCGGCGATCCGCTAGAATACATTGTCGCCAGTTTGCCGTCCAAGATGAATCTGAACCAGCCGTTAGAGCCGTTGCTCAATTCCAAAGCTGCCACGTCGGACCAAATATAAAGGCAGTCTCTACCTCTGCAGACCGACCAGTCGCGCCAATGATACGCCTTGCCTGGCAAGATTTCTTTAGCGTCTTCTACTTGAGCTGCTGCGTCTTGATTCTCTGCAAACAACGTGAAGTTTTTGACGAGGTAATATTTTCCGAAATGTTGCAACCATCCTTGATAAACGTTGGTCGTCACAGAGAAAAGTATAGCACGAAGAATGAACATTTATTTTCTATATCCCAACAAGTATATCATAATTCATCAATGAGTCAATGTAGGACAAAAAAAAATATTAACGATCTAAGAAGAGCTGTCTCAGAATTGAAATCTAATGAGAATCCATGTAAGAATCTCTCAAAAACGATTCTTTCGATATAATTGGAGCGAAATTATCATTATTTGTGAACCGTTGTTTAGTACATCAAAATTAAAGTGTTCCACCATTGCTTCTGTGCCAAAAGTTCAACATTCTGAGCTACAGTAATGGAGAAAAGTATATAGACAAATATGAATATTTACCTAAATACCTTTAGAAAACGAATTCATACTTCATTGCTCCATAAGCAAATGCGTTTTTGCGAAATTCCTTGTTTTAACATTATCAACAATGATCTGAATACAAGTCTGAATATAAGCACTTTTTTATGAGGGATAAAAATATGTATACAAATCCTTTTCAACATTGGTTTAGTACAGTTTCATGTCAGAAGAGGATTAGTTTGTGTTCATCAAGTATTGTGGAATAAGTTCAGTGATTTTAAGACCATGCAGCGTGGTCAAGAGATTTCTTTCGATGTGAAAACTAAGATCATTGAGTTATACGCTGAAGCGTAAAGCAGTTTGAGCAATATTGAACAAATATAAACAAAAAGGTATCTTGGAAGCCTCTAAGAGAAGTGGTCGGCCTAGAAAACTAAATGCTAGATCAGTTAGATTAATAAAAGTAATTTCGTTTAAAATCCCAAGACAAATAAAAGCAGAAATCGTGACAAAAGGAAATGTCTACGAAAACTATAAATAGAGAATTAAGGGATTTGAATTAAGGACCGATTAGAATGTGCACGGTTGCATCTTGATTGGAGCACCTGTGACTGGAAGAGGGTATGTTTTAGTGACGAATCCAAGTTCAATATGTTGGGATCACATGGTGTTAATTACGTTAGACGTCCTAGTGGACAAAGATTGAACCCCAAGTACACTTTGCCCACTCTCAAACATGGAGGCGGGTCTGTTATGGTTTGGGGGTGTTTTTCGGGGTTTGGGATGGGACCTTTACATAGAATAGATGGCATTATGGATGAGTTTGTATAAACAGACATATTAAAGCATGTCATGTTACCCTATATGCAAGACAATATGCCCTTAAGGTCAATCTTCCAGCAGGATAATGACCCGAAGCACACTTCAAATCTCGTAAAGAAATTCTTTCTGGATGAAAAAATACCAGTTCTAAAATGGCCTTCACAGTCTCCCGATATAAACCCCATTGAAAATCTTTGGGAACACTTAGATAAGCAAATACGTGATAAAAATTATTCAAAGAAGGATGAACTTTTTGCCGCTTTAGAGCAAAAGTGGAGACAGATTGATGAATCTTATATCAAGAAACTTCTACAATCTATGCCGAGACGATGACAGGCGGTGATTGACAATAATGGTTATGCTACAAAATATTAGCACAAACATGGTCGGTTTTCTATAATTCAATGAACTTTGTTTCTTTTTTCTATAATTGTTTTGCTTTGTCTATATATTTTTGTCCTTCATAGTTCCAGTTTTCTTCAATTAATTATTTATTGAAGGAAGTCTAATGAATTTATTTATGTATAAGTGAGTATTATGCTATTAAGAATTATGTATAAAGATTGGTGTACTAATGAAACAAGTTAAAGAAGAAATACAGCACAATATTAACATGTCTATATACTTTTGTTCATTACTGTATATGCCAAACATTATTAAAATCGGATAAACATACGTAGGTTTACCTTTGTTTGTCACTCAGTATATATCATAATTCATCAATGAATCAATTTAGGACAATAAACATCAACGATCTAAGAAAAGGTATCTCAGAATTGAAATCTAATAAGAATCCAAGTGAGAATCTCTCAAAAAAGATTCTAAGTGATTGTTTCAATATAATTGGAGAAAGATTATCATTATTCGTGAATTCCCATCAAATTTAAAGTGTTCTACCATTACTCATGTGCCAAAAGTTCAACATTCTGAGCTATACTACAACTATTTAAAACTGTAATGACTCATACGCGTGATCAACACGTGATCAGAGCTCGATCCCGGCTTCCTTCCAGTACAGCCGTATAGCGTACGACATATGTCGTTTCTGTGGCTTTGCGGTGGTCAACAGCACAGACAGAGATGGAAATAATGGCTGATTGTTCTCCGCCGGTAGAACCAATGAAATCAAAGACGCGCCTCGACCGGCAGACTCATAGGCGTCGGCAACGCATTGGAACGTGTTTCGTTGAGCGATCGCATATTGTGTGTTTTTATAAGAAATGTTGTGTGATTGTTATTGTTGTGGTTTCTGTGGTTACTGTTTTGGTTATACTTAACCATGGAGAGTACAAATGGCACGAGTGGAAGTACTGAAAGCCAGGGAACAAGTAGACGGCTTCGTAAAGCACTGAAGAGGGACGCGAAAGAAATCGTGCTCAACGTGTTCAATTATCTGAACAGAACTATGTCGCAGGGAGGCGCACTCGCGCGTTGTGAAAGTATGACAGGCGTTCCAAAGTGGATCATTCGCAGGGTGGTGCATGCAAAGAAGAAAACTGGAGCTACTACTGATCCAAAGTTTAATTTGAAGGGACGAAAGGCCGTTAAATTGGATGACGATAGCAAAATGGCGTTAAGGCGAACCGTACATTCATTCTTCTTTAGGAATGAGATACCAACCCTCAAGGCTGTACATGCAGCGATCAAGGAAAATGAAATTATACCCCAAATGAGCGTCGAGGTAATGAGGAAATCCCTGCACGAAATTAATTTTCGTTAAGAAACGCGTAATCGGAAGTCAGTATTGATAGAGAGACCTGAAATAGTCGCCTGGCGTCGAAAATACCTACGCGAAATGATTGAATATAGGCGACAAAGTAGAAAAATCTATTATTTGGACGAGACATGGGTAAATGCAGGTCACACAGTTAAAAAAACCTGGATAGACAAAAACGTAGTGAGTAACCGACAAGCAAGCATTGAAGGTTTGTCAACAGGTCTTCGTGGACCGTCAGGGAAAGGTCAAAGATTGATCGTAACTCATATTGGTAGCGATAGTGGCTTTTTAGAAGAGTGTGACTTGATTTTCGTCTCTAAGAAAGGAGGTGATTACCATGACGAAATGAGTGCCAGCTGCTTCGAGAGCTGGTTTCAAGGGGTGCTTCAGCGAGTTGAGCCCAACTCTGTGATCGTCATGGATAATGCTTCCTACCATAGTCGTCGAGCCGAACATGTACAGACTATGGGATCTCGAAAAAGTGACATGCAGCAATGGTTGCGCGAAAAAGGAATCCCGTTTGACGATTCATGTGTGAAAGCGGAATTGTATGAAAAAAATTAAACAGCACAAACCTGCGAACATTAGTTACGTGACTGATGAGATGGCCCGTCAATGTGGTGTCACTGTGCTGCGGTTACCGCCCTGCCACTGTGAACTGAACCCAATAGAGCTCATCTGGGCTCAAGTGAAGGGTTATATTGCGCGCCATAACACAACCTTCAAATTACCAGACGTTAAGGTTTTACTTGAGACTTCCATACAGCTAGTAACGCCCGAAGCTTGGCAGAATGCTATCCGACATGTTGTGGCAGCTTGACCACCACATCGACACCATCATAGAGCCAGTTATAGTCAATTTCAACGAGGAAAGCGATAGCGACAGTTTATTACTGTCAGATGTAAGTGGAAGCGATGATGAATAAAGGTAATTCCCAAATTTTTGACTTACAATATGTTTCAAACCACTCTTTATTAAGCATGTGACAAATCTAGTTCACCCATGTTAAACATTCATACCCTGCCTATGAACAGCCGACTACTGGTAGTTAAGTGATGTTCACGTGAACATCGATGAGTCATTACAGTTTTAGATAGTTATAGTATATACAGAAATATGCGGCCGTTTAATGTCTTGCCAGATGTCGAGAAGCTGTTAGAAAATTTTGACGAATAGTCAAGCTGGACTTAGAAAAAAGTATTCTACAGAAAGAGCAATCCAAATGGTGGTGGAAAACTAGAGAAGTATAGTTGTGAAGGAATGTAGTGTAACAGTATTTTTAGACTTCAAAAGGGCATTTGCGACTGTAAATAGGGAAAAATTGTTAATGAAATTGCATCACTATGGATTTAAGGGATCAGGATTAACCATTTTACAAAATTACATTACATAAATTGCTTAAGTGTAAATAAACTAAAATTGAATACAGGTACTTCAAACGCATTCATTTTAAAAACAACAAAAAATTAAAACAAAAATGAACTAGAACTTTACCTTCTGGTGCTTGTGCGTTTTCTTCGTTCTCCGGTGGATCTGGAGGTCCAGCCAAAGCTTGTACCTTGGTAAAAATGCCTAAACGAGCGAAGTGGTCCAAGAACACCTCTTGCGATTTACTCATCAAGTCTTGGATGACTGACAAAACTACTGAATGTCCATCTTCATCTTCCTATACAAAGAAAAAACATTGACATTAAAGCACAAACATGCATGGTATTTGACAAGAATATTTCTTGAGTAACCGATTATTCTGCAACTGTCGTTTTCTGGTGTCCTAGGAGACCATAATTACTTATCAAAGGTATTGTAATTTTTGGTGGCTACAGCTGTCAAGCCAGAAACCATTTGTAATTCAAAATTGCGCGTCTGTAATTGGTAAAAATTGGGACGAGGGAAATGGTCAAAATAAAAACGTGCACAAACCTCGTTGTCGAGTACCGTGGCGATAACTTCAACGATGAGAGTGCCGAAGCCCGGCTGGGTCTCCGAAGCGCATAATTCCTCAAGCAATGCTGGCTGTATGTAGTGGATCATCTTGCGGATCAATCCTAAGCTGGCCTTACGAACGCTCTGTAGCATGCTGGCCTGCAAACAAAGAAGCAATTAGAATTAAACTAAGAAGCTTCTGAAAATCAACGATTTGTTGTAACCAAGTTGAGAAAATAATTTTAAACAAATTTAAAGACTACCGTATAGATTGTATCTCCCTTACCTGGAAAGTGTTGCAGAAAACTGGTAGCAGCCGTTGCAGATAGACCGGAGCCATTTCCGGGTCTCCTTTAGGCTCCGGCGATTCTTCGCTCTCAGATTCTTGATGCTTTCTGCTGCCGCCCGAACGTTCCTTTTCGACCGGAATCATCCACTCGCCGGGACTTTGCAGGATGGCTGCCACCTCTCTATGACCTTCATCCACCTAAACATAACATTAAAATAAATAGAAGAATAGGATTATACGTGGAAAAATTCAGTTACCCTCTCTCTGGCCTTGTCCAACGGCGTTTTGCCATCCTCATCTCTGAGATCAGGATTCGCCCCGTGTCTGAGCAGAACCTTCGCTATCGCCGGCCTCCCGAAACAAGCCGCGTAATGTAGCGACGAACTCCTCTGGCCCTTTAAGAAGAAAATAAAAATATGTTTAACCTCAACGCGTTTTAAAATAAAAATTATTCAAGCTGTAAAGGAAATAGGCGATTCACAGGTGCCAACTGCTGCTAGAAATGGCCTTATAAATGAAAAGACGATCTAAAATATACCAAGAGAGTCACAAATGGAGGTGCGACCTTTCCGTTGTATACGTAAATAAACAAAGACGCTTACCTTGTTGACGTCAGCACCTTTTTCGCATAGATACTCGACCATTTCCTGGGTACCGAACGCTGAAGCCCAGTTTAACAGTGTCTGGCCTACATCATCCATAAAGTTTACCTCGACACCTCCATTTTCTATTGCTTCGATCAAAGCATCTGTATCCTTCGATCTGTCAAACAAATGAAAAGGTCATTTTTTTCGAAAACTGCATTCTACATACACTACTCAAAAGAATCAAGGGGACAGGAAAAAATCCAAATTCAAGATTCTAGTTTTTAGGTTTTGGACAGAAAAAATTTACAAAAATTTTCCTTACGCTGTCTGTTAGAAATGCACAAGAACCGCAGCTCTTAAAAATTTTCTTCTAAAAAAACTAAAAACTCAAAGCTTCAAAATGCTTTTTTCAAAGTCTAGATACGACCATTTTTCACGGAAATACAAGCTGTCAAAAATCATCACGGATTTTTTTCTTGCTCAATAACGAAGTTTTGATGACAGTCTTCATTTTTTTTTTACATCAAAAGGTTTTACCTGATGCAATCTATAAGCTGCCTGTGCGATTTTTCGGCCGCGCTGTCCATCCTTCTGATCCTCGGCATCAACTGACCGGAAGAAACTCCCGATTTCCCTAAGGCTTTCCTGCCTTCAAATAGCAACACCAACAACAAATCTACCAGTCTCATCGAGTCCAGAACGCACCTTTCGTCGCCTTTCAGCGTTTTCTCGATCGCGTCCAGAAGTTCCGATCTCAAAAGGTCCTGGAAAATCATTTGACAAATTTACAAACACCGCTTAAATGTATATTATACAGGGTGACTTCGAAGTTGAGTCATTTATTTTAACAGTGAGTAGATCTGATCAAAAGAAATGTTTTTTCCTTTACCATTTTTCTGGTAAAATTAAAGTAACAAAGTTATAGCCCTTTGGAAGTTTGAGTACCGCCCTGTCTCAATAATAATATTATGTGCTCGTGTTTGGCAACAACGGATATAATCCGCCTTATCGGTTCATCGCATCGGAAACAAAAAAGCGAAAGAATTTGGAACGATGTTTTTACAATTATTTTATTCAGTTGTATACAGTCAGTGTCAGTCGGTAACGCGTGAGTGAATAGTGGTGTCTGTTGCGTGGCTCAAACGAAATAAAAAATGGCACATGTTTATGCGGATCGGTTTCCCAATCGAGTGCAACCAACCCCTCGTGCCTTTGTTAATGTAGTACAAAGGGCTCGTGAATCAGGTGACTTAAGACCTCACAGGGGACGGCATGCCGGTGCTCCAAGACCTCACGATCAAATACAGGTCCGCACTGAAATACTTGTCAGGAGGATACTTTATAAAACAAGATAAAAATGTTTTTTTATTTTTTTTTATTTTTATACACATATTTTGGTTTATCTTCCTTCTACAATCATTATCTGAAAATTAATGACTCAACTTCAAAGTCACCCTGTATATATAATATTATATAATTTCTAAGTTTCAATAAACGATTAAGATGAAAAAAATGGACGTATTTTATTTCACAAATAGTCAGGATACAAACGAGTCAGTTACATATCGGCCACCCTGTATAACTAAAAGCAATTCTAATACTACGTGCAGACCTTTATGTGTAAATTCTGAAATATTGTACACTTTGTAAACGGCAAATACAAAAAGTCAAAAGTAGCTGCAAATAAAAATGAATAACCGACGCCTCCCTATCGCCACTAAGGACTTCGTATAATGTTCTAATGACTTACGTGAGTGATACTAGGCGATCCCCTACACAGGGTGGACAACAAACTGATGATCGTAGACACAGATGCGGCGTTGGATTTGGAATCGGGCAACGATCCAGACGGCGTCCCTGTCGTCGAAAGTTTACCGGGTGTGCCTTGGCTGCCCGAAGCTGCAGCTGATGGACCCGCCGCGCTCGAGAGACGTTTCAGCAGTTCGTTTACCAGTCCTGCAGTTAGGTTTGGAAAATGCTAAATTTCATTTTTTTTCAAAATTTATATATTTTCAAAAAATTCCAAATTTTCCAATGATTTCACAAATTTTGAAATCAATTTTTTTTCAAATTTCAAAAATTATATTTTTTAATCTAGTGTTATTTTCTGTTAAATATTTTCACTGAAATAAAAGTTTAAGTGTGGTTTTAAAAAGACGTTTTCAGACTCGATTTTTTTTTAATTTCCAGCATTACCATTGCAACAATAAATATACAGGGTGACTTCGAAGTTGAGTCATTTATTTTAACAGTGAGTAGATCTGATCAAAAGAAATGTTTTTTTCCTTTACCATTTTCCTGGTAAAATTAAAGTAACAAAGTTATAGCCCTTTGGAAGTTTGAGTACCGCCCTGTCTCAATAACAATATTATGTGGTCGTGTTTGGCGACAACGGATATAATCCGCCGTATCGGTTCATCGCATCGGAAACAAAAAAGCGAAAGAATTTGGAACGATGTTTTTACAAGTATCTCATTCATTTGTATACAGTCAGTGTCAGTCGGTAACGCGTGAGTGAATAGTGGTGTCTGTTGCGTGGCTCAAACGAAATAAAAAATGGCACATGTTTATGCGGATCGGTTTCCCAATCGAGTGCAACGAACCCCTCGTACCTTTGTTAGTGTAGTACAACGGGCTCGTGAATCAGGTGACTTAAGACCTCACAGGGGAGGGCATGCCGGTGCTCCAAGACCGCACGATCAAATACAGGTCCGCACTGAAATACTTGTCGGGAGGATACTTTATAAAACAAGGTAAAAATTTTTTTTTATTTTTTTTTTATTTTTACACACATATTCTGGTTTATCTTCCTTCTACAATCATTATCTGAAAATTAATGACTCAACTTCAAAGTCACCCTGTATATGAATATTTTATGTTTATTTGTCTTATCAAAAGACGACTTTCGTGTTACTCAATTATCAAAAACATGCAATAAAGTATATATAATATATTAATGTATCATCAGCAAATAGTTGAATTTTGCAGTGATGTAAAATATCAGGAATATCATTAATATATAAAATAAATAGTAACGGGCCTACTTTGCTACTCTGTGGCACACCTACGGAAATGTTTTTAATGTTTGATAATGTATTGCCAATTTTAGTTCTTTGACTTCTATTGATTAAATAATTTTGTAAAAGTTGAATACTGAACCTTGAAATGTATAGCAATGCAATTTAGTTAACAATTTCGCCCTGTCAATAGTCTCAAATACTTCCTTGAAATCTAAGAACAATGTTACTGTAAACTTTTTTCATCCATATTTCGCCTCCATTCTTCTACTACCATTTGAATTGCTGTTTCAGTAGAATACTTTTTTCTGAATCCTGCTTGAAATTTAGTCAATATCTTATTTTCTTCAATATATTCATTGCCTTGTTCAGATATGATTCCTTCTAAGAGCTTCTCGCAGTACATTAATTGGCCGCATGTTTGTATATAATTTTAATTTTGAACGAAATAGGGCCTTAAGTACAATACTAACCATGTTGTGCCAACGGCGCCGGATCCACTCCCCTCCTCGTGAATCTATCAGCGACGGACGCGAAGCACCTCAGCGCCCCGTCGGCGACCGTCGGGTCTTCGTGCCTGAGCAGAGCGCTGAGCGCAGCCACGCAGGCCGGCAACCCCGCGTCTTGGGGCTCCATTTTCGCGCAGAGGCGCGAGACGACGGCCATCGCAGAATGCAGCGTGTCTTTGTGGACGCGTTGGCCGTTATCGCGGACGAAAGGGAGGACGCAGGTTAGGCCGCCGCTTTCGAATACGGCGCCCGCCTCGCGCGTACATATCAACTCCAGCACCTAAACACAAACGTAAAAAGTAAATAATATGGGGTTGTCGAAACGGACGCAGAAAAGTAAACGCATAAAAACAAGAAATATTGATATTCAAATCAAGTTGGGTACTTTATTTTGAAGGTTCATTTATACCATTTATGTATGAAAAATAATATCGCTCAAATGTTCACCACGACTCGATTTACAGACGTCCACGCGATGGTCATTTTGCAACATGGTCGGTTCTATGGCATTTATCTCGGCAATGATGTTGTTTTTGAGTTCTTGGAGGGTGGCTGGTTTGTTGACGTAGACTTTGCTTTTCAAATATCCCCATAAAAAGAAGTCCAAGGGAGTCAAATCGCACGATCTTGGTGGCCATAGCACATTTCCTCTGCGCGAAATCACGCGATCACCGAAGGACTGCAATCGATGGATATTGACGTTGGTTGTGTGGCATGTTGCACCGTCTTGTTGGAAATAAACATCGTCCATATCCATTCCTTCAAGTTGCGGCAAAAAATAGTCCTCTATCATCACGTGATATCGCTCAGAATTGACGGTAACGGCGTCCCCGGCCGCATTTTCTAAAAAGTAAGGTCCGATGATGCCTTTTGACCACAATGCACACCACACAGTCACTTTTTGAGGATGCATCGGCTGCTCTTGATACTCACGGGGATTTTCGTTCGCCCAGATGCGGCAGTTTTGCTTGTTTACCGTTCCATTCAAAGTGAAATGCGCTTCGTCGCTGAACATGATTTTTGATGAAAAATTGGCATCAATTTGGCGGTGTTCAAGGAGCCAATCTGAGAACGTTCGGCGCGAAAAATGGTCGGTCCGACGCAGCTCTTGCGTCAATTGGATCTTGTAGGCGTGTACATTCAAATCCTTGTGGAGAATGCGGAGCAAACTGGTTCTCGAAATGCCCAATTCTTGGGATCGACGCGTTGTTGATTGTTTCGGATCGTCTCTCACACTCTCCTTCACAACAGCAATATTTTCCGGTGTGCGAACGCTCCTTGGCCAGCCAGAGCCTGGCAGATTTGCCACAGAACCTGTTGCCTCGAATTTACGCACCAGCCGACCGATGGTTGTTTCGTTTGGGCGGTTGTTGCGACCGAAATGTTCACGAAGCGCGCGAAACGTGTTTGTTATTTTTGCACCATTTTTGTGGTGCTCTTGAATAACTTTAATGCGGTCTTCAATAGAATACGACTCCATAGCGATCAATGGTAAACATTCAACTGACAAAATGATATGTCGGTGACAGAAAACAAAGATGGCGTCTATGTCAAATTGACGTTTACTTTCCTGCGTCCATATTGGACAACCCTATACAAAGGGTAGTATAAAGGTTTTGCAATAGGACATAACAAACGGACGCAGAAAGCTGCATGTTGAGACATGTCCATAAGTGCACAGTAGAGTATACTCAGAACGGCGATAAGGGATATGAAAGGTACTACCGCCATTTTTGAGACGGTAGTAAAAGACAAAATGAATTTAAAAATCTATTGGGGAAAAGAGTTAATAGTGTTTGATACTGTCTTATAGACGATAATCTGCAATCCTATTTTGGCGACGACTATTTCAAATGGGTATCTATTAATTAAGGCATTTCACAGTTATGGCTATTGACCATGGAACAAAAACTTACCTTGATACATTGTTCTGCTAAGTCCCTGCTGGTTCTAGACGATAATTCCGCTACGACGAGCCTATTGCAGATGGCCTTGATAGCACCGTCTATGGCGACGATCCGCCTGGTGCATTCAGCGGAAACGTCCAGGTAGTAGGTGATCGCTCTGGCTGTCACTTCTAACACGTTCTCGGGAGCCTATCGAATAAGACGTTTTTTGTCAGAGAATGATGTCAAGTAGATCGACTCTGTACTTCCTACGCCTTCGTTGGAGGGTTTAAATCGTTTCAAAAACATTATTAACATTTAGGTGAGATATCTCGGCTATTTTTCGAAATTTTAATCACTTAATCAGTAGTCCTTAAACTTGTAAAAGTATGCTCAAAATTACAGCACTTCTAATCAGTGTCGCATTTTATATGACATTTAGTATATACCAGCAGAGTCACAGATGGTGGTTCGACCTTTTCGTTGCAGCACCCTGTATGTAAATACGTTATAGTTTAGCTTCAAGTTAGCCTTGTCATTAAGAATGATTGCATAATTCAGACAATAAAGCATATGTATACTAAGTGACATATAAATCCGAACACCCAGTTTAAATGGTTTTATTTTAATAAAAGTTGGTGAATGTATTTATCTTACTGTAAATAACAAGTGAAAAAATTTTCAGCCTTATCAGTTGGACATTCCGGTTTTTATACTGTTTTTTTTTAATTCATTAACGCTCTAAAAATGAATATTTCAGCCGCAGTAAAGAATCAACGTTGGCGGATTTTCGTTCTTGACATCCTTTACGATCGGTTACGATGCCTAGAGTACGGAGACCTGTACGATTTCGTCAACTTAGTGAGTTTGATAGGGGCCGTATAGTGGGACTTCGGGAAGCTGGACTTTCTTTTCGGGCAATTGCAGTTAGAGTGCAAAGAAGTGTAGACACTGTGGTTAGGTATTGTCAGGCATGGCTTCGAGAAGGCCGTACGCAAAGAGCAAGGAGCACTGGACGCCGCCGTAGAACAACAGACCGTGAAGATCGCCGCCTAAGACTATTGGCCTTAAGGGACCGTTTCTCCACTACCAGGTCCATTGCAAATGAATGGTTTGCAGAACACGAAAGACGAATGAGAAGTTTTGGCTTGTTTTCATACCGGCCACACTGGGTCCTCCCTTTAACTCGAGAACACGGACGTAATCGCCTTGAGTGGTGCAGACAAGGGTCACTCTGGGATCAGGAATGGAACAGTATTGTCTTTAGTGACGAGTCTAGATTTTGTTTAGACATGCACGATGGTCGTGCCAGGGTTAGAAAGCGACGTGGTGAAAGGAGGAATCCACAGTTTTTTGTTGAAAGACATGTTCATCACACTGTTGGAGTTATGATTTGGGGTGCTATAGCTTATGGTTCCAGGTCACCTTTAAAATTCATCAGAGGTAACATGAACGCGCAGCGTTATATCCACGAAGTTCTAGAACCCCATCTTTTACCCTATCTTGACACCCTGGCAGATCCAACTTTCCAACAAGATAATGCCCGACCACATGTTGCAAGAGTCACAATAGACTTCTTTCAACATAATGATGTCACATTGTTACCATGGCCACCGAGATCTCCCGACTTATCCCCAATTGATCGCGTGTGGGATATGATGGGTAGGAGATTGCTCAATTTGCAACGTCCTCCTCAGACTCTAGAAGCACTTCGAGAGGAGTTGGTGGTTGCCTGGAATGAGATACCGCAGGAGGACATTGACCACCTGATCAGAAGCATGCCTAGGCGCGTTGGAGAATGCGTAGCACATCAGGGTGCATCCACACATTATTAAAGGTCAAAGGGCTTTTAAAGCAGTGCAATCATTTTGAAATTTTTATCATTTACTTATTATGCTTCATTAAGTACTTATACAAAATTTTATTAAAATAAAACCATTTAAACTGGGTGTTCGGATTTATATGTCACTTAGTATATTTATCTGTCTATCTAATACAGACTGAAGAAAAATTACATCATAGAGCATGAAAGCCATTTCCAGAGTACATCACGATTAAAAAGTTCGTTGCGTAAGCTATATTATCATTTTACGGAAGCATAATAATAAAAACAATTAAGCGTCTTCTTATCAATCAGCAAACTTTTACCTTTGCATTATTCAAACAATTCGACGCAGTAATCGAGTGTTATTAATTCGTTTAAAAAATGGGTCAATGGAAATATTAGCGAAAATAAACGAGACCAACGATAAATCACCAATTTTTTCATCAAGACCCCGGCTGTTTGATATGAAAATACAAACAACAGTTATCTTTATCTTTGTCATGCTTACGTGATGTGTTCAACCACATGTTATCGAACTTTTAAGGAGTATTGTCAACGCAAATAATACGAGAATGAACTAAATAACGATAATGAAAAACAATCTGAAAAAATGATCAATTCAATCGATAACCAGATGGAGTATTTTTCGCTGAGAATCTCAAGAAAACTCGGCAAGTTGCATCAAAATATGTAAGGCGTGACTAGTTTCTATCGTATCATATCAGTATGCGATGATGTAATAAAAAAAATACGATCGGTTCCCCAACTATAATGCAGATGGCACCAAATATCACGAAGTGCCTTCTCTTGATATAACTGCTCTTCAGTGTTTAAAAATACCATGATATTTATATAAATATCATATCTTATGTATATATGTACAGTAATGGACAAAAGTATATAGACAAATTAAGAAAGAAACGAAAGAATTTCTTTGCGAAATTTGAAGGTCATTATCTTGCTGGAAGGTTGATCTTAAGGGCATATTGTCTTCCATATAGGGTAACTTGACATGCTTTAGTATGTCTGTGTATACAAACTTATCCATAATGCCATCTATTATATGTAAAGGTCCCATCCCAAACCCCGAAAAGCACCCCCAAACTATAACAGACCCGCCTCCATGTTTGACAGTGGGCAAAGTGTACTTGGGGTTCAATCTTTGTCCGCTAGGACGTCTAACGTAATGAACACCATCTGATCCAAACATATTGAACTTGGATTCGTCACTGAAACATACCCTCTTTCAGTCACAGACGCTCCAATCAAGATGCAACCGTGCAAATTGTAATCGGTCCTTACGGTTTTTCCACTTCAAACCATTTAATCTTCTACTTATAGTTTTTGTAAAAACTCTGACAATTCCTTTGGTCTCGATTTCGGCTTTTATTTGTCTTTGGACGAAATTACTTTTATTAATCTAACTGATCTAGCATTTAGTTTTCTAGGCCGACCACTTCTCTTAGACGCTTCCAAGATACCTTTTTGTTTATATTTGTTCAATATTGCCCAAACTCCTTTACGCTTCAGCTTCAAATTTTCGGCAATGTCGACTTGACGTTGACCATCTTTATATAACTCGATGACCTTAGTTTTAAAATCACTCAACTTATTCCACAATACTTGATGAACATAAACTAATCCTCTTCTGACACGAAACTGTACTAAACTAATGTTGAAAAGAATTTGTCTACATATTTAACGACAAAAAATACACACTGGTATAACAAGAATATTAAGGCAGCTCAAAATTTGAGAGACAAACAATACAATAAATGTATATTCACAAAATCAAATGATGATTGGGAGGTATATAAAACTCTTAGGAATAAATGTGTATATGTAATTAGAGAAGAAAAAAGAAAATTCTACGATAAACAAATCGATAATAACAAGTGCGACAGTGTAAAGATGTGGAAGACTTTAAAAAGACTGATCAATTCGAAGCCGCATGATTGTATAAATCAAGTTCAATTCGAAAACGGTACCGAAACAAATTCTTTGGTGATTGCAAACAAACTAAATGAATATTTTGTGGAAAGTATTGTTGATATTGTAGGTACTGCCAATGCTGCACCTGACTATATGAAAATCAGTTTCCAGGGGGAAATGTTGCATACACTTTCAAAATTTCACAGCGTATCATTGAATTATCTAAGAAAAAAGTAAACAGTTTAAAATCAAATAACAACTGTGCCGAAATGACTACTAAAAACGTGCTGAAAAACTGTTTCGAAATTTTGGGATATCCTGTATTAAATTGGATCAATTGTTCACTGAGAAGCAGTTCTTTCCCTGAAAATTTGAAATGCTCTACAATAACACCAGTTCCCAAAATAAAAAATTCTAAAAGATGCAGCGATATGAGACCAGTAAATGTGTTACCAGACATTGAAAAATTATTAGAGTCCATAGTGCATGACCAATTACTGCAGTTTATAGATGAAAACAAAATTTTAGTGGAGGCGCAAGCAGGCTTTCGAAAAAAATATTCCACAGAAACAGCTTTCCAGTTGGTAACTGAGAATTGGAGAAGAGCCATAGACTCAGAAGAAGTTGTCATAGCAGTATTTTTGGATTTGAAGAGGACATTTGAAACGATTGATAGAGATATTTTGTTAGGTAAATTGAAGGCATATGGTATAAGAGGAAGTGTTTTAGATTGGTTTAGAAATTATTTGTCTAAAAGGATGCAAGTTACAAAAGTTAATGGCACTATTTCATCAAAAATTGAAAATACGTTGGGTGTTCCACAGGGCAGTATCCTGGGACCACTTCTTTTTATTTTATACATAAATGATTTACCTGCCATAGTCAAAAAATGCAAAATTCAAATTTTCGCCGATGACACTATGATTTATATAAGTACTAAAAATATTCAGTCTGGTATCTCTTATATAAATGAAGACTTGAAGCTTGTCTCAAAATGGTTAGCATCTAACAGACTAAAATTAAATGCAAGTAAAACGAAAGCCTTGTTAATCGGAAAAAAACAATGTACAAATGTTCAACTGAATATTGATGGTGAAGATATTGAATTCATAGAAAATTTTAAATACCTGGGAGTTTTTGTTGACTCTCGATTAATTTTTGATATTCATTATGAAAAAGTTATAAATAAGATTAGTAGTAAAGTGGGATATTTATCGAGAGTTTCTGGATGTCTGAGTTCATATAGCAGAAAAATTATCTATAATACCATCATTCTTCCAAATTTCTTGTACTGTTCGACTATTCTATATTTAGCAAATAATTCCATTTTTGAAAGACTGCAAATTTTACAAAATAAGTGCATGAGAATAATACTAAATAAAGATAAATATACTCCAATTAGGCAAATGCTTAGCAAATTAAAATGGCTCAATGTAAAAAATTTTATCAAATATCTTGTAATGATATTCATTTATAAAGTAAAAAATAATATATTTCCATCAAGTCTAACTAATTTAACAGCATCAAATGTCTACCATCATTTACATAATACCAGAAATAAAGATGACTTCCATTTAATGACCAAAAAGTATAACATATGCTACAAATCTGTATTCCATCAAGGGTTGATTGAATATAATAAATTATACTCGGAGATAAAAGACCAGAAAACTTTGACAAAATTTAAAGTAAAATTGAGAAATCACTTGTTAAATCTACAATTATAGGTTGCCCAGCATTTACATCATACACCATATGGCTTGAATTTACTAGTTCTAAGTTGTTTACAATTGTTCTGTTTATGTAGCCAAATGTGCTAAATAAATCTTTCTATTACTACTACTACTACATTTGTTTATGGAGCGATGAAATATGAATTCGTTTTCTAAAGGTATTTAGGTAAATATTCATATTTGTCTATATACTTTTGTCCATTACTGTATATATCGGATATATCCTGAATGTCCAAAATGGGATCCTATGCATGGGGATCCTCAACAAGCCATGCCATGAAATTTTTACAAGATTCTCAAGACATTCAGGCAGCAGCAGTGGCCTCAGTACTAGACTCTTCTGTCTCCTGATCAGTCGCGGGTTCGAATCCCGTCTCACGAGAAAATTTTCTCTTGGCTATGGAAGTTGTGATTGTCCCTGGGTGGTAGACAGTCTCTGACGCAGAGGTACCACCCGGCGGATCTCGTAGGCGGGCCGGAATGTGTGCATGCGTCGTGGTAATTGGAGTATATAAAAAAAGGCACGTGAATACGCCTCAAAAAACGCAGATTTTTCCCAAATTAATCTAAACTGTATCTCCCACAGATATTGAGATCCCCATTCATAGGATCCTTATCTTGGATACGCTGAATATCACGTTATAAATATCATTCTGTACGTCTGCTACTCTTTGCTTCGGTCTTGCCAATTCCTAAAAAACCACCAACCTGTTCGTCGAGGAATATCCTGCACAACGCCGGCAAAAAAGTCCTTGGCGGGCAGCTTTCGAAGCACCTGTCCACGTTGTCGGACATCAGCAGAAGCATGCACAGCTGTTCCAATGCGATCAGCTGCATGTCGCGTTCGTCTCCGAGGCCGCTGTTCAGCCATTCGAGCAACGTTTCCGGATCCGGATCGGCCATTTTGGATGGTCGGGTGTGTGGGATAGATCGGGGTAAGGCTCACTGCTGACGCAGCCGACGGCCTAACGCGGCCACCAGATCACGTCCGCATTTAACACGAGGTTGGAGGGAACCGGTGAGGGGTTGGGTTGTATAGCTGGATCGCGCTTCCTGTAAAGAGAAATGAGTTGTACACATGAACAAATTGAAAAAATATTTCAAGAATTCATAGTAGTGAAATTTTGCATAAAAATATTTGTATGTAGCCTTGAAGACAATCTATTGTGTAACAGTGTATTGTATTGAAATAAATATACAACAAACATGAGGCATCCAAGGGAATAGTTTTTCCAAACTTTTGTATACAGGGTGATTCAAGAAAATGTAGCAGTAATTCTACAGCAGAAAGTACATACAAGATATCCCAGAAGTCAACGTAAAAAAAAATATAAGTCATCTACTGTTTCAAATTACAGGCTTTGGAACAAATTTAAAAAAACTACATCCTGTGATGATCTCTTAGTTCCTGTTACTATTTTTTCTTAGATGGAGGGATGGACAGGGTCATTCTACATAGTGACAGCAAGACAAATAGTAATGCCGCTTGTATTAATTCATGAATGTACAAATATTTATTAAGTTCACATATACAGGGTGTTTCAGTTTATTGTTGCATAACTTCAAGATTCGATAGAACTTTTAAAATTAATGCATAAAGTCTATATAAACATGGGTCGAAAAATGCGTGGCTTCCGAAATACAGGGTGTTTAAATTTACTTTCTAAAATAGTTTCTTTTTAAATATTTCGAACAATATTTGATGCATAACAGTGAAAATTGGTATACAAGGGTTTTTTGGTACGACAAAACGAACCATGGGCATAAAAAAGTTCTCTTGTTAATTTTCGTTATAGTTAGCCGTTTTTGAGATATTTCGATTTTTAAGGTTCGATGCATTTTTAATTATTTATGATAAAATATCGTTAAAAAGTCAGTATCTCGATAATTTTTAGAAGTAGACTGTGCCTGCAAATATTTTTGAAATTGAAAGCAGACTAAGGTTAAACGTCAATTAGTTGACAGTTAGTTTTGTTGTCTGTTGAAACCTGAAACGTTTTTTTGCAATTGTGAATTCACGAAATTTAGTTTCTTTTACCTGTTTTTTTTTGTAAGTTTTATAAAAATGCCATTTTTCTTCTTCAATCAAGAGTTAGCGGATATTCATTTTGTGTATGGCTTTGTAAATGGAAACGCAGTAGAAGCAGCCAGAGAATACGCACAAAGATTTCCAAACAGACGACATCCAACTCGCTCAGCATTTGTAAGAGTGCATCGCCAAAAAATTGAAAATGGTTTTGGAAATCTCCAAAGGGATCAAAACATAAATGTTCGTCAGCGCAGATTTACCCGTATGATTCTGCGTGAGTTTGATAGAGATCCGACCACAAGTGTTAGGAGAGTTTCTGGTGCCTTGGGAATTTCAGCAAGCCATGTTCACCGTGTTCTTAGAAATGACCATAGACGTCCTTACCATTTGCAACCTGTGCAGGGACTACAGCCAGGGGATGGAGAACGAAGAATCACATTTTGTCAGTGGATTCTTGATAGAACTGATAATAATAGGGAGTTTTTAAGTAACGTTTTATGGACTGATGAGTGATGCTTCACTAGACGTGGAGTGGTAAATTTTCATAATCAACATATTTGGTCGCATGAAAATCCGCATGCAGTTCGGGAAAGAAATTTTCAGCATGAATTTAGTGTGAACGTGTGGATTGGTATCTACCGTAATCGACTATTTGGACCCTACCTTTTGCCTGCAAGGTTAAATGCTGCGACCTTCTTGGAATTTTTAAAGGCTGAACATGCAAATATGTGGGATGATTTTATGTTAGATTTAAGAAGATTGGCCTGGTTCCAGCTTGATGGTTGTCCAGCTCATTATTCGAGAATAGTTAGAAACTGGCTGGACGAAAAATTATCCAGAAAGATGGATCGGCCGTGGAGGACCAGTCGCCTGGCCTCCACGATCCCCTGACCTAAATCCATTAGATTTCTTTGTGTGGGGATTTCTAAAAGAAAAAGTGTGCCAGACTCCCGTAACCACAAGAGATATACTAATAGACAGAATCAGGAATGCATGTGATGAAATAAGGCCTTATTTGAATAATGCTATACCACGTTCGATCATTCGTAGATGTGAATTGTGTATTGAACGATTGGGTTTACATTTCGAGCAACTACTTTAGATTTTGTATGTATGTCCTAACTATCCAATAGCATTTTAGTTGTAAATAATTAATTTAATTTGTTAAAAATAATATTGGAAAATTAAACAAATTAATATTGTTTTTTGTGTTTATTTGGAGTTAGGAATTATTGCTGTGTTTAAAAACACAATCTAAACGATCATCTTAATTACTTGTAATGCCCAAATCGAAAATGTAAAAAAATATTATTTTCCCATAAATAATTAAAAATGCATCGAACCTTAAAAATCGAAATATCTCAAAAACGGAGAGCTTTTTTATGTTGAAAAGTGCAAAGAATCAGTTTTTTTATTCAAAAAGCAAAAAATTGCACTAAGAAAAAAATGTCGGTCATTTTAATACACTACAGATACAGTAGAGAGCGCCCTCTAGCGGCTACAGTAAAACTATGCCCATGGTTCGTTTTGTCGTACCAAAAAACCCTTGTATACCAATTTTCACTGCTATACATCAAATATTGTTCGAAATATTTAAAAAAAACTATTTTAGGAAGTAAATTTAAACACCCTGTATTTCGGAAGCCCCGCATTTTTCGACCCATGTTTATATAGACTTTATGCATTAATTTTAAAAGTTCTATCGAATCTTAGAGTTATGCAACAAAAAACTGAAACACCCTGTATACTCCCCTGGCATGCTCCATTCCCGACTTTCACCATGTTTGTAGCTAGTATAACAATATAAAAATTTTGCTATAAACACATAAAAATCACGATTTTAGTGTTATCTGAAAAATGTGATAATTTCATGATTTGACCTTGATCAATGTGTTGCAAATCAAGAAATGATAATTTGAAACTGGCATGATTTGGCCTACTGAAACCAAGAATACATAACCTTCTGCCAGTATTTAACCTGATAAGCAAACTTTTGTAAATTTCAATGGTGCATTACTACAAATATGTGAAAAACGATTCTTAAATACAAGATTCATGAATAATATACAATAACAGAATAATGAATGAATGCAATTTTTTTTTGAGGTCATACTACTCTTCTTCTGTTTCTACTTTCTTTTTGTCATCTCTTTACAATAAAAAATATTATGTTCAATTAAATATTAATGAATACTGAATTAGTAGAAAATTTTAAATTGTTGACACTTTAAATTTTGATATTCATTATGAGAAAATTATAAACAAGATTAGTATAGTGAGATATTTATCAACAGTTTCTGGATGTCTGAGTTCATTTACTAGAAAAATTATCTATAATACTATCCAAATTTCTTGCACTGTTCTCTAATAGTTCCATTTTTTGAAACTAATGCTTGAAAATAATCCAGAATAAAGATAAATATACTCCAATTAGACAAATGCTTATCAAATTAAAACGGCTAAATGTGAAAAACTTTATCAAACATTTTATAATGTTTCATTTATAAAGTAAAAAGCAATATATTTCCACCCTGTCTAACTAAATTAGCATCATCAAATGCTGATCATCATATACACAATACCAGAAATAAATATGCCTCCCATTTAATGCCCAAAAGGTATAATGTTACAAATCTGTATTCCATCAAGGGTTGATTGAAAATAAATTGAATAATTTTTTTAAATTTTGGAATGAAAACCTCAGCACTCTGTATCAGACTAATGAAATATTGGATGTTTCATTGTTAAATCAACTTTTACAACCTATAAAACAGTCATTTTTACATTAAGCAATACCTAAATCATGAATTTAAAATGATTTGGCATAAAATCAGTTATCAAACCATTCTGGAGCGGCATGATTCACATATGTTTGTAAATATCCATACATATTTATGCAATATTCCAGACAAAACAGAAATTTCCAGTTCCTAAACCATAAACATACACTTTGACCATATTGCTATAAAAAAAACGGTTATAAGAACTTTTCAAAAACAGCACTAAAATACATACTTTAGCTGGAAATGTACGATTTCGAGAATTCGTTCTTTACACCCATAGTGAACACAAAAGAATTTGCAATGTCACCGGAATTCCCACAATAATAAAACGTATTTCAAACATTTTTGTATTTACAAAGACTTACCTTTGTGATTATGAAATGTGCAGTATTTGAGATGGCAATCCACGAGGTCTCAAATCCACGTTTTCTGAAATCGGAGCGAACAATTGTTATTGTTAATATGCTAATCTCAAAAATGCTGACGATTTTTTTTGCAGAAATCGAATTCTTGCTCACGTCGAATTCTAATCGATATCAACAAAAATATTGTGCAAAATCGGACGTGATGCGGGTCTTTGCGTTACTGGACGATTTCGTCCTCGTCAAAGATTCTACGATTAATCGCAAAAATACAACAAACAATAACGATGTGTGAAAATAATGACATTCACCAGAAATTTAGTTCACATTTCTCAGAGCAGTCAAACGATTGAGGCGAAGAAAAGAGGTTGTCTGGCCGTTGTTCGGGCTTACCTGCGTTGCAAAATGTTTCACTTATCCATTGGTATCACATCTGACGCAAATGCTGTTGGAAAAATATGGAAAATGTTGGAAAATAATAGGAAAATAAATTAATTTCGATGTCCACTTACGTAGCACGGCGATCACTTCACTTTTGTCAACTGTCTACTGTCAAACGAGAAACTGTCAAAATTCGCTGTCGTATTAGCACTGGTACCAACCGTGTGTTTTTAATGCTATTTAACGAACCTTAGCTTTGATTACCGTATTCTTCCCAAAGACAGCTAGCAACTTACTATATTTCGGCGTCCAAAAAGGGTTTTGAAAAATCATGTATGAGATAGCACAACACAAAATGTACTTAGAAATCTACTTGAAAAACGCACTTGGTTTTGATACTATCAGAGAGATGGCGCTGGTATCTTTATTCTCGGATGATTTTTACTCTATACAGAGTGTCCGCAAAGTTGGGGTTTTCCTTTACAAGACGTGTAGATCTTGAAAACATAAGCAATTTTTCTTAGTACCATATACACCAATGTCTTAAGGGAACCGAGATAAAAGGGCTCTGCAACATCAAAAATATCTTAATACCGTCCTCGCGACATCACCGACTGGTACAAGGTCACTGGCTCAACCCGACGACAGAACTGGGTCGGGGTCAGTGTGTCAGGTCAGTATGCAACCTTCAACCGACGGTTACGGTCACGCGTGTAGAGGTAATCGCGTAGACGAGAATCCCTCAACAAGCACTAGAGACGTGGCTATTAGAGAAGTGCAAGTATCAAAAACTAAAGTGTGGCAAACGCTGCGTGAAGAGGGGCTGTATCCGTTTCACGTCCAACGTGTACAAGCCCTTCAACCTGACGATTTTCTAGCAAGAGTGCGGTTTTGTGAGTGGTTGTTGCATCAAAATGACAATAATCCGGACTTTTTGAAGTGCATATTGGTGCCAGACGAATTTACGTTCACGCGTAATGGGGTGAATAACTTTCGCAACACTCATGTTTGGTCAGTAGAAAATCCGCACGCTGTCCGTCGGGCACATTTTCAACAAACATTTTCGATGAATGGGCTGGCATGGTGAACGGTATGCTCATTGGACGATTTATTCTCCCAAATCGATTGGACGGGATGCAATACCTAGACTTTTTACGCAACATTTTGCCTTCCTTGTGAGAAGATGTGCCATTAAGTGTAAGACAATCAATGTGGTTTCTGCATCAGCTGATTTCATTTTCTGTTGGAGCGGTATGATTTCGGGCAGAGACGTACTTAGCCCTTCTCGTCAACTGGAGAGTGAGTACTTTTTCCTTTATTTTTTTTTACTTGGTCGCCCTCGTTTCACTACACATTACCTTTGTTATTTCAAGGGTAGTTGTTTCTGAAAAGGAAAACCCCAACTTTGCGGACACCCTGTATATCGTCGGTGTTCTAATCATCATGTACCTGCATCTGTATCTTCAAACATTTATTAACGTATTCCACCTGTTTTTCCCAAAAAAAGGGAATGTAATGAAGCTTCTTTCGTTTGATTATAAAAGTAATTGACACAATTGATTGTTATTATTTTTTATGCTTTAGAAAAAGTAGATAGGTATACCTCCAAATTATTTGTAAAACGCATCCGCCTCGGAAATAATGCCACAAAATACAAATATAACTTATTTATTGAATCACTTATCATACTTTTTAATAACATCTAAAACTTCTTGTACATCGTCTTTGGATCCTAAAAATATGGGCGATCTCTCGTGGATAGCCGTGGGTTGGATATCCAGAATTGGAATCTTTCCATTGCTTGCCAGTCCACCAGCTTGGGTCATGATGAAAGCCATCGGAATGCACTCGTATAGTAGACGGAGCTGGAATAAATTTATATTCTGATAGAAAAAGATGAGTTTTAGGATTTGTTTTCAAAAAAAAAAAACGTATGTCTAATCTGGACAGTCTCATTTCAGGGATAAATAAATAAAACCGTGAAACATACACATATATTTTGATCGATAAAATAAGAAAAAGTGTACCTACTACAATAAAGAAACGAGATAAGGTATGGGTGTGCCTTCGGCCTTGAACCCGGGACGCCCGTTTGAAAGACGAGTTCTCTGGCTACCGAGTCACTTGGTTGACAATAACCAAATTCAAGTGGATAACCAAATGGAAATGGTATTTACCATTTTGGGTTGGTATTTACCGATCCGTTCAAGCGAGTGTAGTTATCAGTTTGGTTATAAGAACCGTGACGTCACGAATCATATGTCATAGTTATCACCGCAAAATTTTGGTATTTACCCAACTGAAGAGTAGTTTTATATTTCTGGTTATTATTTGAAATATGACAAGTTAGAATTTTGGCGGGTATTCGATATTGTTATTGTACTTCAGCTTCATTTTTGAGAAAATTGATACAGGCGGCTGACTTCAGTTTTACCATAAAGTGGAGCACCTTATTAGTTATACTCATTACGGTTGTTGGGGACACTTTAAATGTAGTTCCTATGCTTAACAAAGTATTCTGTGTAGCCATATACCACAAGAATATGAAAATATGGCCATATAAACTCACTAGATGATATCTGCCTGTATACGGTTTTGCTAATTTCTTTTGTCATCATTTCTGCCGAATCAATAAATGATTTCTTTGACATGTGGAAAAATTTAGAGAATTGAAAGTTATCATAGCTACAAAGAAATGGTTCCATCATTAAAAAAAAATCTGAAAAAAACATTTCTCCCATGAATATTATGAAAGGTTTCTTATTTAAACTTTCCATACACAGTTGTAGACGAAAAAGCACCGATTATTAAGTGATAATAAAAATAATCAGAGATTATATACGCGCTTTTCTAAAATAAACAACTTGCAACAAAACCGCGGTTAAAACCAACGCGTTCAAGCGATTCGTGTAACTGACGTCATCAACCCGTGTGTCATCTTGAACCATATTATAACCGCGGCACATAACACAGAGATTTTGGTTATTCGCTTAGATTTGATTAATGATTCTTTTCTAGAACTCGAAACGTTACGGCTGAATTTTCAGCGAGCTGGATTTCTCTCTTCACCGCGACGGACACAAACAGACGAACGAATGCGACGTTGTCATTTCCGTTTTTAAGTAGATCTACCGCTTGCACGGCAAACGTCAATAAGTGAAATATAAAAATCGCTAAAAACTCCGGAATCTAGATATTAGGTTTTTTTGCGATGTGAATTGGATTTTGATGAAACGTTGACAGCATGTTGACAGTCACTAATGTGCCATAGACGAAAAATGCGAGTGTTGAGATGTTAGATGCGCAAAATATGCAGGAGTTTGCAGCATAAAATATCCATTTATTCTTCTGTGGCTACAAAAGCATGAAACTTGGAATACCCAAATAATATATATGTAAGATATTCTGATTCGGTTATTCGTCTTGTTGCATAATATTATTCAAAAAAGGACTTTCTCCGTTAAACAAAGTTAAAACATCCTTTAGTACCCTTATATTTCCATACCTTTCCTTTCGGTGAACTTGAAGTAGCAGGATAGATGAATATTCCTCCATATTTGATTGTCCTGTGTACGTCAGCCACCATAGAGCCTATATACCTAGCGTTGTACGGAGTCCCCTTGGCAGGATCTTTTTTGTTGTCTATATATTCCTTGACAGCCTTATCCCAAATGTGGGTATATCCTTCATTGATGGAGTATATTTTTCCCTTCGCAGGCACCTGAAAAAACATAGTGTGTGAGTGACCTTAATTTTATATAAAATATGAAGCGTCTGTATACTTACCGTCATATTTTTGTCGGTCAAAATGAACTCCCCGATGCTTGGGTCCAGCATGAACCCATGTACCCCATTGCCAACTGAAATAACCATCATGGTAGCGCTGCCGTACAGCGCATACCCGGCAGCCACAACTTTTGTGCCCGGTTGAAGAGCATCTTTCGCTGTTGGTATGGTGTTGTCTTCTTTCTTCATTATGGCGAAGATCGAGCCTACGGACACCAGGCAGTCGATGTTCGAGGAGCCGTCTAACGGGTCGAAGGCGACTATGTATTTGCCTTTCTTGTCAGTTTCCACCTGCAAAATAAACAAAAAAACTTACATTACTGGATAGACACAGCCGGATGCCGCTAGCGACCAAGCTACGGCTGATCAAGGCCATCGCCAGACCTCAGCTCGCTTACGCCTCCGCGGTCTGAGGGTACGCTGCTCCCAGCTACCGCAAGCGACTTGCTGCTCTAGAGATGCACCATCCTACGTAAGAAACTCAACCTTGCGTAGAGACCTGCATTGGGACACCATTCACGAGTACATGAGGAAAAAAGCGGAGAAGACATTCCAGAAAGCTCAGGACCACCCGAACGACTCCTCATGGACTACGATCCGGACGAGAGGCCTCGCAACCGCAGAGCCAAGTATCCTAGACCCAAGTCCCAGTTGGCATCCGCTAACTGGAACCTTGACTAGGAGACTAGGAGAACCCGCGGTTGCTAACCCCCCCCCCCCCCCCCCCCCCCCCACGGCGTAGAAGCAGAGGACGATGACCAGGACCAGAACCCATCAGGACCAGGACCCATCAGGACCAGGACCCATCAGGACCAGGTAACATACAAGTAGTAGATGACCTGAAACTCTTGATTTTTCGAAAACAAGAGTTTCAAGAGAACATAGCAAACCCTATATCGATGCTCGCTTAACGACATCGATAGAACTCTGCGAGGTAAAGGGAACCAACCCGGCGTTCCCAGAGACTGAAACTAATGAGGAGACGTTGTAGCAGACCGCAGGTCACGCACAACACATGGCCTACCGAGACGCTGATGAGTCGGGCCACGCGGAGGTTAGGGTTTAGTGGGTATTAGGTGGTCTCCTCGAGACAACCTGGAGTCCCACACACGCCGTAGCTCGGGCTATGGTATTGTGCATAAACGCATTCCCCCCCTCACAAAAAAAAAACAAATATTATTAGAAGAGTAAGTTAAATAATCAAATTTGTATTTTATCTAGTTTTTCTCCGGAATTGTGTGCAAGAACTTCACATAGTATCTTTTGAAATTGTGTACATAAAAACTTCACACACAAATCATAATGTCATTGTAAATTGTGTAGACAGCTATTACAGATAAATTATGGCATTACTAGAAATTGTGTAGAAAGAATGCATAGACAAAAGACCTACTTCAATGATGGTTTCGTTCTCTTCTGATATTAACAGCGACGTAGTGTACGAAGACGTCAACATGTTGATGAACAATTCGTTGGATAACACATCTAGTTTTTTCACCTCTTCACCTTGTACATTCGTCTCGCCTACGGTGCCAAATCTGAAAAAGAAATAAAAGTTACGTCTTTAAAATCATGTCGTTTCTTTCGAATCTATTTAATAATTATTTTCTTTTGATCTTATGATTGCATACCAGATAGTTGCAACATAAATTCGCTAAAATAAGTTGGCGCTTTATTGTTTGTAATTTCATAATGATAAAATCAAGTTTGCCTTTACTAAGATTCCCTATACTGTAGACAATTTTAAGTTTTGTTATTGGGTTGGGTAGTTACGCCGTCGTAAAATATTTTGGATGGAATACTGCCGAAATATCACAATTTTTTATACACATATATAGTCCACATGATCAATGAAACTTAAACGTTGGTAATTACTCCTAAATATTGAATTTTGTTTAGAAATGTTATGGTATCATCAACAAATATAAATGATTCAACGATCTCGTTGTTTGGGTCGTGACCACTGATAATTCAAATAATCTCAGACAAGAATGAAAACAACAATGTATTTATCTTTGAATTAATTCCAAAGGTTGAATCTTTTATCATAGTCTGGCATAAACTAGACATCTAAAAGCATTACCGTACTAAGACTTCCAAAACCTGAGACGAGAAGAATTAGTATCCTTTTGCCAGAACCACTATGTCTGGCCAATAACGATACCAGAATAGAAATCGTAATGCCATCGGAAATCGTGTAAAAAAACTTTACGGACAAATGCCAACGAAGAATTGTGCCACCAACGAACTCATATATACTAAGTGACATATAAATCCGAACACCCAGTTTAAATGGTTTTATTTTAATAAAATTTTGTATAAGTACTTAATGAAGCATAATAAGTAAATGATAAAAATTTCAAAATGATTGCACTGCTTTAAAGCCCTTTGACCTTTAATAATGTGTGGATGCACCCTGATGTGCTACGCATTCTCCAACGCGCCTAGGCATGCTTCTGATCAGGTGGTCAATGTCCTCCTGTGGTATCTCATTCCAGGCAACCACCAACTCCTTCTAGAACTTCGTGGATATAACGCTGCGCGTTCATGTTACCTATGATGAAGATTAAAGGTGACCTGGAACCATAAGCTATAGCACCCCAAACCATAACTCCAACAGTGTGAGGAACATGTCTTTCAACAAAAACTGTGGATTCCTCCTTTCACCACGTCGCCCTCTAACCCTGGCACGACCATCGCGCAAGTCTAAACAAAATCGAGACTCGTCACTAAAGACAATACTGTTCCATTCCTGATCCCAGAGTGACCGTTGTCTGCACCACTCAAGGCGATTACGTCGGTGTTCTCGAGTTAAAGGGAGGACCCAGTGTGGCCGGTATGAAAACAAGCCAAAACTTCTCATTCGTCGGTAAACACTTCGCATGCCAATAGGTCTTCCGTATTCTGCAAACCATTCATTTGCAATGGACCTGGTAGTGGAGAAACGGTCCCTTAAGGCCAATAATTTTAGGCGGCGATCTTCACGGTCTGTTGTTCTACGGCGGCGTCCAGTGCCCCTTGCTCTTTGCGTACGGCCTTCTCGAAGCCATGCCTGACAACACCTAACCACAGTGTCTACACTTCTTTGCACTCTAACTGCAATTGCCCGAAAAGAAAGTCCAGCTTCCCGAAGTCCCACTATACGGCCCCTATCAAACTCACTAAGTTGACGAAATCGTACAGGTCTCCGTACTCTAGGCATCGTAACCGATCGTAAAGGATGTCAAGAACCAAAATCCGCCAACGTTGATTCTTTACTGCGGCTGAAATATTCATTTTTAGAGCGTTAGTGAATTAAAAAAAAGCAGTAATAAAACCGGAATGTCCAACTGATAAGGCTGAAAATTTTTTCACTTGTTATTTACAGTAAGATAAATACATTCAGTATACTAATTGTTACAGATCCCATAGGTGTACATCACATGATAAATAACTTGAGATTCAGTTTACTTGGCGCCATATTTTTTGTTAAGGTGTATACTTTCTACAATAAAGCCACTGTTTTGGCATGATGAGCCTCTACCATCTTACAATTGTGTGAAACCAGCTCTTCTCACAGCGCTGCTAATGACTTTCACGGCAGTTTGTACGCTATTCAGAAGATGTGTCAGCTCTCCAGTCGCTTCCGGGTGTTTCTTTTGTTCAGTTAGAAAATATCTCGTTACTGTAATGCAGTTCGTTTCTTCTATAGCTTGTCGCTGGGATCCCATTTTTTACAAGAATTCAATCGTCTATCTTCAGCTGGAGGCAAAATATCGAAAAATATTCAAAACAATATACGGGGTGTTTCCTAATTGAATGTCAATATTTTTAAGGGGGCGCTTTTTGGAAACATCATATGAACGGACGAGTATATCTTGAAAGTCTTAACTTTTGAGATACAGCGTGGTAAAGCTACGTTAGTTTTCTCTTAAAATGGAACCAAAAATCCTACCCTTAAGTACTGACATTCAAATAGGACACACTCTGTATTTCAATGTGTTAAAAACACCCTGTATATTAATGGGACATGTTATTACTCCTGAAATCTGCTATTAAACTATGTTTTCCTGGATTATACCGTTTTCTAATAATCTAAGTCTTTTGCATAATATATAACTGTAAAGTTATATAACATCCTGTATATTGACGAACCGAATTTGAACTAAGAACGAAAATCTCGCATTTGTCAAAAAAAAAGAGTGAGAAAAAGATTTGCCTCTTATTTCACGACCTTGAGGATAAACTTAAAAGAGGTTTCCCAAACTACCTGAAATATTAACAAAGATGAAAATGACTTTAGCCAAAGAAAGTCCATCAGCCCACGGCAAACGTTACACCCCATCGAAGTAAGAATTTTTATTCGTTTCGTACAAGAACACAGACAGGTATATATCCTGACTGTAAAAAGAAAACCTTGAAAAGAAAATTCAGTGAATAATGTTCTTTTAATGATGAATATCTAAGAAATATAAGATACAAAAAAGCGTGTTTTATTTGTCGAATAAGAATTCATCAACGCCATTTTTTTGGAGGACTATTCTTTTCCGACTCTTTTTCCCAATAATTTTATCAAATTCTTACAATTGTGTGATGCCTGCTCGTCTGACGGCGCTGCTGATGACTTTCACAGCCGTCTGGATCGAGTTCAACAATTGAGTCAGCTCGCCTGTCGCCTCTTTGTGTCTTTGCTGTTCCGCCAAGAAAAACCTCGTCAGTGTGATGCAATTAGAGTTCAAACCGTGCTGGCTCGCCATTTTTGACGATAAAAAAAACGATTTTCACTGATGAAAAACCGAATACGAATGACAAGCCGGTACCCGACGGTCGGTATGTGGTTTTGTTGACTGGGAATGCGTATAGAAAGTCAGCTATATAAACGAGGTGACTATTACGCTCGCGATAAACAGCTTTAAATACACATTCATTATCATGGCAAATAGTCCAGGAAGTAGGGTGAATGTGCCGGTGGTCAGACTGTTCATATAAAAGTGGAATACAAAACGTAAAATTTTGTGTTCAAGATGAGACAACTTATGCTTTTGGAGGTGATCATATATGTTGTTGACTTTTAATATAAAATATTAATTAAAAAGGTGCTATTTTGCCAGTTCTCGGACAGCATGGGCGCCCATGAGGGGGCATGCCACCCCTCTGGCTTCTGCTTCAAAGTGAAAATTCTTAATAAGATAATTCTTGTTTGCTCTTCAAAACATCCCAACATAGAAGATATTATTTTGAATAGTTGCACAGTAAAAGTTTGTAATAGTAGAATAGAAATCTCAAATAGGCTGGGTTGAGAAATAAATCGCCACTTTTCCAAAATTGTCGTTTTTCTTTGTAGGCTAAGTACTTATCGGCTAGACCTCGTATGCAATACGCTACTTACCCAAGAAAATGTTGCGTCCAGCACCAATATTCTGTTCAAATTTTTCCTAATCCACCATCATTGAAGAAATGGGACGAATGAAAGTTTATGAAGAAATCTTAATATTCTGAACGAAAACCAGCCGTTAGCTTAATGTCGTTATTTTAATAGGCCTGTTGATGATTACAGAATTCTTTTATCAGTTCGAGTAAATATAACGGCTTTAAGTCTGATTATAAAATCGGCAGAGGTTAATAAAACCTAAAAATGTCATAATGTCACATTGCAGACTAAGTTTTTAGTGTGCAAACAAGTTCATTCCACGTTTTCTCGCTATGAGCGTCCATCTATGGAGGAATGACTCAACAACACAGCATACTCAAGCATGCATTGGTGGTTGCAGAAATCTGAGTTTATATGTTTTGTGAAGCCGAATAGTCTGTAGTGTTTATGTGAAAAAAAAGAAAAATGGTTGAGTAGCAAGATCGCATGTGGATGATTATGTGTATTGGTCTGCATGTGTATTCAATCAGTGTTATTTGCTATATGAGAAAATTATTACTGAATATGCTGCCAATGATGCATATAAAAAACAAAACGCTGTCGACAAATTTTTGCTAGATTTACATCTTTAAAATGTCACTTGCTGACCAGCTGCTCACCTTAGTAGACGTCAAAGTGTGATGGATACTCGTGAAATAGGGTATATTAATAAAACACAGTTTGCTTGATTCAGTCTTGTATTGTTAAAAGATCCTGTAGAAAATACACTAATGTTAAAAAATACCAAACATTGAATAATTTGACAATCAAATTAAGATTGATTTTAACATTCATAAAGTTGATATTAAGACAACATGGAAAAAACTAAAACAGATCACATTTCAATTTGTATAAAAAATAGCTAATACCTCCTCCTAGCAGCTTGATAGACAAGCTTGAACTGGCCTTCCATATTGTTGTCCTGTACCATTGGATGTAGTTTGTCAATTAGAAGGCATAACTGCAAAAAAAAAAGAAATAGCCATGGTTATCAGTGGCATCATCAGAACTAAGCTAGAAACTGTATAGCTAAAGAGGGGAAAACTCTGTTTGTATTGATTTTATCACCATGTTCACAGTATATTTAAAAATTTCCATTCACTTACATTTTTTATTAGCGGTTTATATTTATGACTTGGAAAATTTATCAATATGAGCACTAGATGTGTCAGATTGTTCCATTTCCTATTCAGGATGCAGTCCCTAACAGCTTTCAGTACAGCAGATGGTGATGTCCACATTGGATTTTTGATACTGTGCAGACGATGAATACATTCAAGTTGATTCCTACGTTGTTTGCTTACTTTAGGCTTGGTTTTCAATTTATCTAAAAAATGTAAGTAGCTGGATTATACATAAGCATATTGATGTATCGCTGTACGATTTATATCTATAGATGTTATTATACAAATAAACTAAGAAGTTTTATGGAGTGTTATCACACATTTGTAACATTACCTAGAAAAGCCTCGAATTTGGACTCGTTTACCCTGGGAGGGTGCACCTTATGTTTCTTCATAGCCAATCGAATCTTCTTTTTGATTTTTACTTTTTCAGCGGTAGGTTCCTCTTCAGAGTCTGTGCTGTCACGAATGAATTTAATATCTTCAGTTTTATCAATATCTTCCGTACAGTCTCGTGAGGGTCTCCGACGTTTAGATTTTGTACTTTCAGTGTCACTAGAAGAGTCTGAATTTCCATCCTCACTGAACGGGTGGGTCAGGAAGTCCTGCTCGTCTTTTGTCGTTTCATCGTTAAGGGATCCCTCATTTTCCAGGATATTGTCCTCAAAATCCATCTTATTTGATCTATATTATGGTAAAACTTGACCGTATTTCTTTTTCAAACACATTAGAAATGAAAAATTGCAAAATGTAACTAGAAATATAGTAAATATAAACAGATATCTAATAAAAAAAAACTCACAACGCAGGTTATAGGTTATCTTTTTGACATTTCATGTCAAATTGGCATACGTCAAGTATGACAGGTTGTCAGTCGGAATATAGAATTTGACTGCTCAACATTTACGTCATCTTTATCCCATAGATTCTGTCTCCATTGTAATTGGCAACACTGGATTTTTGTTATAGCCTCTGTCAACTAACTTAGTTGAAGGTGGCGCTGCCTCTGTCAAAATAAACTGGGGTGACAGTTCGGTCAATATTGTTTATTTTTATAAATTTTATTTATAAAACATTTCGAATGCACGATGATACAATAACCGCATTGCAATGTATTACTGATGAGTACGCACAAAATATTTACAAATAAAAAAGAAATCGTCCTAGTTCGACTGCAAGTTTAGCGCACGAATTCGACTTTAATCGCCGAGTAATAAAATGAACCTGAAAATGCGGCTGATTTTTGTCTTATTTTTGGTGAACGTGGCCCGCGGGGCCGTCGTCCACAGCCACACTAACGAGATAAACAAAGAAAGAGAAGCAGACGGCGCGTTTAGCCCAAGAGACCATGGGCACTTCTCTGAGAGCGGCGAACACCACAGCGAGTTTGATCATGAGGCGATTCTGGGCAGTCACAAAGAGGCTGAAGAGTACGATAATCTGCCTCCGGAAGAAGCCAAGAAGAGGTTGAAGATATTGCTGGTCAAGATGGATTTGAACAGAGATGGTAACATCGATAGGAGGGAGTTGAAAGCATGGATACTCAGATCATTCAAGTATGTGTAATTTATTTGTTCCTTAAATCTAAATTAATGATCAGGCAGAATTAAAATTGATATAGAGAAGGAGTTGCTTAGGGACCTATGACCAGCAAATTATGTTAGGAAACCTACAGGACTTTGTGACTCAAAAACCTCATTTTTGCCAGCTAGAAGCAACGAAACTTGGTGTGTTTAGGTGATTTTGGGTGCTTCATTCAGATATGTCCATAGAAGGATTGTAAAATGTTACAGGTCTGAATTAAGTGATTCTCTTCTTCAGACAATAAGGCTAATTTATCTATATATCAAGTACTGAAAGATTTTTGAAAATCATCTCAAAATACACATCCACATTGCAGGATGTTATCCGAAGAAGAAGCAAGGGAAAGGCTGGAGGATGCTGATGAAGACAATGATGGAAGAATTACTTGGAAAGAATATTTATCTGATAATTATGGGATAGAAAGTGATGAAAATACACTTGATATCAGCGAGGAAAATGAACATGTAAGTATAATGTTTTTTATTCTCTCTAGACTATCAAATGTGGATTAAGATCTTTACAGTTCTATTGAATAGATTAGAAGCAGTCAAGATTATATGGAAATAAAATGAAATTCTGCAATACTGTGTTTTTTTTTTTGAAAAAATAATATCAGATTACAAAAACTACAAACAAAGGCAGTAAATTCGTTTTTGCAGAGCATAATGGTACGTGTACACTGTAGAGAAAATCTACCTAGATTTTAGATTTAGATACGTTCTCTAGGTGAGACTTGCCTATGTTCTGTGTACACTATAACATATTTTGGCCCTCGCTAGACCTTCGTAGATATTTCCTAGATTAATTCTATACCAATTTCTCTATGTGGTGTGTACATAACATGGTAGATTTGATCTCGTAAAAACGTATAGGCATTATTGCACCGTAGTTTGTTGGAAGTAGTTTGAAATGTCGCGAATTAAGAAAATTGCAGCTGCCTCTGTTATTTTAATAACGAAGAAGAGAAAAAATGTTGAGCTAAAAAACAAGAAGAGAAGGATGTGGGTTAGGAGCTGGATTTCAATAAGACAGGATAGTGGTTTTTTTGCTCAATTGGTGAAAGAATTACACAGCGAAGACATGAATTTATTCGCTAACTTTTTACGCATGAGTAATAAGGACTATGAATACTTGCTTTAAAAAGTTGAACCATTGATTTGAAAACAAGATACTCATCTTAGGCTAGCTATTTCACCTTCAGAACGGCTCATGCTTACTTTACGGTTTTTAGCAACAGGTGAGTATTGAAAGACATGAGTTTGTTTTCTAGGATGTATTTAACTTAAAAAGCAAACAAAAACAACTTCTAATTAAATCATTTTTAATTGTAGGAGATAGCTATCATTCCCTGCAATACCTTTTTCGGATTCCAGTCACGACCATTTCAAGGATTATACCTGAAGTTTGTGAAGCGATATTTACTGTGCTGAAAACGGATTATCTCCAGGTAAGTAATTTTCGTAAAACTGCGTGATTGGAGGAAGGTTTGTAGTTGTATTTGTTATCGGTGCCTCTTCAAAACTTTCAACCGTATTTGAAGTTGATGGGTATGTACTCGAATGTGAATAAGTAGGCGACATTAAAGGTGTAAGTGTTCTTGATCCAGAAAACTTCACTTCATCTTCCTCGCTCATTGCAACTATAGCTTTCTGGATTATTCGTTTTAATCTTCTTTTTCGTTCATCAGAACGCAGCTGCCGTAATTCACTAGCAACATATTCACCAAATACGGTATACTCGTCAGTTGGTGTATTTAGTATGTTTTTAGCCTTTTCTAGCATTGCATCATCTTCCTCGTTCGTTTTTTCCTTGGCTTTGGTTTTTAGTTTTTTCGAACGATGAGTTGTAGTATTTGATGTTGTTAGTTTTTCTATGCTTTGTAATTGAGACTCCTCCAGAAAATCTTCCTCTTGCGACGAAACCTGAAATAAAATGCCAAAACCAAGGCCATTACCGGGTTAATCTGAAGATGCACCTTTTGTTGTTATTGCCGATGATGCTTTTGCCTTGACTTCCTATTTATTAAAACCTTTTACTTTCAAAAACCAACCCGGATTTAATCGGGTTTTTAACTACAGAATATCAAGAGCAAGGCGTGTAGTTGAAAATGCTTTCGGACTGATCTCGGCTCGATTTCGTGTTCTTAGACGACCACTAGACCTACCTCCAGAGAAGGTTAAAAAAATTGTACTTGCAATATGTTCTTCGCATAATTTCTTACCGACCCAAAAAAGTTCGGCACATTTATATGCCCCAAATGGAATATTTGATACTGAAAATGATGGGAACGTTATCAATGGGAGTTGGAGAAATGGAGGAAATCCTATAGCTAATATGGTTCCTTTACAGACTACAAATGTTAGAAACCCATCGAAAACAGCCAAAGAAGTACGAGAACAATTTAAAAATTATTTTGTATCCAAACATGGTGAAGTCGCCTGGCAGTATAAATATATATAAACATAATACCATTTTATCTGCTTAATGTAATATATGTTTCTAATGCTGAAAAAATGTTTACTCACCGTATCCCTAAAGTTTGCAGTGCTTTTGGTGCTCCCAGAGCAACCCATCATGAACTGTAACGCATCATAAAATTCCCACTTACTTTTCCACAGTCTATCATCAGTTCCATCTCCACTTTTGTTTTTTTTAATTTTCCTTATCTCCAAATTCATTTGACACCTTAAATTATGCCATTTTCTTCCAACTTCGGCTTCAGTGGTTTTTAAATGATCTGCTATATTTTTTATAGCTTGAGCCTTTTTATCCCGATCTCTGTACTCCTTCAATATGCAATTCCAAAGTTCTGGATGTGCCTCGTACATCTCAATTAGCTTGAGAGTACTTTCTTTGTCCCATTTCATAGCTTTTTGCTCATTTACACTTGGTGGGGAAGCCATGCTTTAAACTAATCTATTTAACTCATCGAATAGAGCGAAACAATGCGAGAGTGATCCAGAGAACTAGTCTCAGTACTGTGTCCACTACAACCCTAACTAGACTAACGTCGCGCTACCGAGAGTATTACGCCACACTCGCTAGAGCAGTCTCAGTAATATGTACACTATAGACTTAGTCTAAAGCGACTCTAGCTAGCGCAAATCTCGGGGAAAAATCTATAGTGTACACGTACCATATCAGCAGTAAATCACATTTTATTGCATTTTGATTTGCAAGGATGAAATGTTGTTGTTTAAGATTTATTTAGCATGATTGCTACAATTACATTCTTTTAACAAACTACAACAATACAGTTGTTTAGAAAAGCAAAATTTGCATCTCTAAGAATTTCCACTGTCCATGAAAAAATATGATTTATTGTTTTCAATATAAAAATAAGAACCAAATATATGCTATGAATGTTTTTATATTCAGTCACTGCAATTCTTATAACATAGATTTTATTTTGCAGGACTTGTAAGAGAATACAGCCTCATTGGCAGTGAACAAGATAGTCAATGCACTATAATAATTGTATTATAAGCTATTTTTTTTGGAATATGTACTAAGACTATGAGAAGCCATATAAAAGTAATTTATTTTGTTTGTCAATTTTTTAAAATCTCACCATTTATCTTAACTGTGATTTTCATTTAGGTATTTCCCTATTAGCATACATTTTCTTTTAGAACCATTCAACTTGAGTTTACTTGCATTTAACCAGTTTATGATATTTGCCAAGTCAGAATTTAGCCTTTTTAAAGCAGTGTCTACATTTTCATCTGATATCTATAAAAATGTATCATCTGCAAATATCTGAATTTTACAGTAATCTAAAATATCACAAATGTCATTTATGCATAAAATAGAAAGTAGTGGACATATACTAAGTGACATATAAATCCGAACACCCAGTTTCAATGGTTTTATTTTAATAAAAGTTGGTGAATTTATTTATCTTACTGTAAATAACAAGTGAAAAAATTTTCAGCCTTATCAGTTGGACATTCCGGTTTTTATACTGCTTTTTTTTAAATTCACTAACGCTCTAAAAATGAATATTTCAGCCGCAGTAAAGAATCAACGTTGGCGGATTTTGGTTCTTGACATCCTTTACGATCGGTTACGATGCCTAGAGTACGGAGACCTGTACGATTTCGTCAACTTAGTGAGTTTGATAGGGGCCGTATAGTGGGACTTCGGGAAGCTGGACTTTCTTTTCGGGCAATTGCAGTTAGAGTGCAAAGAAGTGTAGACACTGTGGTTAGGTGTTGTCAGGCATGGCTTTGAGTAGGCCGTACGCAAAGAGCAAGGGGCACTGGACGCCGCCGTAGAACAACAGACCGTGAAGATCGCCGCCTAAGATTATTGGCCTTAAGGGACCGTTTCTCCACTACCAGGTCCATTGCAAATGAATGGTTTGCAGAACACGGAAGACCTATTGGCATGCGAAGTGTTTACCGACGAATGATAAGTTTTGGCTTGTTTTCATACCGGCCACACTGGGTCCTCCCTTTAACTCGAGAACACCGACGTAATCGCCTTGAGTGGTGCAGACAACGGTCACTCTGGGATCAGGAATGGAACAGTATGGTCTTTAGTGACGAGTCTCGATTTTGTTTAGGCATGCACGATGGTTGTGCCAGGGTTAGAAGGCGACGTGGTGAAAGGAGGAATCCACAGTTTTTTGTTGAAAGACATGTTCATCACACTGTTGGAGTTATGGTTTGGGGTGCTATAGCTTATGGTTCCAGGTCACCTTTAATCTTCATCAGAGGTAACATGAACGCGCAGCGTTATATCCATGAAGTTCTAGAACCCCATCTTTTACCCTATCTTGACACCCTGGCAGATCCAACTTTCCAACAAGATAATGCCCGACCACATGTTGCAAGAGTCACAATAGACTTCTTTCAACATAATGATGTCACATTGTAACCATGGCCACCAAGATCTCCCTACTTATCCCCAATTGAGCACATGTGGGATATGATGGGTAGGAGATTGCTCAATTTGCAACGTCCTCCTCAGACTCTAGAAGCACTTCGAGAGGAGTTGGTGGTTGCCTGGAATGAGATACCACAGGAGGACATTGACCACCTGATCAGAAGCATGCCTAGGCGCGTTGGAGAATGCGTAGCACATCAGGGTGCATCCACCCATTATTAAAGGTCAAAGGGCTTTAAAGCAGTGTAATCATTTTGAAATTTTTATCATTTACTTATTATGCTTCAGTAAGTACTTATACAAAATTTTATTAAAATAAAACCATTTAAACTGGGTGTTCGGATTTATATGTCACTTAGTATATTAATGTTTCGAATTCGTTGTTTCCAACTCCACTCTCGCAGTGGCCGATTCTGGTAACAGACGTCGCTTTGTGCAGCCTTATTTTGACGTTTATCGAGAGTTTTACATGGAGAGAGAGAGACGAATACTGATTGACTGTTGCAGTTGATCGAAGACGACAAGCGCATGTGGCAGGCGGCAGACAAAAACCGAGACGGGCTTCTCGACAGCACCGAATGGATAGCGTTTTCTCATCCAGAGGAACATCCGGACATGTTGCCTGTAATCTTGGAGCAGACATTAAGGGAAAAGGATAAAGATGGAGACGGTGTGATTAGCTTCCAGGTAGTTTTAATTGTTCCTTAAACCAACGTCTAAAAACACTCGGCGAGATCATATTTTAGGTTTTTGTTTATTTAGCTTTTTAATATTGTAAATATATTTGATCCTATGGTTTTTCAGGAGTACGTTGGGGACAGGGGCACTGAACTGAGCAAGGAGTCCCTATTGGAGATGAAGACCAAGTTCGATGAAACCCTGGATAAGAACAAGGACGGAAAACTGGAAGGTGCCGAGATACTGTCTTGGGTGGTGCCTAGTAACGAGTAAGTAATGGTTTTTGCATAGAAAGGCTCTTCTTCCTGGTCTCCTCGAATATTTTCGTTGGGATTGTCAACGTTCATTTCCTTTCAGAGAGATTGCTCAAGAGGAAGTAGACCACCTGTTCGCCCATAGCGACGATGATCACGACGATTCGTTGAGTTTCGAAGAAGTACTCGAACACCACGACGTTTTCGTCGGAAGCGAAGCTACCGATTACGGCGACCATCTTCATAACATTCACCAGTTTACCGACGAATTATGATCGAATAAATGGAATAAAAACAGTATTTACCTCTCACCGGGACTGAAATGCAGCAGTCTCAGTTTTGTATGCTCTTAGTTTTCGTTATGATCTGGAAAATTTTTATTCTATTTTCGTATTTTAAGTTTCATCGACGGATTGTGTAGCTATTTATTGACTTATTTATGTTATCTAGTTTCACCCTTACATCTTAAGCATAAGTTTATCATGTGCCATTCTATATACATATGTTCGATTTTATGTAAATAAACGTTCAAAATGCAAATGTTATCATTCAAACTCTTTACAGAAAACAATAGCAGTATTAAAGTTTGTATGGATAAGAACGCGATGGTTCAAGATAAAACAAACAAGCTTTTCTTTATCAAGTTTCTGTTCGGGAAACACGCAGGCACCGTTAAAGCGACCCGTATTTGAAGCAGTAGTATCATAACAATTTGTATTTTATCTTCCAAGATTCCTGTCAATAAAATGAAAGTATTGGAGGCAACCGAGTTTTTAATGGATACTGAAAAGGGGTAACCATAACAGAAAAATTAAAATGTAACATTCAGTATCGCAAATGTAACATGCAGTAGTTCAAATATAACACTCGTACTTCAACTGCATTCATGAGTTCAAATGGAACGTATAGTAGTTCAAATGCCACATTTTAGGTTAAATGTAACGTGTAGAGTCTTAAGTTATAGCTGGTTTGTTAGAAATGTATACCTAACAGCACTAAAAAATGAAGAGTATTGAAGACAAACCAAGTTTTTCGATGGACACTGAAAAGGGCTAACCGAAACAGAAAAATTCAAATGTAACATGCAGTAGTTCAAACGTATCGTGGTTCAAATGTATACTAAGTGACATATAAATCCGAACACCCAGTTTAAATGGTTTTATTTTAATAAAATTTTGTATAAGTACTTAATGAAGCATAATAAGTAAATGATAAAAATGATTGCACTGCTTTAAAGCCCTTTGACCGTTAATAATGTGTGGATGCACCCTGATGTGCTACGCATTCTCCAACGCGCCTAGGCATGCTTCTGATCAGGTGGTCAATGTCCTTCTGTGGTATCTCCTCTCGAAGTGCTTCTAGATTCTGAGGAGGACGTTGCAAATTGAGCAATCTCCTACCCATCATATCCCACACGTGCTCAATTGGGGATAAGTCGGGAGATCTTGGTGGCCATGGTAACAATGTGACATCATTATGTTGAAAGAAGTCTATTGTGACTCTTGCAACATGTGGTCGGGCATTATCTTGTTGGAAAGTTGGATCTGCCAGGGTGTCAAGATAGGGTAAAAGATGGGGTTCTAGAACTTCGTGGATATAACGCTGCGCGTTCATGTTACCTCTGATGAAAATTAAAGGTGACCTGGAACCATAAGCTATATCACCCCAAACCATAACTCCAACAGTGTGATGAACATGTCTTTCAACAAAAAACTGTGGATTCCTCCTTTCACCACGGCGCCTTCTAACCCTGGCACGATCATCGTGCATGCCTAAACAAAATCGAGACTCGTCACTAAAGACAATACTGTTGGCGGTTACGTCGATGTTCTCGAGTTAAAGGGAGGACCCAGTGTGGCCGGTATGAAAACAAGCCAAAACTTCTCATTCGTCGGTAAACACTTCGCATGCCAATAGGTCTTCCGTGTTCTGCAAACCATTCATTTGCAATGGACCTGGTAGTGGAGAAACGGTCCCTTAAGGCCGATAATCTTAGGCGGCGATATTCACGGTCCGATGTTCTACGGCGGCGTCCAGTGCCCCTTGCTCTTTGCGTACGGCCTTCTCGAAGCCATGCCTGACAACACCTAACCACAGTGTCTACACTTCTTTGCACTCTAACTGCAATTGCCCGAAAAGAAAGTCCAGCTTCCCGAAGTCCCACTATACGGCCCCTATCAAACTCACTAAGTTGACGAAATCGTACAGGTCTCCGTACTCTAGGCATCGTAACCGATCGTAAAGGATGTCAAGAACCAAAATCCGCCAACGTTGATTCTTTACTGCGGCTGAAATATTCATTTTTAGAGCGTTAGTGAATTAAAAAAAAACAGTATAAAAACCGGAATGTCCAACTGATAAGGCTGAAAATTTTTTCACTTGTTATTTACATTAAGATAAATATATTCACCAACTTTTATTAAAATAAAACCATTTAAACTGGGTGTTCGGATTTATATGTCACTTAGTATACTATGGAGTACTTCAAAGGTAACATGCAGTAGTTCAAATGTACCATCAGGTAGTTCAAATGTAACATACAGTTGTTCACATATAACACGCATACTTCAAATACATTCAGCAGTTCAAATGTAACGTATATTAGTTCAAACGCCACATTTTAGGTCAAACGTAACGTAAATTATAGCTGATTTGTTAGAATTGTAGTCCTAAAAAATGAAAAGTATTGAAGACAAACCAAGTTTTTAGATGGACACTGAAAAGGACTAACAGAAAAATTCAAATGTAACATGCAGTAGTTCAAAAATAATTAGCAGTTCAAATGTAACGTGTAGTGTCTCAAATTATGGCTGGTTTGTTAACAGAACTGTATAGCTAACAACACTAAAAAGTGAAAAGTATTGGAGACAAACCAAGTTTTTAGATGGATTCTGAAAAGCGCTACCCGAAAAAGAAAAATGCAAAATGCAGTAGCTCAAATGTACCATGTAGTAGTTCAACTGTACCATTCATAGTAGTTCAAATGTTACATATGTCTTTTTGCACTCCGTTTGTGATAGTCGAACTATTGTCGAAGTGGCATTTGAACTATTACCTTTGTATCATTGACATATTCCAGAAAACGATTTGGAAGTAATTGAAATGACTTGATATTTATAGCTTTTTTGGAGCCTACTGAGCTTCTCGTGACAATAAAATGAGAACGTAAAATTAATGTATAAAACGTGAAAATAAAGACCTTTTAGATTCAAAAATAAAGTAGACAGGATTCAAAGTTGAAGTTTCAGACCTTTTCAAATAACATAGCGGTGGTAGTTCATGAGGACCATTTATGTGGCATATAAATCAATAAAACCTAAACTGAACTATTACTAGTTTAAATGTGCATTTGACTGCATAAATGTTATATATAAAATAATTCGATATGATAAAAATTGTAATTTACTTGAATATTGCACAGCTGAACTTGGAAGACATTTGTTTGTCTTTACATAATAAAACACGAGCGTTTCAACGAATATTTATTATTACATTACAATTTTGGTGCATGTGTTACACATTTATTAAATAATTACAGATAAAATGTGCAGGGCATAATACTTAGAAGAGAGAATAGCTTAAAACTGTACATCACAATCCTCTTTAAATAAATAAAATCCTAATAAACCTTGATTATAATATTATGTATACGTCATGTAATCACGCTAACGACAATGCAACATTGATTTTGAGTATAACATGTACATAAAACCGCCATCACAAAAGCCAAGTGTCTTTCAACAAAGATTTTAGTGGTACTCGACAAAAAGGATATTACACATCTCAAAGGTTAAAATGTCACAGTTTATAATACTCTGCTATGGAACTGTGATTTAAGGTCCGTGGTTTTGAGTTTCAATCCAACGTAGCGGCTGTTCAAGTTATTTCCAAGCCGAGTATTTTCGAAACTGTCACGTACCAACAAGAAGAGATAAAGATAGTATTTACAGAGGCATCTCGAAGTTGATGTCCAGTTTTGCGTCCCTGGCCAAGCTGACTATGTTGGACAGTTTCACCACCAATCTGAAACAAAAATGAACGCGTGTTTATTAAACACTAGCTTTCTGCTTCGCGGTTTTACCTAGGCTGTCAATGCCATCATAAAAAACAATGCATTGTAAGGGCGGATTTTTAAACGGGGGATGATAGGCCACAAGTCATAATAGTTATCAGAAGAATATAAAAAATGTAAGTCGTGTACATTTCAAATTATAGGCTTAAAAAATCGGAAAGATCTACTCCCTGTGATGATCTTTTAGCCTCCATTACTACAAATTTCAATGATGTACCATGGAGTAGTTCAAATTTCAAATGTAGCATGAACTAGTTCAAATGTGACATGCAGTAGTTAAAATGTATCGTGCAGTAGTTCAAGTACATATAACAGTTCAAGTGTAACATGCCTTAGTTAAAAGTGACTATGTAGTAGTTCAAATGTGTATTGTCTTAAATTACATCTGGTTTGTCAACACTGAATAATGAAAAGTAATGGAGACAAACCTTCTTTTATAGATGGATACTGAAAAACGCTAACCGAAACAGAAAAATTTAATTATAAAATGTAGTAGTAGTAATGTACCATGGAGTAGTTGAAATGTAACATGCTTTAGTTCAAAGATACCAACCATGTAGTAGTTCAAATGTAACATGCAGTAGTTCGAATGTACCTTAGAGTAGTTCAATTGTAACATGCAGTAGTTCAAATGTAACGTATAGTAGTTCAAGTGTGACATTTTTTGTCAAATCTAACATGTAGTGTCTTAAATTACAACTGGTTTGTTAGCAATACCTGACAAATTAAAATAATTGGAGACAATCAAGTTTTTGGATAGGTACTGAAAAGGGCTAACCGAAACAAAAAATTGAATGTAACATGCAATAGGTAGTTCAAATGTCTACCATGCACTAGTACCTAGTTAATATTCAAATTAAGCGCTCATCTTACACAAATTGTATAAATTTTCTCTAGTTTGAGAGACATTTTACAGGAATATCGACGATATTCATTAGTTCCATTACTACTTAATGCCTACTCATCAGTCCAATTTGGGCCAAATTTTCATTCCAGCGGGTCAACAGGGTTCAAATGTACCATGGAGTAGTTCAAATGTACCTTAGAGTAGTTCAAATGTAATATGTAATAGTTCAAATATAACACGCAGTATTTCAAGTATATTTAGCCGTTCAAATGTCGTATTTTAGTTCAAATGTAACGTGTATTGTCTTAAATTATAGCTGGTTTAATAACAGAATTGAATACCTCACAACACTGAAAAATGAAAAGTATCGGAAACAAACAAAGTTTTAGATGGGTGTTCAAAGGGGCTAACCAAACAGAAACATTTAAATGTAACATGCAGTGGTTCAAATGTGCCACGGAGTAGTTCAAAAGTAGCATGTTTTAGTTCAAATGTACCATGCAGTAGTTCAAATGTACGTGCAGTAGTTCAAATGTACCATGGAGTAATTTCAACGTGTGTGGTTTCGGTTTGTATTCCTTACCTGGCGGCTTCATCCAAATTGTCAACGGGAAGGATCTTCAGGCCTGAGGCGGCGATCAGGACTTTGGCATCATCCACGTTGGTGCCTTGCAGACGGCACACGATCGGCATTTTCAGACTCAATTCTTTCGCCGCTGCTATGATACCTTCGGCGATCACGTCGCATCTCATTATACCTGGAAACAATACTTATACAATGAAATTGCCCTTCGTAGACACCCCTCTTACACCAACACCTCATTTAAATGGTCCCGACTAACTCTCATATAATTTGCATTGTATTAACTCTCTCTTGGAAGGACGCGTATATATTTTCATTGAAAACACGACTTTTGCTGTATTTCTTTTATACGGATACCCCTCTTGAAGGGACGCTTTCAGTTAGCTGGGAAAGTAGGCACTCAAAGTTAAAACTATATACAGGGTGTCCCAGAAGTCGACGTCAAGCCGAAACCGGGTGATAGGCAAAGTCATAACAGCTATCAGAAAAATATTTAAAAAAATTTTATGTATGTGTTTTGAAAATTATAGGTCTTTGAAAAAGATATAGAAATTTCACATCCTACGGCAGTCTGTCAACTCCTGTTACTACAAACATTAACTTTTTTTGGATTTTATTTTTACAATGTAATGACGAATAAAGCATCTTCAAACTGGTGTCTCAACCTTACTGCCAACTTTTCTCGTTCAGGAAAAATTGCCACTTATTTCCCAACCAAGTATTCCAAAGTAAAACTTTGCTCAACTTTAACTGGCTGTACTGGAAAAAAATGTACTACGAGAGTTTGGCAAGTACCCTTAAAAGTTGGCGCATTTAATAAGGATTCCAAAATGGTATAACACTTAGAAGATTACTCGTTAACTTATGCACAATTTTTATTTGAAGAAAAACTGATGAAAATTTTTCAAAATTTCCTAATTAAACAGCGATTATGAAAACGCACAAGCACCCTTAAGGATAACTGTTTGCACAACAGTGGGCGTCAAAATGCTGCTGATGATGATTTACCTTTACAGCAAATGCTCAAACTGTTTTCCTTCAGCCGCAATACACGCTCGACATCTTCTTAAAAAAGATCGGGTTATTAAACGAGCGAATCCACGGTTATTAACAAACTCAGCTGCTTCCAATAGTCTTTGCCGTAGCTCAGCTACATTTTGCATCGGCTTGAAATACACTTTTTCTTTTACAGTTCCCCAGTAAAAAAATCGAAAGGATTCAAATCGGGTGATCGGGCTGGCCACGGTATTGTACCAGAGCGCCTTATCCATCTGCCTGGAAAGTTTTGATCGAGATACTCTCTCACTGAGAGTGCATAGTGCGCTGGGCAGCCATCATGCTGAAACCACATGTCCCTCTAAATACTCAGTGGCACGTCCTCCAATAAATTTTCTAAATGATTTTGCAAAAAACCTAAATGAACCTCAGCAGTTAAAGTCTCTGGGAACTCAAATGGACCGATTATTTTACTATTTAAAATTCCTGTCCAATGGTTTATCTTGAAGCGATATTGAGATTTATCTTCTCTCATCAAATGTGGGTTTGCTACGTGCCACTCGTGTAAGTTATGCAGGTTCATGTACCCATCTTTCTTAAATGTGGTTTCATCTGACCATAACATTTTTTCAAACAACCGTGGATCTTCCCTGTGTCTTTCTAACATTGTGCGACAAAAAGCAACTCGGGGCTCATAATCCCGGGGCAGAAGAGCTTGAACACGCTGTACGTGGTATGGATGGAGCACGTTTTTTTGCAAGATTCTATGGGCTGTACTTTTGGGCACACCTGTTTTTAGTTCTATTGCACGCACTGAAGTACTCGGGTCTTCTTCGACAGCTCCTAGCACCACGTCTTCGTAAGGAAGGAAAGATCTTCCCTCACCGAGTGATTGGTTCGGTAGTTGGCCATCTGAGAACAGTAAGCGGTGCACATTTGTGAACACTCGATGATCTGGATGACGAGCTGCATTCGGGTACCTCTCACAGTAAAGTCTCGCTGCAGCACTAGCGTTGCATCTGCATTCCCCATAAATGAGGTGCATGTTAGCATATTCTTGTACGGTGTACACGGACATAGCGGCACTGCATAATCACACTATCAAAGATAGTCTAAGGAAAGCAAATGTTGTTTTGAAGAGCAATTACACAGTCCAAATCCAAATCACAAGCGATCAACAGTCCAAAATTAGTAACAGTACGAAATCAACAAGCACGAACATGTAAAGATGCGCAGTAAACGAAGGAGTACTGATCGGTATCAAAGTGTGCAATAGCAAGTAAGTGATGTGCTTCATCCGCACAATGTTAGAAAGACACAGGAAAGATCCACGGTTGTTTGAAAAAATTTTATGGTCAGATGAGACTACATTTAAGAAAGATGGGTGCATGAAACTGCATAACTTACACGAGTGGCACGTAGCAAACTCACATTTGATGAGAGAAGATAAATCTCAATATCGCTTCAAGATAAACCATTGGACAGGAATTTTAAATGGTAAAATAATCGGTCCGTTTGAGTTCCCAGAGACTTTGACTGCTGAAGTTTATTTGGATTTTTTTAAAAATCATGTACAAAATTTATTGGTGGACGTGCCACTGAGTATTTACAGGGACATGTGGTTTCAGCATGATGGCTGCCCAGCGCACTATGCACTCTCAGTGAGAGAGTATCTCGATCAAAACTTTCCAGGCAGATGGATAAGGCGGTCTGGTACAGTACCGTGGCCAGCCCGATCACCTGATTTGAATCCTTTAGATTTTTTTACTGGGGAAGTGTAAAAGAAAAAGTGTATTTCAAGCCGATTCAAAATGTAGCTGAGCTACGGCAAAGAGTATTGGAAGCAGCTGAGTTTGTTAATAACCGTGGATTCGCTCGTTTAATAACCCTATTTTTTTTAAGAAGATGTCGAGCGTGTATTGCGGCTGAAGGAAAACAGTTTGAGCATTTGCTGTAAAGGTAAATCATCATCAGCAGCATTTTGACGCCCACTGTTGTGCAAACAGTTATCCTTGAGGGTCCTTGTGCGTTTTCATAATCGCTGTTTAATTAGGAAATTTTGAAAAATTTTCATCAGTTTTTCTTCAAATAAAAATTGTGCATAAGTTAACGAGTAATCTTCTAAGTGTTATACCATTTTGGAATCGTTATTAAATGCGCCAACTTTTAAGGTTACTTGCCAAACTCTCGTAGTACATTTTTTTCCAGTACAGCCAGTTAAAGTTGAGCAAAGTTTTACTTTGGAATACTTGGTTGGGAAATAAGTGGCAATTTTTCCTGAACGAGAAAAGTTGGCAGTAAGGTTGAGACACCAGTTTGAAGATGCATTATTCATCATTACATTGTAAAAATAAAATCCAAAAAAAGTTAATATTTGTAGTAACAGGAGTTGACAGACTGCCGTACTGTGTGAAATTTCTATATCTTTTACAAAGACCTATAATTTTCAAAACACATACATAAAATTTTTTAAATATTTTTCTGATAGCTGTTATGACTTTGCCTATCACCCGGTTTCGGCTTGACGTCTACTTCTGGGACACCTTGTATAAAATAAAACCACCTTACCTCCGAAAATGTTGACCAGGATCGCGTGCACCTTTGGATCGGACGTGATGATCTTGAACGCCTCCTTGACGGCGGTCGCGGTCGCTCCGCCTCCGACATCCAAAAAGTTAGCCGGCGATCCGCCGTGCAACGAAATGATGTCCATCGTCGCCATAGCTAGACCTGCCCCGTTCACCATGCAGCCGATGTTGCCGTCCAACGCGATGTAGTTCAGGTCGAACTTCGCCGCTTGGACTTCCTTTTCGTCCTCTTGCGTCCAATCGCGGAGCGCGAACAGATCTTTCTGACGGAAACCGGCGTTGTCGTCGAAGCGGAATTTCGCGTCCAGCGAGAAATCTGAGGAAAGATACGACGTATTTTATTTTTCGATACCGGATAGCGCCGTTATCGATTGCAGAAAGTAGCATTTATCTATGAAGGTAAATAGCTTATACCATATTATTTACTGACCAGTTTATACGGGTCGTTTTCAAAGTTAAGTCATTTATTTTAATAGCTTGTAGAACTCGTCAATAGAAGGTGATATACCAATAATCGCTCAGCTAATTTGCGAAATTCTAATCACTTTTTATTTATCAGTATACCAAAAACTTGTGAAACTATGCTCAAAATTATAGCGCTCCCAGTAGGTGTTGCATTTTCTATGTTTGTTTGTTTCAGATTTATTTAGCATTAATGCTATAATATCCATAATATCCATATTACACAGTATATCACAAAATATATTATGTCTTCAAGACTACATATTTGTATACAAAATTTCACTACTATGAATTCTGGTTTTCCATGAGATATTTTTTCAATTTCCCTTCGAACATTTTCAAATTTATATAAGTACTAAAAATATTCAGTCTGGTATCTCTTATATAAATGAGGACTTGAAGCTTGTCTCAAAATGGTTAGCATCTAACAGACTAAAATTAAATGCAAGTAAAACAAAAGCCTTGTTAATCGGAAAAAAACAATGTACAAATGTTCAACTGAATATTGATGGTGAAGATATTGAATTCGTAGAAAATTTTAAATACCTAGGGGTTTTTGTTGACTCTCGATTAATTTTTGATATTCATTATGAAAAAGTTATAAATAAGATTAGTAGTGAAGTGGGATATTTATCGAGAGTTTCTGGATGTCTGAGTAAATATAGCAGAAAAATTATCTATAATACCATCATTCTTCCAAATTTCTTGTACTGTTCGACTATTCTATATTTAGCAAATAATTCCATTTTTGAAAAACTGCAAATTTTACAAAATAAGTGCATGAGAATAATACTAAATAAAGATAAATATACTCCAATTAGGCAAATGCTTAGCAAATTAAAATGGCTCAATGTAAAAAAATTTATCAAATATCTTGTAATGATATTCATTTATAAAGTAAAAAATAATATATTTCCATCAAGTCTAACTAATTTAACATCATCAAATGTCGACCATCATTTACATAATACCAGAAATAAAGATGACTTCCATTTAATGACCAAAAAGTATAACATATGCTACAAATCTGTATTCCATCAAGGGTTGATTGAATATAATAAATTATACTCGGAGATAAAAGACCAGAAAACTTTGACAAAATTTAAAGTAAAATTGAGAAATCACTTGTTAAATCTACAATTATAGGTTGCCCAGCATTTACATCATACACCATATGGCTTGAATTTACTAGTTCTAAGTTGTTTACAATTATTCTGTTTATGTAGCCAAATGTGCTAAATAAATCTTTCTACTACTGACACACATCTTGATATCATTACTTAATTTATTAAATTCGTACAAACCCTTTTGAAATACTGACTTGCTCGTTATACTGCTACTGCAGTTTTGTAAATGAAAGTCTATACTTCCTCTAGTAGAATAATTGTGGCACTCATTGTTCAATGCAATAATATTTTCTAAGTGACTTGGTAGAAGATGATTTTTTAACTTGAATATGAAAATGAAAAGAAAGGGCTAAGAAATTTTTGATATTTAACCATTGTAGTTCTTTCAGCATAAAATTTATTCTATATAGTGTATTTATTTTTATTTAAGATGATTCTCATAGCATTATTTTGTAATATTTGCAATTTTGAAAATATAGTTTCATCTGCAGTGAACAAAATAGACGAACAATATAACAAATGAGGAAGAATGATAGTGTTGTACACAATTTTTTTAGCATAAACGCTTAGGCTACGCAAAATTCTATAAAAGTAATTTATTTTCTTGGATATTTTTGAAATAATATATTCATAGTGCCCTTCAAATTTTAATTTACTGTCTACGTATATGCCCAAATATTTAAATGATTCGATTGACACAATTTTTTCATGATTAATTGTAAGATTTATCGTATTTTGATCTATAGATTCTCCTATTAGCATATATTTTGTTTTATTTGTGTTTAGTTTAAGTTTATTTACATTTAACCAATTTATTACGTTTTTCATACCATTATTTAACAGCTCTATTGCAGTTTCAATGTCTTTATTTGATATATGTATATATTAATGTATCATCAGCAAATAATTGAATTTTGCAGTGTTGTAAAATATTAGGAATATCGATAATATATAAAATAAATAGTAATGGACCTAATTTGGTACCCTGTGGCACACCTACCGAAATGTTTTTAATGTTTGATAATGTATTGCCAATTTTAGTTCTTTGACTTCTATTGATTAAATAATTTTGTAATAAGTATGTTTGAACGTAGAAGCTTCAAATTTGGAAGTTGGTTATAAGAGATAGTTTGCTTGTTCGGAAAGTACTAGATTCAACAAAAAAGTTATGGTTTATGAGATAAAATTTATTTTTGACAAAAAATTTACTCGACCTTGAAAATGTTCATCTGATTATTGAGCTGAAAACTGCATCAAAATATACTGACATATAAATCCGAACACCCAGTTTAAATGGTTTTATTTTAATAAAATTTTGTATAAGTACTTAATGAAGCATAATAAGTAAATGATAAAAATTTCAAAATGATTGCACTGCTTTAAAGCCCTTTGACCTTTAATAATGTGTGGATGCGCCCTGATGTGCTACGCATTCTCCAACGCGCCTAGGCATGCTTCTGATCAGGTGGTCAATGTCCTCCTGTGGTTCTCATTCCAGGCAACCACCAACTCCTCTCGAAGTGCTTCTAGAGTCTGAGGAGGACGTTGCAAATTGAGCAATCTCCTACCCATCATATCCCACACGTGCTCAATTGAAGATAAGTCGGGAGATCTTGGTGGCCATGGTAACAATGTGACATCATTATGTTGAAAGAAGTCTATTGTGACTCTTGCAACATGTGGTCGGGCATTATTTTGTTGGAAAGTTGGATCTGCCAGGGTGTCAAGATAGGGTAAAAGATGGGGTTCTAGAACTTCGTGGATATAACGCTGCGCGTTCATGTTACCTCTGATGAAGATTAAAGGTGACCTGGAACCATAAGCTATAGCACCCCAAACCATAACTCCAACAGTGTGATGAACATGTCTTTCAACAAAAAACTGTGGATTCCTCCTTTCACCACGTCGCCTTCTAACCCTGGCACGACCATCGTGCATGCCTAAACAAAATCGAGGCTCGTCACTAAAGACAATACTGTTCCATTCCTGATCCCAGAGTGACCGTTGTCTGCACCACTCAAGGCGATTACGTCGGTGTTCTCGAGTTAAAGGGAGGACCCAGTGTGGACGGTATGAAAACAAGCCCCACAACTTCTCATTCGTCGGTAAACACTTCGCATGCCAATAGGTCTTCCGTGTTCTGCAAACCATTCATTTGCAATGGACCTGGTAGTGGAGAAACGGTCCCTTAAGGCCAATAATCTTAGGCGGCGATCTTCACGGTCTGTTGTTCTACGGCGGCGTCCAGTGCCCCTTGCTCTTTGCGTACGGCCTTCTCGAAGCCATGCCTGATAACACCTAACCACAGTGTCTACACTTCTTTGCACTCTAACTGCAATTGCCCGAAAAGAAAGTCCAGCTTCCCGAAGTCCCACTATACGGCCCCTATCAAACTCACTAAGTTGACGAAATCGTACAGGTCTCCGTACTCTAGGCAACGTAACCGATCGTAAAGGATGTCAAGAACCAAAATCCGCCAACGTTGATTCTTTACTGCGGCTGAAATATTCATTTTTAGAGCGTTAGTGAATTAAAAAAGAGCAGTATAAAAACCGGAATGTCCAACTGATAAGGCTGAACATTTTTTCACTTGTTATTTACAGTAAGATAAATACATTCACCAACTTTTATTAAAATAAAACCATTTAAACTGGGTGTTCGGATTTATATGTCACTTAGTATACGTCAATAATGAAGCCAGATATCCGGCAGCTACGTTTTTTTTTGTTCGCGGTAAGATAGAAAGTGCTCCTAATGCAACAATTTGAAAAAATGATACGCAACAAACATAACTGATAACTTACACTGCTCTCCGGCATCCTCGGCGTACGGGTTGATCTCGATAAGCAAAGCGTCTTTCTTCACGAACAAATCGTACATCTTGAGCAGCATATCGGCCGTTTTCGCCTTCTGTTTTTCCAATCCCACTTTCACGGCCACCTTTTCCGCCTGCTCCTTGCTCAGCCCTTTGATTATGTCGATCGGTTCGTACAAAATCGCGTCCGGGTTCTCGGCGGCCACCTCTTCGATGTTCACACCGCCTTGAGACGAGGCTATTATCACGGGACCCTAGAATTATTCGAGTACCAGCTGGATAAAGATGCTTTATTATACAAGGAGCGAGTTTAAAAATTTCCAAAAAAATCACGAAAATGTATCTCTTGCCGATGATGAGACTAACATATTTTTAGTATCAGAAATACTTGCATTGAATGCTCGTTCCATCATCACAGCAAAGTAGTATTCTTTCCTGGGGAATTTTCTTTCAGCTACCATAACTGCATTACATATCCTGCCCTTTTCACCAGTCTGTTTGGTCACCAAATACTGGCCCAACATTTTTCCTGCAATCTCCTCTGCCTCTTCAGGTCTACAACAGGAAATAATATTTTAAAAAAATTAAATTTGAAGATTTGACTTTTGAGTTAATAAATAAAATTACGTAATTGGATCCAAAGAAACAGCACTTACGTGTCAACCATCCTGACTCCACCTTTGAGCCCATTCTTGAAATGTCCCTTCCCCCTGCCGCCGGCAAGCACCTGAGCCTTCAGCACCAAGTCTTTCGTGTTCAAGCCCTTAGCGATTTCTTTGGCCTCTTGCTTCGTCTTGGCCACGCCGAATTTCGGCACGGGGATTCCTGCATCTTTTAGCAAGGTATAGCTGATGTGCTCGTGAACGTTTAGGTTTCTCGTCTGTTGCTGTTGCGCTTTCCATCTGCCGTTCGTGGGGGCCGATCCCAGGATCTGAAATAGATACAAATTACCCGTCGACTAAGTATTCGTTTAATTGCTCAGATGTTAAATTTACCAAAATCTGTGGTTCATGACATTGTGACACAGCATTTGAACATGCGCAAGGTGTGCGCGAAGATGGTCCCAAAAGTGCTCACTGACGACCAGAAATTGCGGCGAGTGGAAGTGTGCCAAGAAAATTTGAGCATGTGTGAAAGTGACCCCCAATTTTTGAATAACGTAATCACGGTGACGAGTCGTGGATCTTTGAGTATGATCCCGAGATAAAGAGGCAATCTTCCGAGTGGCACACGACGGCGTCTCCTCGCCCAAAAAAGGGAAGAATGAGCAAATCCAAAGTGAAAACGATGCTCATTGTCTTTTTTGACATCAAAGGCATCGTCCACCATGAATTTGTTCCTCCTGGACAAACCGTCAACGCCAAGTTTTACGTGGAAGTGCTCAGAAGACTCAAACGAAGGGTCAGTCGGGTCCGACAAGACATCGCAGCCGACTGGAAGTTGCATCACGACAACGCCCCGGCCCACACCGCCTTTCTTGTGAACAGCTACCTGAAAGGCAAGCATTTTGAGACGACAGAGGAGATCCAAGCAGCATGCACCGCGGCTATCAAGGCTATTCCGGAGAATGCCTTCCTTGACGCCTTCAATGCTTGGAAATCGCGCTGGCAGCGCTGCATCGACGCAGAAGAAGCAAATTTTGAAAGTTTTTAAAGAATTGTAACGATTGGCTCAATATTTTTTTTAAATCGACTCAGTCCTATTATTTTCCGGACAAACCATGTATTTAATACAAAACAGCAGCGTACGAGTCTTAAGCATCTTACTGAACTACTGGAGAGACAAAGTAAGTCAGTTTTTTTCATCAAAGTTTGAGGTGCATAGAAAAATGTCCAAGATTAAAAATGTAGCATCTGACATAGCCCCAAACCATACAAAATGTACTATAATAATTGCCATTTAATCAGATATCTGTATTCTGGCCTTACATCTGATTAAACTAAATAATTGTAATTGCACACTATTTAAGCAATTCTATCACTTATACTTGGCTGATATATTTGGGAGACGTGAGATAAAATTATATAATATCACACAATTGTAATGTGTATATTTTAATATCATAGCTGTTGAATGATAACATACTTAGAATAAATTAGTTATTTAATATGCTAATTCAACAATTTTCCCAATCAAATATACTCGTAAATAACAGTAGATGAGGTTCCCCTTGAAATTACAAAAAATTACGCATCTGTGAAGTTTTTATTTTGAGAGTGGTTTCTGAAAGACTTGTGTCAAGAAGATTGACTTGTTTTTTTTAATAGGATACCTTACTTTTAGGATTAATTGTGTACACCAATTTTCCAATTATCATAGGTTTAGGTTCATCTTATTTTTATATACAGTGAAGTTTCCCCCTTTGTGAACACCACTCTTACAAACAAAGAAGAGATTTATGCATGAAAATATGCAAAGTGAAGATCATCTAAATGAGGCTGATATACCTGGCCCACAAGGTGACTTACAAATTAATGTACTTTCAAATACCCTCAAAAATAAGAATGATTTTTTGAACCTAGATGAAACTTTGTCCCTGAACATGCAGCTCAAAAGTTTTGCCACAAATCAGCGAGATACAGAGGTCTTAGGAGCTTCTTTCTAGACAAGAAATACAATTTCAAGGTGCCATTTTAAAGGAAAAGAGGAGACAAATGACAATATATGAATTTTTACGTCCTTAAAGTGACTTTTTATTTCATTATTTTGTGATACTACATGTATATACATATATAAGTACATACATTTTTTCAAGTTTAGCGTTTTCTGTTTATTTTAAAAACATTTATATACATATATATATATATAGTTTAAATGTCCCAGTTTCTTTAAAAACACCCCTCTTGAATGCACACTTTCAGTCTGTCCCATTGGTGAAAGGAGATTTCGCCGTAATTTGAAAAAAGTGAAACAAACACAAAAAATTTACATGAATAGTTTGAATTTAATTTCTTAAAATAATTGTGTGGAAAATTTCGATTAGGTGGCAGTTCGGGGCACATGTTACGTTATTTTTTGATCCACTTTTTGCTTTACAAATATTGCAATGTTTTCTGAATTGGTCTATATAGTTTGAAAATTAGAATAGCTTATAGGGTATTAACCCTGAAATAAAAACCCTCAAAAAAATTAAAATTGATTACAAATATGTTTCACCTTTAAATCATTTTTATTTCAGTAATCGTTTTAAAACATCCTCAGAGTTAAACAACCTTGTAAGCCCAAAACAGCGTGTTGTGTAAGGACATTTTCTCTTACATAACAAGGACTAAAAAACAACTAAGCTCGACAAAGTGACATCTAATTTCTAATAATATGTAGTTCAAGGTCGCCCCATTTAGGTGTAAATATCTAATTCCCATCCCGAATGACCTACAAAATACAGGAATCGATGGAAATAGACGATGACGTTTCTTACCTTTGGACCGTTTTTCAAAACTACGTTTTCCACTAAAACGGCGCTTCTGAGCATCGTGGCCATTTCAAAAAACGGAAGGCTGGAATCGAACGCTTATCACCCAAGCAAAATTTCGGACGTGTGAATTTTTTTTTAAACTTTAATTTGGCAGCTGACTGATCCCGTACATAACCTCCTTACACTGCGAACGTAACCTCACTTTCGACGATCTCGCAGAGCGGATTTTGACGGAAAGTTTGAAATGGATTTTGTCAGCTTTTTCGAATAGGTGGTTTAATTTTACGCTTCTGAAATAATAGAATTTTGTACCCCCTCTACGGTATGTACTTAAACGACGTTCGTCCTTATCGAAAAACATCATGACCTTTGACCAGGAGGGAATTGTACAGGGTGTCCCAGAATAACCTGTCAACCTCGTATGTATACAGGGGATTACTTAATGATACGCAGTAGAACCAATGAAATCAAAGACGCGCCTCGACCGGCAGACTCATAGGCGTCGGCAACGCATTGGAACGTGTTTCGTTGAGCGATCGCATATTGTGTGTTTTTATAAGAATTGTTGTGTGATTGTCATTGTTGTGGTTTCTGTGGTTACCGTTTTGGTTATACTTAACCATGGAGAGTACGAATGGCACGAGTGGAAGTACTGAAAGCCAGGGAACAAGTAGACGGCTTCGTAAAGCACTGAAGAGGGACGCGAAAGAAATCGTGCTCAACGTGTTCAATTATCTGAACAGAACTATGTCGCAGGGAGATGCACTCGCGCGTTGTGAAAGTATGACAGGCGTTCCAGAGTGGACCATTCGCAGGGTGGTGCATGAAAAGAAGAAAACTGGAGCTACTACTGATCCAAAGTTTAATTTGAAGGGACGAAAGGCCGTTAAATTGGATGACGATAGCAAAATGGCGTTAAGACGAACCGTACATTCATTCTTCATTAGGAATGAGATACCAACCCTCAAGGCTGTACATGCAGCGATCAAAGAAAATGAAATTATACCCCAATAAGCGTCGAGGTAATGAGGAAATCCCTGCACGAAATTAATTTTCGTTACGAAACGCGTAATCGGAAGTCAGTATTGATAGAGAGACCTGAAATAGTCGCCTGGCGTCGAAAATACCTACGCGAAATGATTGAATATAGGCGACAAAGCAGAAAAATCTATTATTTGGACGAGACATGGGTAAATGCAGGTCACACAGTTAAAAAAACCTGGATAGACAAACACGTAGTGAGTAACCGACAAGCAAGCATTGAAGGTTTGTCAACAGGTCTTCGTGGACCGTCAGGGAAAGGTCAAAGATTGATCGTAACTCATATTGGTAGCGATAGAGGCTTTTTAGAAGAGTGTGACTTGATTTTCGTCTCTAAGAAAGGAGGTGATTACCATGACGAAATGAATGCCAGCTGCTTCGAGAGCTGGTTTCAAGGGGTGCTTCAGCGAGTTGAGCCCAACTCTGTGATCGTCATGGATAATGCTTCCTACCATAGTCGTCGAGCCGAACGTGTACCGACTATGGGATCTCGAAAAAGTGACATGCAGCAATGGTTGCGCGAAAAAGGAATCCCGTTTGACGATTCATGTGTGAAAGCGGAATTGTATTAAAAAATTAAACAGTACAAACCTGCGAACATTAGTTACGTGACTGATGAGATGGCCCGTCAATGTGGTGTCACTGTGCTGCGGTTACCGCCCTACCACTGTGAACTGAACCCAATAGAGCTCATCTGGGCTCAAGTGAAGGGTTATATTGCGCGCCATAACACAACCTTCAAATTACCAGGCGTTAAGGTTTTACTTGAGACTTCCATACAGCTAGTAACGCCCGAAGCTTGGCAGAATGCTATCCGTCATGTTGTGAAGGAAGAAACAAAAATGTGGCAGCTTGACCACCACATTGACACCATCATAGAGCCACTTATAGTCAATTTCAACGAGGAAAGCGATAGCGACAGTTTATTACTGTCAGATGTAAGTGGAAGCGACGATGAATAAAGGTAATTCCCAAATTTTTGACTTACAATATGTTTCAAACCACTCTTTATTAAGCATGTGACAAATCTAGTTCACCCATGTTAAACATTCATACCCCGCCTATGAACAGCCGACTACTGGTAGTTAAGTGATGTTCACGTGAACATCGATGAGTCATTACAGTTTTAGATAGTTATAGTATAGTAGAAATGCTCATGTTATAAAATAGTGGCGTACTATTTTCATTTGGAAAAATAATGCCACCACTAATCCCCTGTACTGCCGCCACCGGTGCACGTTAATTTTAAGTAAAGACTTTTGAACGTGGACAATACTTAGGTAAAACCACATACCAAATTTTACTACATTCCAGTTGACGGTTTTGAAGATCTTAAAAAACTTGTTTTTTATTGTTAAACTTCAACCCGCCGTATCTTTTTAATGAAGCTCTTGAGGAAAAAATGCCGCATAGGAGACCCCCCTTAAAGTGCGGTCCTGTGAATGACGTTTCCTTTTTGGTCACGACTTCTGAATTACCCTGTATTTGAAAAGTCCCCACAGAAATCATGATCGTTGGGCCACCCTGTACGTATCTATACACACCTCTCTCGTGAAATGAATTTGACCGTATACAAGAGAGATCGACGTGTTATCCTGAGACACCGTGTATAAATTCTACGATTAGATAGCGACGTAACACCATAGGCTTGATGATAAAAAATTACTCGGCTGATTAGCGCGAGATAAAACGACTTCAATTCGTAGCATTGATCTCGACATCTGAATAATAGAAGCTTAAAACTGTAGACTGCGCTGAATGTATTATAAACAATAAAGGGAATTATCTTATCAACGACAAAGCATTGCTTTTATGAAGTAGATAGTGTTGCATTATTATCCAACTTGCACCGCGTTAGCGTAATCGTATCCTAAGATTGCATTTGCTTGAACGTTTCTGAAGATGCTCAAGTGCCAAGAAGTAAACGTGACCGTTCGCAAAGCCAAACGTGATGATATGGTACAAGTGTACAAACTTATAAAGGTACCTAATCCATATAGGTATAATAACGCTATGTTTAATCGGTATTTTTTGTTATAGGCTTTGGCCGAATACGAAAAATTGGAGCATCAAGTAGAGATCAACGATACGATATTGCAAAGGGATGGTTTCGATGCGGACAGCCCGGCATTTACGTGTATTGTGGCAGAATTGTCAGACGGACACATAGCCGGTTACGCATTGTACTATTATTCTTACTCTACGTGGGTTGGGAAGTCGATATTACTTGAAGATTTGTATGTCCAACCTGCTTATAGGTAAGTTTTTTTTTATTTATTGATATCTTCATGGATTCAAGCATCAAACTGACATTGGATTCGCGCCTGATTTACACCAAACGCACGATTTTTAAAACATTTACAGTATCGCTCAACGAATTCGGAGAGATAGAATGAGAAAGCTCACGATTTGTTTTGGGGTAGCGTGTTTGTAGGGATCTAGGAAATTTAGTCGCTATTATGTGGTCCGGAGAGGTGACAAATTGGCCTCCACGGTAGTCCTGATTTAACCCCTATGGACTTTTTTCTGTGGGGTTACCTCAAATCTAAAGGTTATGCCAATAGACCGTCATCTCTGGCGCATTTGAAAGAAAATGACTACCATCACAGAGTCGACCTGCCAAGCCATCATAATGTTATTTTCAAAAAGTAAATTCCCAAACTGTGTATACTTTATCTGAAGTCACTTGAAACACTGTGAAATACCGGGTGCGTTTTATATATCTATATTTAACACGCTCTGTTGCTGCAAAAATCGCCAAATTTCGCAGCAAATATATAAGAGATCAAAGGCAGTTTCACCGGTCCACGTGGAGTAAAGCACGCCTATGCGTGGACATAGCCAATGAGAAAGCGTGTATTTCAGAGCTCGGAACAAGTGCAGGTGGCTACTGAAAATTGAAACACTTTAGCCAGTGCCGTGTAGCGGTAAATAAACGTGTTTTCTTTAGTCTGTCCGTGTTTTTTCATAGATTTTATTAGTTTGTGTGTTTTTGACTTTTGAATACTCAGTTTACTTGTTGATTTAATTGTTGTGTTGATTGTTCTTGTGTGTCCTAAATATGGCTCTTTGGAGACCTTGGGAAAATGCTCCAAACCACGAGGAGATGGTTGATGAACCTGTGCAGGCAGAATTCTTTCATAAAGATTTAGAGGAACAGACCCAAAGAGTAATCCTAAATATGTATGATTGTCTGAAAAACGAAAATCCAGATTCCTCGCAAAATCAAATTTTAAACAGAATTTGTATCCTGACAAAAATCAGTCGGTCTACCATTTATCGGGTTATAAAAAGGGGAGATGTAGTCAACCATTCCTTCCACAGAAAGCGCATAGGGCAAAAATTAAAAAGAATAGACGTGGGTTTTCAGGAAGATATTCGTCGTATAATATACGGATTTTATAAAGAAAATTTGGTGCCCACGTTGGAAATGATACGGGATAAAAGATTATCCTGAAGATTTTTATAATTACAAATGCTTAGACTCACTGCACTGTATTGTAAAACTGTGTGGTTTTCAATACAAAAAATTAGATAAAAGAATGGTGATTATGGAGTCGTCTCGAATCGTTGAATTGCGCCAAGAATTTTTGCACTATAGAGAGCAGAAAAGAAATCTGATTTACCTGGATGAAACGTGGTATGATACCCATGATGTTGTGCAGTACGGCTGGGTTGACGACAGCAACAAGTGCATTTTAAATGCACCATGCAACCGTGGAAAACGAATCATTATTCTCCATGCTGGCAGTGAAAATGGATTTATACCTAATGCCTTGCTGTTATCTGCCAAAAATATCAAAGAATCATGTGCCGACTATCATGAGGACATGACCTCCGACTTATTTGAAAAGTGGATAGAGCAGCAGTTAATACCAAACATTTCCCCAAATTCAGTGATTATTATGGACAATGCGCCATACCATTCCCGACAGAAAAACAGAATTCCGAATACAGGCACAAAAAAACAAGACATTATTGATTTTATGAAGGATAAGGGAATGGAAATACCACAAAAATCAACCAAAGCCATATTATTGGATCTTATTAAAAGACAAAAATTTGAAAAAGAGTATGTTGTTGACAATCTGCTTCAGCAAAATGGCCATGAAGTAACAGGTGGGCTGAAAATTCCGTATCGTTTCAATGAAAAAATATTTTTTTCGTCAAAATTCGCTTTTATTATTCAACATAGTTGCCTTCAAGGGCTATACAGCGATTATAACGTTCTTCAAGTTTTTCGATACCCTTCCGGTAGTAATCCTTCGGCTTGTCCTCAAAATAGGCTTCAGTTTCGGCGATGATTTCTTCGTTGCTGTGAAATTTTTTTCCGGTGAGCATTCTCTTAAGGTCTGAGAAGAGGAAATAGTCGCTTGGAGCAAGGTCCGGAGAATACGGTGGATGGGGGAGCAAATCGAAGCCCAATTCATGCAATTTCGACATCGTTTTCATGGACTTGTGGCACGGCGCATTGTCCTGGTGAAACAAGATTTTTTTTTCTTCATTTGTGGCCGTTTCTTGGCGATTTCGGCCTTCAAACGCTCCAGTAACACTATATAATAGTCGCTGTTGATAGTTTGGCCCTTTTGAAGATAGTCGATGAAAATAATTCCTTGCACGTCCCAGAAAACAGAGGCCATAACCTTGCCTGCTGACTGTTGCGTCTTTCCACGTTTCGGAGGTGGTTCGGATGCAGCCGTCCACTCGGCCGACTGGCGATTTGACTCCGGTGTGTAGTGGTGGAGCCATGTTTCATCCATGGTGACGTATCGGCGAAAAAAATCGGTTTTATTGCGCAAAATCACCTCCAAACAGGCCTCAGAGTCGTCGATGCGTTGTTGCTTTTGGTCAAATGTGAGATTGCGCGGCACCCATTTCGCACAGAGCTTTCGCATATCCAAATATTCATGAATGATGTGACTGACACGTTCTTTTGATATGTTTAAGGCCTCAGCTATGTCAATCAACCATATTTTGCGGTCTCCCAAAATTATTTTGTGGATTTTTTTCACGTTTTCGTCCGTAACGACCTCTTTTGGGCGTCCACTGCGTGCGTCGTCTTCAGTTGACATGTGACCGGTACGAAATTTAGCAAACCACTTGCGAATGGTTGCTTCGCCCGGGGCAGAGTCCGGATAACACTCATCAAGCCATTTCTTGCATTCGACGGCACTTTTTTTCATCAAAAAATAATGTTTCATTAACACACGAAACTCTTGACTTTCCATGGTTTTCAAAAGTAACAAAAGTAGCGTCACTCTCGATACGATAACTCAAAAACTAATGATCCGACAGCTGTCAAATTTTGACAGGCATCTTTTGAAGGTTGGTACTAGCTAAGAAGCGTATGGATTTTATTCTGGTGGCGCCATCTCATAGAAACGATACGGACTTTTCAGCCCACCTGTTATTACGTCTACCTCCCTATTACTGCATTTTTAACCCGATTGAGTTGGTCTGAGCTGCTTTAAAAAAAAAGTAAGAAAACATAATCAGACCCCTCAATTAAGTGAATCGCTATTGGCCACAATAAGAGATGCAGTATCTCATATTGCTGCCACAGACCTATGGAAGCAGTGTTCTAGGCATATTATTGAAAAAGAAAATGAATATTGTGTTTTGCCTCCTGTAAATTCCGTTGTAATTCCTCTACAAGATGACTCTAGCGACAGCTCCGAAGGCGAGGATGATATATAAATACCTATAATGTAAGTCTTTATATACCTTTTTATATACCTACCTGCTATGTAAATATTTGCCTATGTCAAACGTTGGACTTCTGTAATTTTTCCATTTCTCAACTTTCAGTCAACATAAATTAAACTCCCAATATAAGTATTTTTTATCCCAAATCAAAAAAATAAGAAGATAGTAAAATCCATTTATTGTGATATAAAAACATTATTATTATCGTTCTAAACAAATGCCGCACGCCTATGATACGTCATGAAATTACAAAGGACGCGCCGACCAAAGGTTTTTATGCTATTTCAAGTGACTTCAGATACACCATACAATAATAAATAATTTACACATTTCCGATAGATGCATTAGTTTTTTCGTAATTAGTCCACAAAATATGAACTTTCTTTTGGGACAGGCTACTTAGTTTCAGCCGTTGGCAATTTTAGATATGGTATATTAATTATTATGTTAATATGTTGAATATAAAAATAACGTAAGCATTTTTCTTCAGATGCAACGGAATCGGTACACAACTATTCATGGCAATTGCAAAAATAGCTCATGAGGCGAAGATAAAAAGACTGGACTTTCACGTGTTATCATGGAACCCGGCTGTGGATTTCTACAAAAGGATGGGCGCTGTAAATTTAACACAGTCTGAAAAATGGACTTTATTCAGGATGGATCATGATTGTCTGAATAAACTGTTTTCCTGATACAATGCTAACCCGGATTAATTAAAGATATTGGAAACGAGTATAGCTCCACATTGGAAGATTTCTCCTTTCTGTATTTCACGAGATAATTCATATTATTCACATTTAGGATACATATGGAAGACAACTAGGAAACATTCGATCAAAAAATGTGAAGGTTGTGGTATATGTTTTTGTGTTGCATCATTTCAAAAGTTCAATCCATTGTAACCATTTTTTAAATATCATATAGGATTTGATATTACAATGTTCTTTTTATAGGTCTAAATCAAAATATCCTTGTATTAAAAACTGTACTATTTTAACAATAAATATGGTATATTATTAGTGCTTTATTAAGATTGTTGCACTGTTCCTACTTAAGAAGAATGACTATTTCCACGTAAAATAAATGTTTAAAGATACGCAAACGATTCTGTTATGTCAGATATAAAATAGGTGAATAATGAATGTCTACTTACCAGTGTGTATAGGAAGATGTCTAAGTGCTAAAAACCCATTTTTACTATCGATGACTACATGGAAATAAAGCTTTGTTCAATGAGGTAATTTGGGGTGCTGAATATGAGTTTCATAGTGAAAAAATTCCAAAGTGTCATCAGACTGGCCGTAGGGTAAAAAGGTGACGTGAAACCATTTTTCCGGGCTAGCCGTAATTTCTAGCACTATATCTGCATCTACGCACCCGATTTACCCAGGAAACAAGCTTCCATCTCGATCATAGACGCTCATTAGTTTTAAGATATTTATTAGTCCTTATTTGACAAAGTTGAATTCTTGCAAAAAAATTGCAAAACTACGCGTTTTCTGCTAAAAACCTTAAACCCTAAAAGCTTATATTGCATTCAACTTGTATGAGCAACCAGACATTTTTTCAACTATATAGATTAACAAACTAGCTGAATTGAATGTTGTAACAATTATTAAAACGTATTTTGTTGATTGTAATTCGTTTTTCCGCAATTGTTGAATTGCTCCACATTTGAAATTTGTTTTCAGTCACGGAACTACAAAAAACAGAAACACGCAAAACGACAGGAAACATAAACGTCTCTAGATAGAGAGGGGAACTTGTAAAAGAACGTAAACACGTAATGTATAGACGCCATGTTGAAGAAATTGATGAATGTACAGTCCAGTTCTATGCGTCCGCCGGTCCTCCGAAAATACTTTTGTTATTCACCGCACTTTTTCAATACTTACAAAAATGTATAGTTCCTTAACAATAGTAGAATTGAATATATGGGCATTATAAATCATAAATATGGTGGACGCTTTTGGAAATAGCCTATTAAACACGTAATGCATGGACGCCATTTATTAACGAACAACGATGTGCAGTCCAGTTCTATACAACCGCGGTTCCTTAAAAATACGTAGGACTGTCAATAAGTTTTATTATTCACGGCACTTTTTCAAGAGGACGTAGAAAAACATATGATTCCTTGAAAATAGTAGGATTGAAGGTATGGTGAATGATGTATGGACATAAATCACAAATATGGTGGACGCTTTTGTATATAGCTTAATAAACACGTAATGCATAGACGCCATTTATGAATGAACGACGATGTGCAGTCCAGTTCTATACAACCGCGGTTCCTTAAAAATACGAGGGATTGTCAATAAGTTTCATTATTCACGACACTTTTTCAAGAGCGCGTAGAATAACATATGATTCCTTGAAAATAGTAGGATTGAAGGTGTCGTGAATGATGTATGGACATTATAAATCACAAATAGGGTTGACGCTTTTGGAAATAGCCTAATAAACACGTACTGCACAGACGCCATTTATTAATGAACAACGATGTGCAGTCCAGTTCTATACAACCGCGGTTCCTTAAAATACGAGGGACTGTCAATAAGTTTTATTATTCACGGCACTTTTTCAAGAGCGCGTAGAATAACATATGATTCCTTGAATATAGTAGGATTGAAGGTATCGTGAACGATGCATGGACATTATAAATCACAAATATGGGGGACGCTTTTGGAAATAACCTAATAAACACGTAATGCATAGACGCCATTTATGAAGGAACAACGATGTGCAGTCCAGTTCTATACAACCGCGATTCCTTAAAAATACAAGGGACTGTCAATAAGTTTCATTATTCACTGCACTTTTTCAAGAGCGCGTAGAATTACATATGATTCCTTGAAAATAGTAAGATTGAAGGTATCTTGAACGATGCATCGACATTATAAATCACAAATATGGTGGACGCTTTTGGAAATAGCCTAATAAACACGTAATGTATAGACGCCATTTATGAACGAATAACGATGTGCAGTCCAGTTCTATACAACCGCGGCTCTTTAAAAATACGAGGGACTGGCAATAAGTTTTATTATTCATGGCACTTTTCAAGAGCGCGTAGAAAAACATATGATTCCTTGAACATAGTAGGATTGAAGGTATCGTGAATGATGTATGGACATTATAAATCGCAAATATGGTGGACGCTTTTGGATATAGCTTAATAAACACGTAATGCATAGACGCCATTTATGAATGAACAACGATGTGCAGTCCAGTTCTATACAACCGCGGTTCCTTAAAAGTACGAGGGACTGTCAATAAGTTTTATTATTCACGGCACTTTTTCAAGAGCGCGTAGAAAAACATATGATTCCTTGAATATAGTAGGATTGAAGGTATCGTGAACGATGCATGGACATTATAAATCACAAATATGGTGCACGCTTTTGGAAATAGCCTAATAAACACGCAATGCATTGACGCCATTTATGAATGAACAACAATGAGCAGTCCAGTTCTATGCAACCGATGTTCTTAAAAATACAGGGGAAGTCAAGAAATTTTGTTATTCACAGACCACGTACAAAAATGATTCCTTGAAAATAGAATTAAATGTTTTAAAAATGTACGGGCATTATAAATCGCAAATATAGTGGACGCTTTTGGAAATGGTGGGTTATCATTTTGAAAATTACCGGCGGCGGTCAAGAATTTGTAGAAGGTAAGAAATAAGATACGATGCAAAATTCCTTTTATTATAGTTTTTTAGTGCAACAATACAGAGTACAAAATAATTATATGATGCTTACTTTATATTATGTTTATGTTAAAACAAAGAGTAACTATTAAATAGATAAACATACGATAATAGCATATGAAAAATAGTGCGAATTAGTCACAACCTACAGAATTACCCAGAGTAAGGAACACTTTCACTTTGTGATTATATTGTTGCGGTTCCTTGTTCTCAACTTTCGAAGTTATCGTGTTTGTATAAATATGTTGCATGACAAATCCACAGGTTACCTCAGAGTTCAAGGGCAGATCCTCATTTGGCGTAACGTACAATCTAAAAACCAAAAATAACCAATATCTAACATAACGTTAAAATTACTAAAATTTGAAGGAAATGAGTCCTATTACTTTCCGGACAAACCCTGTATTATAATTCTTTTTGAAATACGGTGAAATTCCCCTTCGCGGACAACGCAACGCCCTAGCAATTTCTTACCGCAAAAATATTGCTTACCTGATAAAAGCCTTGTTCGATTTCCGCCACTTGACCAACTTGGGATCGTCTTGGATGTTATGGGAATCCCCTGAATCGTCGTACTCGGCAGCGTCATCTCTCGGCAGCAAGATGAAGCTACTTTCCGGTATTCCGATTTTGCAATTCAGATCTTCCTTTATCCGCCTCGGCTTTACGGTGATCGAAGGCGTTCTCGAAGCCAACAGACTGCTCGGTTGACTCAACGAGCCGAGAGACGGTAGAGATAACTGTTGTTTCTCTTGTAGGTACAGGCTTTGCTCGAAGCTTTCGGCAACCTGACAGGTATTAGGAGACGATCATAAATAGATTTTTGAGATCGGAATTAAAAGCTGTATTCGTTTGTACGAAAATGTAATAGCCACAAGGAAAAAATAAAGGTATTTGAGGACAAGAGCCGAAACATTTTTATATTGTTTTATACAGGGTTTTTCAGTTTATTGTTGCATAACTTTAAGATTCGATAGAACTTTTAAAATTAATGCATAAAGTCTATATAAACATGGGTCGAAAAATGCGTGGCTTCCGAAATACAGGGTGTTTAAATTTACTTTCTAAAATAGTTTTTTTTAAATATTTCGAACAATATTTGATGTATAACAGTGAAAATTGGTATACGAGGGTTTTTTGGTACGACAAAACGAACCATGGGTATAGTTTTACTGTAGCCGCTAGAGGGTGCTCTCTACTGTACCTGTAGTGTATTAAAATGACCGAAAAATTTTTCTTAGTGCAATTTTTTGCTTTTTGAATAAAAAAACTGATTCTTCGCACTTTTCAACATAAAAAAGCTCTCTTGTGAATTTTCGTTATAGTTAGCCGTTTTTGAGATATTTCGATCTTTAAGGTTCGATGCATTTTTAATTATCTATGATAAAATAACGTTAAAAAGTCAGTATCTCGATAATTTTTAGAAGTAGGCTGTGCCTGCAAATATTTTTGAAAATGAAAGCAGAATAAGGTTAAACGTCAATTAGTTGACAGTTAGTTTTGTTGTCTGTTGAAACCTGAAACGTTTTTTTGCAATTGTGAATGCACGAAATTTAGTTTCTTTTACCTGTTTTTTTTTTGTAAGTTTTATAAAAATGCCATTTTTATTCTCCAATCAAGAGTTAGCGGATATTCATTTTGTGTATGGCTTCGTAAATGGAAACGCAGCAGAAGCAGTCAGAGAATACGCACGAAGATTTCCAAACAGACGACACCCAACTCGCTCAGTATTTGTAAGAGTGCATCGCCAAATAATTGAAAATGGTTTTGGAAATCTCCAAAGGGATCAAAACATAAATGTTCGTCAGCGCAGATTTACCCGTATGATTCTGCGTGAGTTTGATAGAGATCCGACCACAAGTGTTAGGAGAGTTTCTGGTGCCTTGGGAATTTCAGCAAGCCATGTTCACCGTGTTCTTAGAAATGACCATAGACGTCCTTACTATTTGCAACCTGTGCAAGGACTACAGCCAGGGGACGGAGAACAAAGAATCACATTTTGTCAGGAGATTCTTGATAGAACTGATAATAATAGGGAGTTTTTAAGTAACGTTTTATGGACCGATGAGTCATGCTTCACTAGACGTGGAGTGGTAAATTTTCATAATCAACGTATTGGGTCGCATGAAAATCCGCATGCAGTTCGGGAAAGAAATTTTCAGCATGAATTTAGTGTGAACGTGTGGATTGGTATCTACCGTAATCGACTATTTGGACCCTACCTTTTGCCTGCAAGGTTAAATGCTGCGACCTTCTTGGAATTTTTAAAGACTGAACATGCAAATATGTGGGATGCTGTTATGTTAGATTTAAGAGGATTGGCCTGGTTCCAGCTTGATGGTTGTCCAGCTCATTATTCGAGAATAGTTAGAAACTGGCTGGACGAAAATTATCCAGAAAGATGGATCGGCTGTGGAGGACCAGCCGTCTGGCCTCCACGATCTCCTGACCTAAATCCATTAGACTTCTTTGTGTGGGGATTTCTAAAAGAAAAGGTGTACCAGACTCCCGTAACCACAAGAGATATGCTAATAGACTGAATCATGAATGCATGTGATGAAATAAGGCCCTTGATGAATAATGCTATACCACGTTCGATCAATCGTAGATGTGAATTGTGTATTGAACAATTGGGTTTACATTTCGAGCAACTACTTTAGATTTTGTATGTTTGTCCTAACTATCCAATAGTATTTTAGTTGTAAATAATTAATTTAATTTGTTAAAAATAATATTGGAAAATTAAACAAATTAATATTCTGTTTTTTTTGTGTTTATTTGGAGTTAGGAATTATTGCTGTGTTTAAAAACACAATCTAAACGATCATCTTAATTACTTGTAATGCCCAAATCGAAAATGTAAAAAAAAATATTATTTTCCCATAAATAATTAAAAATGCATAAAACCTTAAAAATCGAAATATCTCAAAAACGGCTAACTATAACGAAAACTCACAGGAGAGCTTTTTATGCAGAAAAGTGCGAAGAATCAGTTTTTTTATTCAAAAAGCAAGAAATTGCCTTAAGAAACTATTTTCGGTCATTTTAATACACTACAGGTACAGTAGAGAGCGCCCTCTAGCGGCTACAAAAAACTATGCCCATGGTTCGTTTTGTCGTACCAAAAAACCCTTGTATACCAATGTTCACTGTTATACATCAAATATTGTTCGAAATATTTTAAAAAAACTATTTTAAAAAGTAAATTTAAACACCCTGTATTTCGGAGGCCACGCATTTTTCGACCCATGTTTATATAGACTTTATGCATTAATTTTAAAAGTTCTATCGAATCTTAAAGTTATGCAACAATAAACTGAAACACCCTGTATAATAGAACTTTGAATAATATTCATTAATAAATAAGGTAGCTAAGTTTCCAGCTCAAACTTTCTAGTGAAGATATCTGCGTATCTTATTGTAGGTTATTAAAAAAACAGAATTGTTAGTATCTCTCTCACCTCGGCCACTTCTTCAGTTACGACCGACTCGACTTCATCGAGATCCAGCTCGAAAAACGTGATTGTGGTCTGATGTTGAGTGGGATTCGTGAATTTAACGATCAATTCAGACGTTTTGCCGCTCCTCAGAGGTTCGACCGTCACGATTCGTATCTCGGGGATTATGTAGTACGCGAACAGTTGGATTTTGAATTTCACCGAGTTCGGATTGTATTCCGGCTTGCTGACGTTATGCTCGCAGGATCTGAAAATACGATTATGGAAAAAATGAATTTCCTGCTATTAAGTCGCTGGAATCATAATGTGCGCATATGGCACAAATACGGTCAAAGAGAAGGCGTTTTTAAGTAATGGATAGAAAGAAACGAACGAGCTATATTCAATAAATGATTGTTAGACGACATACAATGTGTCGGAATAAAAATTATTATATGGGGTTGTCCAAAACGGAAGCAGGAAAGTAAACGTATATTAAAACAAGAAAGATTGATATTCAAATCAAGTTGGGTACTTTATTTTGAAGGTTCATTTATACCATTCATGTATGAAAAATAATATCGCTCAAATGTTCACCACGACTGGATTTACAGACGTCCACGCGATGGTCGAAATTTTCAATGACATTTTGCAACATGCTCGGTTCTATGGCATTTATCTCGGCAATGATGTTGTTTTTGAGTTCTTGGAGGGTGGCTGGTTTGTTGTCGTAGACTTTGCTTTTCAAATATCCCCAAAAAAAGAAGTCCAAGGGAGTCAAATCGCACGATCTTGGTGGCCATGGCACATTTCCTCTGCGCGAAATCACGCGATCACCGAAGAAGGACTGCAATCGATGGATATTGACGTTGAATGTGTGGCATGTTGCACCGTCTTGTTGGAAATAAACATCGTCCATATCCATTCCTTCAAGTTGCGGCAAAAAATAGTCCTCTATCATCACGTGATATCGCTCGGAATTGACAGTAACGGCGTCCCCGGCCGCATTTTCGAAAAAGTAAGGTCCGATGATGCCTTTTGACCACAATGCACACCACACAGTCACTTTTTGAGGATGCATCGGCTGCTCTTGATAAGTCACGGGGATTTTCGTTCGCCCAGATGCGGCAGTTTTGCTTGTTTACCGTCCCATTCAAAGTGAAATGCGCTTCGTCGCTGAACATGATTTTTGATGAAAAATTGGCATCAATTTGGCGGTGTTCAAGGAGCCAATCTGAGAACGTTCGGCGCGAAAAATCGTCGGCCCGACGCAGCTCTTGCGTCAATTGGATCTTGTAGGCGTGTACATTCAAATCCTTGTGGAGAATGCGGATCAAACTGGTTCTCGAAATGCCCAATTCTTGGGATCGACGCGTTGTTGATTGTTTCGGATCGTCTCTCACACTCTCCTTCACAACAGCAATATTTTCCGGTGTGCGAACGCTCCTTGGCCGGCCAGAGCCTGGCAGATTTGCCACAGAACCTGTTGCCTCGAATTTACGCACCAGACGACCGATGGTTGTTGCGACCGAAATGTTCACGAAGCGCGCGAAACGTGTTTTTTATTTTTGCACCATTTTTGTAGTGCTCTTGAATAACTTTAATGCGGTCTTCAATCGAGTACGACTCCATAGCGATCAATGGTAAACATTCAACTAACAAAATGACATGTCGGTGACAGAAAACAAAGATGGCGTCTATGTCAAATTGACGTTTACTTTCCTGCGTCCCTATTGGACAACCCTTTAGATAAAAATCGATTTCATCATTCTTTGCGAACATTGTCATTTAAAAAACTTAATGGATAAAAACAACAAAAAATGTGGATATGGTCGATTTCTTGTAATATGTCTGTCAAACTAAAGAGAAACTATGCGATTTGTGTAAGATGGGTCGCTAATTCCCATATTTAATCAAGAAATGTTTCATACGAGGGATGTCTTTTAAGTTTTACATATAGAAACACGTCAGTACTGAATCTTAACCTCATTCTTTAGTAAACTTAAATTTTTTAGATACAAAAACCTATTTAAACACGCATTTATTAGCTTGACCTGCATGTATGTATTTAGCTGAATATTTCAATCTAATTTTGAAGTTTTAAAAATTTGGAAAAAATCAGGTATCTTGAAAAAAATTAAAAATGTTGAAAAAATCAAAAGTTTAAATTCAGACTTCCAATATAAGGAAATTTGGAATTTTTGAAAAAAAGAAAAATTCTGAAAAAATGCTAATATTGAAAAAAATGCAAATTTCGAAATTTGAAAAAATTTGTAATCTTGAAAAAAAATGGAAATTTTAATTTAGAAAGACATCGAAAATTTAAATACGCCCATTCTAAACGGGTTGGAATGAATTGGAAATTATAAAATTGGGAATCTTGAAAAAAATAATTTGGACAAAGGTTAAAAATTCGGAAAAAACCGAAAATTCAAATTCACCCATCCCAACACAAGGAATGAAAATTTGGTAATTTTGAAAAAATGAAAATACTGAAACAAATTATGAATATATTGAAAAAAATGGAAATCTTGAAAAAATTGGAAATTTTAATTTCGAAAGAAATTTGGATTTAAAAATTGGGGAAAAAATGTAATATTGAAAAAAATTAATTTCAAAAAAATCTAAAATTTAAACTCACCCATTCTGAATGAAGATTTGGAAATATTGAAAAAAATGAAACTTCTGAAAAAATTGGGAATATTGGAAATCTTGAAAAAAATTTAAAGAAATTTAGATTTCAAAATTTGGAAAACAATTGGGAATATTGAAAAAAAATTACAAATTTGGGAAAAAATCGAAAATTTAAATTCACCAATTCCAATCTAAGGAATTGTAGATTTGGGCATTTTGAAAAAATTAAAATTCTCTAAAAATTTGGAACATTTAAAAAAATGGAAACTTAGAAATTTGAAAGAATTTGGAAATCTTGGAAAAAATTAAATTGGAAAAAAATTTTAAATCTGGAAAAAAACAGAAAATGTAAATTCACCCATTCCAATACAAGAGATGATATTTTCGACATTTTGGAAGAAGTCAAAATTCTGAAAAAATAGAAACACTGAAAAAATTGGAAATTTCGAATTTTTGAAAAACTTAGGAAGATTAGAATAATTGGAGTTTTCGAAATTTAAAAAATTAGGATAAACCTATTTTCCAAATTTCCGAATTTTCCAATTTAATGTTTTCCAAATTTCTAATTTGATTTTTTTATAAATTTCTGTAGCTAGACAAGCCTTTCTTGATTTTATATGGAATTTAGGGGCCCACATTACGAAAATCACATAATTTTCCTCTAGTTTGTGAGACATCCTACAACAAATCGACCATATTCCTTAAGTCCATTACTTCAAAATCGCCTTCCGATTGGTCAAATTCGTGCCATAATGTTACCTGCATCGAAGTGATCTCTTGATAGACAGCTGCTTATGAACAGGAAATAATTTATCAACTGTTGTAGGCTGTTGTTCTGGTTGTAACAAACGCTGTTCTATCGACATGATTTCCGCCAAATTCAATGGTTCCGTGAAAATGCTATCTGGCAGATCTTCAACCTACAAAACCATAATTTTTAATATCTTAGAGATGCAACTTTTGTTTTTCTAAACATATGTAATTGTTGTAGTTTTTCAAAAGAATGTAATTGCAGCAATTTTAACGAAAAACATACTTCTGATTTAGCTTTGGCAGGTTCTGGGTTCTTAGGTCTATTCTTCAACATTGGGTGTGTCATATCAGCAGGTAAGCCTAAACGTTTTCGGATAGCTGCAGCTGTGACTCCAGTTCTGTCAGTGTAACTCAGGCACTTCACTCTTTTCTTCTTCTCCTTATCCTGTTGGTGCTTCTTTGACGCTAGGATGATAGCTTTATAGCTATCTACCAGCTCCTGTAATGATATCAAAGGTACAGTTTTATACATTGAAATTCCCCATCGAGGACAGTTTCTCATGGTCCTGACCGACTCTCATATAATTTGCATTGTATTAACTCTGTCTTGGACAGACGCGGACACAAGAAAATGTTCTCCCAAACAGACAAAAAAAACATAAACAGAAACACCTTGCCTTATTTTTTTTCTGTTGAGAGTATGTTTAAAAAAAGTCCAACAAGCTTCTAAAATAGATCCATAGAAATTTTTTCTCTGTCCTATCCACACCTGGCAGCATTGTTATGACTAAATATATGGTAGATTGGAGAATTACCTACCTGCAATCTATTAGCATGTACATTTTCTCTCTTGGGCCAACCACCTGTCACGGTGGACTGATCAGGTATACCGACATCCCTAGAGCTCCATCTGCAAAACTGGCATAGCAAATAATACATTTTCTTTGGTGTGGATTTTGCCTCTTCAGGATTTGCAGAACCCTATGCATAACAACAGCAAAATAAGTAATGAATATCTTTTCATATTAGAATAAACACAAACACAGTTCTGTCCTTACTTAAAGAGCTCCCTCTGTCTCAATAAGGGGACTGTAAATGCCCAAAAATATAACAAAATGTTTGCATAGCAACCTCATTCTCCAACTGAAGGCTCTGAACTTATGTGCCCAAAGACGCTTAGATAGATTGAGAGCGTGAATATATAGATGATGGAACATCCTAGACGTACTAACGAGTTCAAATTAGTACAGAACGAGGCCTACCTTGGAAGCGATTCTGGTAGACAGGTCCTGTTGACAGCTAGGGCAGACATAGCAGTTGCCGCAGCGGTTTTTCTTGAGCCTGGCCTCGGACGAAGGAATGTTCTCGGAGCATTTTCCGCAAAAATTAGAATCGATCTCGTGGCAAACGCAAAAACTGCACCGAATTTGGGTGCAGTATCGGCAAAAATACAGATGGGTGATCGGTTTCAAAAGACCGCACGTGCACGCGTATTTCACCACATCGGGGCCAGTAATATACGCCATGCTTAAATATGAACCACTTATTTAACAAAGCTTTTCAATTTTTAAGTTTTTCAGCATATTCAGAGATGAGAAAAACAAAAGTAGATTGACATTGACAGCAGACACGAGACAGAAGACAGCCACAGCCATATAACCAGTGTTGCCGGACCGAAACAGACGAAATCGGTAGACAGTGTCGTTTAGGCCCGTATCGTCAGTCGTCCCTACAATTGTAGGACGCCTTTATGGCCTCCTTGATTGTCATAGTTTTCTACTTCCCCCTGTCAGCGCTCTATTTTGAGGTTATCTCACAAACATCTATTTGCATCAAATTGTGCTTGCTGTTGAATTATATCATGTTTTATCAGCCTGAAATTTCCTACAATTTAAAAAGAAAATATATCTTCACAATAGGAGAGCGCTGACGCTGACACGGGATAAGTGTAATCTAGAATTTTTTTAAGGAGAGAAAGCAGTATGACAATCAAGGAGGCCATAAACGCGCCCTACAATTGTAGGGACGACTGACGATACGGGCCTTAAATTCGGTAGATTTGACAAAATTGGTAGGAGGAACAAATCAGGACCTTCGCAATATCAGGGGTGAATTAAAGGATTTGCTGCTTGTGTCACGCAGCACCCTCTATAAAAAGTATATTTTTGCATTGCGCACATATCATATACAGCACAGGTTTTTCATAGCATCTGTCCCTGAAAAAATCTCAAGTTCTTCATTGCAACTTGTAGGTACAATAAGCATACTCGTCGGTAAAATATCTAGAAATTTCTGAATAATTTTACAAAATCGTGGAAAAAGCCGTTTTCCCTTCTCATTTCGGCAGAAAAATTGAAAAATGAGTACGTTCGGCAACACTGCATATGTCAGTTAAAACGACCATTTTGTAATGGGATTCACCAATAAACAAGGACTGCTGGTCACGTGATCATTATACCACCCTTTCTCGTCAAATATGTATGTTCCGTGTATACCAGGGGAGAAGAACAAATTCTATTAACGGCCACGGAAAAATATTTTTTAATAGATTATTTTATAGTCACTTCCGTGTGTATCCACTGAACATGTACGAAATGTCACTCACAGGAAAAATAATTAATTCAAATATATTCAAAAACCAAAAATTCTCCTTTCCTAAAACGTGGTTTGAGTGTCACCTTTGAGTCAAAAATATAGGCCATAGGCATAAGCGCTTGTTCACCATCAAAAACGAGCATTTTACAAAATGCATACGAATCAAAGGAGAAAATGTGAATACGTACAAGAAAAAGACGCGTCAGAATTGATAGCAAAAGCTGCAGAATTGATGGAGCACCAGATGACCAGAAATGACTTCGAGAGACACTACGAAATTTTGTGCGAATATTTTGAATTATCCCAAAATGGATTTGTATCCTTCCTATTTTATATAGAATGAAAAAATGCAACCTGTGCCATACTACACTGGGGCTCCTCAAGAAGATTTTCGCTTTGTAGTTCCTTAACAGTTTCTTCTAGCTCTTGAAAGATCTGTTTAATGTGATGAGAGTGGCCGAAAAACTAGCCGACAGGCAAGACGAGGTTGAGACATACGGCAAAATGATGGAGATATTGTTGTCCATTGCTGCTTTCGCGCCTCTTTTGTCGAAGTCTTCGGAAATTTTCAAACTAGTAAAGGATTTAGAAGAATATTTTTCGATTCTTGGTAAATCCTTGGCTTCAAGGATCTCAAAATATTATAGGAGATCTAAACATATAAACCGTAAATCGCTGTTTCGTGCTTCTTATGGTCGATTCTGGTAACAGATGGCGCTTCGTGCCGACTTATTTCGAAGGATTTTATAAGAAACTATTTGAGCCAAAACATCTGAGACACTACTTCCAGGTTATTTGATGGTTTGCCTGAAAAGCATCGAGTTGAAGAAATGCACAGCTAATGCCTTGATAAGCCTAATCACCTATGACAAATATTCGCCACGAATCGCTCCATTTGACATGAGAAACAAAGCTGCCGAAAACAGCCGTTTGCCCGGGATATTAGGACAACTTTTACTATTCGCTGACGATGAGACGTTCCTCCACGTCTTGGATATCATCAGACTGGTGAAATGTCAGGGAAAATTTTGTAAGGACATTATATTATAATAATTGCTCTTATTACAACAATTGCGAGAAAAAAGGTTTTTGGGTGTGTGCATATCTATTGTATAAGATGAATGTGCTTTAGTGTCTCTAAAATTGTAGACGAAGATATTATAGCCCAGGACGCCTTGAACGTACTTTTGATGAGGATAGAACCAACGTGGAGAGAAAGAATAGAAAATGGAACAAAACCTGGTGTGCCTTGCAGCAAAGAGGTCGAGTTACCTCTGTATAATCCAATAAGTTCAGTTCTTTGGGTGTTGCTCAAATACTGTGAGAGTCACAGAGAGGTCTTGTCGATGATTGAGGAGTTACGCCCTTTTTCGATATGGTATTTGAAAGCGATTTCGAATAGATTAGAAACAGCCAAGCCTATAACCCAGTGAACGTAGTGATGTCATATACATATATAATGTCGGCATCCTTAGGGCACTGCTGATATACGCCAACCAAAAAAAATTACGCAGAAATATGTCGTATAAAAAACCACAATCATGCTTCTTCGCCGATAATCGGTTGAATGGTATACCGTTTCAAAATTTGTTCATTGTTATACAGATGAGTTTCTAACAAATTTGTTATTTACGGGAATAAAACATGATGTAAAATGGCAATTTGAAGAATCTGAATATGGAATATTATTATTAGAAAAGTCACATTAACAAGATATTTTTGGTCGAAAAATTCCTGATACTTTTTATGAATAACAATAAAGTAGTTATTAGTATTCAGATATCTAGTTTATCTTATCCATTAAAAGTCTATATTTTCTTTGTAGGTGATGATTTTTCAGTACTGACTGCCCTAAAAAAGACGTCAAATGGACGTCTTATTGGGGTCATAAAAATGGCGTCAATAAAGACGTCATTTTTTTTCATTTTGGCGTCCTCATGTTCACTGGGTGATCTGCACACAGATTTGGTTTTCAAATATGTGAAAAAGAATTCAATTTCGGGTTAGATCGATAATAAACTCTGATGACGCCATACCGCTGGAGTGTTGTGACCGTAACACTACCGCTGGCAGCTAAATCAATTTATAAACCTGCTAACGTTACCCATATCCTAACTCAAAATAGCATTCTTTTTCACATATTTGAAGTCCAAGCTTGTCAGCAGATTAGATGCGGTGTCTTCATCACTTATACCACATATGTGGTTTGCATTATCCCTTTCATTGGTCGAATCGGAAAAGTTAAAAAATCGTTAAGCCTAGCGTCAGCGTAGCCGTATTCCTGTTTATAAATAGTTTGTCAAGCGCATGATTCAATTTCTGCGTTCCGACCATGGTACGGCGTGTCAGAGCTTAGAAATCTACCTCAAGTGTGGAATTTAATTACAACGTGTTTTGTAGATAAAAATTTGGAGTAGACAAACCTTTTAGTTAAAAACATTTTTATGATTTTTTTTTAGGAGTTTGCAATACGCTTTCATACTATTCGTTACATCGTATAACAAATTTGTCGAGCGAAACGACGTATTGGCCATAATTTTGCAGCTTCTGAGGTTGTTCCCGAATCTGTGTTTTGTAGAAAGTGGACTAGCTGACGGTAACGAAAAAAAATCAAAGATATACAAGTAGTTTTGCAGAAACTTAGATAAGAAAGAAACCACAATTGTGGGCATATCCGCAATGTTGTATTTCCCTTTTTATCGAAAGTCTTGAAAAACGCAGTGTACTAAGTGACATATAAAATGCAACACCGCTATGAAGCTAATAAGCAGCAACGTACGTCGCTCGGGTTACCAACCGTTCTATTCCCGCTCATGTTTGATTGTCCTTTGTTTTACATCCAAGTTTCCGCAAAATACTTGACTTTATTCAAAAACATAATTTATATATTTTTGAAATCTTTCGCGATCCTGATACTTCCTCGCCTGTAGCATGGGAAGTAACAGATTTTCTCTACAAAAAAAATCAGTGAATTGGAGGCATGTCATTATTTGAATCATACGTTTTCCTAGATTTGGCAAATATCGGATACATATCATTGTTCCAACCCAGAAGTGCATGGGGCAAAAAAATAAAGATTACAAACTCCGAAGTGGATTTCATGTATGTGAAACTTTTATTGACAATATTACCATACTACGTGGAATGGGATGCTGGTGTCAAAGTAAGAACTAGCTTTTTACGCAATTAAACTAAAACAAATATTTTTTCTTGTTCGTGACTAATGCTGTGTTAATACAGTTCAAAAACAAGATGAAACACCCAGTAAAAATGACGTCATTTTTACGCTAAGGATTACAAAGTCGGTAGTACGATAGTTCGGAAATTTTTGATGATCATATTCAAATTCAACTTCTCAAATTACCAACTTGTACGTACGAGGGTTGTTTCAAAAATATGGTTCCCGCTTTTTTTGCAGGCACAAGAAATTTTTTGTTTAAAAAAAAACGAACTCACCACTGGAAACGTTGATCTTTAATCTATTTTTCTCAATAGTCGCCATTTTTTTAGACGTGAAATCCACTCTTGCTTCCACCTTAAGGAAGTCCGTCTCCAGCCCGTTTAGAAACTTGGCAACTGCCCCTTACAACTCCTCGTCCAGCGTTGCCAGATTCGTCGTAGGGAATTATCGTACAAACACGTAAAAATTATCGTTTACCAAGCGGCAACACTGACAGCTGCTTGTTGGTTTTAATTGAACGTAGTTGTTAGATTGATTCAACATCTGTGAGTAAAAAAGCTCGTTCGCAAAGTTATCGTACATTCAGCTATTATCTTACACATACTATCGTACATCGTATAGGACTTAAAATTATCGTACAGAAACGATAATTATCGTACGTCTGGCAAGGCTGTCCTCGTCCGTCGTCAAACACGGCGCTGTTACCACATTTCTCCTAGCATCATGCGCGGTGACGATACAGCGTTGGGAACCATATTTTTGAGATAACCTCGTATTTTCTTTGCCACTGCATAATAAGCATGTACTTGGGCACTAAATACCAAAAAATACTATGACTTTCTTGGAATTCCTAAAATAGAAATACCTGAATGACTTTTTTAGGTATTGGAGTGCACAAACATTATATACCACCTGCTAAAGATGCTGAAAAACGCGAGTTTAGAGAGAACCGATTCAAAATGGCTGCCGCTACAATCTTGTTCCATTAACGTTTTTGTATGGGAGATCCTTTTCAGAGTGATACCTAAATTGGAGGAGGAATTTATCGAACATTCGGGACCTAGCATGTATATATCTTCCGTTACACAAATTTTGAATTGTTAGAATTTATACAGGGTTTTTCCTAATGCACCTATTCCAAGAAGCACCCTGTATAAATTTAGATAAACACGCCGAATTACAAGGATTTACGTGTATTTCCAGATTACTGAGCTGTTTACAGATATACAAAGACAAAGAACTAATCCTGAACAAATGCCTCATGTTGTTTTACAACATCTTGAAGGACGATTTTAAAATGACAATCCGAAATTCTCTGCTTTTCAACGACGGAATTCATAAAGTGATCATCGTGGCCAAAAGCATTTTGGAACGACCCGTTTTCAGCCGTCTAATTCAAGATTGCATCCAGAATATATTTTGCATACTGAAATATCTGTATGGAGACAATGTTGACAAGTAGGTAGTAATTCTGAATACTTTATCATTTATCCCGCGTATCGATATATCTTATAACCTCCAATCCCTGTTTTTAAGCCCTCCCAAAAAAATGTCCAAAAATGGGTAGGACTACGCGCATTTTTCTCGTTTTTTTTATTAATTGATATTCATAATTTTATAGCGCGTAAATATGCAATAATATCGCAGGTGTTTTGTTTGGAAATATAATGACTATATATACCTGTTGGCGCCATCTGTTGGGCGAGTCTCCTACTCACCAGAGCATCATGGCCGATCTCTGCTTGTACGCGAACCACGACCGCCCAAGCCACTCGTCTGTGAAGACCGTGGCAGTTGCTCGCCTTCTAGATCGACTTTGTGGCTCCCGATTCTTCTAGAGTCAACGATGCGGACTATATAACTTCGTGGCCGGGAGATGGAAGCAGAGTACGGAGAACGGTAGAGTAGCAGAGCAGAGTGGAGTATAGTGCAGGCAATGGCGACATAAGAATTAGTCAGACATAGATAGTGGTGTATATAAATGTTTTATCAAAATGGTTAGCATCTAACAGACTAAAATTAAATGCAAGTAAAACGAAAGCCTTGTTAATCGGAAAAAAACAATGTACAAATGTTCAACTGAATATTGATGGTGAAGATAATGAATTCGTATTAAATTTTAAATACCTTCGGGTTTTTGTTGACTCTCGATTAATTTTTGATATTCATAATGAAAAAGTTATAAATAAGATTAGTAGTAAAGTGGGATATTTATCGAGAGTTTCTGGATGTCTGAGTTCATATAGCAGAAAAATTATCTATAATACCATCATTCTTCCAAATTTCTTGTACTGTTCGACTATTCTATATTTAGCAAATAATTCCATTTTTGAAAGACTACAAATTTTACAAAATAAGTGCATGAGAATAATACTAAATAAAGATAAATATACTCCAATTAGGCAAATGCTTAGCAAATTAAAATGGCTCAATGTAAAAAATTTTATCAAATATCTTGTAATGATATTCATTTATAAAGGAAAAACTAATTTAACATCATCAAATGTCGACCATCATTTAAATAATACCAGAAATAAAGATGACTTCCATTTAATGACCAAAAAGTATAACATATGCTATAAATCTGTATTCCATCAAGGGTTGATTGGATATAATAAATTATACTCGGAGATAAAAGACCAGAAAACTTTGACAAAATTTAAAGTAAAATTGAGAAATCACTTGTTAAATCTACAATTATAGGTTGCCCAGCATTTACGTCATACACCATATGGCTTGAATTTACTAGTTCTAAGTTGTTTACAATTATTCTGTTTATGTAGCCAAATGTGCTAAATAAATCTTTCTACTACTGAATGAATGAATCTTGAATTTTTTAGAGGCATCCCGGCCACCATAAGGAGCCAGTGCATAGGCCGCTTAAGCGGGCCCTTATGCACCTCTACAATACTTAAATCACAAGCCTCGCCCTTTTAGCGAAGTTGAGAATCGCCTTGAGTCCAAGCTCCTTTACGTCCTGAGGGTCCAAAGTAATGGACCCCAGTATAGTCTGCAAATCTACAATTATAGGTTGCCCAGCATTTACGTCATACACCATATGGCTTGAATTTACTAGTTCTAAGTTGTTTACAATTATTCTGTTTATGTAGCCAAATGTGCTAAATAAATCTTTCTACTACTACTACTAAGTTAAATAAAATAGTGCATTTCTTTTGTGGAATCCAGTGTTTTAATCCGCACCCAAAAGAACCCAGAAAAACGCTACAATATTTAAAGCATGATATGGCAACAACGTTTTACGTTTGTTTTTGTTTAAGTTTGTTAAAATGTTATCTCTGAGTGTTTGTGAAGAAAGCAGTTTCTGAGAGCTGAGTAGTACAGATATTTTTAGTTATTGCCTTTCATTTACTAGTTTCAAGAATAACAAAATGCCTTGAGTTCAAATTATGACCATGTTAGGTCATTGACAGGGGTAGAATTATTGCCTATCGAGATGTTGGTTTGCCGCCGTGTTAATTGCACTGCAATGACGGTACTGCGTGTGTGTCTAGAAGAAGTTAGAGGAACACGAAGAAGGCCAACTGGTCCATCGAGGCATACCACAGAGCGTCAAGATGGGCGTTTCGGATAACTAGCCTTACGAGACCGTTTTGCTAGTACGCGTCGTATCGCTGACCAATAGTTTGAAGAAAAAGGTAGACCTGTTAAGATGCGTACACTCTATCGCCGCATTCGAGTCTTTGTACTTTTTTCATACCGTTCACGGTTAGTGCTTCCTTTGACTGCGGACCACGGTCGTCAACGTATGAACTGGAGCAGAGAACGGCAACATTGGGAGGCAGAATGTCATCTTTAGCGACGAATCGCGATTCTGTCTAGGTACGCAACTGCATACGATGATTGAGAAATGAAATGTATAAATTGTAGGTAAAGTCAATAGCACATCAAAGTTTACACGTGTAGTATGGTGATTGTGATAATCACAGTATACAGTCCAATGTGTGAATCTCCACGAGATCTTGGCTGTACTGACAATTATACTTGAATTAAATTATGTTTTCGTATTTATTGTAACTTAATTTTGTCGATGGCTAGACGTAACACATTATTTTTTTTTCGTATTACTAGTCAATAAAATTTCGTGAGAATGTGATCGTTTCATTCTTGATGAAAGACTGTCTTACCTCATGGGAAAAAAATCAAGTTGAAGTAATTATTTTTCTGGGTGTAACACTTCTAATGTTACCGAGTATATTTTTCGTCCAGAAACTGTACCTGCTACTTGGAAATCGTACTGAAATACATGGATCGCATGTTGAATCCAAAGGAAGACGAACCAGCATATGACAACAGAATCATTGTGTGTCTGATGGATTTCATCTGGGAAACAGTGATGAGATCTGACGCCACTTCAAGACAGTTTATGAAGAGGGGAGGAGTGTACAAGATGTTGGACATTGTCGAGGTGATAAACTATAGTTTATAGTCGCTTATTCAAATAACTAAATCGTGTCAAAACAGCCAATAGATATTTTGTGATTTTGTACGCACAAAAACGGTATAAGGGATGTGCATCCAGTCGAGATGCCCATACGAGGGCGATCCGATATGTATTTAGCTTCAACGCTCGATGGCGCCACATCGGCGTAGACGTCTACTGTCAAAATTTCAGCCGAATCGCACGTTTAGTTTTTTTTTGAGCGGATGTGAAAAAGAGCAATATCGGTCGGTGATTTGATTCTTGTTTTTGGAAGTAATAAACTATGGTATCGCCGCGTTATGCGACCATCGCTGATACCGGTTATGGTTTAATAACTGAGCTGTCAGCTAGTAGATCATAATTCCCTTTATGGCGCGACGTATTCACTTAAGTATAGTCACAGCTATAGTAACGCGGGTTATTCATTTCTACAGAGATACCCGTTCCATGTGAAACTAATAACTCTCGGGGCATTGGTGGACATGTGCGAGGATAGCAGCTGTGTGCCGTACGTAATCACTTGGAAAGGAAGAAAGCACAGCAACTTTCTGAGTCTCCTTTTAGAAATATTCAGACTTGAAAACAAGATGTTAGGCGTACACACCGGACATAGAGGGCAAATAGCAGGTAATTTTATAAGAGATGATAAACGTGAAAACATTTCATTTCCATACGTTCTCGAAAAATATCAATGCGACCGAGTTCAAATTTCGGGTCCACATTAAATTATTATATATTAATTGCATTTAAAAAATGTTTTTTTTACAATATTATCTGATAGCTTTTCTAACTTTTTCATCACCTCTTGGATGGCTCATGACATGTAGACAATGATATCCTGCCGATATGTGAAAAAATTTACAAGATAATATATACAGGGTGACTTCGAAGTTGAGTCATTTATTTTAACAGTGAGTAGATCTGATCAAAAGAAATGTTTTTTTCCTTTACCATTTTTCTGGTAAAATTAAAGTAACAAAGTTATAGCCCTTTGGAAGTTTGAGTACCGCCCTGTCTCAATCATAATATTATGTGCTCGTGTTTGGCAACAACGGATATAATCCGCCTTATCGGTTCATCGCATCGGAAACAAAAAAGCGAAAGAATTTGGAACGATGTTTTTACAATTATTTTACTCCGTTGTATACAGTCAGTGTCAGTCGGTAACGCGTGAGTGAATAGTGGTGTCTGTTGCGTGGCTCAAACGAAATCAAAAATGGCACATGTTTATGCGGATCGGTTTCCCAATCGAGTGCAACCAACCCCTCGTGCCTTTGTTAATGTAGTACAACGGGCTCGTGAATCAGGTGACTTAAGACCTCACAGGGTACGGCATGCCGGTGCTCCAAGACCTCACGATCAAATACAGGTCCGCACTGAAATACTTGTCGGGAGGATACTTTATAAAACAAGGTATTTTTTTTTTTTTAATTTTTACACACATATTTTGGTTTATCTTCCTTCTACAATCATTATCTGAAAATTAATGACTCAACTTCAAAGTCACCTGTATAAATGAACGAGATAATATGGATATAAGATGAAAAAATCTTCTAGAAAGACTTCGTGTACTACAGGGTTGACGTCATGTTCTAATTTTAAGACGAGAAACATCCGATTATGGGTGCAGACCAACGAGATCACACAAACACGCTCGGAAGCAGTTCTCCGGCGATGTACGATCTTTTTTTGAGCTGCAGACCGAAAGTTTACGCTATTCTGCAGTTGATATACGAAAGGCATGCCGAAGTAACTGAACAGGCCGATGAGTGTTATAAAAATTTGCAGGTGGATTTGAGCGCTGAAGACAAGGTGACGTAATTCTGGTTTAACTCAAAAAAAAAATCGTATTAATTATTATTGATCCCTTCCCTAATTCCATTCGTGTTTTGTTTCAATCACCCTTACTTGAGATGTATCTCAACGTCTAAAGGATAATAATAATTAGAATTTGCAAAAAAGGTAAGCGATTAAACAACGAATCCTTTTAAGATGACTTTGCTATTAGCCGAAAATTTCCTGGGCCTAAAACTTTGCGAAGCTTGGCGAGAAGTCGACATGGAATTGCAGGAAATGAATTTTAAAGCGTCCAGTTTTGATCATAAAATACTCAACAACCTGATTGAGAGATCGAACCGGTGGGGCAAGCATTTGAAGAAAGTGCAACTTCAGTTACTTCAAGAAGAAAGAGATAATGTAAGAAAAAAAATTAATTTCACTTTGGATAAGGCGAATATCACGTTAATACGATTATTCATATCATCAATTTGATTACGAATCTCCACCCTGTATTTCTTAGAAATATTGCCATTGTGTCCAGCTTTCTCGTTCAAAAAATAAGTGGGAAACACGTCTTTGAAAAGCGCTGTGTAACTGTGTCTGTTAATTTTTAAAGATCCGCGTATATTATAAATTAAAATCTTTTAAAGGGAGCTTTAGAGGAAAAGAAGCTATATCAAACTCTAGCAGAACCTCGTTTACACGAAGCTTTGGACGCATTGTGCGAGTTGAAATACATAGCTAGATGCACAGAAAGGATGTTCAGGGTGTCGCAGAAATTCCTACAAACACTGCAAGTAAAACATTCTATGAGAAAACTATTCAGCGGGAAAGACACGCATACAACTTTTTTGAGCGAGCTGCATGCGACTGTAAGTACACAGAAAAATAGGACATTACATACCTGGGTTCAGGAGTAAGCAGTTATTGGTCGAGCTCTTTATACACTGATGAAGGTCATAAAATAGAAGAATCCAACAATGTTTTTTTATTTGTTTAAATTTCATTTGGCTAACCCCGTATCCTTGACTGCAATATTGAAAAAGTAGCAAATCTCATGAAATATGCCCAACTGGTGCACAATTGCGCTGTTGCAGTGTTCGTCGGTCGTTGCGCGACGGCTGGCCAGCTTCTCACATCGCACAAAATCGAATAGTTTTATTTTGAAAAAAATGCCTCTAAATGAATCGCCGATTATTTCAGCCTGTATTCAATCAAACTGTAACAGTCATCAGTGACCAGGTAGGTGAAAGCGCCCAACCACCAGATATATCTCTCAGTCCATCTGATGATGTTGGAGTTGGACATTCAGCGAGGGATGGTTCTATCCAAAATGAAGACCACACACCTGGCGAAACGATTTCCAAAAATGAATGATTACAGTTCTTATATGTTGTTATAATAATATACAAGTTTAACCTCGTATTCTTTATTATTGAAATTATCCTGTGATTTTCATGTTCATAGGATTCCATTGTCTGGGAAAATCAAAACCACATACATATGTGTTTAGATTTCTGTGGCAGTAAAGTAAAATTAACAATTATGTGACAATATATTTTGTTTTCTGTCTTCCAGGTGACATTTCGTTTGTTTTACTTTCTACGCCACTTTGACATCTAAAGGATCTTGCTTGTTTTGTGAGGAAATAATATGACATATAGTTGTAGTCACCATTCTTGGCGGGTCAAAGTAAGACTACTAGTATCCCTTTATATGTCTCCATCTCCCACATACATATACATGCAACCTACCCCTGTATGTGAATGTTGTAAGCTCAAAGACATACGTTTTTTGTTGTGTATCTCCCTCTCGAAAACTTCGTCATTACGTCTGATTGCCCTTCAATCATATTTGTTGTAGTTGTCCTGATATCAATCTTCAATATAAAATTGTACAATGTCCGGAAATATGATGGAGAAGGCCGACAGCTCGTGCTAAATCTATTAAGAGTATTTCCAGGAAGAGGATGAAAACAGCGGTCCCCTGTTACCCACTTCATGCGTACTGGAGAGAGTAGCAGATGGGCTGAAGGTTGTACGGAGACTCAATCTGTTTACTTATTTCATATGTGTTTGATGACGTAATCGCCAAGAACGGTGACAACAACTATATTTCATCAAATAGGATGCTATGATTTGAAGCTAACATTAGTATTATAATTCATATGTCTAAGTGTAATGTGATTATAATTAAAAAATAATTAATGCCATATATTGGTAATCATAAATCTTTTGTTTGTTTACAATATGTTATATTACAGTGGATACTATTACACGGTGGTCAATTTTAGAGAGTGTAAATGGCAACACTGGCTGGTGTCATTTAAATGTTGAGTAATTTGTGTGATTTGGCTAATCAGGGGGCTAGAAACTCAAGTTGCAGGTCAAATCTCTTCATTAAGCAGGCATCATCAAGCCAGTGTTGCCATATACGTATTTATGTTTATGTTTTCGGCGTTAACTAAGGAAAATAGCTGATTGTGTTTTCATATTATTGTCACAAAACGTGTTTTTTATGTGATTATACATTTTTGTGTTTATTTTCATGGAAATATGTTATGCATGTGTAGCAATACAAAAGATATTCATAAATTGTTATACCAGTTAATACAGAGGCTTGCTATTTGTAGTAAAAGTAATTTTCAAGCACATCCTGCCTAAATCTTAATGGTTACCATAATTTCACATGTCCGAATAAACTTTGATACTTTAAACTATTTGGATGGTTTATTCTTACAGTTACACATGTCTGATCTCATATCTCACTGTAGGAGGAATACACACTTCACAAAAAACATTTACATTTGTGTAATAACTAGCAATATTCTTGAATATACAATGGGTGTAAATCAAAAAAATAAACGATCAAGTTTTTGCAGCAGATATTTCAAGTTCCAGAGACATCATAGTCGGTCATAAGTTGATTATATTGATCGTACTTAGTGCTACGTTTGTTGGGGGTTTGAGACTGCATAGTGTTATCTTTTTGCTGTACAGGGAAACAGCACCACAGCACAAATGCTATGAATGCCACAACAGTACCAACTAGGAGAATCAAATCTTCAATTGTCTGGAATTATAAATCAAATGACGTTTTCTAAGCATATCCAATAGATCCAACTCACCGTTTCTCCCAGTATAAGGCTATTCAGAACGTATAAAAAGTCTTCTATAGAGCTAAACATAGGTATTTCTCAGACTAAAAATATAAATAGACATATAATTCCCTACAAAATATCGTCGTCAACATAACTGTATTTACGGTAAACAAATATATGCGACGCTGCCACTTCTCCATACTGAAAAATCTATTGATAATGGAATGAGATATTGGTGTGCACTCCGCCCGAAATGAAGGTGGACTTAAATAAGGTGTGGACGCTCCGGTCGATCGTGGGTCGATCAAACAACTGCTCCTAGGCAGTTGTCAACGTCATTTTAAATTTTAAAAATTTATTTTTTCTTTTCATATTTGTTTATACTCACAGAGGTGGCCGACACGCCGTAAATTCAATTCAAAACGGATGCAGGTTCATGTTGGGTAATTCACAGCGAACATTACATATAATATTTTACCCAGTCAGTTGTTTGGCTGGATTTGTTCCACCTTGGACGAAACTTTCTCTCATTCGAAAGTAGCACATTTCTACCGACTTTTTGCCGAACGTGGCAACGGTGTTCAACGGCAAGTGGTGGATGCGTACACAGAATTTACAAACATCTGGTGTTTGTTGTTGTGCACAATGAATTTGTTGCGAGTATTCAAAAGTGTTTTCAGGTTGTTTTAGCGGCAATTATAGCATTGTTATGATTGATAGACAATTTTCAAAGACAATGGGACGTCGGAAGTGCATTCTTTGTGGAGTTAGCAGTGAAAAAACCTTCCACAGGTGAGTTAGAGGTTAGAGGAGGACAAGGGCGTAGCGCATGGGGATGCGTTGTGATTTTTAGTATTAAGAAATAGACATTTTATAGTTATTGGTTGTTTTTACACTGTATGTGTGGTGATTTTCAAAAAATACTCTTCTGTTAGACACGTTTTTGATCTTTCAGGTTTCCTAGTGACTAGAAAAAACAAGAAGAATGGTGCACTATCCTCAATATTGACATAAATGATTTACCACTTCATGCCTTTATTTCCGCAAATCATTTTCACAAAAGTGATTTAATAGAAGGCAAAAGAACTCAACTAAAGCATTCAGCAGTTCCATCAGTAGAGCCTTTGAGGCAAACAGAGTAAGTCCTTAATTATATTTAGCTATTGGATGAAATGGAATATTTTGTTGCTATACTTTTACTTATCTATTTTAAAGTGATTCCAGTGATGACGAGAATGAAATCAATCTTGCCCAGGAAATTGCCCTAAGCCATTCAAATAGTGAACAACTGGAAAGCAGGGATCTACCTAGGTATGAAATTTGTTTTTTTTTTAGATGTTTTACATCCATATCTGGATCAGCATATATCAATACAAGAACTTTTTGACGCGCTAAATGGCTAAAATGGCTATCAGAGTCTACAGAGTACGCTAAATCCCCAAGTATACCGTTATGTATAAAACGATTTATAATCCAACTTAAGCTCCACAATAAATGTAGTCTCAAAATCTTCCTAAACAATAGTTCATACAGGGTTGAACAAACAGACTATTGTACAATATGTAATACTCGAAAGACCGAATCTTTAGGACATCTCCTCCTGGAATGTCCATTATACAATCCATTGAGAGAGCATATTCTGTCAGATCGTTTGAACCAAATCTGTGTCTTTGCTTTCCTAAATAAAACGAATGAGTTGAATTTATGATACAAACTTTTTAAATACTTTAGGGAAATATTTAAGCTAAGATCTTTCTTAAGGAATGAATAGTTTTTTTGTGCCTTCAATATCAAGACAGAATATTTAAATTGATGCGTCAATTATTTATTCTTTTTCTGTTTGTTTATATATTTTTTTATATACAACTTTTGATCATGGTTACTATCATTTTCTTACTATTTTTTATTCATACTCTGGACAGGAAATTTTCTACTCAATTCTTATTATTTACATAATACTCTCTCACTCTTGTTTATATACCTTTGTACTAGGTATTATGAAACAATAAACCTGATAATTAAGTTCCAATAATAAAACCTTGTTTACTTCTCTGTGTTTATTCTTTTCACTGCCATGGAAGGTCATACTGGGTGTATTAACCAGAACACCATTACAGAAAAGCACCTACGCCACTGGTGGAATCAGCTGTGGTCTGCACATACACAGCTTATTGTTTGTATTTGTTTTGAATTGGGTTTGTTTGTCTTCATGCATTACAGTGCCGTAAGAATGGTAAGTCTATTTATATTTTTAGTCTGAGAGGTATTTTCAGTACTCATTTTTATGGAGAAAAACTGCTCAGTGATTCAATTAAGGCCCGAGTAATGATAACATGGCCACGCAACACAACTATTGAAATATACTCTATTATAATAGACTCTAGAAGACTATCCGTAGCGATATTTTACTCGAAATCGTTGCACACCGCTTGAAAAATGCAAATGAATGGAATATTGGAAAACTGCCGCTTTGACGTACTAAAATGACGCCGTCGTTACCCCGGGATAGACATCGATCTTGTCACCTAGATGCGGCGTTGCCAGCTCATCAGACAATTTTGCTAGAATTTCATAAAAAAAGAAGCTTTGGTTAAAATATTGAGGGATACCAATGGAGATATATAAAATTTGAGGCGTGCAATGTTTGCCAAAAAACTAAAAAAAAAACTGTTATTTACATTTTGCGTCGCCTAGCGTCTATGCGGCGGAACCTTAATGTCTCTGAATACTTTTATAAATGCCCAGTTTTGTAGGACAAAATACTTTTTGAATATGGGACTACTTCCAACAATTGGAAAAACAATGTTTAATTACATAAATATATTTATTAACTATTTGATCTAAAATTACATGATCATTAATAGAAGTACGATTTTCATTTTCTCTGCTCTTTATTAGGGGCATATGGTTTTTTAATGACTGGATTCACATTTTGGTGAGGAAACCTCAACCGTGACTGCTAAGATTAATTGTATCAGACGTAGAGATGCAAATTTTGTTTTTCTAAATACCTATCTAAAACAAGATATGTATATTTTCTCTGGCAACACTGTTAGGTGAACACCTTGACGCTCCTGTCAGATCGTTGACAGATTTATGATTTATCGATCAATCAACAAGGTGATATTTGGTCATCTGATCAATGAACCACGCCTCTTTAGCCCATAGACGGGGCCGTAATCAATTATGCTTTATCTAAAGCTTTACATACATATTTTTTATAAAATAATTATATACACCACTATTTTGTACGTTCCTAATGTTAGACAAACATGGTACAATAAAGCAAGTAGCGTCGTTCTTTTTGATCTTTTCGAATGATAACTAGCCTTAAATGTGGCAACAATGTTCGTCTACCTGTAGGAAAGGTTTTCAAATACATCTACCTAAGCCTATTTGTAGTTTTTTTCGTGTGTATATGTTTTGTGGTAGTCGTATAGTGGTAAAATGGCGAGAATTAATTTAAGTTATTACTTTATTTGTGTATTTTTGTTAATTTCCCTGAGGATATCAACGACAGCATCTTCAAGTGGTGAGTTCATTTTAGGAAAAATATCATTGTCCTACTTTTTGCTAAAGCTAGATGACACCTCAACTTTCATGAAGTGAATCAAAAACGTCCGATTTAGCAACCTTTACAGCCTGTTGCATCTTTATTTACATTTGGGCCCGGTGTAAGGTTTATTTGAACAGCTCTTTGATAAGCTAGCTTCACGTTTTATTCTACCAAGTGCATATTTTGTGTCTACCAAAGTACTGACTGATATTATTGACTTCAGAATATCTATGTAATTCGTATATTTGTTGCTGCTTTGCCCCAAAGGTTGTTTACCCAGTAGCAGTGGCAAATTCCGAGATACTCTTTCTTTGGAACAATTTGCAGGATAATGATGACTCAACTCAAACTCAAAAACATGTTAAACTAGTCTATCGACTATAAGTTTGAAATTTAAATGGAACTAGAAATCTCGTGTTTAGCATGTCTAATCAATTTGTAAAAATGTAATTATCTTTCAAGTAGTACCTATTTATCTTTTACCTGTCTTACGATACATATTTTTTACATGTCTCTCATTCTGAAGTAGATAGTTGATACTATTCACCAGGTGTGTAACAATAAATAAATCTATTATATGCAATGAAGAGAATAATTTACAACAGAAGTGATTCCTTCAAATTTTCTATGATGTTAAACCATTTTATATTGAATTTGTGATTGTGGAGAATCATTTGATTGTGATTGCAATAAAAGCGTATTGGCCCAGTGACTATTGGATTTGATTCATCTTGTTATGCTTGAAATCAGATCACTGTGTGCTCTATTTGCAACAATTATTTTCACCTTTGCTCTTCTATAATATTTGTCAACCATCTTTTAAAAACATACTCTGTGAGGTCCTAATTTAATATAGATTGTCAGTGTGTTTATGCAAAATCACCTAGCTGTGCCAGGTTTCGTTCATCTTAGAGGTTAGAAAGCTGATTAAATTTATCTTTTCCTGACCATATAGTGAAATGTATTTTTAGTCTAATCATATTAGAAAATTTTCCAGTCTGGTTTTACTGATGCAAGTTGTTCAAGGGGGTATTTAAAGCGCATAAAATGGGTACGCCAATTCTTGAGGGAAAACTTTTTATTGGGCGTGTTTTTTGGGATTCAAGTGTTGGCAGGAACGAAAAAACTCGATGAATAAGATTCTTAGGTATTTGTGAGACGTACAGAATAAGACCACAAATAAAAAGATCCCACTAATACTAAAAAAGTTATGGCAAAATGCAGGTTTTGGCACATATCTACTTGAAACTCTTCAAATCTTTATGCTCCATACTCCTAAATAACCACAACAACATTGGAGTCGATTGGTTGAGTAGTTTTTTGAGAATTTCTAATTGTTTATTCCAAAACACCTGTCTTCCGGCCTCCACTACTAGTTTATTGAGGAATATACACGGTTTATTAATAGGGCATTTTATAACAAAAGACACTAGTTTCTATTGTCGCCATGAGTCACAAGCCATTCCAAAAGATATAATTGGTATTTTTATGCAAAAATGAAGAATAACATTTTTGTCTTCTAAACAATTTCAAACATTTCGTATTTGTGGGTATTTTAACAGGTTTACCTTTTGTTATGAGAAATAAAATTTGTTTCTGGGTACTCTTGTGTGTACATATTTAGAGCTGAAATTTTGACATGGTCACAAATGAGGCTTAAAGTTTATAAAAATATTTCATACTGAAATGTGCTGAACTGTTTATAAAGTTAGCACTAGACACAGTTATGTTTCAATCTGTCTTAGACTAGTAAGCTTATAGCAATTGCAATTAATATATTTAGAAGGCGTGACATGATTTATTATTATTATTTACTATATAATTTTGTAAGATCTTTAATACTGATCCTTTAAAACTATAGTGATGTAATTTCATTTACCATTTTTCCCCATCTATGGTCTCAAATGCCTTTTAAAGTCTAAAAATAATGCTACAATACATAATTTCTCATCTATACTTCATCTCAAGTCTTCCACCACCAAGTGGAGACAGATTGATGAATCTTATATCAAGAAACTTCTACAATCTATGCCGAGATGATGTCAGGCAGTGATTGATAATAATGGTTATGCTTCAAAATATTAACACAAACATGGTTGGTTTTCTATAATTCAATGAACTTTGAAGACAATGAGCATCGTTTTCACGTTGGATTTGCTCATTTTCCCCTTTTTTGGGCGAGGAGACGCCGTCGTGTGCCACTCGGAAGATTGCCTCTGTCTCGGGATCATACTCAAAGATCCACGACTCGTCACCTGTGATCACGTTATTCAAAAATTGGGGGTCACTTTCACACATGTTCAAATTTTCTTGGCACACTTCTACTCGCCGCAATTGACCTTTAATAATGTGTGGATGCACCCTGATGTGCTACGCATTCTCCAACGCGCCTAGGCATGCTTCTGATCAGGTGGTCAATGTCCTCCTGTGATATCTCATTCCAGGCAACCACCAATTCCTCTCGAGGTGCTTCTAGAGTCTGAGGAGGACGTTGCAAATTGAGCAATCTCCTACCCATCATATCCCACACGTGCTCAATTGGGGATAAGTCGGGAGATCTTGGTGGCCATGGTAACAATGTGACATCATTATGTTGAAAGAAGTCTATTGTGACTCTTGCAACATATGGTCGGGCATTATCTTGTTGGAAAGTTGGATCTGCCAGGGTGTCAAGATAGGGTAAAAGATGGGGTTCTAGAACTTCGTGGATATAACGCTGCGCGTTCATGTTACCTCTGATGAAGATTAAAGGTGACCTGGAACCATAAGCTATAGCACCCCAAACCATAACTCCAACAGTGTGATGAACATGTCTTTCAACAAAAAACTGTGGATTCCTCCTTTCACCACGTCGCCTTCTAACCCTGGCACGACCATCGTGCATGCCTAAACAAAATCGAGACTCGTCACTAAAGGCAATACTGTTCCATTCCTGATCCCAGAGTGACCGTTGTCTGCACCACTCAAGGCGATTACGTCGGTGTTCTCGAGTTAAAGGGAGGACCCAGTGTGGCCGGTATGAAAACAAGCCAAAACTTCTCATTCGTCGGTAAACACTTCGCATGCCAATAGGTCTTCCGTGTTCTGCAAACCATTCATTTGCAATGGACCTTGTAGTGGAGAAACGGTCCCGTAAGGCCAATAATCTTAGGCGGCGATCTTCACGGTCTGTTGTTCTACGGCGGCGTCCAGTGCCCCTTGGTCTTTGCGTACGGCCTTCTCGAAGCCATGTCTGACAACACCTAACCACAGTGTCTACACTTCTTTGCACTCTAACTGCAATTGCCCGAAAAGAAAGTCCAGCTTCCCGAAGTCCCACTATACGGCCCCTATCAAACTCACTAAGTTGACGAAATCGTACAGGTCTCCGTACTCGAGGCATGTCAAGAACCAAAATCGGCCAACGTTGATTCTTTACTGCGGCTGAAATATTCATTTTTAGAGCGTTAGTGAATTAAAAAAAAGCAGTATAAAAACCGGAATGTCCAACTGATAAGGCTGAATATTTTTTCACTTGTTATTTACAGTAAGATAAATACATTCACCAACTTTTATTAAAATAAAACCATTTAAACTGGGTGTTCGGATTTATATGTCACTTAGTATACATTCACCAACTTTTATTAGTTTGGCCATTCTTTGGGTCTTCGTTGCAAAATGCGCATACACCGTATCATTAAGAAATATTTTTAGTTGCAATTCCATGCCGCAAGACATTCAGTTTCAATTAACATTAAAATGGATAATAATGGAGATGATTAGCAAGACGCCGGCTGGCGCTTTCTGGCTATTAACTTTCGCGCTGATGATATAATACAGACTTTGACCATTTCAAGGACGCTAACACGCTCTTGGTTCGTTTTTAAATTCGAGATTCACACAAGACGGGTTATTATTGTAGCAGAAAGAATGAACACTTATTTTATAGACAGTGTAAGTTAAATAGTGAACACGATTGATGATGGAGATGCCAACTTATGTTCATTATAAGTATCTACGAGCCCACTTCAGTTGGCCCAACTATTGAAATCTTCCCGCATCCATTATGGTCTGGGGCAGTATGTCATCAAAAGGAGTAGGAAAACTTCATTTTATTGATGGAAATGTGGATACAAATATTTGGCAATTTTAGAAGAATCGCTTTTACCAGTAATGGAAGAATGTTTGACATCCGGCCAAGATTTTGTGTTTCAGCAATGTACCAATTTTGAAATGGGTTTCTAGCAGTCCAGATCTGTCACCTATTGAAACTTTGTGGCACGAGATGAAAAGGTTCTACGACAACATCCTGCTCGTACAATCACCGAACTGAGACAAAAGCTTCAAGATTGTTTTACACCAAATTTTTGTCAAAACTTGGTTAACACTATGCCCCAAAGAATTTCAGCCGTAATAAAAAATAAAGGTGATGTTACCCAACGGTAATCTGTCAATTGTTGATTTGTTAACTTCGCGCATTTATTCGCACATTGTTTATTTGTTGAGATTTTCTATTAGTTATAGGTCTAAGTGATTTCAAATATGTATTTTTTACGACTAGAGTGTATCTAAAATGTTTTTGAGAAAATAAATTGTTTTAGAAGTAAATAGTTTCGCCATCTTTAGTTTATAAAGGCATATTTTGGTACAAATCTTGAAGTGGGAAGGGGCTCATATATTATAATTCATCAATGAATCGATTTATCAAAATAAACATAAAAATGTTTAAGGTGAAATTAAAAAATCACTTTATGAATACCCAAAATGCATAGTGATGTAATTTTAATAGACAAAAATGTAAAATTACACATAATTGATTCAAAAAAGCCGCCAGACAAATTGGATTTCCCTGTATTTTCGATTCAAAATCAGGATTATTATAATTAAGTCCCTCTTTCAGACAATATTGTTCTTAGATAAAAATGTCCAACTCATATTTTAAATACCAAATGTCTCATAACAAATGCACTGGTACTAGCATGTAAATTGTGAATACATATTTGGATATTATTGAATATTGATATTACATACATGTTGTGTTACATCCGGGAAAAAAATATATTCAAATATGCGCCTATATTCGGCACAAACGTATACGCAGTGACGAGGAATATACAAGGTCTGTCGCAAAAAAAACAGGACGAAACGGAGATATCCCATACTAGCAGCGCCATCTGTTACCGGAGACTAGCGTTGCATAGGTCCGTCTTTCATTGACGCCCAGTCAAAATTTCATGACAATCGAAGCACTTCAAGCGGAGTTATCGCGCTCAAAGTGACATTACCTTTTTAGCATCGAAGAAAGAGCCAATATTGAGTTCTGCGTTAAACTTGGTAAAACATTTACTGAAACGCATCAGACGTTGATGCAAGTGTATGGTGATGATTGTTTATCGAGTACACGAGTGGTTTACACTGTTCAAAAAGGGTCGGGAATCGCTGGAAGACGACGAACATGTTGGCCAGCCAAAATTTGTGATTACGCCAGAAACCGTCTTTGCCTTGTGACCTTGTAGACCATACAATGAAGATGGTTGTATTTGTTTATTTGTCGCAACATTCATCATGCCAATTTTTAAATTTGGGGCGCTGCATTCCAATGTGATCGGAAAATATCGCTTATCAAACATTGCGATTGTGAACAAATGTAAATTGATCCACGTTAACCGATTTGTATCAGATAATTACGATAATATTCAAATTAGAAATTGCGCGTGCAGACAGGAAGCTTTTACATTTTGCTCTACAGTCTATGAATATTTATAGACATGGGACACGACATGATATGACAACGATATGCTGACAGCGTTTTTTCAGCGAACGCAATAAACTGCGGGTCATACGCGCGTAATCACATAGTACAGGATAACTAGGATTCTATCACTTGAGATGACGAACCAAACTGGCTTATAGAACAAAATTTTAGGAAATTAATGTTGTTTGCAGGCGAAGCCACATTTACGCGAAATTTCCACAACAATCATGTTTGGGCAGTAGAAAATCCGCGTGCTGTAAAAAGAACTGATTTTCAACATAGATTTTCATCAAATGTTTCGGCTGGCGTGATAAATGGCATACTTATTGGACCCTACTTTCTATTAGAAGATGGTCATCTAAATAAGATACAGAATATGATTTTTTTTAATAATGTAATCTAACTCAAGTATACGTAATCACATAGTACAGGATAACTAGTATACTATTACTTGAGAACACAAACCAACGCGCAATGCAATACAATCATTGTTTTTCTTTCGGACGCGTGACGTCACTCGGTGACAAAATTTTCCAGAGACCGGTGGCAAACTTGTTTCTTTTTACTCACCGCTTGTGTATTTGAATGCTTAGTTCGATCTTTGCGTGTTAATGTTGATATTTCGTCGAAAACGTCTTATGAAAAATACTAATTGATGAATTATCGACATATTTTTCCATTTTCCAGATTATAATTTCTACGATTCAGGGTCTTCACACCACGTATCAGAACATTCGCTGACCATAGAATTATTCGACGATAAAATTCCGCACAGTAATCAAAAAAGGGATTTGGACCATAACAATGCGCCCGCGACGGATGCTAGAAATATTTCAACTACTACTCCTGTACCAAAAAAGGTAGGTGAAATATCTTCTATTATTAAGAAGCTGCTGATCTCTAATACTATGCATAGTAAGTCATATGCCATGAAAACAGATTTGCTTTATACATATTGTTGCATAACCTTAAGATTCGATAGAACTTTTAAAATTAATGCATAAACATGGGTACGAAAAATGCGTGGCTTCCGAAATACAAGGTGTTTAAATTTACTTTCTAAAATAGTTTTTTTTAAATATTTCGAACAATATTTGATGTATAATAGTGAAAATTGGTATACAAGGGTTTTTTGGTACGATAAAACGAACCATGGGCATAGTTTTACTGTAGCCGCTAGAGGGCGCTCTCTACTGTACCTGTAGTGTATTAAAATGACCGAAAAATTTTTCTTAGTGCAATTTTTTGCTTTTTGAATAAAAAAACTGATTCTTCGCACTTTTCAACATAAAAAAGCTCTCCTGTGAGTTTTCGTTATAGTTAGCCGTTTTTGAGATATTTCGATTTGTAAGGTTCGATGCATTTTTAATTATTTATGGGAAAATAATATTTTTTTACATTTTCGATTTCGGCATTACAAGTAATTAAGATGATCGTTTAGATTGTGTTTTTAAACACAGCAATAATTCCTAACTCCATATAAACACAAAAAAACAGAATATTAATTTGTTTAATTTTCCAATATTATTTTTAGCAAATTAAATTAATTATTTACAACTAAAATGCTATTGCATAGTTAGGACAAACATACAAAATCTAAAGTAGTTGCTCGAAATGTAAACCCAATTGTTCAATACACAATTCACATCTATGAATGATCGAACGTGGTATAGCATTATTCAAATAAGGCCTTATTTCATCACATGCATTCCTGATTCTGTCTATTAGCATATCTCTTGTGGTTACGGGAGTCTGGTACACTATTTCTTTTAGAAATCCCCACACAAAGAAATCTAATGGATTTAGGTCAGGGGATCGTGGAGGCCAGGCGACTGGTCCTCCACGGCCGATCCAGCTTTCTGGATAATTTTCGTCCAGCCAGTTTCTAACTATTCTCAAATAATGAGCTGGACAACCATCAAGCTGGAACCAGGCCAATCTTAAATCTAACATAACATCATCCCACATATTTGCATGTTCAGCCTTTAAAAATTCCAAGAAGGACGCAGCATTTAACCTTGCAGGCAAAAGGTAGGGTCCAAATAGTCGATTACGGTAGATACCAATCCACACGTTCACGCTAAATTCATGCTGAAAATTTCTTTCCCGAACTGCATGCGGATTTTCATGCGACCAAATATGTTGATTATGAAAATTTACCACTCCACGTCTAGTGAAGCATGACTCATCGGTCCATAAACCGTTACTTAAAAACTCCCTATTATTATCAGTTCTATCAAGAATCCACTGACAAAATGTGATTCTTCGTTCTCCGTCCCCTGGCTGTAGTCCTTGCACAGGTTGCAAATAGTAAGGACGTCTATGGTCATTTCTAAAAACACGGTGAACATGACTTGCTGAAATTCCCAAGGCACCAGAAACTCTCCTAACACTTGTGGTCGGATCTCTATCAAACTCACGCAGAATCATACGGGTAAATCTGCGCTGACGAACATTTATGTTTTGATCCCTTTGGAGATTCCCAAAACCATTTTCAGTTATTTGGCGATGCACTCTTACAAATACTGAGCGCGTTGGTTGTCGTCTGTTTGGAAATCTTCGTGCGTATTCTCTGGCTGCTTCTGCTGCGTTTCCATTTACAAAGCCATACACAAAATGAATATCCGCTAACTCTTGATTGGAGAATAAAAATGGCATTTTTATAAAACTTACAAAAAAAAAACAGGTAAAAGAAACTAAATTTCGTGCATTCACAATTGCAAAAAAACGTTTCCGGTTTCAACAGACAACAAAACTAACTGTCAACTAATTGACGTTTAACCTTATTCTGCTTTCAATTTCAAGAATATTTGCAAGTACAGCCTACTTCTAAAAATTATCGAGAAACTGACTTTTTAACGTTATTTTACCATAAATAATTAAAAATGCATCGAACCTTAAAAATCGAAATACCTCAAAAACGGCTAACTATAACGAAAATTCACAAGAGAGCTTCTTATGTTGAAAAATCAGTTTTTTTATTCAAAAAGCAAAAAATTGCACTAAGAAAAAATTTTCGGTCATTTTAATGCACTACAGGTACAGTAGAGAGCGCCCTCTAGCGGCTACAGTAAAACTATGCCCATGGTTCGTTTTGTCGTACCAAAAAACCCTTGTATACCAATTTTCACTGTTATAAATCAAATATTGTTCGAAATATTTGAAAAAAACTATTTTAGAAAATAAATTTAAACACCCTGTATTTCGGAAGCCATGCATTTTTCGACCCATGTTTATATAGACTTTATGCATTAATTTTAAAAGTTCTATCGAATCTTAAAGTTATGCAACAATAAACTGAAACACCCTGTATATTTTGATTTGACTGATCCCTTTTTTTGAAACTCTTCACTAAGGCGTAAGAAATATAGTGTCAATTTACTTTTTTTATTCAAAAGTTTTGTGACATTAGTAAACCTTGTTATATTTTTAGAAAACAGGCAAAATGGACAAAAATCCTTACCCGCTGGACGTGACAAAATCCGGTATAATGGCGGATAAATCATCGAAGTCTCACGACGATAAAGTGAACATTGCAACGCCACTGGTGCACAATATGGAAAATGCGAATGAGAAAAACGAAACCGCTCCGTCCATAAACCTGCCCAGGTTTCCGAGCGATATTGACACGCCTGAAGGTGGAAAGAAATTTAATGAAACGTTGAAGAACCATAATATTACCAGCACAAAAACGGTAAGCATTCTTTTCTTCAATTGCTTTTAAAACAAAATGTATGCTAATATAAAAATATTTTCGCAGTTTTTTTGTTTGTTTGTTGAAGATTTATTTAGTAATAATGCTACAATGTCAATTTTTTATAATTATTCGTTTACATTTTTTTGTAATCAATTTTCTCAAATTTTACATTCTTGTCTACTAAAATTACACCACTATGCATTTTGAGTATTCATGAAGTGATTTTTTAGTTTCACCTTAAACATTTTCAAATTCAAACACTGTAGAATTTGTAATTTTGAAAATATGTTTTCATTTGCTGTAAACAAGCTGGTTGAACAATATAAAAAAGCATAATTATATAGTGTTATACATAATTCTTTTGAAATACATACTGAGATTATGGGAAACTCTATAGAAGTAATGAAACAAATGGAACCAACATAGAAAAATCACCGAATATATGTTCATATTGTTCAGATCCTGATATGATAGAAAAGCCTTTGCAAAAAAAGTATTTTATCATCGTTTACTTCCATGTTAGCAAATATGTTTCCAAGTTTTCATCAAAATTCAATAAATAATTCTGGGTGTTGCATTTTATATATCAGTTAGTATCTATACCCGTAGTATATCAGAAATATCAACAGATACATACAAAGTCAACACATTGCACAATTATCATTGATTCAACTTTTATATTAATTTGTGTACTCGTTTATCCTGTTTCTATTTACAACTGTATATTATAGAAGAGTTTTATAAAAAAATACCTCTATATGTATTTATAACGCGTATTTTATTGTATCGTTATATAACGAATTTGTTGCAATTTAGACGATTTCCCAGGCCTTTACAATCACATCAAACTGGTATAATTTCATTGTACCGTTATTATACAGGGTGTCAAATTTGAATTACGCGGCAATCGTTTACGCGAGGAAGTTGGGAGAGGTCTTGATCGATGCGTTCGGCGTGCGGGTTAAATAGTCAACATGGAACGATGGACCGTAGCGCAACGTGCTTTTGCTATCGAGGCACGTGGCGAGTACCATTTTCACTTAGACGGTTATGTGAACAAGCAAAACAAGCAGATTTTGGACACCAAAGAACCCAAAAGAGAAACATCAACAACAGCTGCATAGTCCAAAGGTGCGCGATATCCTCTAGCGGTATTATTGGGCGATACAAGGACATGGTTGACACCTTTTTTGCTCCTATCGTAAGATCAGAACGTCGATTTAACAGAAACACGTGGTTTCAACAGGATGGGACGACTGCCCATACGTCCAGAGAATCGATGGACACGGTGAAAGCACTTTTTCCTCGAAAAGTGATATCGAAGTTTGGAGACATTCACTGACCGACTTCACGCCATGCGATTACTTTTTGCGGGGTTATCAGAAGTCGTAAGTGTATTCCAATATCAACGAACACTGGATGAGCTGGCAAACATTTTGGACGTAATGATATTTGAGAAATAAAACTCGCTGAATTTACGAATATGTTGATAGTAATAAATATTTTCTTTTAAGTTTTTTCTGTAAATCAAAAAGTGAACTTTCCCACTGGACTCCCTGTAATTAACGTGTATACGAACCTTTCTTCACATGAAAACAGTGTAATAAAGATTTCAAATAGTATACTACATAGCATTGTTGAAAAGTCCGTTTCTTCGACCCTTTAACCTTTATTCGGATTAGATATATGGAACGCACTAATCCGGTGTTTTTGTTTTAGAATAACATTTCTTTTTATAGCAGTAAAGTTAGCAACGACCCGAAATTAGGAAAATCGTACTGGGTAGACATGAAAAATACGTCCGATGTCAAAGTCAGCAAATTGTTATCGGAATCGCACAGAAGAGCTGCGGTAAGTGTAAAGATTTAGATTATGAGAGTCACTTTGAAAGATCGTACTGGACGGATGGTGTAAGACTTTTCCCTGTAAGAATCTACGTCAAACTTAAAAATGAAATAACGAGCGCATATATTAATTTAATGTGTTTAATAATACAGTGCAACCCGCTTATAATGGACTCTGCGGGTAAGCAAATTTATAACATCTAAAATGCTGACAGCTTTGGTAATGTTGACATCTTCTTGAAGCTCCATAATTTTCATCAACATACGTTTCCGATACATTTGTTTAAGACTCCAAATGACACCCTGGTGCATTGGTTGCAGAACTGATGTCACATTGGGTGAAAAAAATTGAAGGTTGATGTTATTAGGTGAAATATTTGGATGAGCGGGGCAGTTATCGCCAAGAGCAAAATTTTACGATTTTTCTTAACAAGTTTAGCGTCCCACTTTTTTAAATATTCATCAAAAATTGATGAATTTATCTAAGCTTTATTAGCTAAATCTGCTACCAAAGTAGCTCGCATATAATGGATAAAAATAGTCCGCTGTAAGCGTGGGTCTATTTTAAGCGAGTCTGTAATATCCGAGGATTTTGCATGCAATTACACTGGACAACAAATTTTAGTTTTTTAATTGCATCTTGTGGAATAAGTGCACTTCTTTGTTAATTTTGGGGCGCTGAATCCAAAAATGACAATGAAATAAAAAAAATAGTTGCGGTTTAGAAAAAAAACTTTTTATTTTCAAGGATATATTAAAAAAAGTAACAAGATTCATATACTTATAAGAATCACTATATGCGCTGTCTTTTTGCTGTTCTTTTATGGATCGTTTCTGGAGCATCTCTACCAAGAGTCCAACAGTAGTCTGCAAGCATGGAAGGATTCCACTTTCCCTGGTACCTTTTTTCCATTGTTGAAATATCCTGATGAAAACGTTCGCCGTGCTCATCACTTACGGCTCCGCAATTGTCAGGAAAAAAGTCCAGGTGTGAGTGTAGGAAATGTATCTTATATTACAGGCCATCTTTTGATACGATGACAGCATATTTTTGACAAGGGTTTTATAGTTGTCAGCTTTTCTATTTCCCAAGAAAATAGCGACCACCAGACGGAAATCATTCCAAGCAGTTTTTTCAATACCTGTTAAAGTGTTTTCAAACTGTGTATCTTTCAAAATATTTCGAATCTGTGGCCCAACAAAAATACCTTCTTTAACCTTTGCCTCACTTAGTCTTGGAAATTTCTGACGCAGGTATTGAAAAGCTGATCCATCTCTATCTAATGCGTTGACAAAGTTTTTCATTAGGCCCAACTTGATATGCAGTGGTGGTAATAAAATTTTTTTCGAATCTACTAATGGCATATGCTGTACATTTTTTTGACCTGGCTCTAGGAATTGACGAACAGGCCAGTTTTGTCTGGTGTAATGAAGTGCCTTTGCCCGACTGTCCCATTCACACAAAAACAGCAAAACTTTGTGTAGCCTAGCTGCAGCCCAAGTAAAAGTGCAACAACTTTCAAATCGCCACAAATATGCCATTGGTGCTCATCGTATTTTATGCAAGTCAATAGGTACTTCATATTGTCATATGATTCTTTCATGTGAACTGCATACCCTACAGGAAGAGATGGTAAAATATTTCCAATATGCAATAACACTGCCTTTAAACTCAATGTTGAACTGTCTATAAACAATCTCCATTCTTCTGGGTTATAGTTTATATTTAAGGCCGCCAGTAAGCCGTTAATGTTACTGCAGAAAACCAAGTTATTCTCCATATTGAAAAATGGTTCTAAGCCTTTGTGGCGTTTACGAAAAACACATACCGAAACATCGTCTTCTAACAAGTTCCACTGCTGCAGTCTTGATCCAAGTAACTCTGCCTTACATTTTGGAAGTTCTAAATCTCTTACAAGATCATTTAATTCTGACTGTGTTATTTTGTGCGGTTGGTGGCATGACGTGCTCGGTATAAAATCAGGATCTCTTGACGTTGATGGCATATCTTCTTCCTGACGAATCACTCGATCGCCATGATCTGATTCGTTTTCTGATTCGCAAGTGTAGGATTCTGGGGGTTTTGGAATAGGATTTTCGTCACTGTGAGGCACAGGTCTCATCGCAGATGGTATGTTTGGGTAGTTAATAACCGATTTTTTTTTTCTTGGACATACCTGTGGCTTGTCCAACACAAGGTACCATGCAAAAGTAACAATCATTAATATGATTTGTAGGCTCTCTCCAAACCATTGGGACAGCAAAGCGCATAGACCGTTTTTTGCCATTTAACCAGCTCCTCAGACTTGAAGCACATGTATTACAGCAGCTGTGGGGTGCCCACTGTTTGTCTTGATCACCTAGTTTACAACCGAAATAAAGCTGATATGCCTTTGTTATTAGTGGAGTAATAGACCGTCTCTGAGACGCAAAAGTCACATCACCACACACGTAACAAAACTGATCTGGATTGTTTACACACTTTCGAGACATCTTGCATGAACGCTGTCAGCCAACTGAGGAAAAAATGGCTAATATAAAACAATATAATGTACACGTATGTATAACGTAACACAATCATGCCGATTACATCATCTTTCCTTGCCGAATATAAAAATGTAGCACGTGCATTCTTGTGAATTACAGTATATTAACACTGTCACAGCAGGAACACATATAATTACCGTATCTCTAAAACTTGAACTAATATTGAAAAAATAAGTTTCATTCCGGTTTTAGCACATTAAAAATAGTAATATTTTGTTGATTTTATTTAGGATATTTTTTGGCTGTTGATCAGTGTTATTTATAGGATCTTACATTGTGTCAGTTATATACGGGTTTCCATTATAAGCAAGGTCATTATAAGTGGATTTCACTGTATATTAAATTAATTAGGTTCTACTACACGTACATTCCAGTGTAAAGCCTGTACAGAGTGACCGATATGTAACTGACTGGTTTGTATCTTGAACCTTAAAAAAATGAACAAACTTTAAGATAAAGTTAGATATTGTCCGAACTATTTTGTGTCAGGGCTCGTATTACAAGGATTATATCAACTTTGAGTAACAATAATTTCGCGTTTTACAGACTGTGAAGCTGTCTTTCGAGTTTCCCTTCTACGGCCACTTGATCAAAAACGTGACGATAGCGACAGGTGGTTTTCTGTATACCGGCGATTACGTCCACTCATGGCTCGCCGCGACGCAATATATAGCGCCTTTGATGGCCAATTTCGATACGAGCATATCGAATACGAGTTTTATCAAGTATTTGGACAACGGCACCTCGTTTACGGTCGAATGGGAACGAGTTACTTTACAGGTAAGCTATTCTTTATTTCGTACAGCTCCGCTTCCGTGAATGTGGTGCAAGGTAAAGGCAAATCTCATCACCCTGCATTTCGATAGATGAACATCTTTGCATCCATATTTATAGGGACTTTGTTATTTTTTTATATAGAAATATTGGCATGTGTTTCTGTAAAGAAATAGATAAACTTAGGGTATGACAGTTATTTATCTGTGACAGTTTGCAGCAAAACATTTCAGGCCTTGACGAAATTTGTTTCTCGAATTTTCCTGGTGATTTTTTTCGTTGATAGATGATGAACTTTGTCTCACAGGATAAACCGGAGCACGAGTTCACGTTCCAAACGACGTTATTCAAAAATGGGGATATTGTGTTCGTGTACAAAGAAGTCCCTATTTTCGTTGAAGACATTGCCGAAATTCACCATCCCGTCAAAGTGGGGCTGTCGGATGCTTACATTATGGATCAAGAGGTGCTATGTAAGTGTACAACCTTTTCAAGTGCAAATTATTCGCGTAGTGTACGTTTCCGGATGTGTGGGCATGTGTATCTAAAATTTACGATAAACTGTTCTATAACTTATACAGGGTGTCCCAGAAGTCGACGTCAAGCCGAAACCGGGTGATAGGCAAAGTCATAACAGCTATCAGAAAAATATTTAAAAAAATTTTATGTATGCGTTTTGAAAATTATAGGTCTTTGAAAAAAATATAGAAATTTCACACCCTACGGCAGTCTGTCAACTCCTGTTACTACAAATATTAACTTTTTTTGGATTTTATTTTTAAAATGTAATGATGAATAATGCATCTTCAAACTTGTGTCTCAACCTTACTGCCAACTTTTCTCGTTCAGGAAAAATTGCCACTTATTTCCCAACCAAGTATTCCAAAGTAAAACTTTGCTCAACTTTAACTGGCTGTACTGGAAAAAAATGTACTACGAGAGTTTGGCAAGTAACCTTAAAAGTTGGCGCATTTAATAAGGATTCCAAAATGGTATAACACTTAGAAGATTACTCGTTAACTTATGCACAATTTTTATTTGAAGAAAAACTGATGAAAATTTTTAAAAATTTCCTAATTAAACAGCGATTATGAAAACGCACAAGGACCCTTAAGGATCACTGTTTGCACAACAGTGGGCGTCAAAATGCTGCTGATGATGATTTACCTTTACAGCAAATGCTCAAACTGTTTTCCTTCAGCCGCAATACACGCTCGACATCTTCGGATCCACGGTTTTTTGAAAAATTTTATGGTCAGATGAGACCACATTTAAGAAAGATGGGTACATGAACCTGCATAACTTACACGAGTGGTACGTAGCAAACCCACATTTGATGAGAGAAGATAAATCTCAATATCGCTTCAAGATAAACCATTGGACAGGAATTTTAAATGGTAAAATAATCGGTCCGTTTGAGTTCCCAGAGGCTTTGACTGCTGAAGTTTATTTGGATTTTTTGTAAAATCATGTACAAAATTTATTGGTGGACGTGCCACTGAGTATTTACAGGGACATGTGGTTTCAGCATGATGGCTGCCCAGCGCACTATGCATTCTCAGTGAGAGGGTATCTCGATCAAAACTTTCCAGGCAGATGGATAAGGCGGTCTGGTACAATACCGTGGCCAGCCCGATCACCTGATTTGAATCCTTTAGATTTTTTTACTGGGGAACTGTAAAAGAAAAAGTGTATTTCAAGCCGATTCAAAATGTAGCTGAGCTACGGCAAAGACTATTGAAAGCAGCTGAGTTTGTTAATAACCGTGGATTTGCTCGTTTAATAACCCGATCTTTTTTAAGAAGATGTCGAGCATGTAATGCGGCTGAAGGAAAACAGTTTGAGCATTTGCTGTAAAGGTAAATCATCATCAGCAGCATTTTGACGCCCACTGTTGTGCAAACAGTGATCCTTAAGGGTCCTTGTGCGTTTTCATAATCGCTGTTTAATTAGGAAATTTTTAAAAATTTTCATCAGTTTTTTTCAAATAATGCCAAACTCTCGTAGTACATTTTTTTCCAGTACAGCCAGTTTAAGTTGAGCAAAGTTTTACTGTGGAATACTTGGTTGGGAAATAAGTGTCAATTTTTCCTGAACGAGAAAAGTTGGCAGTAAGGTTGAGACACCAGTTTGAAGATGCATTATTCATCATTACATTGTAAAAATAAAATCCAAAAAAAGTTAATATTTGTAGTAACAGGAGTTGACAGACTGCCGTAGGGTGTAAAATTTCTATATCTTTTTCAAAGACCTATAATTTTCAAAACACAAAATTTTTTTAAATATTTTTCTGATAGCTGTTATGACTTTGCCTATCACCCGGTTTCGGCTTGACTTCGACTTCTGGGACACTGCTGTTCGCGGCTCTAAAAATAACACAAATTTCAGAGTTGATCGCATCTATGGCATTTGAAATTTTCATCGACACTTTTCTTCTGATTCTAGTCCTTAATTGTGATTTAGGAGCTCAAGCCTCGCGATTTTAGCAATTTTACTGTAAACTTTTTTCATACACGTTTCGAATAAAAAGTTTTCTCACGAAAATTTATGCGTCTATGTTTTAAATACCCCCTTGAACAACTTGCAACAATGAAACCAGACTTTACAATTATTTCGGGGATGTTTGCTAATGAGTATTAGGAGTAAAACTCGATAGAAGACTAAACTAGTAGTAGTAGTAGTAGTAGTAGAAAGATTTATTTAGCACATTTGACTACATAAACAGAATAATTGTAAACAACTTAGAACTAGTAAATTCCAGCCATATGGTGTATGACGTAAATGCTGAGCAACCTATAATTGTAGATTTAACAAGTGATTTCTCAATTTTACTCTAAATTTTGTCAAAGTTTTCTGGTCTTTTATCTCCGAGTATAATTTATTATATTCAATCAACCCTTGATGGAATACAGATTTGTAGCATATGTTATACTTTTTGGTCATTAAATGGAAGTCATCTTTATTTCTGGTATTATGTAAATGATGGTCGACATTTGATGATGTTAAATTAGTTAGACTTGATGGAAATATATTATTTTTTACTTTATAAATGAATATCATTACAAGATATTTGATAAACATTTTTACATTGAGCCATTTTAATTTGCCAAGCATTTGCCTAATTGGAGTATATTTATCTTTATTTAGTATCATTCTCATGCACTTATTTTGTAAAATTTGCAGTCTTTCAAAAATGTAATTATTTGCTAAATATAGAATAGTCGAACAGTACAAGACATTTGGAAGAATGATGGTATTATAGATAATTTTTCTGCTATATGAACTCAGACATCCAGAAACTCTCGATAAATATCCCACTTTACTACTAATCTTATTTATAACTTTTTCATAATGAATATCAAAAATTAATCGAGAGTCAACAAAAACCCCCAGGTATTTAAAATTTTCTACGAATTCAATATCTTCACCATCAATATTCAGTTGAACATTTGTACATTGTTTTTTTCCGATTAACAAGGCTTTCGTTTTACTTGCATTTAATTTTAGTCTGTTAGATGCTAACCATTTTGAGACAATCTTCAAGTCTTCATTTATATAAGAGATACCAGACTGAATATTTTTAGTACTTATATAAATCATAGTTTTATCGGCGAAAATCTGAATTTTGCATTGACTATGGCAGGTAAATCATTTATGTATAAAATAAAAAGAAGTGGTCCCAGGATACTGCCCTGTGGAACACCCAACGTATTTTCAATTTTTGATGAAATAGTGTTATTAACTTCTGTAACTTGCATCCTTTTAGACAAATAATTTCTAAACCAATCTAAAACACTTCCTGTTATACCATATGCCTTCAATTTACCTAACAAAATATCTCTATCAATCGTTTCAAATGCCCTCTTCAAATCCAAAAATTCTGCTATGACAACTTCTTCTGAGTCTATGGCTCTTCTCCAATTCTCAGTTACCAACTGGAAAGCTGTTTCTGTAGAATATTTTTTTCGAAAGCCTGCTTGCGCCTCCACTAAAATTTTGTTTTCTTCTATAAACTGCATTAATTGGTCATGCACTATGGACTCTAATAATTTTTCAATGTCTGGTAACACATTTACTGGTCTCATATCGCTGCATCTTTTAGAATTTTTTATTTTGGGAACTGGTGTTATTGTAGAGCATTTCAAATTTTCAGGAAAAGAACTGCTTCTCAGTGAACAATTGATCCAATTTAATACAGGATATCCCAAAATTTCGAAACAGTTTTTCAGCACGTTTTTAGTAGTCATTTCGGCACAGTTGTTATTTGATTTTAAACTGTTTACTTTTTTTCTTAGATAATTCAATGATACGCTGTGAAATTTTGAAAGTGTATGCAACATTTCCCCCTGGAAACTGATTTTCATATAGTCAGGTGCAGCATTGGCAGTACCCACAATATCAACAATACTTTCCACAAAATATTCATTTAGTTTGTTTGCAATCACCAAAGAATTTGTTTCGGTACCGTTTTCGAATTGAACTTGATTTACACAATCATGCGGCTTCGAATTGATCAGTCTTTTTAAAGTCTTCCACATCTTTACACTGTCGCACTTGTTATTATCGATTTGTTTATCGTAGAATTTCCTTTTTTCTTCTCTAATTACATATACACATTTATTCCTAAGAGTTTTGTATACCTCCCAATCATCATTTGATTTTGTGAATATACATTTATTGTATTGTTTGTCTCTCAAATTTTGAGCTGCCTTAATATTCTTGTTATACCAGGGTGTATTTTTTGTCGAGCAAATCACTTTTTTATCAGTTGCAAGATTTAAACAAGTTTTTATATTTCCTATTATGTTGTCATATATTTTTTCCATATTCTCAGCAAAATTCCAATAGCAGCCAGCAAGTTCTCGTTCAAGTTTTTCGTACTTAATAGTATTTACGATTTTCTTAATTTTTGTATCAGAAAAATGGCCTACCAAGGGCAGCATTGTCCAACCAGACCTCCCTTCTTTTTTTTTTGCTGAATAAGTTCGGTGCACTCGTGTGATGATGTGTATTTTTCAGTTACGAGAAGGAAGACTATTTTCGAATACGACAGGGTAAACATCAACAAAACTGAAATCAGGAATTGGACGTCGGTATATTTGGCGGCCTTACCCACGTGCATGAGTAGTAACGACTGTGTATCGTGCGTTACGAAGAATATCGGTTACCCTGTAAGTATAATTAGGGATAATGCGAAGCTCGTGTAACGAAATCTTTCTTTGTTTGTCAGTTGTATAATTATTCGTTTTCAAACAATTTTCTATAATGTTTAGTATCATGATTCAATTTATTAAATTCGAATGCTCCCTTTTGAAATACAGATTTGCTAGTTCTGTTCCATTTTTGTGGATGAAAATCTATACTGCCTCAATTTGACGAATGAGAACTAAATAACTTTTGAAATTTTTTACATTCAACCATTGTTGTTCTTCTTATAAAGTTTTGTTTTGTTTGTTGAAGATTTATTTTGCATTAATGCTACAATGTCAATTTTGTATAATGATTCGGTTACATATTTTTCTTCTATTAAAATTAAAATTACGTCACTATATATTTTGATTATTCATAAAGTGATTTTTTAATTTTACCTTAAACATTTTTAAATTCGAACTCTGTTTAATATCATTATTCAATTTATTAAATTCAAATACTCCCTTTTGAAATAAAGCAGACGCTCGATAATGTAAACTAATTTAATCCAAGTGTGGTTCACATTATCGAAATGTTTACATTAGCGAACGTGATTTATATAGTATTTGATTTATTAAAAGAAACGTTTAATACATACTGTTTATAACAAAATAAACAAATATTCTAACAGCGATAAGTATTTTTTTAATTAGAAGAAAAATAATTAACAATTTTTGTCTGCGTAAATTTGCGCTTAGCATTGTCTTCCAATGCCTGCGCCCGTAATTTACGAAGAACTAAAATATCCGTGTATGAAACTTCTTTTCTTTCAGCCCAATCTAAAGCTTGGTTAAAAACTTGTATAGCTTGCGCGTCAGTCACTACACTTCTGACTTCAATGGGATCGTTCTCATCATCCTCACTGTCCATATCCTCCTCCTTATCAGCATCATTCGTCTGCGTATCTTCGTTCCATAAATTAATATCAGCAGGAGTACAAACATTGTTGGGATTCACTGTTTTCAATAAATCAACAACATCCAATGACACACTGATAACATTATCATTATTGGATCACAAACGTTCTCTAATTACGCTTAAGGGGACATCGTCTTCTTCATCATCTTCATTATTGGTACAAAAGAGATTGTTCCAACATTTTTGAATAGTTTGCTGGTTAAGTTCATTCCAGGCCATATGTAAATCTAAAACAGCTTCTCGTAATGTTACTTTTTTTAAAGCCTCAGATAAGTTTTCAGGATTCTTTGATAAGACAGACGAAAGTAGAAACTTCCTATAGTATAGTTTGGTGAGTCTTATTATATTCTGGTCCATCGGTTGAATTAACGGCGTTACGTTGGGCGGCATGTACATGACGAAAATTGACCCATCCCTGCTCCTCAGTTGTTGCTCGGGAGGATGACTTGGTGCATTATCCAATAGTAACAACGCTTTTATTGGAAGCTTCTGTTGTTTTAGGAAACCTTTTACCTACAAATTGAAAACACATCTTCAAATTATGAATAGAGCATTTGTGATAATTGATTGTCATACCTGAGGCACAAAGCACCTGTGGAACCATTTCAGGAATATACTGCTAGTCATCCAAGCGGTTTTTGAACAGTCATAATCAACAGGGATATTAACATTTTTAAATGAGCGCGGATTTTTTGCTTTCCCAATTATCAGTGGCTTTATTTTGTGTGAACCATTAGCATTAGTGCAGGCTAGAAACGTTATTCGTTGTTTCTCCGGCTTTCTTCCCGGGGCAAATTTTTCAAATGATGCAGCGTAGGTTTTCTCTGGTAACATTTTCCAATAAAGGCCACTTTCATCTGCGTTGTAAATTTGTTCCATTCTTAAATCTAGCTCGGTAATTGTTTTCATCAATTTTTCTTTGTATGGTTGCACTAATTGTGGTTGTGCTGATAATTTTTCACCAGATATAGACAGCAGTCGAATTCCATATCTTGTTTTGAATCGTTGTAGCCAGCCATCACTAGCTACGAAATTTTTAGTTTCTTTCAGTTTTTCATTTAACAGTCTCGCTCTCTGTTTAAGTACTTCGCCACTAACTGAGACATGATTTGCCCGTTGTTTTAAAAACCACTTATACAAGAAATTTTCCATTTTAGGTGCCTTCGCATTTTTTAAAGTTTTTCTTTTTCCTGGACCTCCAAATGTATTGCACGTTCTTTGTAAAATTTGAGTTTTCATACGCTTAATTTTATAGATTGTTGTTTTCGATACTCCATATTTTTTTGCTAACTGTCACTCCCGTACCTAGCGCAACTTCGTCTATGATTTTCACTTTCTCACTCAACTTTAAACACTTTCTTTTATAGGATGTGGATGCCATAGTCGTAAAATATATTAACGCGTGCAATGTATTCACTTAAGTTCAAAAATGAAATACATACGTACGTGTAAACGAATCCTAAACGATACTGACCGAGTTTGTCGTATTTTATCGCAGAGGTGAATCCCCTACACTCTACATCATAAATCGGGGACTCCCCGACGCCCGACATAAATCATCGAGGCTTCAGCATTTTACCGTCGCGCTGTTTCCGTGCGCCGAGAGTTGTTTACGTTATCGAGCGTACACATTGTTTACGATATCGCGCGTTCCGTTTGATCCTATAGAACGAAGTTTGTGTTTACATTAGCGCAAGTTTTCATTATCCCGTGTTTACGTTATCGAGCGTCTGCTGTATAGATTTACTAGGTATGCTACTATTACAATTTTGCAGATTAAAATCTATACTGCCTCTAGTTTCGTAGTTATGATAATGAGTATTTAATTTTGTGAAGTTATCTAAATGTGGTGGTAATAAATGATTTTTTAATTTGAATATGAACATAACTAAATAATATATGAAATTTTTCACATCCAACCACTGCAGTTCTTCTAACATAGACTTAATCCTAGCATTTTTGTTTTTATTTATAATGATTGTCATAGTTTTATTTTGTAGAATTTGTAATTTTGAAAATATGTTTTCATTTGCTGTAAACAAGATGGTTGAACAGTATAAAAAATGGGGAAGAATTATATAGTGATATACACAATTTTTTTGGAATACATACTAAGATTATGCGAAACTCCATAGAAGTAATTTATCTTTTTCGAAATTTTTGAAATAATGTATTCATAATGTTCGTGAAACAGTAGCTTACTATCCACATATATACCAAGATATTTAAATGACTCGACTACTTCAATTTTTTCATCATTAATCATGAGCCTAATAGTAATGTCATCTAAATGTTTCCCTATTGACATACATTTTTTTCTATTAGTGTTTAAGTTTATTGACATTTAACCAGTTCATCATTTTTTCAATATCACTACAGTTCTAAAGCATTATCCAAATGCTTATGTGCTATATATATATATATATATTTTTTTTTTGAGACGTGGTCATTGTCGTCTAAGTTAGGTGAAAAATTAAAGCTTCCGCCTTTTGTTGGGTACTTCGACAAAAATGTTTAAGCAAGGAGGACTCTTTATACTTTTTTTATTCTCTCTAGCTTTCAATGGACTTTGCCATCATCATCAGGAGCTGCAATTACATTGATAACAGTAGCAACAATAGTGTAAAATGGATTTAAATTAACTTTCATGTTCAAAAAAAATTTAATCTGTTTTTAACTTGTTCTTGTCACACAGCTGTGTGTATTTTATATAATTTTGACCATTGTACCATTTATCCAGCTTTCACCATGTTACTGGGTGTTTCCCTCATCCTGAACGTAAACAACAATTAGCAACATCCTCACATACTACTGTAAGTTGAGTCAATTTAAATTCATTTTACACTATTGTTGCTACTGTTATCAATGTAATTGCAGCTCCTGATGATGATGGCAAAGTCCATTGAAAGCTAGAGAGAATAAAAAAAGCGTAAAGAGTCCTCCTTGATTAAAAATTTTTGTCGAAGTACCCAACAAAAGGCGGAAGCTATATATATAAGTGTATCGTCCGAAAATATTTGAAATTTGCAGTGTTCTAAAATGTCAGAGATATCATTTATGTAAATAATAAATAGTAACGGCCCTAATTTACTCCCTTGTGGCACCCCTACTGATATATGTTGAACGCTTGACATAATATTTCCGACTTTAGTCTTTTGACTTCTATTTACCAAATAATTTTGTAAAATGTGTAATACTGATCCATTAAAGCCATAGTGACGTAATTTCATTAAGAATTTTTCCCTATCTATAGTCTCAAATGCCCTTCTGATGTCTAAAAATATTGTTACAATATATTCTTTCTCATCTATACTTCGTCTCCAGTCTTCCACCACCATTTGGATTGCTGTTTCTGAGGAATATTTTTTTCTAAATCCAGCTTGATTTTTTATCTAAATTTTGGTTTCTTCGGTGAATTCTATATGTTCGTATATCATCCCTTAGAACATCTTCTCGACATCGGGCAAGACATTAATCGGTCGCATATCTGTATACAGCTGAGAATTTTGGCACAGAAACTTTAATTTTGATGGGAATTCACCATGTACTAAACAATGATTCACCAATAATAATAATTTCTCTCCAATTATATTGAAACAATCATTTAGAATATTTTTTAAGAGATTCTCACTTGGATTTTGATTAGATTTCAATTTTGAGATAGCTTTTCTTAGATTGTTTGTTCTTATTTTCCTTTCGCAGTGCAGCTGGTGCCCGACGGCGAACAAATGTTCGCACGGCTTCGACCGACACCGTCAGGAATGGCTGTCGAAAGACTGTCGCACCACCGCGTTCACGAACGTCACGTACTGTCATTCGTACGTCAACAAATACCCGGGCACGTCGTACAACAGCTCGACCGCTGACGAAGAAGACGGTTACAACGAGGCGGACGGCGGGCAGAGCAACGCTTTGTTGTCCAGATTGCAGAGGCAGGACAAGGTGGGGACTTCGAGCATCGTCGCGGTGCTGTTTTTGGTCGGTACGATTTTCGGCATGGTCGTGTGGTTGTTTTACGCGTACAGGAACCCGCACACGTTCAGCGGACAGATTTTGATCAGGGTGAGTACTTTGATAAAAGTTGTAGTAGTAGTAGTAGAAAGATTTATTTAGCACATTTGGCTACATAAACAGAACAATTGTAAACAACTTAGAACTAGTAAATTCAAGCCATATGGTGTATGATGTAAATGCTGGGCAACCTATAATTGTAGATTTAACAAGTGATTTCTCAATTTTACTTTAAATTTTGTCAAAGTTTTCTGGTCTTTTATCTCCGAGTATAATTTATTATATTCAATCAACCCTTGATGGAATACAGATTTGTAGCATATGTTATACTTTTTGGTCATTAAATGGAAGTCATCTTTATTTCTGGTATTATGTAAATGATGGTCGACATTTGATGATGTTAAATTAGTTAGACTTGATGGAAATATATTATTTTTTACTTTATAAATGAATATCATTACAAGATATTTGATAAAAAATTTTACATTGAGCCATTTTAATTTGCTAAGCATTTGCCTAATTCGAGTATATTTATCTTTATTTAGTATTATTCTCATGCACTTATTTTGTAAAATTTGCAGTCTTTCAAAAATGGAATTATTTGCTAAATATAGAATAGTCGAACAGTACAAGAAATTTGTAAGAACGATGGTATTATAGATAATTTTTCTGCTATATGAACTCAGACATCCAGAAACTCTCGATAAATATCCCACTTTACTACTAATCTTATTTATAACTTTTTCATAATGAATATCAAAAATTGATCGAGAGTCAACAAAAACTCCCAGGTATTTAAAAATTTCTACGAATTCAATATCTTCACCATCAATATTCAGTTGAACATTTGTACATTGTTTTTTTTCCGATTAACAAGGCTTTCGTTTTACTTGCATTTAATTTTAGTCTGTTAGATGCTAATCATTTTGAGACAAGCTTCAAGTCTTCATTTATATAAGAGATACCAGACTGAATATTTTTAGTACTTGTATAAATCATAGTGTCATCGGCGAAAATTTGAATTTTGCATTTTTTGACTATGGCAGGTAAATCATTTATGTATAAAATAAAAAGAAGTGGTCCCAGGATACTGCCCTGTGGAACACCCAACGTATTTTCAATTTTTGATGAAATAGTGTCATTAACTTTTGTAACTTGCATCCTTTTAGACAAATAATTTCTAAACCAATCTAAAACACTTCCTGTTATACCATATGCCTTTAATTTACCTAACAAAATATCTCTATCATCGTTTCAAATGCCAAAAATACTGCTATGACAACTTCTTCTGAGTCTATGGCTCTTCTCCAATTTTCAGTTACCAACTGGAAAGCTGTTTCTGTGGAATATTTTTTTCGAAAGCCTCCTCTAAAATTTTGTTTTCTTCTATAAACTGCATTAATTGGTCATGCACTATGGACTCTAATAATTTTTCAATGTCTGGTAACACATTTACTGGTCTCATATCGCTGCATCTTTTAGAATTTTTTATTTTGGGAACTGGTGTTATTGTAGAGCATTTCAAATTTTCAGGGAAAGAACTGATTCTCAGTGAACAATCGATCCAATTTAATACAGGATATCCCAAAATTTCGAAACAGTTTTTCAGCACGTTTTGTGATAAGAAAACGATTTTTTTCTTAAAATTTTAACAACCTGTAGCTCGAAAGTTAAGAGGTTTAGGACATATACTACCGCTCAAAAGTATTTAAATACATTTAAAAGCATAACTAACAAAAAAAAAATTGTTTAGTACGTATTTATTTTTCTTTATTTATTGAAAAACATCGCCATCGAAATCAAATATCAGTGAAAGGTCATTGAAATCAAAATTTCGCTCACACTATTATTGGGATCTCATCATTAGCCATAATAGGAATTTCTGTGCCTTTAAAATATTGTTTTTGAATAGGAATTCTTTCTCAAGATTTATTTTTGATTATGTTTTCTTTAATTTGTGTTGTACGTAAACCCACAACACATTCAGTTATCTTGTCTCATTTAATAATAATAATTTGGGCCAGTTTTGGTGATTCCGCTCTGGGGGATATTGTGAGAGTCCAGGGAATACTGAATAAAGAAGGTTACAAAGCAATAGTACAAAATCATGTTGTGCCTTCTGGGCTGGTCTTAATGGCCCGGAGTTTGTCTTTCAGCATGATAATGACCCACACATCCACAGACTTTTTGGAAGCAAAAGAACAACATAATTTGAAAGTCATGCAATGGACCCGCCAATCCCCAGATTTGAATCCGATAGAGTTGGTGTGGGATGAACTGGACAGACAAGTACGAAAATGTCCTACATCTGAGAACACTTATGGAGACGAATGGCGAAAAATAACCTCATGCGCGTTTACCCATCATTTGCCAGGCTGTAATTAAAAGTAAAAAATCTGATTATAATGGGTGATTTTTTTGCTAGTATCTTTTTGGCAACACTGTTTTTGACAGATGACGCGTGAATCGTGTCTTGTGTCATTGTCAAACTTGTTCAGTTTGGTCTATAATTTAACCATGAATCGACTTACGAACGAACAACGCTTGCAAATTATTGAATTTTACTATCAAAATTCATGCTCGGTTAAGAGAGTGCATCGAGCACTGCTTTCAATTTATGAGGCAATTTGGTCGGCCTACTGAGGGAGCTATTCGGAAGCTTGTGACTAAATTTCGAACCCAGTTTACATTATTGGACATTAAACCACCAACACGCAGACGTACAGTGAGGACTGAAGAAAATATTGCGGCTGTATCCGCCAGTGTTAGTGATGACTGAGAAATGTCGATTCGCCGCCGTTCGCAGCAATGGGGCCTCTGTTACTAAAATTTTGCGACAGGATTTGGGTGTAAAACCTTATAAGATACAGCTGGTGCAACAATTGAAGCCACACGACCTCCCACAACGTTTCCCATTTGGTGAATGGGCGCTGGCAAAGTTGGAGGAAGATCCACATTTTTATCGAAAAATTGTGTTCAGCGACGAAGCTCATTTCTGGTTGAATGGGTACGTTAACAAGCAAAATTGCCGCATCTGGAGTGAAGACCAGCCAGAAGCATTGCAAGAGCCACCAATGCATCCCGAAAAAAATCACTGTTTGGTGTGGATTATGGGCCGGTGGCGTCATCGGGCCGTACTTCTTCAAAGACGACAATGGCCGGAACGTAACTGTGAATGGCGAGCGCTACCGTGCGATTATAACAAACTTTTTTTTGCCCAAAATGGAAGAGCTGGACTTGGCTGACATGTGGTTTCAACAAGACGGTGCCACATGCCACACCGCATACGAAACAATGGCGAGTTCGGTGAACAGTTTATCTCACGTTTGGGGCCCGTCAATTGGCCGCCTAGATCGTGTGATTTAACGCCGTTGGACTATTTCTTGTGGGGCCATGTTAAGGTTAATGTCTACAGGGATGAACCAGCAACGATTGACGCAGTGGAAGCCAATATTGAAGCATTTATTCGTGAGATACCGGCCGATATGTTGGAGAGAGTGCCAAAATTGGACCTTGCGCATGGGCCATCTAAAGCGGAGCCGCGGCCAACATTTACATGAAATAATCTTTAAACATTAAGTTATATCGACCGTTCTATCGACTCAAATAAAGATTTAATCGTTTTTTCAAATTTTTTGTGTTTTTTTTTGAAAATCAAATCCTATACCTCTTAAGAATTGAAAAAATAAATATTATATCCTTTAATAACTTCCATCAGTTTCCTTGTTTTCTGGGTGTTCAAATACTTTTGAACGGTGGTGTATGTCAGTATAAACTGTCCTTCATAAATTGAGCTAAGGAATCATATCCTGTATTTTTAGCCATCAGTTGTATTTTCAATAAAAAAATAATACTTTTTTGAAATCTCTTGGTTAGTGTTCGCCGCTTTTAACGTAGAGTATTTTTTCCTTCTAGTATCGTCCAAGCCAATGGAGCTGGAGACGAGGGGAGGCGCGATACACAGCAGCCACCATCCACATGTGATCAACTGGTGTTTTTTTGAATGCAGAAAAGTACGTTGCAGCAGCGCAAACTGCGGAACTGACCAAACGTCGGATCAATCTCGATGCTAGATACCAAAATAGTGCGTTTCTTCTAAGAGAAGCTATGTTGCATCTAGGTTCTTTGTACGTGTAGCACATGGACGATGGACGATCGGTCTGGTAGCCATCACAAAACTAAAAGTTCTACTCGCGGCGGGCTGACAACGAAAGACTGCGGTTTTTCGTTTAAAAAATTGAAACTCGACGATTTGAACAAGTGACATATTTTCGCGTTGCTTTCAGACTCCGTAAATTATTCCTATAATGAATGAATCCAAATACAGTTTATGTTCAATAATCAATCTAGGATTTAATTTGGGTTAAAGAATATGTTTTTACATCTCAATAAAAAAAAAGTTGTCCAAAATGGTAAAATGTGTTGTTGTCAACCGTATTTACTGGGTTTTTAGAGAAATTCAACCGACGCTATTTTATTGTGATGTTAGTCAAAAATTCTATCTTTGAAATGGACTCTGTGTTCTTTGATTCTTTTAACCATGACTTGGTACTTGTAGTAGGATCCAAGTCCTATACTGAGCTGGGAATTTCGTATTGAACAAAGTATCTGAATTTTTTTTGTATAAGAAATATTCTCGTGATGTAGCTGCTGGACTAGGTAAGTGTCTGACCATAAATCACGAAAGAAAGACAATCGACGTTTTTTATACTTTATCGCACAATTTCAACCGATGAACTACATTTGCAGGTTGCTTTTTCCGATCGCACATTTTAACATTTTATCGCTTGTCCAATTTCATTGCAGTTTTTTTTTATTTAGCATGACTGCTACAATTACATTCTTTTAAAAAACTACAAGAATTAGATAACATACAGATATTTAGAAAAACACAATTTGCATTTATATTCCTTTAATTTTCATTTAAAATTCTTTAAATTACAAGCAGACAGTTTGAGAATGTTTGAAGGGAAATTAAAAACATACTTCATGGAAAACCAGTGGAGTTTTGTTTAAAAATATGTAGACTTGAAGATGTTGTGTATAACGTTACAGCAGAATATCACGAAATAACGATAAGAAGTGTGAATTTTAACGGCAAATTCACGTAAAGTTTTCTACAACTTTTCTTCTCTGCCTTGGAGCAGACATTTTCTATTTGATTGCGATGCGTTTTAAAGCATCGTGCAGAGAAAGGTTACATTTACATCAATATAAAGTAAGTGATGATGTTAAAATAATTGATCAAAAAAGGTGCTAGTTAAGTTGAGGGTTGTGTTTTTTTATCTGTTTCGGCTATGATTAGAAATGATTGATCACTGAAAAGCGGTTCTTTCTTTTTGTGATTTGTGCGTCTGACAATCAGTTGTGGTATTTCTGTGATAAGTCGTATATAATTAAGGTCTCCAAATTTTTTTGTATAATCGCGATGCCTTGAAAGTGCCTCCATTATCTACCACCGGTAACATTTAAGCAAAGAGGTATTTTTATAAATAAGAATCATACACGAATATTTACAATACATATTTTAAATATAGACGATGCATGAGTGTTGTGTATTGAATTTGTTTCTTAACAATGTTGCTTCTTTTTGCATAATTTTAACTTGACTTCCATATAAGATTGTTTTAACTTGATGATTGTGTATATCCAGTGCTGGCAAAGTCGTTTTTCCTTTTAGATTTGTGTGTGCGAGAGAGAGAGAAGCGTTTTTGAAATATTGTATCATATAAACGTCATTACCACGTTGCCAGGCAACGACAATTATATGGCGCACTTTTTCTAAAACGTTCCTCTCACTTCTATCTCTCTCGTGCACATCGAAGTGAAAACCACTTTTGCCAGCAAAGTATTGCTTACAAAAAAGTAGGTCTATTAATTCTTTAACTTGCAGTTACATTTTAGCTGTACATTTTTTAATCAAAGTGACCACTTTTTATGTAGTTTTACTGTTGATACTTTTACGAATCAATTTATTATATTTATGTGATTATATTTACCTTTACAATATCAACAGACTCTTTTTTAGCATTGAGTCGTTATCATGTACAGATTTTAAGAAATTCCTTAAACTAACGCATAAAAATGGTGCATATATTTTGGAAAATCGTGCAATATTTTTAATCCACATTCCAAGTTTCCACAAAATTACAGAAAAGGTATTTAGTAATTTATTTGTTAGAAATGTTACGGATATTCCATTATAACTTGTATATTTAAAAACTTATAATAAATAGATTATGGATAACTGTGTTTTTTTATTTTACACGTATAAGCATTTTGCGAAAAAAATTCCAAATTTGAACCCTGGAAGACTAGTCAAAAGTCAATCATTACCAGCCAGACAAATGATTTATGACACAAAAATTCAATGGACATCCCAAGCAAATTACACTTTACATTTGAACTACTATTCGTTACATTTGAACTAAGGCACGTACATTTTAACCACTACGTGGTACATTTGAACTACTTCGTGGTGCATTTGTACTACCTTACGTTACATTAGAACTACTTAGCAGTGCATTTGAACTACTGCACGTTGGATGTGTACTACTTTATTATACATGTATCATACTACAGGGTGACTTCGAAGTTGAGTCATTTATTTTAACAGTGAGTAGATCTGATCAAAAGAAATGTTTTTTTTCCTTTACCATTTTTCTGGTAAAATTAAAGTAACAAAGTTATAGCCCTTTGGAAGTTTGAGTACCGCCCTGCCTCAATAATAATATTATGTGCTCGTGTTTGGCGACAACGGATATAATTCGCCTTATCGGTTCATCGCATCGGAAACAAAAAAGCGAAAGAATTTGGAACGATGTTTTTACAATTATTTCATTCAGTTGTATACAGTCAGTGTCAGTCGGTAGTGGATAGTGGTGTCTGTTGCGTGGCTCAAACGAAATAACAAATGGCACATGTTTATGCGGATCGGTTTCCCAATCGAGTGCAACCAACCCCTCGTGCCTTTGTTAATGTAGTACAACGGGTTCGTGAATCATTTGACTTAAGACCTCACATATGGACGGCATGCCGGTGCTCCAAGACCTCACTATCAAATACAGGTCCGCACTGAAATACTTGTCGGGAGGATACTTTATAAAACAAGGTAACATTTTTTTTTTAATTTTTTTTTTTATTTTTACACACATATTTTGGTTTATCTTCCTTCTACAATCATTATCTGAAAATTAATGACTCAACTTCAAAGTCACCCTGTATATACCATGTGAACTACTATCTGTACGATAATTCGCTTGAGCGCATTATTACTAAATACAAAGGTTTGAAGATTCGCATTCAGTGGTACCTGAAGGAAAAAACGGAAAACACATTTCAGTTTTGGATTAATCTAAAAATATATTTGAACAACAGTAATGATGTGAAATGTTCATGGTTTTTACCAATAATCTGACAAACCTCGGCAGGGTCAAATTAAGGAAAATAGCGCAGCAACTACTGCTTGATACATTTGAACTACTACATGGTACATTTGAACTAAAACTGTACATTTGAACTACTAGGCTTTACATTTAAACGATACATTTGGAATATTGCGTGCTATTATCTGTTGCTAAGTGGCGTCTGAACTACTATCTTTATGTGACCATTCAATTGAGCGCATGATTTCTAAATACAATGATTGAAGGTTTGCCTTCATTAATTTCTTAAGTTGGGAAAAAATGGAAAAAAATATTGCGGTTTGTAAAACAACATCAAAACTTTCAAAAAGGAGAAAAGCACCTATTCTATATGTGTCTCGACATATCAGAGTTTCTAACATTATGCTATGATCAATTTATTTTTATTATTTAATACGGATGAGAATACTCTTTTTCTGGATTTGTAATCTGGTTTATCGTTGATTTGCAGTCCAGTTCTATAACCATCGTACCGGAAGTTCGTACGACCATCAGTCGAATTGTCAACTGTCATTCGTTAACTGAATTTATCCGTTAAAAATGTTTGAAATCGTAAATAAACAAACGTAATGCAAAGTTTTTGTTGGATTTTTTTTAAGAACAGAAACGTTTCGCCGGCAAAATGGACGACTCTATCGTACTTCTCAGCTCAATGTCCCCTACAATAAGACAAAAACGAAGAAGGAAAGGTACGTTGCCTGAATAGTATATCATAACTCTGCTAATCATTTTTTTTCAAGGTATCTCACTGTTAGCAATGAAAACTAACATCAGGAAGTCATACGGTAAGGCTCCTGCGCAAAATTACAATGATGTATCTCTTGTTGAAGAGCATAGTGATACCAGTAATTCAAGTTCAAGCAGTGCTTCTGACAAGCCTAATGTAGTCAACGATGTTCCAATTATCATAAGTGATACTAGTAATAGTGGTGGGTCCACGAAAGAAAATTGTGAAATTGCTGTACCTCCAGAGGATTCGCAAAAGTGTTCATATGTGCCAGATAGCAGCAAACAAGGTATTTGATATATTGATAAAGCTTATTGCCACAAACAATATTTGGACTTCAAAGGGGCGTTTGATAGAGATAAATTACTTGCAAAATTGCATCACCATGGACTTAAAGGATCTGTATTCAAAATTCTGCAATACTATTTAATTGACGGAATATTTTTTAAAATTAGATAATTTGAGTTATATCCAACTTTCGAAAAATTTGAGATATCACTTTTTTTAGGATAGTTTAAAGAAATAGAAAATTTCCAAGATAAAAAATTGAGAATCTGATATAGCCCCAAACTTTGCTAAAAAAAGATGACTTCCTTTGCTCACCCTGTATGAGTGGATAAATAAAAGAAATATACTGGTCGTACCCTGTACGTGTTCTCAAAGAGTTGGTGAAAAACCTCCCAAATACCTCAACTCGATATCTCTTTCCATTCTAAAAATACCGAGATTTTAATCTGGGTAACATTTTCCAAGTTGCAAAGCAACTGTCGACCATTTTAGTTAGAAACTTCTTTCCTGAGCTTTTCCTGCACCTTTCCCTCGTAAAAACATTCAAGTTTATGTCCCTTTTCAGATAAAGAAAATTTCATCAAAAAATGGATTGAGGAAGTCGCCGTTGAAACCACTTTCGAAGAACGCAGCGTTTTCACGGAAATGTCCACGATCCAAGGAATTGACAATGATTTTGTACCTAAAGAAAAAGGAAAAGCTGTCAATTCGACATTTGCAAATGGGACTGAAAAACGATTCGATGAATTTTTCAAAAATAAGCAAGTAGATAATTTTGAGAGCAGTGTAAAAAATATGGGCGAATCTTTCATGGAGGCTTTGGTTGTAAACGATTCATTTGAAACTAAAAATAGTGGGAAATCAGATAAAAGTAAATTGACAAATAGTAGCAATGCTAAGCGTGTAATTGACGATTCTTTTGAATGTAAGGAAAATAAATTAGAAAATGTAATAAATAGTAGTATGATGACAAACGATGATAGTGATTTATCATACAAAATTTTGCCTAATAGTGACAATGCTAGAATTAGTAGTAAGAGTATTCTGTCGAATGATAAAATTAATAAAATTATTAAAGCTAAAGTTAGTGATAATAGCATCTTAACCAATGATGAAAGTGACTCATCCAGTAAGCCCACTAGTAATTACGATCCAAATAGACAATCAGGGAAGACAAACAAAACATCAGTTACTCCATTCAATAAAGAAAATACACCGCATGATAAAAATTCCCCGTGTACACCTCGAACGAACTTCTACAACATTCCCAAAAAACTCCAAAAACAGAGAAAGCAAAGTTGGAAAGAAAACGTCTCGTCTAGCGCATCAAGCGTGGATGAAAGCGATACAGATAATGAAAATAACCTTAAGGATGCTGAAAGTGTATTGGACGCTGTGTACGGCAATTCTTGGAGAGAGAAACAAGCACTGATTTTGCCCAAGAGTGAACCGAGAAAGAATAACGTTAGGCCTGAAAATTTGTCGCGTTCAGAAAGGTAAGAGACTTCCATACTAATAGGAACTTCATAACAGCAGGCCTCTCCAACTCGGGTGCCACCAGTGCAGCGCTGAGCACCGATCGCAGCACAGTGATGATCTTAGACAGCGTTTCGATTCAACAAGTTTTCTAAGATTTGGTACAGTGGCTTGAGCAGTGGATTTTCTGAGTATCGCCTCTAAGGACACATCAGACAAAGACCTGTTTTTAGTTTTGTTCAAATTCATTAAAGAAGACATTTGCTCGCACAAGTACGTTGTATCGAACATGAAACAAGTTTCCAAGGCCAGTGCTCGAGTTGGAGAGGCCTGCTATACAGGGTGATTTATAAAATAGTGGCAGAATTTCTACGAAAAATAACAAAAATTATATTTTTAGTGTGGGTTCGGTAGATAACTCTGTCACTAAAACTTGTTCGCAAGAATTCTTCTTCTTACTTAAATATTGGTACAGGTTGTACAGTAGGGTGTCCCAAAAAAAAAAAACGCATACACTCACAATTTTTTCCCATTTGACTTTTAACAACTCAAAAAATAAATATTTCGGTAATTTGATGCTCTACGACTCCTATTGAAAATTTTTCCTTTTTAGAACTGCATGATTCCTTCGATTCGTTGTCTGAACGAAAACAGTGCATTTACATACTAATATACTAAGTGACATATAAATCCGAACACCCAGTTTAAATGGTTTTATTTTAATAAAATTTTGTATAAGTACTTAATGAAGCATAATAAGTAAATGATAAAAAGTTCAAAATGATTGCACTGCTTTAAAGCCCTTTGACCTTTAATAATGTGTGGATGCACCCTGATGTGCTACGCATTCTCCAACGCGCCTACGCATGCTTCTGATCAGGTGGTCAATGTCCTCCTGTGGTATCTCATTCCAGGCAACCACCAACTCCTCTCGAAGTGCTTCTAGAGTCTGAGAAGGACGTTGCAAAGTGAGCAATCTCCTACCCATCATATCCCACACGTGATCAATTGGGGATAAGTCGGGAGATCTTGGTGGCCATGGTAACAATGTGACATCATTATGTTGGAAGAATTCTATTGTGACTCTTGCAACATGTGGTCGGGCATTATCTTGTTGGAAAGTTGGATCTGCCAGGGTGTCAAGATAGGGTAAAAGATGGGGTTCTAGAACTTCGTGGATATAACGCTGCGCGTTCATGTTACCTCTGATGAAGATTAAAGGTGACCTGGAACCATAAGCTATAGCACCCCAAACCATAACTCCAACAGTGTGATGAACATGTCTTTCCACAAAAAACTGTGGATTCCTCCTTTCACCACGTCGCCTTCTAACCCTGGCACGACCATCGTGCATGCCTAAACAAAATCGAGACTCGTCACTAAAGACAATACTGTTCCTTTCCTGATCCCAGAGTGACCGTTTTCTGCACCACTCAAGGCGATTACGTCGGTGTTCTCGAGTTAAAGGGAGGACCCAGTGTGGCCGGTATGAAAACAAGCCAAAACTTCTCATTCGTCGGTAAACACTTCGCATGCCAATAGGTCTTCCGTGTTCTGCAAACCATTCATTTGCAATGGACCTGGTAGTGGAGAAACGGTCCCGTAAGGCCAATAATCTTAGGCGGCGATCTTCACGGTCTGTTGTTCTACGGCGGCGTCCAGTGCCCCTTGCTCTTTGCGTACGGCCTTCTCGAAGCCATGCCTGACAACACCTAACCACAGTGTCTACACTTCTTTGCACTCTAACTGCAATTGCCCGAAAAGAAAGTCCAGCTTCCCGAAGTCCCACTATACGGCCCCTATCAAACTCATTAAGTTGACGAAATCGTACAGGTCTCCGTACTCTAGGCGTACTCTAACCGATCGTAAAGGATGTCAAGAACCAACGCTGATTCTTTACTGCGGCTGAAATATTCATTTTTAGAGCGTTAGTGAATAAAAAAAAGCAGTATAAAAACCGGAATGTCCAACTGATAAGGCTGAAAATTTTTTCACTTGTTATTTACAGTAAGATAAATACATTCACCATCTTTTATTAAAATAAAACCATTTGAACTGGGTGTTCGGATTTATATGTCACTTAGTATAGAACAAACGAGCAGTGCAATACATTAGCTAGCGCTCGCCTAATATACAAGTTTTGACATGTTCCAACTTTATTTACATTTGTTTTGATATTGTTCAAGCAAAATTAGAGGGTACGAGATTGAAAAAAAGAACTTTCATGTTGTTGGGACACCCCGCTACATAGTCAATCTATTTGACGCCATTTTTTCATATCAGCTTCCTGAATTTGCCCTCCTTGGAAATGATATTTGTATATTAATGTTCATTCGATGATTGTTTCAGGAGAAACCGAAAACATTCGTATATCTACAATAACCCATACTTGAACGGAGATCTATCTCATCCCAAAACAACCCAAATTCAGAACAACGTTAAACCATCACCACTTTTGGAAAAACTGAAGAAACTTTGCGACTCGGACACTACGTCGGATGAGGATCAGAAACATCTGCACAAACAAAAATTGAACTTTGACGAAGTCCGAGATGGCAGAACCTCGAAATATTTTCAGAAAAAGTCGGAGAGGACTCCCGAGCAGTCGCCGGATGAATTTGGTATTTCTGACTTGGGAAAATCTCTCGAAGAAAGGATCAAGAAAAAGATGAATAATATTTGCGTGGAGACGTTGAAAGTAAAAAGCGTCAACTGTAGAAAAAATAACGTACACTCAAAAACGAAGCCTATGAAAGCAGTACACGGTACCGAAATCAATATTGAAGAGGCTGAAGAGAATTCCGCTACGAAAGGGTTGAATTCCGACCAAAAAAAAATGTCAGAAGTAGGAAAATCGATTACAAAGAGTAAGCGTTTCCAAAGCGTTGAAACTTCTAGGTCAACTTCAGATAGAAGAAGAAATGCTGGCAAAGCAAAGCAATATTGTGAACCTAGTGGTGGTGACTTAGGTAGCGACGAAAGAAGTTTAAAAAATAATAAGAAAACGCATCGAAGCAAAAGTATTAGTAGTCTAGAGTCTGATACTAAATCCAGTCCTGGCGATAAAAAACAGAAAGGCGAAACTAAAAAATCGAAAAACGCTAAAGGAAGATTCAGTACAAGTAGTTCTGAATCTGATAGGGTTAAAGATAATATCTTTAAAACACCAACGGTTAGTTCTGGGAGACCAAGAAGAAAGAAGAATGATATTGTTTTTCTGGATGATAACAGTGAATCTGAGGATAGCGATGACGAGTTTGACGAGAAAGTACGACGGATCCATAGGAGTTCTTTGGCTCATGGAAAATACAGTTTCTTGGAGTCACTGACAGGTATATGCTACACTTTTTTTTGTCATTTATAGGAATTAATTTAGATATTACAATGACTTTCCTGCAGATTCAAAAAATATCTGTGAATTTGAAATTCTTCTTTAAAATTTTGTTGATTTTCTTTCAGGGTCAGTGCCGATCTATAGCAGCGACTTTAAGGCTAGAATGTACAGAAACAACTACAAAAATTTGAAAAATGACCTCGCCGCCGAACTTTTCAAGTTGTATAATGACAAGATTTTTGAGAATAAAATTCCCGAAGATACGCCTTTGCAATGGAACGACCGCATGCGTGGTACCGCCGGGTATTGCTATTGCAGAAAAATTACAAGGTATCTTTTTAGGCTCATATTTTCAGTTTTTACTCGAAGATTGAGTGGAACTTAACTTAAGTCATACTTTATCTGTCCAACGTCCAAAGAACATTCGGACCCATATTTATGTTTGAGCCTCAAGTTTAGATTTAGCATTTGCACTTTCAGTATTTTCAATTTTTGAAATGTTCAATTTTCAAAATCTTCAAATTTCTTTTTTCCATTTTTAAAAATTTCAGTCTTCAGGATGATCAATTTCTAAAATTCTCACGATTTTAAAAATCTTCAAGAACTAAATTTCTCAAAATTCTTACAATTTTTGAAATCAGCAAAACTTTTAAGTTTCTCAAAATTTTCAAAATTATCTTGATCTTCAAAATTTTAAAACTTTCCTTATTTTAAAAATCTCAAAACTTTCAGGATTTCTAAAATTTTCAGTTTTCAAAAATGTCAACCTTCAAAATACTTCTTCTCCACAATTTCTCAAATTTTCAACATTTTCAAAATCCTCACAATTTTCATAATCATTTTAATTCTCACGAATCTCAAATCTATCGAGATTTTCAATCCTCAAAATTCTCAGTTTTTAAACGTCTTCAGAATTTTTATCAATTTTCAAAAATTTCAATTCTCACTGTTATTGAAATTATCAAGATTTCAAAATTTACAAAACACGATTGATCTTCAAAATTTTCCAAAACTGGAAAAGTTATTTTGATTTTCTAAATCTTAATACAAACGATTTTCAAAATTTTCATTTTCAATATTTTCATGCCTCTAAACCTTCAATTTTGAAATTTTCAAAATGCCGAAAATTTTCGCAATTTTCAATATTTTCAAGATTTTTAATATTTTCAAAAACATTCTATTTTTCAAAATTCTCCCAATTCGTATTTTCATTTTTCAAAATTTACAAAATTATCAAGATTTTTAAAATGGTCAAGAGTTTTAAAATTCTCAAAATTTTTACAATTTTTAAGCAAGATTTTAAAAATCATTTTTAGTTTTCATTACCCCACAATTTTTTGATACATTTTTTTCAATTTTTCAAATTTTCTATCTTCAGGATCCACAAATTTTAAAATTTCCATTATTTTCACGATTATAAAAATTTTGCAAGTTTTAAAATTAGCAAGTTTTTCAAGATCTTTAAAATTTCAATTTCAAAATTCTTAAAACTATCAGGATTTTCAATTTTCAATCCTCAAAGTTTTCAATTTTCGAAATTTTCAAAATACTCACAATTTTTGATTTTCTAGATCCTTAAAATTTTCTAAATTATAATTTTAGAAATTCTCAAAACTGTCAGGATTTTTAATATTTCTGTTTTCAGTTTTTAGTATTCTCAATCTGCAGACCCTCTTTTCAAAAATTTACTTCCATTTTCTTTTGCAAGAAGTTTCAATCCACAAAATCCTTAATTTTCAAAATTCTCATAATTTTGAATTCCCAAAACTTTCAGTTCTTAGGATTTTCATGATCCTCAAATATTTTATTTTATTTAATTTTCAAAATTCTCGTATTTCTTAGGAATTTCAAAATTTTCACTTTCAACTTTTCATTCTTAAAAATGCTAAATTTTCACAATGTTTAAAAATTTCAAGCTTTAAAAATCATGAAAATTTTCTTTTGCAGTTTTCAAAATTTTCAATTCCAAAATGTTTACTCAATTGGGTTGAAGTTGAAAAACGCTTTTTAGCGACACTTCGCCTTTGTATACTTTGTATAAATAAAGCCGGATTATTATTATTATTTTCACAATTTTTAATATTTTCAAGTTTCTCAAAATTTGCAAAATTTCAAACTTCTCAAAATATGTTCAAGGTTCTAAAAATTTTCATAATTTTCTTTGAAAATTACGATAATCTTGAATCCACTGCGTTATCCTTCGTCCATTATCCAACGGTGTTGATCGCTTACGGAGCTACTTTGAGGACGTGCTTTAGTTCACTTATCATTTCAGGTCGAATGGCAATATTGAGAGGTTAGTGAGAATCGAGCTAGCAACTAAAGTTCTCGATTCACCCGACAGACTGAGAGACACTTTGGTGCATGAGATGTGCCATGCTGCAACCTGGATTATCAACTGCGTATCCGATGGACATGGCTCCTACTGGAAATCATGGTTAGTATTTTTTTGGAATATCCCAGATTGGATCATAATTCTTAACTTTGTGGAACTGCCATAATACGCAATATTCTGAAAAATCGCCTCTTAAATACCTGTACGTATTATCATTCAATTAGCATATATTATTGTAAGTATATTTTGGTTTTGGTGATTTTGAGTTAGTGTGTTGAATATGTATTTAGAAAACGTTGAAAAATGCTAATACACTGTTCTCTCGTGAGTACAGAGTTAGCAGTTAGCTGTGATTTTTTTCAGGGCCTATAAAGCTATGTCTACATTCCCAGAACTACCTCCTATCAAACGATGCCATGATTATGTATTGAATACTAAATACACGTATAAATGTTCAGGATGTGGATATAGGTGAGTTACGATTTTTTAACATGCTTTTCACCAATTTCGTATTTAATATGTAGAAAAATGAATTTTGAAATTTGGAAAGAAAATGGATTTGAAAACTTGGAAAATAATTAAAAAATTCGGAAATGATTTGATGATTTTAAAAAAAATTTGAAACGAATACAGTAAAATTAGATTTGTCAAATATAAGATATACAAAAAATCGAACAAAAAAATAGGAAAATAATGATGATCAATTTCTCTACTACTATAGTACTAATTATTTTCGACTTTTTAATTTGATTGGCCATTAATACATTTTTTATTTTTTTTAAACTATAATTTATTTCCTTTTTCGTGATGGTTTTATCTAATTCGAACATTATATTGAAACTTTCACGAATTTCAGCTTCGGTCGCCATACGAAATCCTTGGACACCGAAAGAAAACGTTGCGGCCACTGCTTCGGCAAATTCGAAGTCCTAATAAATAAAATTAGTAAAAAAGGCGAATCGAAGTCCGTCCCTGTAACGCCCAAAAGAGAGGCGACCGGGTTCGCGCTTTTCGTCAAACAGAACTACAGCGGATACAAAACGCCGGACAGAAAACATGGAGATGTCATGAGGATACTTGGTCAGAAGTTTCAAGAAATGAAGGTTAAGAAATGAATGTGATTGCGAAATGTTGTTGTACTTTGAATTAAACTGCTGTGGCAGCCGAAATATAGATAAAGTTTTATTTATTCGTCATCTGTGCTTTTTGTGTTGTTTTTACACGACTGCGTTTTCTTTATTTATACCACATAGGCAGAAGCTAAAATACCAGGGCACTGCAGCTGCCATGAGGAGCTTAAAAAACTGCAATTTAAACCACTACACGTTACATTTGACCTACTTTTACTATTTCTTTTAAAATTGCTTGTTCTGGCCTTTCCAATGCCTGTCCTGAACTCGGTATAGATTTTTTACTTATTGAGTGGCGTTTGAACTACTACGTTACGTTTGACCTATTTGCGACATTTGAACTACTACGCGTTACATTTGAACTACCGCACGTTGCATTTGAACTACGTCACGGTACATTTGAACTACTGCGGTTTCAAAATGTCAGATAGAAAACGTGGAGATGTCATGAGGAAACTTGGTTAGAAGTTTCAAGAAATGAAAGTTAATAAATGAATGTGTGTGAAATGTTAATGGAGTGTAGGGGTTGAAACTTGACGGTCTTAGGGGATATGAGGCTGTAAATGTTCCGTCTTTTGTACTAGTTAAAGATGTTATACATATAAATATACCAGCAGATTTTATTACAATATGCACAACAACTTCATACAATCAAAACTTCTGGAGTAAACTCATCATATTCTAGTATTCCAAATTCTTCTTCACTAGATCTTTCTATCCTTATCCTTCTCAGCATTTTATCATGAAAATCAACTCTATTCCTCCATTTTGCATGGATATATTTCGCAATCTCAATGGTATTACCTACAAATATGATGCATAGTAAATATTTTTTAAGACATTAATAAAAAAGTTAATTTATCATCATGAAAACTCTACATTTCCGGACCCATGTTTATAGAAACTTTTTTCATATTTTTTAGCAAGCAATCACCCTCTAAAATATCTCCGTCAGTTTTTCGAACACCCTGTGTCTTGACTTCGGAGCTTACCATGTGGTTCAGTTGGAAAATGAGTTGTGTCAAAGGTAAAAGGTTCTTCAACTTCTTTGAACATCTTTTCTTTCACCAATTTCTCGTTTAGCTTAATATTTCTCTGTAGCGCGTCTTCCATGCTTTGGACGAACAGTTTCCATCTCGGCAGAAAAAAATGGCTTACAACACCTGCAAGATACTTGATAATCGTGCATTCGTGTCAATGATTCACCTCGGATATAGTCGTACTTACCAGACCACTGTTTGTTCGCGTAATTCATAATTTCTCCTTTGGGTCCCCATAGAGTTATTTGATTCCTAGCATTGTACTCGAATTGTATCTTTTCCTGCAGAAAAAGTACCGATTGAAAAATCATCGAAGATATTGAACGTCTAAATACAATGATTTATTACCTCTGGACTAGAGCTGCAATTCTTTGCAGATTCCAACCACGGTCCCAAAAGAAACGCTTTGTTTGTAGCCAGTATTTTTTCTAAATCTGAAAAGACGTCTAGGAATGGTTCAGCGACGTCTCTAAAAAATAAAATAGATGAATTGATGAATGGAAATCAACAAAAAATGTACTGATCGATTAAAGAATATGTACTAGGTCCCACCTAGCCAGGAGATCTGAATTTACCTGAATTTGTTGATATTTCTGATCCTATAGGCTGTCATGAGATTTTTGTAGTAAATATCCCCATATACTTGTAACACCTGCCGTGTCACGTCTACGAGATCGTGTAAAAAACCAGGACTATGTTTCAAGTCATCAGCAGCTGCCAAAAACAAGTCCCAGGCATCAAACAGATACGTATAGTTGTACCATGTCTGCTCAAAAATAGTATTTATACTGATTTCGTCATGAACAGTCTAAATTATATTGTTTAAAGATACTCACCCACACGAATAATCTTAAGCTCGGCGTATTTGTTATTACGTATTTTCCTCGTATTTTCAACAATCCTTTATAATTATATATGGAGTCCTAAAACATTTACACGATGTTTAGTACATAAACCGACACATTTTTTTGAGTAATTACGGACATTTTTTGATGATTCTTATTGAAAACTGTTCCGTTTACTGAGAGTTTTTTGGGTTTTGTAATCATGACAAATAAATACTTCATACAATTGGCCTCAAAAAATGACATAAACTCCTAGAATCGTGAAATTGTGTGGAGTGAAAAATTTAAATACAAAATTCAATCTATACCCTTTTTTAAAACTTTAGTTCTGTGGTTTATTACCTTTCCAGCGAAACAATTTGTTATGCGGTAAAAAAAAGAAAAAATATTTGGGTCATTGATTTTTTTTAAGTTTTTTATATTTTTATATACCACCATCACTATATCAGATTAATACAAGGAATACTTGCAATAAATAGGTACGTCTAGGAATGCTTGACGTGAATTGACCAAAGAAGTTGCTAGAGACGACTATCGGGAATTATTAGAACCTCTAATATCGAAACCAAATCTGATTCGGTTGAAATTTTGACAGTATTTAATTTTGCGATGCTAAGACTTATCGGGTCCCCCTCGTATATGGCGCGTTAGCACGTAATTTGTGATTAATTTCTTCATTTTTTTATCTGTTTGAAAAAAGTCTCTGTGTAAAATATACTAAGTGACATATAAATCCGAACACCCAGTTTAAATGGTTTTATTTTAATAAAAGTTGGTGAATGTATTTATCTTACTGTAAATAACAAGTGATACAATTTTCAGCCTTATCAGTTGGACATTCCGGTTTTTATACTGCTTTTTTTTAATTCACTAACGCTCTAAAAATGAATATTTCAGCCGCAGTAAAGAATCAACGTTGGCGGATTTTGGTTCTTGACATCCTTTACGATCGGTTTCGATGCCTAGAGTACGGAGACCTGTACGATTTCGTCAACTTAGTGAGTTTGATAGGGGCCGTATAGTGGGACTTCGGGAAGCTGGACTTTCTTTTCGGGCAATTGCAGTTAGAGTGCAAAGAAGTGTAGACACTGTGGTTAGGTGTTGTCAGGCATGGCTTCGAGAAGGCCGTACGCAAAGAGCAAGGGGCACTGGACGCCGCCGTAGAACAACAGACCGTGAAGATCGCCGCCTAAGATTATTGGCCTTAAGGGACCGTTTCTCCACTACCAGGTCCATTGCAAATGAATGGTTTGCAGAACACGGAAGACCTATTGGCATGCGAAGTGTTTACCGACGAATGAGAAGTTTTGGCTTGTTTTCATACCGGCCTTTAACTCGAGAACACCGACGTAATCGCCTTGAGTGGTGCAGACAACGGTCACTCTGGGATCAGGAATGGAACAGTATTGTCTTTAGTGACGAGTCTCGATTTTGTTTAGGCATGCACGGTGGTCGTGCCAGGGTTAGAAGGCGACGTGGTGAAAGGAAGAATCCACAGTTTTTTGTTGAAAGACATGTTCATCACACTGTTGGAGTTATGGTTTGGGGTGCTATAGCTTATGGTTCCAGGTCACCTTTAATCTTCATCAGAGGCAACATGAACGCGCAGCGTTATATCCACGAAGTTCTAGAACCCCATCTTTTACCCTATCTTGACACCCTGGCAGATCCAACTTTCCAACAAGATAATGCCCGACCACATGTTGCAAGAGTCACAATAGACTTCTTTCAAGATAATGATGTCACATTGTTACCGTGGCCACCAAGATCTCCCGACTTATCCCCAATTGAGCACGTGTGGGATATGATGGGTAGGAGATTGCTCAATTTGCAACGTCCTCCTCAGACTCTAGAAGCACTTCGAGAGGAGTTGGTGGTTGCCTGGAATGAGATACCATAGGAGGACATTGACCACCTGATCAGAAGCATGCCTAGGCGCGTTGGAGAATGCGTAGCACATCAGGGTGCATCCACACATTATTAAAGGTCAAAGGGCTTTAAAGCAGTGCAATCATTTTGAAATTTTTATCATTTACTTATTATGCTTCATTAAGTACTTATACAAAATTTTATTAAAATAAAACCATTTAAACTAGGTGTTTGGATTTATATGTCACTTAGTATATAATAAAAATCAGTGAATTAAATATGGGTGACAATATGAAATTGTAATTTTCAATGAATAAATAAATTAAAAAAAATCATCACTTAATTTACAGGTCTCGTGATGCACAGAGGTATTATTTGAAACCAATTTGTTTCAATAGAAAGTAATTCCCTTTATTTGGGACTCTAAATAAATTTTAGTTTAAAAAATTACAAGCGTATTTTCAACGATTAAGTCTTATGTTAATTTTCAAATGTGATAACTCCGTAACAATAACCTATAAAACGTCAAAAGAAAACCTATAAGATGTCAACTTGCAAGCTAGGTACTTTGTAGGGCGCAAAAAGTCATTCCACGTTTGCTCACTAGGATCGTTGTGAACGTCCATCTATGGAGGAATCACTCAACTAAACTACACGCATTATTGGTTGCATAGTTTTGTGAGGTTGAGTGATCCGTGTCTGTAGCTTTTATCTCTGAGAAGAAAGTTAGTTGAATAGCAAGATCGCATCTGGATGATTATGTGTATTGGCCTGCATGTGTATAAAATCAGTGATATTTGCTGTGTGAGAAGATCATTACTGAATATGCTGAATATGACTAGCTATTTATATGTTATGCTTTCTGAAGAGAGGTTATGTTCAAAGTTATAAATTACGAAAAACCGCGCCCGCGTTGTGTGTAATTACTGTTAGCATGTATATGGCTTGTAATTCGACAGTGTACAGTGAATATAATTACTTCTTATCTCTCTCATTTTTGAAATTCAGCAAATTTGTATATGTAATTTCCAGAATGGATAAGAAAAAGTGGATGCGCAACTAATTTCTAGCTTCTAATCTCAATTAAGTGTATTTGAGACAAGAACTCAATGTAATTTTCATCAACTCATACAACTTACAGCTTAGACCTCCAGTAATGCCACCTCAGAAGCATATTTTACATCACATCAGAGCCAAAGATTGATAACAAGTCTCGCGACGTTTAGGCAACACGTACAACTAAGTGCTAAGTTAACATATTGTAGAAAAACCTACATAATGTCAAAAAAAACAGCATAATGTCAAACAAAAATCGGCCTAATGTCACTTTTCAAGGTACGTGATATCCGTGCCGTTGTAGTCATGTATGATTTGAAAATTTTACAACGATAAAAAGGCAAAAATTCAAGCACTCACCAATATACTGACTTCGAAGTTGAGTCATTTATTTTAACAGTGAGTAGATCTGATCAAAAGAAATGTTTTTTCCTTTACCATTTTTCTGGTAGAATTAAAGTAACAAAGTTATAGCCCTTTGGAAGTTTGAGTACCGCCCTGTCTCAATAATAATATTATGTGCTCGTGTTTGGCAACAACGGATATAATCCGCCTTATCGGTTCATCGCATCGGAAACAAAAAAGCGAAAGAATTTGGAACGATGTTTTTACAATTATTTTATTCAGTTGTATACACTATACAGTCAGTGTCAGTCGGTAACGCGTGAGTGAATAGTGGTGTCTGTTGCGTGGCTCAAACGAAATAAAAAATAGCACATGTTTATGCGGATCGGTTTCCCAATCGAGTGCAACCAACCCCTCGTGCCTTTGTTAATGTAGTACAACGGGCTCGTGAATCAGGTGACTCAAGACCTCACAGGGGACGGCATGCCGGTGCTCCAAGACCTCACGATCAAATACAGGTCCGCACTGAAATACTTGTCGGGACGATACTTTATAAAACAAGGTAAATTTTTTTTTTCATTTTTTTTTATTTTTACACACATATTTTGGTTTATCTTCCTTCTACAATCATTATCTGAAAATTAATGACTCAACTTCAAAGTCACCCTGTATATAGTTATAAAAAGGAAGTGTTCATTGAAATGAAATGAAAGTTAAGAGGAAAAGCAAAGTTTAAGTCATTGAAAAGTGTCCATAGTCTATAGTATCATGCTTTTCAACCAAGGTATGTAATGTACTTGCCTTCAGTATATCCCAACCTCGAATGACCTTATCATTAGCTTTCCCGTATCTTCTAACGGTATAAAGTCTAAAAAACTCTTCTTTATCTTGTGGCTCTTTCCTCCAAGCTGATTCAATCATCGCGTCGTATATTACGTAATTTTGATTTATACCCTCCGGAGTTAGACCAGTGCCTATCATGGTGCTGGAGTTTGCATTCCTAGCTTTGATGACGTTCTAAAAAAAATGGCGTCAAGGTAGGTTCTGGCCTTTCCTATTCCTGTCCTGTCTTACTGTGTGACGTTTGAACTACTACATGTCACGTTTGACTTATTTGTGACATTTGAACTACTACATGTTACTTTAGAACTAACGTACGTCACATTTGAACTACCGTACGTTGCATTTGAACTACCGCACGGCACATTTGAAGTACGGCGGTTACAGAATGCCAGATAGAAAACATGGATGATGATGATACTTTTTCAAAAGTTTCAAGAAATGAAAGTTATGAAATAAATGTGTGTGAAATGTTAATGGAGTGTAAGGGTTGAAACTTGAAGGTCTTAGGGCTGTAAATGTTTCGTTTTTTGTACTAGTTAAAGACGTTATAAATATAAATGTACCAACAGATTTTATTACAATATGTACAACAACTTCATAGAATAAAAACTTCGGGAGTAAACTCATCATAGACCAGTGCCTATCATGGTGCTGGAGTTTGCATTTCTAGCTTTGATGACGTTCTAAAAAAATGGAGTCAAGGGTATGAATGTTTAGTTTGTGGTGGTGCGGTCGTTGGTTGGTGATTATTTTCGTCTGCCAGTGTCGCGCTAGGGATGAAATACAAGTTTACCTGATTGATTATGTCAAATGATCCGTACATGCCCAAAGTACCGCCAAAATTATGCAGCATACACCAGATATAGGGTTGACCAAAGTACTGGTCTAAACGGTCGTATTGAGGGTACTGCTCGGATTGGAGATCAAGAACAATCATTTTTCCCTGAAATCATATTAGATCGCAATAAGAGCTTACAACGTGTTTTCGTTTATTTACCTGTGGAACCGAGGTGAGGAGGGCTCTGGCTCTTTCTTTCGTCCAATACAGTATATCGTGAGCAAATAACCAACCTTGCATTACCCTAAATAAATAAAATAATTGTTTCCTTAAAATGTCGAGCAAAACATTTCTTTTTTTTTAAATTAAATTTTGGCTTGGCAAGAAAAATAATTTACCATATCGCCTTTGGATCAGCCACAGTCATTGCGTCGAACGTTGTTCTGCCTATACGAGATATGTAGCTCAGCTCCGAGCTCGTTGGATTCATCTCGTTAAAGCTATCGCAACTATAGAGGTGATCCGTTCCAAATTCTGCGATTTGCTAAAAACAACGAATATGTCTAAATGCAGTTATTATTAAAAGTTCGTCATCAATACTTTACAGTGCAATTTTTTTTCTGGTGTACCACAAGGATCTGTGTTAGGACCCCTGCTATTGTCATTATACGAGGGGGTCCCAAAAAAACGGAATTATTTTTTAGAAGCTATTTCTTTTAACTTTTTCACAAAGTAACCTTATCAACTTCAAAATACTGTCCACTATAACTAATATACTTGTCCCACACTGCTCGAAACATTTTTTGAAGTCTTCCAACAATCTCTCGAATTTTTTCAACATTTTCGTCGATTCGGGCAGTTGATGATGTACGTCCAGAGCGAGGTTTGTAATCAATCGACATGTCGCCATTTTTAAATCGAGCAAACCACTCGTACAAGTGAGTTTTTCCCACAGCTTCATCTTTGTAAGCTATTTTCAACATTTTTACCAATTAAAACGCCTCTAGGGGCAGACATGTGTACTACACAAGCTCCGCCCACTGCGATGCTATTCCGGTTATTTTTGGGTACCTCCTCGTATATCTCGGACTTAGAAACAGAGGTAAAATCATACAGCATACAATTTGTTGCCGACGATACTCAGATTTTCTGATCATTTAGGAGTAATGATTTGGAAACAGCTAACGATAAAATTGATTAAGATCTTGCCCAAATTGAAAAGTTTAGTAGTAGTCATAATCTTCGTTTGAGCCCTTTAAAGATACATATGTTAGTAAACGCAATTAAAACAGAGTGCTTTAAAAAAGGACATGAACAAGGTGATAAAACAGTACCTGTGGAGCATTTCAGAACTTATGTATTATAATGGACAATGACTTAAAATCAGTTGAACACGTAAACCACCTAATTTCTCAGGGTTTCATTTGCAAATAAGGCTAAATTATACAGGGTGGCGCATCGAAAACGAAACAGACGCATTTACTGGCAGCTCAGTTTTTTTTGAAAAACGCTCAGACCCGTCGATTTTGTCTTCGAAAATTGTAATCGCCGATCAAAATCGTCTTCATTAAGTTCTTGTACCAGGTGAATTTTATACGGATGAAAACTATGGGCCTTTAGAATTCGTTGGACAGTACGTCGACTAACACCACACACAGTCTCCAATTTGCGGGTACTTAACGTAGGATCTACATAAACTTGCCTTAAAACCCCCACTTCTATTGCTTCGTTCCTTATGGGATTTTCAATGTTGCGTTTTTTATCGGCGACTGACCCAGTTTTCCCGAAATTTAGCTACAAGTTTTGCCACAAAAAAACGCTCCAATAGCTATTTTCAACAGCAAAATGATAAACAAACCATGGGCGTAGTGAAGAAAAGCATTTACTTATTAAGTACATTCTTTTAGTCAAATTTCTTCTGAAAGTAATACAAACTAATTTGATGTACCTATTAAAGTCCACTTTAAGCTTCAAATCAATAAATCTTCAAAACTACCGAACTGAAGTACATTAATTTTATATCATTATAAAGGGAATTGAAAAACCTTTAAAATAAGGTATCACTCGACCCCCCTTTCCATTTAAGATTTTAGGGTTGGTGTCACCCCCGGCCAGGGGGCTGCACGTGTTAACGTGATTTTTTGCCAAACTTGTGTCCCCCTCGAAAACAAAATCGACGGGTCTGAGCGTTTTTCAAATAAAAACTGAGCTGCCAGTGAATGCGTCTGTTTCGTTTTCGATGCGCCACCCTCATTGCGTAAAAATTTCATCTTTAAAGTTACCTACCTCGTGTATAAATGCTTTACCAATCCGTATAAAAAGATCTTCACTCGGTTCCAATAAGTAAGAGCAGCAATAGGTATCGTTGAAGTTGTTCCACGGTTCCATGAGTGTCATATTCGCTTCGGGATATAATCTAAACCAAAGTTCATCCTTTACGAACAATACCTCCAACAATTGTTTTTCCGAGATGTTGCTTCTAGGACCTCCGATATCTATAAGGTTTTTTTATTCGCGAAGTTTTGATTGATGTTACATTCGCCTGAATCGAAAAAACCTTGTGGACAATGCAAGTCCGAGTAACAACATCTCGTCACCAAATTTCAAACATGTATTTTCACACCTTTTGAAAGCCCGAGGTAGATGTCCAGCAAATGCTGGCAATACGGCAAGCATACCAAAACTTCTGATCCTTGATAAAATTTGCTTCTGGAGTCTGACGGATTTTTCGTGCCAATCGGTAGATAGGGGGCCAGCCCAACCTCGAATGTTACCCATCCGAAGCCTGAGAAAATATAAAGGTTGACGTAAAATAATAGTATACGATGTTTATAAAGGAAGTATATTCGGACAAATATTATTAGGTTTTTTGGAAATACGAGGGTGGTCCCAGAAGTACCCGACCAAACGAAGAAAACACAAAATGCACGTGCTACATTTTTATATTCGGCAAGGAAAGATGATGTAATCGGCATGATTGTGTTACGTTATACATACGTGTACATTATATTGTTTTATATTAGCCATTTTTTCCTCAGTTGGCTGACAGCGTTCATGCAAGATGTCTCGAAAGTGTGTAAACAATCCTGATCAGTTTTGTTACGTGTGTGGTGATGTGACTTTTGCGTCTCAGAGACGGTCTATTACTCCACTAATAACAAAGGCATATCAGCTTTATTTCGGTTGTAAACTAGGTGATCAAGACAAACAGTGGGCACCCCACATCTGCTGTAGTACATGTGCTTCAAGTCTGAGGAGCTGGTTAAATGGCAAAAAACGGTCTATGCGCTTTGCTGTCCCAATGGTTTGGAGAGAGCCTACAAATCATATTAATGATTGTTACTTTTGCATGGTACCTTGTGTTGGACAAGCCACAGGTATGTCCAAGAAAAAAAAATCGGTTATTAATTATCCAAAGATACCATCTGCGATGAGACCTGTGCCTCACAGTGACGAAAATCCTATTCCAAAACCCCCAGAATCCTACACTTGCGTATCAGAAAACGAATCAGATCATGGCGATCGAGTGATTCGTCAGGAAGAAGATATGCCATCAACGCCAAGAGATCCTGATTTTATACCGAGCACGTCATGCCACCAACCGCACAAAATAACACAGTCAGAATTAAATGATCTTGTAAGAGATTTAGAACTTCCAAAATGTAAGGCAGAGTTACTTGGATCAAGACTGCAGCAGTGGAACTTGTTAGAAGACGATGTTTCGGTATGTATTTTTCGTAAACGCCACAAAGACTTAGAACTATTTTTCAATATGGAGAATAACTTGGTTTTCTGCAGTAACATTAACGGCTTACTGGCGGCTTTAAATATAAACTATAACCCAGAAGAATGGAGATTGTTTATAGACAGTTCAACATTGAGTTTAAAGGCAGTGTTATTGCATATTGGAAATATTTTACCATCTCTTCCTGTAGGGTATGCAGTTCACATGAAAGAATCATATGACAATATGAAGTACCTATTGACATGCATAAAATACGATGAGCACCAATGGCATATTTGTGGCGATTTGAAAGTTGTTGCACTTTTACTTGGGCTGCAGCTAGGCTACACAAAGTTTTGCTGTTTTTTGTGTGAATGGGACAGTCGGGCAAAGGCACTTCATTACACCAGACAAAACTAGCCTGTTCGTCAATTCCTAGAGCCAGGTCAAAAAAATGTACAGCATATGCCATTAGTAGATTCGAAAAAAATTTTATTACCACCACTGCATATCAAGTTGGGCCTAATGAAAAACTTTGTCAAGGCATTAGATAGAGATGGGTCAGCTTTTCAATACCTGCGTCAGAAATTTCAAAGACTAACTGAGGCAAAGGTTAAAGATGGTATTTTTGTTGGGCCACAGATCCAAAATATTTTGAAAGATACACAGTTTGAAAACACTTTAACAGGTATTGAAAAACTGCTTGGAATGATTTCCGTCTGGTGGTCACTAATTTCTTGTGAAATAGAAAAGCTGACAACTATAAAACCCTTGTCAAAAATATGCTGTCATCGTATCAAAAGATGGCATGTAATATGTCTCTTAAGATACATTTCCTACACTCACACCTGGACTTTTTTCCTGACAATTGCGGAGCCGTAAGTGATGAGCATGGCGAACGTTTTCATCAGGATATTTCAACAATGGAAAAAAGGTACCAGGGAAAGTGGAATCCTTCCATGCTTGCAGACTACTGTTGGACTCTTGGTAGAGATGCTCCAGAAACGATCCATAAAAGAACAGCAAAAAGATAGCGCGTATAGTGCGTTTAATATATCCTTAAAGATAAAAAGTTTTTTTTCTAAACCGCAACTATTTTTTTTATTACCTTGTCATTTTTGGATTCAGCGCCCCAAAATTAACAAAGAAGTGCACTTTTACCACAAGATACAATTAAAAAACTAAAATTTGTTGTCCAGTGTATTCGCATATCATTAAGGAACACCCTGTACAAAGAAATGTTATAGAAATTCACGCAAAAAATAATTTTTATCTCACCACGAAAGAAACGCAGGACCTGTGAAATGTTCATCTATATCCTTCTGAGTGAGATTGAATCTCTTATAAACCTTGTCCCAAATGGCCTCTTGACCTGTAGATGCCAGGATCAAGTTGAATGAACTCAGAGCCATCCAGTCTATGTGTTTCTCCCAGTCTTCCCATTGCCACCAGACGAAGGTGTAGCTCGTAGTACAGACGTTTTGATAATACCTGAACCTAAAACAAAGTAACCCTTAATAACCCACAGAGCTTGTCATCGTACGGCGATACATTTGTTAAATCAATGGATGAAACAAGCACTTGCTTACGTACCTGTCGTTCAGCGTGATGGTTTCATTTATTTCCGGCAGAATTTCCGGCAAATTCGCTCGAGAAAATTCCCAGGAGATTTGAACGTTGCAGAAATATTTTAAATAGTAGTTAAATGCCGTTGCTACAGCGACTCCAGTGGTACCGGTGATTCTGATAAGTCCATCAGTACCTTTTTGTATCTAAACAATACATAGAAGTTAAGGGAAGTATAGAACATAATCCTTTAGCCTTTACCTTAAACGCTTCTCTTCCAGAGTACTCAAAATCTGGGTCAACTTTTACCAGAAAAAGTTTATATCCATTAGGTGTTGTCCGTTTTATCATTCCTAACACAGCATCTTCTTGGGTTTTAGCCGAAACTTTTGGTTTTAGGTGACCCAACGTTTCTTCAAAGTCTAAAGTAAAATTTACGATAAACTGTTCTATAACTTATACAGGGTGTCCCAGAAGTCGACGTCAAGCCGAAACCGGGTGATAGGCAAAGTCATAACAGCTATCAGAAAAATATTTAAAAAAATTGAAAATTATAGGTCTTTGAAAAAGATATAGACATTTCACACCCTACGGCAGTCTGTCAACTCCTGTTACTACAAATATTAACTTATTTTGGATTTTATTTTTACAATGCAATGATGAATAATGCATCTTCAAACTGGTGTCTCAACCTTACTGCCAACTTTTCTCGTTCAGGAAAAATTGTCACCTATTTTCCAACCAAGTATTCCAAAGTAAAACTTTGCTCAACTTTAACTGGCTGTACTGGAAAAAAATGTACTACGAGAGTATGGCAAGTAACCTTAAAAGTTGGCGCATTTAATAACGATTCCAAAATGGTATAACACTTAGAAGATTACTCGTTAACTTATGCACAATTTTTATTTGAAAAAAAACTGATGAATATTTTTCAAAATTTCCTAATTAACCAGCGATTATGAAAACGCACAAGGACCCTTAAGGATTACTGTTTGCACAACAGTGGGCGTGAAAATCCTGCTGATGATGATTTACCAAAAATCACCTATATAAAAGTTGTAAACTTAGCTATTAGACTTCGTGACACGGGATACTTAAAGACACAACGAGGAGGTCACGTTGCAAGATCCGCTCAACCTTACATGTTACCAATTGAGGAAACAAACGAGCCATAGCAGATCATGTTTACTAAGTAGAAGATCCGCATGTTGTAAAAAGAACTCATTCAACATAGATTAAATGTTTGGGCTGGCGTGGTAAATGGCATGCTTATTGGACTCTATTCCACCTCGACTGACTGGTGAAATTTATTTAGATTTTCTTCGACACAATCTCACAATTATAAGATGTTCCTTTAAATGTAAGACAGAATATGTGGTTCCTACACGTTGGGGCTCCACCAAATCTTAGACGAGAAGTTCATGAACATAGAGATGAATGACTTTTGACGAATTCTACAAGCTGTTAAAATAAATGACTCAACTTTGAAAACATATATATATATATATATATAAAATATTACTCACTGTAAGCCGCGCTTTTATGGAAAAACCAAAAACCAACCACCAGTAACAAACTTTTCAGATGCATTTTATGCACAAAACTAACCACAGCAGCACCTACTACACACTGATGGATCTGGTAATAATCAAGAATAACGACTTAATTCATGTTGAATGGCTTTCAGATGATAACGTTAGATAAGTTAAGTTGTTTATATTTGTATACGTTTACAATGCCCGTATTCGGAAGATATCAATTTGTTTATTCACAATTCCGTCCTATTCACATGTTCTTAGTTATCAAATATAAAAGTATTGATAATGTGATCAGGATCCATGGGCGCTCGCAGGAATTTTTCAGGATTAATAAAAAAAAAGTCGTGCAAATTCAGTCTCGAACCCGAGACGCCTCTCTTGTTCTCTTGCCACTGAGCTATTTTCTGGTTGATTGGGTTTCCAGAACTCGGCATATAAGAGAAATTAGGTCCATCTAGATAATAGATAAGCTGTTCAGTTGCCGAGATGTGATCGAAATTTGCTGCTGGATTTTCAGCGAGATGGATTTCTTACTTCAGAGCGGCGGGCACAAACAGACGACCGATTTGCTACGTTGCCATTTCCGAGACTTTTTTTCGAGATCTTAGAAAACCCTGGCGTACCTCTAGGTACCTATCTCTGTCCAAGGTATCCCGGGAAGTATCTTTTTCACCAAACAAAATATTCCGAAACGGTTTTTAGCGTAATCTTATTCAAAAAGGACCTCTTTTAACGAAAGACTGAAAAACTTCCTCAAAAATTATTTGTTTTAAACAAATTCAGAAAGTTGTTCTTCCGCTCCGGATAAATTATTCAGATTTTTTGGGTCAGTGACAAACAAGAAAGATTCTTCAAGGTTTAGGAACCCATAAGCGATTTGGCATTTGAACAGTGCAAAAAACGTCAGTTTCTACCCCGATAGGTAGAACTAAATAACAGGTAATAAATGTTAGCAGATAAAATTGATTCATTTCTAATTTGTAATGCAGCTTCCATCTAGCAGAAAGTGTTCAAACTATACTTTCGTAAATATCTCGATGCTATAGAAATCTACATTCGCTTATTGATTTTGTGTAGTCAAGTCTTTAATACGTCGTGTGTAGGCTAGAGGGCGCAACTGAGCTTGTCCTTGAATTTGATCTTTTGAGAAAAATAAAAATCGCTAAAAACTGCGAAGTCTAGATATGCTTTTTTTTGCTATGTTACTTGGATTTTGATGAAATTTTTACAGTTGCTAATGTGCCAAAAAACAAAAATTCGAGAAACTTAGGTACTTATCCAAGGTAGTATCTTCGCGCATCCGTTAGAAATGTGCAATAACGCCTTCCCTGCCTTCACCATATTTTCAGCACTACTGATTTCAATGGATAATATTTTTCTATCATTGTTTTTCAATTGGTAAATGGGTAAATAAAGGTATGGGCAGCCCTCAGTATTTTTGTCCGCGATTACATAGAATTGGACTGCTCGTTGTTGTTCCTTAATCAATTAGATTAAAGATGGCGTCTGTGTATTACTTGTTTACTTTCATTTACGTGGTGTTTCCTGTGTAGTTTCCTGTCACTGTTTGTTTAACTGTTTTGTCTTTTTTGTTGTTCCGTGGTTTATTTTATGTCGGTTTGCCGGTATTTTTCTTAAAATAAAATTTTGAAAAATGGTGATGTTAGGCGATGTCTTTCCTAATTTTTCAGCCAAAACCACAATTGGCGATATCAAATTTCATGAATGGCTAGGTGATTCGTAAGTATCCTTATTTTTATTACCATTGAAACTGAAAACATAATCCTCAACGGTGGAACTTTTTAAACAGCCTTTATTCGTGTTTTTCCGCTGCACTGTTATCTTAAATACATATTTATTGAACGAACAATGCCGGATAAAAAATCCAGTGCATATACTATTTTTATACCTTCTAAATATTTCTTTTAGATGGGGCATCCTGTTCTCTCACCCAGCTGATTTCACCCCCGTTTGCACAACAGAACTTGCAAAATTGATAAATTTGCATCCAGAATTTACCAAACGAAACACTAAAATTATAGCCCTGTCTTGCGATCCAGTCGCCAAACATTTAAAGTGGTGCAATGACATTAAAGGTATGCTTTTTCAACTTCGGGTGCTTTTTGGAGATGTCTGTCTGTCCTATATTTCTAAATCAGGTGGCAATTGAAAAAACCAAAATATGAGATGAAACTAATTTTCTTGGTAATAATTCCATTTTATTGAAATACTGCAAATTTGAACATACCATTTTTAGTTTGTTTATATGAACTGTCATTGCCACTGTTTTCTGAATCACCCTGTATTGTGTGTTTACAGTGTACGCAGGGTATTCCGGAGACACATTTCCTTATCCCATAATCGCGGACGAAGACAAAGAGCTTGCAGTCGAGCTGCAAATGCTTGACGCTGATGAGAAAGATTCGAATGGGCTGCCTCTCACTGCAAGAGCCGTGTTTATCGTAGATCCCAATAAGAAGATGCGATTGTCTATTTTGTATCCAGCTACAACCGGAAGGAACTTTGAGTGAGTTTTCGTACCATTTATGGATTATTCTTTTCTGTTTTGAAGAAAATAGATTCAGGAGCAATGTACGATGCTCAGTCATTTTGTGACTTATTAAAAAATGTATTTGAAACATGCTACAAGTATATTTTAAAAGCATACAACATCTACTTTGTGATATTGAGCATCATTTACTATACATATTTTCTATATATAAAATATACAAATTCCTTTTTTTTTTTTCAGTGAAATTTTGCGGGTGCTGGATTCTTTACAGCTGTGCGACAAGCATAAGGTTGCGACACCATGCGATTGGAAGGTATGTTGTTTCTGAGATTTGAAAAGTTTTTGTAAGGAAACCACTTTTTTATTTCTCGGTATTTCCTCAAATATTTATTTTTTTAGGCTGGTGAAGATGTGATGGTGCAACCGTCAGTATCCGACGACGAGGTTAAAACCATGTTCCCATCCAAAACTGTAGTTGCACTGCCTTCCGGGAAGAACTATATGAGGAAAATTCCGCAGCCCTGAGGTTGTAATTTTGATTAAGATTTCTGTTGTTACTATCGTTTCTAATGTTTTGTAAGTTTTAAGTTTGTTCAAGGATATAAACGCTTAAGTTTTATAAACTTTTTCATGCATTGCAACTTGTTTAGTCGTTTTTATCAGCATATTTGGTCCGAATACTTATGCTTTTTTTAGTCTAGACACAGCAATGAGTCTAAGAGAAAAAAGTATTCAAATTGACGAAAACTTTTAGAACGCATTCACCATATTTAAAAAATATTGCAACTTAAGACCACACTCATAGAAGAGGATAATAAAGAAAAACATAAACTCAAAATGTTTATTAATTCACTTTTACAAAAATCAACAAAAAACGTGATAACCAAAAAATGTGTAACTTTATGCTCAGTACTAATTGACTAGGAATCTAATAATACTCTCACTGTCAAATGCCTTACATAACTAGATACATCCTTTACATATGTCACATGTCACTTTTTAAGACTGAAAGCACAGTCTTCTGAATACATTTCACCTCACAGCATACAATTCTACCTAAAGTCATTTCGGCATCCAAAAATTGATACGAGACATACTGCCGCCATCTATGAGATAGTAGCAGAACACAAAAATGAATTTCTGGCATTTAACTAAGAAGACATGTTTTTTTTTCGACTTGACATTCTGCGTATTCGATTTTAGGTTGGCTATGAGAACAATTAAGAGAAATTGCATCAGTAACTATACAAAGCAAAGTCACGCTTGAAACTTATTCTGTGGTTTTAATTATCGGCTAAACAAGGAGGATTAAACTTAAGGATGCGAGAAAACGAAAAATTTGACTTTTAACTAAAGGTTAGTGCCATCTACGAAACAATAGCAGAACCAATACTATCAGCTTCTTTTTAAAGCAGATTTATAAATTCATTATTGTATTCTACTACTGTCTCAAAGACGGCGCTACGTTCTTTCACATCCTTTTTTAGGCGCCCGGAATACAGTTGAAAACAAAAAAGAATGAAAAAACAATTTAAGAAACGTCTGTTTATGAAGAGAGAATTCGATATGTCCTTTTTGATTCGCGAGAAATAGCAAAAAATTCTTTTTAATAGGTGATGACTATCTTCTGACAAAAGATAAAGGATATTGGAATGTTATGAACTTGGAGTTTTTGGTGCGTTCCAAATGTTTGATAGGAAATTTTATTCCTAATTTTGGTAAAATAATTTAATGTTTGCGCGTTTATGCATTACCATAACCAATCTGTACAATAAACTTAGCCGTTGATTGTACAAATATTGTCATTCAGGTGCCATATAGGAGGTTTACTATCAAAGGACGTTATCAACAATTTTGATGAAATACGACCTGACGTGGTGTTCAATAACTTTGTTCTTCATACGGTATCGAAGGATTGTGTCTCAATTTCATTCACAGAACCAACGAATAGGGTTGAGATACAAATTTTTGAGGAAATGGAAATTGAGATCTTTTTTCATTTTTAGCAGTGTCACGCATCCAATATGAGTAGGAACAATATTTTCAGAAACTGTTATTAAGTATATTATCAAATTATCGCGTAAAACTGTTCACAATTAAAAAGTATTACGGTTTTTACAAAAACATTTGTTAAGCCAAAAATGTGCTGTATCGCGAATGTAATCGTTCAAAAATTGTAAATAACGTCTTTCCCAAGTAAGACTTCAATAATATTGGATGCAGAATATTAGCTCACTTAATGTCATCCCTGCAATAGCAATATTTCCTCAGCTGCGGCAAATCGTTTTCGATGCACCTCGCTTGTCTTCCGTACATATTTATCCTGCTGATATCGCCGAGTTTCAACTGCATCGTGTCTGTGTTCAAATTATGCGTTATGCTCGCTTCGAACAAGGAATTGCCCGGTTTCATCATGACTTTCAACTGGTACATGTCGTTTTTAACGTTCATATTCGCAGACAGATCGGCTACGAAGCCGTCGAGGTCGGCGTTTTTGTTAAATCGGAGCAGATTGTTGTTCGGAGACATTTTCGTCACCCATTGGAAGTTGGCGATGACCAGCGGCTCGCATAATTGCCTGTAAAACATAGTTATAATAGTATAATACGCATCGTGCAGGCATTTATTTATGAATCTCAAAATTACGACTTTTAAGAACAAATCGAAGTTTCAAATATTAAATACAGTCCGAACGAAAATGGAAAGCATTTTTTGGGCAAATTGGAAAATATATTTTTGTGGAAACCTTGAAAGGTATGTTCGAATCATGAGATATTCTTAACGCTGAGACTATAGAGCTCTGCCGATATATTTCGCCACGAATTTCTGACTTTTGAATATGCTTGGATAGTGCCCGCCGCCCTTTTAGAGTACGATCCTACCGATAATCGCTGGTGATTTTGTTGATGGTGTCCAGCAGAGTTTCACCTAGACGCTCGACGATCGGATCCGTAGTCGGAATTTCATGCCAGTCGAGGCATGCGCACCAATGAGGCTCGATATACGCGTGCGCGCAACTTCTAGCTTCAGGAATCTGCAAAAAACGATTTAAAAGTTCAAAAGAATCCCTCGCTTTGGTTCTTCACCATAGAGTTGTACCGATGAGTTCGAATAAGATCCAGACGGCGTTGGCTTAAAGTAACAGGAATAGAATCGCACACATGATCCTTGAGGTGCAACTGCGTTTATATTCAATTTGTTTGAAATACAGGGTGGCCCATAAGTCCTTTGAGCTGAAAAAAAGGAATAAAACCAAACTAGTTACATTATGAAGAATTATTATATTTTGTTATCATCTTTATTGAATGGGAATTATGTTTTAAAAATCACATCGTCTAAATGCAATCCATTACGATCACGGCACTCATATAAACGACGTCTAAAATTGTCGATGACTGCGCGGCAAGTCAACACTGTAATGCTTGCCATTTCTCTTCGGATATTTTCTTTCAGGACATCAACTGATCGCGGAGTGGTGTCGTACTCTTTACTCTTGAGGTAGCCCCATAAAAAGAAGTCCATTGGGGTCAAATCTGGACTACGTGGTGGCCAGGAAATGTCTCCTCTTCGAGAAATTACTTTGCTGGGAAAAAGTTGACAGACGACGGGCATAGAAGTGTGGGCAGTTGCTCCGTCCTGTTGAAACCAGGTCTGCGTATTATAGCCCTTAAAAATTCTGCAACGCTGGTGTCAAAAACTCTTCTATCATTGCTACATACCGCTCCGAAGTAACAGTTAATGCGCGACCTCTGTCGTCCTCAAAAAAATAAGGGCCTACGATGCCATGCGCTGACATAGCAGTCCAAACTGTAACTTTAGGGCTGTGTAAGGGCTTCTGATGCTTACGCCTTGGATTTTCGGGGCTCCAATAACGGCAATTTTGTTTGTTTACATGCCCGTTTAAATGGAAGTGAGCCTCGTCCGAGAACAACACATTATTGAGCGAAGAAAATCGATTCAACATTTCATTCGCAAAGTTTAGTCTCTGAATAGCGTCATTATGTTTTAATTCCTGCACTAACTGAATTTTGTAAGCGTGCAGACGTAAATCTTTCCTTAAAATCCGCTGTAAAGATGTTCTGGGTACGTTTAGTGCACTGGAACGCTTACGAGTAGACTGGGTAGGATTTTGACGAACAGACTGTGCCACAATGTTGATGTTTTCTTCAATACGAGTTGTCCTTGGTCGACCCCACCGCTGTTTATCTAACATCGAACCAGTCTCTTCGAACTTAGCAACCCAGTTCTTAATCGTTTGAGCTGTTGGACACTTTGTAAAATTGTGGTATCCTCGATATTTACGCCGCGCAATGGTTGCCGAATCATTATTTTGATAAAACGCGCGCACACAAAAACCACGATCCGCTCCAGTGAAACACTCCATGGCGACTGAATTTCCAGACACTGAAGATACTGCCCCCACCTCGCCCGCGCCGCTCACGCTCATCCGTTAAATTTTATTCAAATTTGAAATTTCAAAGGACTTATGGACCACCCTGTACTAGATATGTACAGGGTGCGCCATCTTTTATGTCGGCATGTAAACGTGAAATAACTTTGAAACCAGTAACGATCAAGACCTTTTTCACGCATTTGTGGGTTAGACATAATGAGCCAACATCCACCGATATCCATTACCATCGACTGTTTCGTTTTCGTTGATGAAAAATGGGCCAACGATGGTTTTGGCGCAAACGCCGGCCCAAACAGTCACTTTCCGGTCATGCAACGGCATTTCGTGGATCTCATGTAGATTTTTCGTCTTCCAAATGCGGCAGTTTTGCTTATTATAGAGCATGAAATGGGCCTTGTCGGTCATAACAATTTACTTCCAAAAATCAGATTCAGCATCAACTATGCGAGCGACTGTTTGGGCGTATTCCAAGCGACGTGGACGGTCAGTTGGCAATATTTTTGTGTTAACTGCCCCTGATAAGGAAATAAATGCGAATCATCCTTCAAAATGCGCCGCAACGTGGTTCCACTGATGCCAAAATGCTGAGCGCGGTGACGATACGACACCTTTGGGTTCTGGGCAACGCTGTCTCTCACCACTTCAACCAATTCATTGGAAAATCTTGGTCGTTGATGAACGGTACGTTGACAATCTCCCACTGTCCCGTACTGAAGAAAATTCGACACAAAATGACGGATAGTGTTGTCAGACGGTGCCTGTTTGCCACGATATTTTCGACGATCTGCACGTTGCGTTAACACAACTGAACGACGATTTTCAGTGTACATTGTGACTATTTCGGCGCGTTGTTTCGGTGTAAAGCGATTCATGACTAAAATTGTAGTAAATTAACGTTTCAGAAACACGTATAACCAAATCAGTCGATTGGTAATTATCAAAGTCATACGATGTTTCAATACCGACATAAAAAATGGCGCACCCGGTACTTTAATAATAATAATATTCACAATTCGCGGTTGATTATTAAAATACAGGGTGTTTTCAAAGTTGTGTCATTTATTTTAACAGCTTGTACGACTCGTCAAAATAAGTTGATATACCAAAAAGCTGCATAAAACGTTTATGTTATAAAAAATTGTTTGAATAAATCATTATCAAGTTAAAAATTGTCCCCATTTGTTCAATTAACACAAATTCTTGCTCGGCATTCGCTGACTCTTTACAAGCTTCAAAGATAAAATTCTGGTGTCCACAAATTAAATCACAAGCATTTTCAGTGCACTGCTGAACTTCTTCCAGAATATTTGCAATAAGCCAAAAAGATTGTCAAATTTAGATAAACAATGGTAAATAAAAAACGCCAATATTTTGCACGGCAGTGGTCAAGAAAGCCCAAACTTGATGTTACGCTTTCCAGTTTATCCTGATTCACACAGTAAAACGCTAAAACCTACTTACCCTAGAGAATAATGAGACAGCCCTTTGACTTATATCAGCCACACCGACATTACGAGGATTAAGCACAGCCTTCAGAGTTGCGTGGACGTCAAACGGCGTTGTGAGCCTGTCGATATTATTCCTGAAATTCTCGTAGATATCCGCGTGTTTCTCCTTGAACCATCGCGGGAAAGTAAACGAGAAAAAAGGCAGTCGCTCCTCTTGCTTGCCTTGCACCGTGTTCCTTATTTCCGCAAACCTTTTACAAAAACCGAAACAAACAAGATTAGAATATTATACAGGGTGCCCCATATCCTTGACCACGTCCTTTAAGGTTCTTTCAAGGTCAAGTGAACATTTTCAAATCAAAGTATCCTTTTTACTAGGTATTTCCCACTTTTTTTTCGTTAGGTTTGTACCACTTTTTTCGTTAGGTTTGTCCCACTTTTTTTCGTTAGGTTTTCCGCACTTCTTTTGCAGTAGTTCAAATGTACCAGTACCTCAAACGTCCAGTAGTTCAAATGTACCAGTCCGTATGTGGCCTTGAAGTCAAAGACAGGGTTGAATCAAGCTTAAATGTTATTTGGGGTAATTTAAATTTCGAGTATAAAAATGAAAGGAAATTTTGACTCAACCTTGAAGGTGCTAGTCACCATCATTTCACTCCCTCGAATCCCTACAACCTTTGTTTGAAATTTTTTTCTGGAATGCGCAGTTTATGAAATATTTAGGTAAGGGCACCCTATAGAATCGTATTAAAAGTGGTATTTTTCATCAAAAAATACTGTACCTATGTCCATGATCAGCCATAAGTATCAAAATGCTATTATTCAGAGCCCCAGATTCGTTGAGTTCCTTCAAAAATTCTAACAGATCGTCATCAGCAACGCCAATCAAGTTGTAATCATCGTGAGACAACTCGCCGTGGAAGCCGAACAAGAATTTCGGTTTGGTTTTGTACACTGCAAAAATCTGGAGAAAACCACTAGTTAGGTAATTGAGCAGCTTCAAAGGGCATCTGAGTGTAAAGTCAAAAATGTTTTAAATTTCGGAGTGAGAAATACCATAACATTAGCCTTACATCTCTGATAGTATTCAACATGACTTTGTGTCTTGGTATCTCTCCTGTACACAACTTGGGCCATCTGCTTCTTCCCTTATAGTTTTCAAGGTAGTAAGGTCTCATATAATGATCTGTCGGGGGTTCCTAAAAAAAAAAAACATGCAACTGATAAATAACTTTCAAAACCTAACTCGAAAGTTAGGCAGTGATTGAAAAACCTTGCGTCCTTAAAGTGAGGTGTTGCATTCCTTTTATATGCACACTCCTCTTGACTGAACACATTCAGTCATACTCGAATATTTTTAGAAATTGTATGCTATGCAAAATCTGTGTTGACTTACATCAAAGCCATTCAGTCTATATGTAAAAGTGCCTAATTCAGGCACATCCTCTAGAAAGGCAGTAACATATCCAGCATCTTTGTAGTCGTTCCAGATAAATGGATAGCTATTTACAAATTTCGTGTTTTTTATCCTTTTCCTTGTATCTGGCAATTCCAGCTCTGTTTTGCCTGTCAGAATTGGTATTAAGGCTTGTGGGGTTCCATCTCCGACAATATTATATCTTGAATATAAAAAAATGATTAAAATGAGAATTATTTTTTCAATTCACATAGGTACCCTTTGAGGACATCCCCTTCCAATTCTTCAGTAAGATACTCATAACTTTTTGGTAACTTCCTTATAAATGTGTTTCTAGATAGAGAATCAAATCCAAACATGAGAACATCCATTTTCAAGGCATTTGGCGGCAAGTTATCCCAGTTTGCACCATTCCAGACAATCTCATCTTTCCTGATACCAGTGAGGGTTGCTATCCACTTTTTTGTAGATGATTCGCATGATACATGAACCTTAAAATCTTTGAATTACAAAGGGTATCAATAAAAGAATGTTACGAATCTTACAACATCCGATTTTCTCAAGGTATATGTTGAGGCTTCTTGTGGTTCTCCGTGAACATTCTTAAAATCATCTAATCTGATCACATCTGCAAAGGTGCACTTTATAGGACCATATTTAATGTTGGCATTTTCTTGTATAGAACATACAGAGCCCTGAAAAAAGTAACACCAAATTACTGCATCTACTGAATATAATGAAAAAGACATTTTTCCATTCAACACTAGCCCTATACTGGACATGCATTCACATTTATGTATATATAGAAGACTTAAGAAGATACCTACTACACATTTGACCCAATCGTCCCCAGCTTTTGAGCAGTCAATTTTAGGCACTGAGTGGACAAATTTCATCATTTCAGGAGAATTAACTGGAAGATTTGGCTGTTTACAAGCCAACGAACTGGCTTGAGTCTTAATTAGTTCATCAATCTTCCTTCTAGAATTATAGAAACCCACATCTGTTATTTTAAAACAGCAGATTCTAGATAGTACAAAATCATAAAAACTTGTTTTTATTCTCAAAATTACATCTTTTGATTTGTGTATGTTAGATATATTAGAAAAAGTGTACTTACAGTTTTATTTCTCTATCTTCATCAAATAGATTGGAGCTTCTGGATATTAATATCACCATTAAACAGAAAGAAGTAAATATTATAAAAAGAAAAGTGCATTTTCTTATTTTTAACAGTTGCAATAACCTAACAAGATGCATGATTTTATGATGTAATCGGTGATACATCCGATAATTTATTACTGATACATGGTAAATAATCGGTGCTCTTATCTATTTTCCGTGTTATCTTAAAAAAAAAACGTATACAGCTAGGCGTTCCTCAAGGTTTTCTAATCTGAATTTACTTTTGTGATTTGTCTATTTTTTCTACACTACGAAAGGGTGAAATACAACAACAATGCAATAATTTGAAAGTTTATAAAAAGCAGATAACAAATTGTTTATTTTCGTTTTTGAATCGCCTAACCTATAAGTTTGACGTTTAGGATTGTTATAGAACTGGACTGAAAGCCAGCGACTAAACAGATTAACATTTACGAAGAAACGTATTCTCGAACGCCATTTTGAAAATCTATCGATTTGAAATGCGTACTGTAAGACAGATTAAAAAGTTGCTTTTATAAAGGTACTTTGATGATTCCATATTAACGTTTAATAAAACAGCCCAACAATGTAAAACAATATTTTAGATATTTTTGTGATGTATTAAGATTAACAATCATGTAGGTAATGTAGGTACTTACAGTTTTATTTTTCTGTATTCACCATACAAATTATAGTCTCTTGATATCAATATCAATATTAAACAGACAGATGTAAATATTATAAAAATAAAAGTAGCTTTTCTTATTTTTAGTAACATATTTTAACAAGATGTATGATACATATCCGATGATTTACTGATACATTGCAAATTTAATTAGTGTACCTACTCTTATCTATGATTTAAACTCTGTTTTGTGTACATTTGATATCCATAGTGGATTTAGTCACAATTACGATTAGATAAAAAAGTGGGTAGACGATTTCCTTGGCCAAATATCGATCTATCAAACTGTGGTCTGTCTTCTTTATTTTAAAGAGTTTTACAATGATGTAACAAATCGTAATTCTAAAACAAACGGTGTCGCCAAGCCGAAAAAGACAAAATTGGTAGATAGAGTCCTTGAGATTGCAGGAAAAGTTAGTAAATAATCTTCATTTAATGATATATATATATAGGTGAAAAATTAAAGCTTCCGCCTTTTGTTGGGTACTTCGACAAAATTTAAGCAAAGAGGACTCTTTATACTTTTTTTAATTCTCTCTAGCTTTCAATGGACTTTGCCATCATCATCAGGAGCTGCAATTACAATGATAACAGTAGCAACAAAAGTGTAAAATGAATTTAAATTGAATCAACTTACAGTAGTATGTGAGGATGTTGCTAATTGTTGTTTTCGTATAGGATGAGGGAAACGTCCAGTAACATGGTGAGAACTGGATACATGGTACAATGGTTAAAATTATATAAATATGACAAGACAAGTTAATGACAGATTAAAAATTATTTAGAAAACATTAGAGCATTACGTCGTGAAGCCACTTGATGATTGCACAAAATGGTGGTCATGGAATAATGAGTGAGATGAACCTTTGACAGAAGGCCGAAGGTTGTCAATGTCTTTGTTGAAAGATGGAACGAATTGTGGGCGTGTACCAATACGTTGCCAAATCACTTCAGATGATGTGATTTTCAGAATGTTATGTAAGAAATTGTTAAACCACGTCTCAAGTTATATATATATACGTATATATATATCTAATAAATATAAGATATAAATAAAGCAGTGATTTATATGTCGAATAAAAATTAGGTTAACTTAACTTTCAAATTGAAAGTTTGATCGAGAGTAGGCTCGGGTTATCGTTCCCCGATCACAATATTTATTTTTTAAGTTGTTAGAGTCAAATGGTGAAAATTAGGGAGTATGCGTGTTTCAATTACAAAAATTTGTTTGTCTCGTAGACTGGGAGAAATGTATGCAACCCAATCTACGTCCGTCGCGCACCCGATTGCATAAGTGTTAACAATACGATAGACATAGAACTTGACTGTAGTTCAGTGGCTAAATAGACTAACTCGATAGAAGAAGCGTATCCCTATCCTCCATCTTTAGCCCAGTTGCAACTGTTGTTAGAGATGGGCTTTTTTCTCTCTCTTGTTTTACGTGACGCAACCGTTTTCGATACAAGCGTTAATTAGATGAATTAAAACGACTGTGTTTTATTAATAATTTATTAATCGTAAAAAAAGTGGGTGGGCGTTTTTAAAGTGTAGTATATTAGCTAATTAAAACGACTGTATGTTTTGTAAATGATTTATTAATCGTAAACAAAATTGGGTAGTAAGATTTATTATATGGTATTAAGAGAGGTCCAAAAAGGGTACGCAGACAGACGTCTGCATATAAAAAATAAATAGTTTATACTTTATTCATCCTATGGTTATTTATCCCCAATTCTTTTCGATCCAGTCATCAGTAGCATAAAGAATAATTATTATCACAAATAATAACTATTAATAATAATTAGTTCTGCGATGATTTTATCGAGGAGAATTGAGAATAAATAAACAGAGTATGGATAAAGAATAAACTATCTTTTTTATATACGTCTTTTATGTAGTCTTTTCAGCTTTTTTCAAATACCATTTTAGAAAATCATTTATTGTAGAAAAGTACTTAACACAAAAAAACATCTTTATAAAAAAAAAGGGTCATTTATACCCAATCGTTCTCGATAAAATCACAGCAGTAACATGTTCATTCTATAACGTTCTCCTTATCGTGTAGTCTTCTACGTGTTACATTGACGGGGTGTTTTCCTGGCTCATCGTCACAGTCCAGCGATTTGCGCGTGTGATTTTTTTTGTAGGCAAAATTCGGCGATTGGGGCTGCGTTAAAGGAATGGGGCTCGGTCTCACGTCCAGCGGCTTGTATTTCCGCACCGGCTGGGCCTTGAAGACTGCCTCGCGACGTTGACGCTCCGCCAGCTCGTCTTCTTCCTAATAAACGGATAAACAAGTTATCTCGTCTCTTTTACGATAAAAAGTAAAAGTGGACTTTTGAAATGTCAAACTGAATACCGGTAATATCGACCTTTAATTTTACTGCAATTAGTATTAAAAAACACAAAATCTCGTAAAATGGTGTTTGCCGCATTTCGCCAGGAAGGGAACCTGAAAATGAGTTATTCAGTCCAACAATTAAGAAAGATTAATCAATTTGGAATAAGATCAATATAAAAAATGAGATATTGGCAAAAAATTTCCCACTTTTGTTTTGTTTGTCTATGTGCATATATTTTTCTAAATGATCTTCACCTATCTCATTAAGACATTTTTTGTGTTGTCTTTTAATTTATCTTTCAGTAATTATGTGTTATGCAACATTGCATTTTTTAACTGGTTTTATTCATGTGTTATGTACTTTTTTCTAAATACAGCAGACGCTCGATAACGTAAACACGGGATAATAAAAACTTGCGCTAATGTAAACACAAACTTCGTTCTATAGGGTCAAACGGAACGCGCGATAACGTAAACAATGTGTACGCTCGATAACGTAAACAACTCTCGGCGCACGGAAACAGCGCGACGGTAAAATGCTGAAGCCTCGATGATTTATGTCGGGCGTCGGGGAGTCCCCGATTTATGATGTAGAGTGTAGGGGAATCACCTCTGCGATAAAATACGACAAACTCGGTCAGTCGTATGATCGTTTAGGATACGTTTATACGTACGTACGTATTTCATTTTTGAACTTAAGTGAATACATTGCACGCGTTAATATATTTTACGACTATGGCATCCACATCCTATAAAAGAAAGTGTTTAAAGTTGAGTGAGTAAGTGAAAATCATAGACGAAGTTGCATTAGGTGCGCGAGTGACACAGTTAGCAAAAAAATATGGAGTATCGAAAGCAACAATCTGTAAAATTAAGCGTATGAAAACTCAAATTTCACAAAGAACTTGCAATACATTTGGAGGTCCGGGAAAAAGGAAAACTTTAAAAAATGCGAAGGCACCTAAAATGGAAAATTCCCTGTATAAGTGGTTTTTAAAACAACGGGAAAATCATGTCTCAGTTAGCGGCGAAGTACTTAAACAGAGAGCGAGACTGTTAAATGAAAAACTGAAAGAAACTGAAAATTTCGTAGCTAGTGATGGCTGGCTACAACGATTCAAAACAAGATATGGAATTCGACTGCTGTCTATATCTGGTGAAAAATTATCAGCACAATCACAATTAGTGCAACCGTTCAAAGAAAAATTGATGAAAACAATTACCGAGGTAGATTTAAGAATGGAACAAATTTACAACGCAGATGAAAGTGGCCTTTATTGGAAAATGTTACCAGAGAAAACCTATGCTGCATCATTTGAAAAATCTGCCCCGGGAAGAAAGCCGGGGAAACAACGAATAACGTTTCTAGCCTGCATTAATGCTAATGGTTCACACAAAATACAGCCACTGGTAATTGGGAAAGCAAAAAATCCGCGCTCATTTAAAAATGTTAATATCCCTGTTGATTATGACTGTTCAAAACCGGCTTGGATGACTAGCAGTATATTCCTGAAATGGTTCCACAGGTGCTTTGTCCCTCAGGTATGACAATAAATTATCACAAATGCTCTATTCATAATTTGATGATGTGTTTTCAATTTGTAGGTAAAAGGTTTCCTAAAACAACAGAAGCTTCCAATAAAAGCGTTGTTACTATTGGATAATGCACAAAGTCATCCTCCCGAGCAACAACTGAGGAGCAGGGATGGGTAAATTTTCGTCATGTACATGCCGCCCAACGTAACACCGTTAATTCAACCGATGGACCAGAATATAATAAGACTCACCAAACTATACTATAGGAAGTTTCTACTTTCGTCTGTCTTATCAAAGAATCCTGAAAACTTATCTGAGGCTTTAAAAAAAGTAACATTACGAGAAGCTGTTTTAGATTTACATATGGCCTGGAATGAACTTAACCAGCAAACTATTCAAAAATGTTGGAACAATCTCTTTTGTACCAATAATGAAGATGATGAACAAGACGATGTCCCCTTAAGCGTAATTAGAGAACGTTTGCGACCAAATAATGATAATGTTATTAGTGTGTCATTGGATGTTGTTGATTTATTGAAAACAGTGAATCCCAACATTGTTTGTATTCCTGCTGTTATTAATTTATAGAACGAAGATAAGGAGACGAGTGATGCTGATAAGGAGGAGGATATGGACAGTGAGGGTGATGAGAACGATCCCATTGAAGTCAGAAGTGACTGATGCAAGCTATACAAGTTTTTAACCAAGCTTTAGATTGGGCTGAAAGAAAAGAAGTTTCATACACGGATATTTTAGTTCTTCGTAAATTACGGGCGCAGGCATTGGAACACAATGCTAAGCGCAAATTTACGCAGACAAAAATTGTTAATTATTTTTCTTCTAATTAAAAAAATACTTATCGCTGTTAGAATATTTGTTTATTTTGTTATAAATAGTATGTATTAAACGTTGCTTTTAATAAATCAAATATATAAATCACTTTCGCTAATGTAAACATTTCGATAATGTGAACCACACTTGGATTAAATTAGTTTACATTATCGAGTGTCTGCTGTATTTACAAAAATTGAGTTATTATGAAAGTATAGTTAATTGAACCTCATGCTTTATAACTGTAAATGAATTTTTTGTTGATATCTTAATATTCACTTGATTTTTGCACTTTCTATTGCAAAAAAAAGAAACTCTCCATGAAAATTATTTTCTACCCTTTAGTTTGATTATTTAAGCTTGTTTTTAAGTTCTTTTAAACTATAATTTATTGTCTGAATTTTACTCTCAAAACGACAACAAAAGGACTTACAACCAAGAGCTTCGATTTTTTATATTTTAAATTCGACAATAAATCTTGAATAAATTTTGAAACTTCCAAAAAATTTGGAATATACCTAGTTTTTTTTCATAATTTCGAAATCCTCAAATTATTTCCCAGAATTTCCGAATTTTCAAATCCAATTTTTTCTAAATTTCAAATTTTTAAAAAATTTTCAATTTCATTTTTTTTTTCAAACTTATTACGGCCCTTGACCATGTGCAAATTTTCAAGTTAATCAGACTTCTAGAAATTGGTGAAAATTAGCTTACCTACTACTTTCATTAGGGTGTGATCATTTTTTTCAAATGCAAACCCTCTAATTATGCTTGAATAATGTCAAAACAATTCTAAATAAAGTTTAATGTACCTAGAATCAGGAACACCTTAACTTTCATACATACAGATCAAGCTAACAAAAACGTGTTAAAAAAAATCTTCAACGTACCTTCCTGCGTCTTTCCTCACCTTCTCTCTTCATCCTCTCTCTAACCTCTTCCTTCTCCTTTTGTTTCCTTTCGAACTCTTCCCTTTCCGCCGCCCTTTTGTCGGTGCACAGCTGGAAGTCAAAGGGACGGGTGACTTTTTCTTCGAACGACGCTTTTTTCGGAACGAACGGCGCCTGTTTGAGCACCGTCGCCGGACGAGCGCGAAAGGTCGACGGCGCGTTGCCAGTTTCCAAACTCTCGCTGCTGCTTTTCTGTGAAAATTACACGATAATATACTCACAGACATCAGAAGTGTTACAGCGAGAAAAAATAATTTCTACAACTTGTTTTTTTGGAAACATAATGACGCGTGCTGTGGCAATGCGTCAACGTTCTAACTTTGTTTTTGTTTAAGTTTGTTAAAATGTTATCGCATTTTGTAATTTTTTTCTTATCAGAGATGCACATTTTGTCTCTGTATGTTTATATTTGCGCATAAAATAGAATCATCCACTCTGCAGTCTCTGCACAAAATTCAGTATCCAACCGTAAATATTTACCAATGATTTAGACGACCTGATCAAGCCTTTTCTATTATCGTCCACGATGACCTTCGGCATCGGACGAGCACGAAACTCCCTCCCTTTTTTGAATTCCTCGTTCGCCTCTTCTATCATCTTATCTTTCTTCCGTTTCAGCATCTTGTCGCGAACCTCGAAACTGAAAGGAACCGGTTCGGTTCGCCTTTTGTGGTACGGAGTGGTCGGCCTCCCTTTAGGAGCGTTTTCTTGGGAACATGTTGACGGTTTCCTGCGGATTAGTTTAGCATGCAATTTTTACGATTTCTTCATTATTATTTGTATTGATAGTTTTGATAGATGAGAGTGACAAGTGAGTTGTCACAACGACAGGGAAGAAGACGACTTTTTTCGATCTAATTGCCTTGCATTGTCGCTCACTGTGATTCAGAATTTAATAGCAATATTGGTGGTACATTAATCTGGAAATAAGGATACAACAAAATACAAGTGTGTAAATCAAGTTCAATTCGAAAACGGTATCGAAACAAATTCTTTGGCGATTGCAGACAAACTAAATGAATATTTTGTGGAAAGTATTGTTGATATTGTGGGTACTGCCAATACTGCACCTGACTATATGAAAATCAGTTTCCAGGGGGAAATGTTGCATACACTTTCAAAATTTTACAGTGTATCATTGAATTATGTAAGAAAAAAGTAAACAGTTTAAAATCAGATCACAACTGTGCCGAAATCACTACTAAAAACGTGCTGAAAAACTGTTTCGAAATTTTGGGATATCCTGTATTAAATTGGATCAATTGTTCACTGAGAAGCAGTTCTTTTCCTGAAGATTTGAAATGCTCTACAATAACACCAGTTCCCAAAATAAAAAATTCAAAAACATGCAGCGATATGAGACCAGTAAATGTGTTACCAGACATTGAAAAATTATTAGAGTCCATAGTGCATGACCAATTAATGCAGTTTATAGAAGAAAACAAAATTTTAGTGGAAGCGCAACCAGGCTTTCGAAAAAATATTCCACAGAAACGGCTTTCCAGTTGGTAACTGAGAATTGGAGAAGAGCCATAGATTCAGAAGAAGTTGTCATAGCAGTATTTTTGGATTTGAAGAGGGCATTTGAAACGATTGATAGAGATATTTTGTTAGGTAAATTGAAGGCATATGGTATAACAGGAAGTGTTTTAGATTGATTTAGAAATTATTTGTTTAAAAGGATGCAAGTTACAAAAGTTAATGACACTATTTCATCAAAAATTGAAAATACGTTGGGTGTTCCACAGGGCAGTGTCCTGGGACCACTTCTTTTTATTTTATACATAAATGATTTACCATAGTCAGAAAATGTAAAATTCAGATTTTCGCCGATGACACTATGATTTATATAAGTACTAAAAATATTCAGACTGGTATCTCTTATATAAATGAAGACTTGAAACTTGTCTCAAAATGGTTAGCATCTAACAGACTAAAATTAAATACAAGTAAAACGAAAGCCATGTTAATCGGAAAACACAATGTACAAATGTTCAACTGAATATTGATGGTGAAGATATTGAATTCGTAGAAAATTTTAAATACCTGGGGTTTTTTGTTGACTCTCGATTAATTTTTGATATTCATTATGAAAAAGTGATAATAAGATTAGTAGTAAAGTGGGATATTTAACGAGAGTTTCTGGATGTCTGAGTTCATATAGCAGAAAAATTATCTATAATACCATCATTCTTCCAAATTTCTTGTACTGTTCGACTATTCTATATTTAGCAAATAAATACATTTTTGAAAGACTGCAAATTTTACAAAATAAGTGCATGAGAATTTTACTAAATAAAGATAAATATACTCCAATTAGGCAAATGCTTAGCAAATTAAAATGGCTCAATGTAAATTTTTTTATCAAATATCATGTAATGATATTCATTTATAAAGTAAAAAATAATATATTTCCATCAAATCTAACTAATTTAGCATCATCAAATGTCGACCACCATTTACATAATACCAGAAATAAAGATGACTTCCATTTAATGACCAAAAAGTATAACATATGCTACAAATCTGTATTCCATCAAGGGTTGATTGAATATAATAAATTATACTCGGAGATAAAAGACCAGAAAACTTTGACAAAATTTAAAGTAAAATTGAGAAATCACTTGTTAAATCCACAATTATAGGTTGCCCAGCATTTACATCATACACCATATGGCTTGAATTTACTAGTTTTAAGTTGTTTACAATTTCTCTGTTTATGTAGCCAAATGTGCTAAACAAATCTTTCTACTACTACTACTACATTATGAATACATTATTTCAAAAATATCAAAGATAAATCACTCCTATACAGTTTCCCATAACCTTAGTATGAATTCCAAAAAAAAAAAAATTTGTATGACACTAAATTCTTCCTTATTTTTTATAGTGTTCAACGATCTTATTTACAGCAAAGTATAACATATTTTCAAAATTCTACAAAAAAAAGCAATGCGAATCATTTTAAATAAAAGCAAATATGCCGGGATTAAGTCTATGTTAGAAGAACTACAGTGGTTGAATGTAAACAATTTCATATATTATTTAGTTCTCATTTTTATATTCAAATTCAAAAATCGTTTATTACCACCATAAAACTTCGCAAAACTAAATAGTCATTATCATAACCATGAAACTAGACGATAGATTTTCCTCTGCAAAATTGTAATAGTAGCATAACTAACAAATCTGTATTTGGATTTATTAAATTGTGTGATATCAATCAGTGTTTGAATTTAAGCATGTTTAAGGTGAAATTAAAAAATCAGTTTATGAATACTCAAAATGCATAGTGTTGTAATTTTAATGGATTCAAAAAAATGTGTAAACGAATGATTATACAAAATTGACATTGTAGCATTAATGCTAAATAAATCTACAACAAACAAACACATAAAATGAAAATATAAACTCTGTACAAACCTAGTCGGGTGTTCTCGCAGATATTTCCTCATAAACTGCGGCGTATTGGGAATAGTGAGTTTTGGATGCACCTCTATTTTCTTGGGCCCCTCGAGAACGGATTTCGGCACCGGTTTCGCATGAAACTCTGGCATTTTAGGCTCCTCGATCGGCTGTAACATCAAATTCATATCATTGGTACATTTGAACTACCGCATGTTACATTTGAACTACTCCATGTTACATCTCACCTACTGATCGTGGTACATTTGAACTACTGCAACTTGCACTTGAACTACTCTAATGTGCATTTGAACTACTCTAAGGTAAATATTTGAACTACTCCATATTACATTTGAGCTACTCCATAGTAGATTTGAACTACTACCATCGGTATTGAATATAAAAATCGTGCGAAAAGATTTTATTCATCAAGACGATATTGTTGATCAACTTTGTTTATTGTTTACCTTATGTTTGACCTCTGTGAGATGGAATGGTTCTGGCACCGTAGTAGGTTTCTTTTCTAATGGGAGGGCTTTGACTGGCCCGTGGATTATCTTTTCATTTACAGGCTTTGCCTTAAATTTAAATCTATAACAAAAAAAAAATGGTATCAAATAAGTTGACTCTGTATTTCTCACGTGATATGACTTGTGTCTCAAATTCATAATTGTATGTAAGATATACAGGGTGTTTCAGAACTAAAGTATCAAACTTCTAGGAGTTATTCAGTGTACTAGTAGAAAACATTTGAGCATAGGGACCCATAGCCGAAAAAGTGACACTACGGCACTACGACCCTAAGACGCTTTAAAATTTAGAAAGACGTACTTGACACATAGTCTGGTCATAAAGCTGGCTACTTTAAAGAACTTATGGTACAAAAAAACAAAAGCAACGTGTCAAGAATTTTGTACCTAACTAAAAGATCCCGATACTTTATTAATAACCTTCTGGAAAATATACCATGAAGATGCTGGACTGTGATCCCTACAAGGTACTAATAATATTGTTTAAAATAAATGTTGCTGCTTTGTAAAAAGTTCATTTTTGTCATAAATAAATAACTTAAGTACTTAACTGGTCTTAGAATTTTTGTTTTCTAAAATGTTACATATTGTTAATGTTAGTCAATAAATTTTTTGATGTTGTTCAACAATTTGATAGAGTCTATTACCTATGGAAAAATATCTCCAATGAAGACTCGTACGCCAATGCTGAATGAGATAGAAAATTCTAGATAAAAGAGGAATAGCAGTGTTGGCCAGCATTATAGCACTTTGAAAAATATTTTTTTTTAAATTATCAGCACTTCTTACCAAACCAAAAAATGCTTTTGGTGTTACACCACTATATGAAGAGTAGTAGAAGATAAAAAATTGAGGAACTTTGCTAAAAAAGATGACTTCCTTTGCTCACCCTGTATAAGTAGATAAATAAAAGAAATATACCGCTCGAACCTTGTACGTGTTCTCAAGGAGTTGGCCAAGAACTTCCCGAATGCAACAACTCGAAATCTGTTTCCGTTCCGAAAATATCGAGATTTGAATTTGGGTAAAATTTTCCATGTTAACAAAGCAACTGTCGGCGACTTTACTAGATAGATCGTTACTTAACAGAGATGCGATTTATTTTTTGTTCGTGATCGATCACAAAACGATAGTACATTTTTCGAAAACACCTCCTTACTTTTGCATCTCCGCGACTTCTTTGTCTTCTTTCTGGGCCGCACTTTCGATATGCGCAGGTCTGTTCCTTCCGGTGGTCAACAATTTCGGGGTGTGCGGGTCGGTTTTTTTGAGTTTTCCTCCCTTCATCTTAATGAAATCCGGACAGTCTCTGAAGCGACCGCCGATTTTACTGATCATTTCCGCTACCGGAACGTAGTCTCTTCCGGGATGGTTGGGCGTGTACTTCGGCTTCGATAAGGCCTGCAGTCTATCCTGAAAATTAATGTTCATCACCAAAACTGTTGTCACATAAAATAGCCGATATATCCCTCCTCTGTTCATTTGTTAAGTCGTCGTGGCATCGATCGACGGGGGAAAGGTCTGGAGATCGCAGACTTACTCTGGACGCTTCTAAAAAGTCTACGGCGCAAATAAGGATTCCAAAAAACACAGCTGACTTATTCAATCGAATCATGTAGCAGTCTTGCTACTTTTCTTGATAAAAAATACTTACTAAGGAAGCTGTTGTATGCCTTACAGCCTTCTGTTTCAGCTGACTGCGGCCAACACGTGCTGAATTCATATTCTTTTTGGGTTGATTTTTCAAGCAATCCTTAACACCTGTCTTATTCGTCTGTTCTCCATTTCTCTCTTTTTCATATTCTGGTTCGTTTCTATCGTTTTCATATTCTGGTTCATTTCTATCGTTTTCATATTCTGGTTCATTTCTAACATTTTCATATTCTGGTCCTTTCCTATCGTTTTCAGATTCTGCTTCTTTTCTACCGTTTTCCGATTCAGGTTCCTTTATATCGTTTCCGTTTTCTGGTTTATTTCTAAATAAAATTTTCAGTTGGTCAGTATAGAGATACTACAGTATTTTTGAGTGATATCAGAGAGACAAGTCCGACTGGAATGTTGTCATGTTTTTTCTAGCCAAAAATGAGAAGCTACGTTTTGTATGGATTCCGCAGAAATCTTATGGAAACGACTTTCGACCAATCTGAAAATAGTAGGTTGATCTATACTTCCTACGCCTTTGTTAGGGGTTTCAAAGAAAAGAGATGAGTCAAATCGTTTCAAAAGGTGAAATCAAATCGTTATCAAGTACAATGAATCTTCGACCTCTGCATAACAAACTACACAGCGTGGCGCAACGAAAAGGTTGCACCGCCATTTGTGACTCTCCTGGTATATGTTTGGAAAAACGCTTGGACACGCCGCAGAATAGAGACAAATACCTTTAGAAAACGAATTCATACTTCATTGCTTCATAACCAAAAGCGTTATTAGTAGATGAACTAAATTCCTTGTTTTTACATTATCTGCAATGGACACAACACAAGTCTGAATATAAGCACTTTTTTATGAGGGACAAAAATATGTAGACAAATTCTTTTCAACATTAGTTTAGTACAGTTTCGTGTCAGAAGAGGATTAGTTTGTGTTCATCAAGTATTGTGGAATAAGTTGAGTGATTTTAAGACCATGCAGCGTGGTCCAGAAATTTCTTTCGATGTGAAAACTAACATCACTGAGTTATACAAAAATGATCAACGTCAAGTCGACATTGGCAAAAATTTGAAGCTGAAGGAGTCACAAAAGGGGGTGCAACCTTTTCGTTGGGCCACCGTGCATAGAGCAAATTTATCTATCGGGTTCCAATGCAGATGTAGGAAAAATATATGTAAATTATAAAGTCTAACAGGTGCATAGTATCACCAAGATCAGCAGCTTCTTGATAAAGGAGGAGCCAAATAATGAAAATGGACAGGAATGTTCTATGTTGAGAACTACAACATATTAAATTTAAAAAAAATAGCTGTGCCCCATTTCCCATAAGGTTTCTGCAGGGTCTTTTGCAATATATTCTTAGGAAATGTATCAATCAAAATATAAATAAATATATCCAGGATGTTGGTTCTGAGCAGGATTTCATTTTGTTGCAAAATGACTTGAATAGGCTGATTCACTGGTGTGTTAATGATGATGTATCATTAAATATTGGTAAATGCAACCACACTTGCTTTTACAAAAGTCATAAAAAGATGGACTACACTATTAAAAGCAATAGTTTCGAATTTTGCAATATATACTTTTTGATGAAGAACACTATGGTACTTGGGGCTTCTGATGGAGTTGATCTCATGTAAATAAATGAACAAATATACCTATATATCAGTAATCCTTGTAAAGCACCTTCAAGAAACTGAACGTCTCCCTGACTCATAGATCTCCTCATCTCTTTACCTGGTGTATAGTAGTAACTCTCACATTGATCCTGCTCATCTAAGAATAGTCAAAATCAGTTGTGGTATGTATGTAAATCATAAACAATACCTACCTGTTGCATCAAGTGGATCTGAGGTGTCATTTAGTTCATCTAGAAAATAAAAGAAATTTAAAAATTGATGTACTTTTAATTTATTCAAGTACTGGATATAAAATTTGGATAAATCCTTCTTCTCTTCTATATGAAAGTTAAAGATCTCTCAGAGAACTGCTACTAAACAAAACTGTGATTTTTTCAATGAAAATGAGAGTCACTTCTTCTTCAGATGTCAAATACCTATTCAGGGTGTTTCATAAGTACTGTTCAAAAAAAATTACTTGAAGTAACAAGGTCATGTTTATTGTACATTTTCCATGATTAAAGTGATTTTTATTTATTTTTCATGAAAACAAAGCTAGGTATGAAGAAAACACTAAAGACCAAACAGTTGTATTTTTAGCTGCTTAATCTAAAACATACTTTTTGTTTTCAAATAATCTAGCTGTGTACCCACTGAGATGCAGTCTCAATCTAGTTAGAGCTGAATAAGTAACTTATTACTTCAAAAAAGTGCACCATTTCAACCAAAGCAGTTTAAGGATATTTATGATATAAATACCATTTTTTTCAACATAATTACCCCGTGCCTCAGCAATGAAGCAACAGGTATATGTTCATAGGATCCTTTCTTCTATAAAAGAACTTGACAAATTGCCCTCTGAAGTTTCAAATAATAATAGGTAGTTAGGAAACACCTTGTATATTGTACAGATTGTTTTTTTGCTAAGCAATCATACAAAAGACAGTAATAACAGATCTTAAGCCTGTGACATTTTTTAACAGCAAAAAATGGGAGTGCTACCATTTTGTTGAAACCATATCATTTAAAAAAAGGTCAGACTTAAAGGGAGAAACGTCCCAACATCTAAGGTTTTTCACTATGTGTAGCCTTTAAACTTTGACTTCATATTTGGTATACTAAAAGATGGGGCTAAGCACGTGCATGCTCGATCAAAAATCAGAAAATAATTACATGAAAAAATGGATTTACCAAAACAAGAATCGCTGTCGTCTGTAACTGTAAAGTTGTAAAACATAGGCGCCTTAATGTTGTCGAATTCGTCCATTGTGGTTTCTTAAATCAATAACTCTATTCCATTAATAGGCAACAGGAAATTAGAACTGCTTGAGATCTTAACACTTTTTTCAAAACTGAGTAGTTTTTTCTTGCAATACGGTTAACGGCCTTTTTTGAGATATAAATTTGAAATTGACATATGTCGTATGTGATATTGACATTGACACAAGAGTGTAGAGATGAGATGTTCAGCTCAATGAAATAATACTGATTCGGTTTGAGTGAATTCCTGAGCACGTAAACTACGCCAATTTTGAATCGAACGTTGCAATTTCAGAATTTTTCTTTTGAAAGTAAAGTAATAAGTTGGGCGAGTTTATGGAGAATCATCTTAAACATAACCACTATCTTTCTAGAACTGAATAACACATGTGTATTGTGTTGCATAACATATGGTTCACAACCGAAATTTTAATTTCTGCAGGTTGAGCTTCTAGTTTTTTCTCTTTTTTCCATTCCATCGTAAAAAAAACATTTGATGCTTCGCAATAATTCATTCAAAACTGACCCCTAGTATAACTAATTCTAGTGTTATCAACAATGCCCAGACAATTTCTTTACCATTAGACGTATTTATTGGTCCTCACTTTTTTTTGGCACAACGCCAAAGGTTTTGTGATATGGATCACAGGTGTGAACTGCTGACTACCTTAAAAGAAATAGATGATGAATCAACAATGCTAAACGAATCAATTTTCGCTACTCACTCCCATCTCTACGCACTACATTTCAATCTGTCAAACGTCAAAAACACGGAAAATCTAATTTAACCTTATAAACAAACAATTCTATTTATAATTAAATTATAGCCTCTAGCGTTAGAAAATACTCGGACTCCATACGTTTGTAGCTATCTCCTATGTGGCTTTATCACAAAATGCAGTGAGAGTGCCTCACAAATGTCTGAGACAACAGAGGAGGTGAACACCACATCACTGTTCTACGAAAATGGGGCCAACTATTGGTCGGAAGTACCCGCTACGCTGGACGGAATGCTCGGAGGCTTCTCTGACATCTCACAAACTGACATTAAAGGCTCCAGGTTACTTTTAAAGCAACTCTTCAACTCGAAAAACCCGCCTGAAAGAAAACAAGCATTGGACTGTGGAGCAGGAATAGGCAGAATCACAAAGTTCCTTCTAACCGATTTCTTTGAGAACGTTGACTTGGTTGAGCAAAATGCCGCGTTTATAGAGCAAGCTAAAAAGTATATCGGCTCTAAAAGTAGTAGAGTCGGATGTTATTATACAGAGGGGCTGCAATATTTTGAGCCTGTGGCAGAAAAGTATGATGTGATTTGGGTACAATGGGTTGTAGGACATTTGACGGATGATGATCTAGTTGATTTCCTTAAAAGATGCAAGTAAGGTATTTTACAAAAAAGTGTGAAACTCGTTTTTTAAGTTAGTGTTGTTATTTTTAGAAATGGTCTGAAAGAAAAAGGTGTGATGATCCTGAAAGAAAACGTAACTTCATCAGATGAGGTCGAGTTAGACAGGAATGACTCTTCTGTAACCCGGCCAATATCTCTGCTTAGAGAGATAATAAAAAAAGCCGATTTGGACTGCTATAGAGTGACAAAACAACATGACTTTCCAAAGGCTTTGTATCCTGTCTATACGTTTGTTTTAAAACCAAAGAAATCCGTGATATGTGATGAGATCTGCCAGGGTGAGAAAAAAAATCGTAGCAACGTTGAAAATGGGAGTTTATTGAAACACCTCATATTGGATGATACAGAAAGTGATAGAGGCACAAAATGCAAAGTGCCTGTTAACAGTAAATAATGCAATATTTACTTGTATTTAATTATTCAAAAAATAAAAGCTATTCCAAAAATGTATTTATGTGGATGGTGTAGCACACAACACAAAACATAATATACGGAAAGAACGCTTACTCGGAACAATTCAACCGGCAACGAATGACTTGCCGCCATGTTTTTGCAGTGATAGAACCAATATGACACGGAAAGAAGGCCCGTCTTTCAGTGACATATGATGGTGCTATTGTAGTTGCCTAGCTTCTCACATGAACTGTCGCTCATTGTATACTTTCATCTGGTTGTTTTGAATGATGACAAAAAAAATGCAAACACCTCACAAGAATATAAGATTGGGTTCTTTCAAGAATGATAAATAAAATGATATAATTGGTAAAATAACTTTATTCTGCTGGATAAGAAACCTCACGGGAGGTTTTTGAATAATAATTCCAATATACTGGGTTCTTTTGGGTGTGGATTAAAACACTGGATTCCACAAAACGAAACGCACTAATTTATTTAATTTGATAAAACATTAGATGCACCACTATTTATGTCTGACTAATTCTTATGTCACCATTGACTGCACTATACTTCTCTTCGCTCTGCTACTCCACCGTATTCCGTACTCCCTGCCCCATCTTTTTTTTTTTTTTTGGTGATGACGTTGAAGAAAGACGTATGAAAGACAAGTGACACTATCAATATTGACAGCGTTGCCGGCCGTTTTTTCACTGCAGAAACCGTTGCCAGATTTCCTGTGTTACGCCTTGTCAGGCCTCAGTTGATCCCAGGTGGTAAGAACGAAACTAAAGCACACTCGTTTTACATTAATTTATAATCTTTGACACAAAAATCTGCCTTTCAAAGTTACTTACACCTATTGATATATGGCGCCAGAAGTATTATAAATGTATTTATCACTTGCCAGGGTTGCCAAATTGGGGGATTTTTTCCCAAATTCGGAAGATTTTTACGTCCCTTGAGGGGATAAAGTGTTCGGGGGGAAAAGTAAAATCTTTCGGTATGTTTGTATTTTTAACTACGATAAAACGTCCACTGCTGAATAACAATTTTATCTTTCTGCAGCTTTTTCTGTCCTTGATTACTCCTAATTCTTTGTGTAACATTTTTTGAATTGAAGTCTTTGAGATCTTCAAGGACGCCTCAATCTCGCGATATGTCACATGTCTATATTCAATGATGAGTTTGCGCACAGCATCGACGTTTTCCTGGGTGACTGCCGTTCTTGGTGCACCCACCCTTGGAATCGTCGTTAAGACTCACCCGTCCACGTTTGAATTCTCCATACGAACGGGAAATTGTCGACTGATGTGGCGCTTCGTTGCCGAAAACAGACAGTAACTCAGCAAGGCATTCTTGTTGCGATAATTGTCTCTGAAAGTTGCAATAAATTATGTCGCGAAAATGTTCTCGGTTGAGTTCCATTTTTCTAATGATTTGGTGACGCTTAAAAATTCACTGTAGTGAGAACACTGCACGTATTGTTGTGAAACTTTGAATTTAAGTTTACTGAAGAGTGAGGTTAAGATTCAGTACTGACGTTCGATCCGCGCGGCCTGCTATGTTTCTATATGCAAAACTTAAAAGACTATTAGATAATTTATTGTCCAAAATTTCAGATATAACATGGTTTGTTTCTGGAACCTTTCGTGGGTCCTGATTATAATATTCATCATAATTAACACACAAATATCAGATTGCATCACATTCATACAAACATATCAATCTTATAATTGAAAATATTACGTGTTTTTTCCTACAATAACTAACAACCTTGCATTTGTCGCTATTTAGATGTAAAGTATCATAATTTCTTTGACAAATCTCTAATTTTGTCAATTGGTACACCCTGTATATAGAAAGCCATGTTCAACGAACGCGTGCCAATGCCAGTGGTAACCATCAACTTAACAGACGATTAAACTGATATGCGGAATATTCATAAGTTGGAATTTCATAATATCCCACTGCCATGCACCCGCCAGCGAGTGTCCATACGATTATTATTATGTAATAAGGAGCAATTATTCTTTATTAATCAATTAATACGTTACTTGCTCTGTCACAAGGTACGGCTTAGTGCAGGCATTGTGTCTACTGTCTAGCAAAAAGATTAAAATTGGAGAATATTTCTGATGTTTCCAATACAAAGATACATTAGGGTGTCCAACTTCATGGCCACATGATTCTTTTCAATACGCTAGGAATAAGGTGCAAGCATTGAAAGCAGTTAACCAGACGGCAGAAATGGCAGTCAAGTTAATACAAGACTTCAACGGCTTTGAAATCCATACACGGTTTCCCTATTAACTTTGTCTCATAGGATGGACACTCTAATTACACACTTTCACGCTTACAATATTCGTACGGGCAGTTTTCCCGTACCATATATGCATTAATTTCGCGTCGAATAAACGGAATCAACGAACTGTTTAGGATACACAAGCTGCGCCAACCGACAACCAATTCGCAGCTAAAATTGGGCATTGGATTGACTGTTAATTTTTTTCACTCCGTTAAAGAATATCACATGTTTATTAATATCATTCAGTTTTTACGCTACGACATATTTTACGTGCCGAAATTGAAGTTGGTTATAAATGTTTGTTATATCTCAATATGCTCAACTGCACCTGTCCGCCGATTAATATTTTCGTAATGAGTGATTTCTCTTGTGATACGACCAAATAGGTCACTCGATCTCTTATGATAGTTGATAGAATTTGGGTCGGTAGTAATTAGAACGTCCCATTGGGGTCGTTCCTAGAACGTTCCAATCAGTTGGTTCACGAGTATTTATCACGTTTTGACGTCTACCGAGGTGAAGAGATGATCAGCAAGTTTCATCTTTGTATTAGTCTGTAATACCGAAAATCTAAACTGGTATTAGGCAGTTGCTTTCCAACATGGAAAATATAATCGAAATTCAAATCTCGATATTTTTTGACATTGATGGACCAAGAATTAATGGAGGATATTCTGTTTCTGAACACCTTGGACGGTTTAGATCAAAGGTGGCCATGCTTAGGTAATTACGTATACGCTGACACCGAATGGCTTTATTATTAAGACGTAAGGGACAGCGATTATCAAAATACATAAAATTAATTAAGAGTTAATTGGGTTGTACGTCGACAACCTTTCAGATTATCCAAGGCAATAAATAATGTCATGTGACATGCTACATTGTGTGAATTATGTGCCGTTTAAAGGTATATAATATAGCTACGCCAAAAAGTACACATATCAAGGAGGAGACGAAGCTTTTTAAGACGAGCTTATCGACAGATTTCAGAGACTGCTAGACTGACCGCGCTTCACATAGTTGGCTTTGACTAGTGGCTACAACCTATATTTTACGAGTATACATCACGCTTTGACGTCTTCTGAGGTGAACAGCTGATCGACAAGTGACATTTTTGTGTTAGTTATAAATCTAATAAAACCTGTTTGTGGCGCTTTGTTTTCTGTATGTAAATTAACGTTGCCAAATAAAGAGATGTTAGCAAGTACAAAATGAATCTGTAGCGTACAAAAAACCAAAACAAAATTCGGCTCTGTCTACCTGGCGTTGACGGATCCGTCAGAATTATGTGTCCTGTGCCGATTTGGGGAATTTTGAAATATTACTAGATAATCAGCTGTCATTCTACCATGATGGATACTCGCGAAATAGGATATAGGTCACCTGGCTTTTGGTGATTTCATTTAATTTCACACGGATGTGAGGTTATGTTTCGATTTTCTCATATACTTATGCAGTGGAAAAATGTTAAGGGTGCTATAGATACTGGACATATTTCTACAAGTTTTCTGCTGCTTAAAGATATCGGCATGACACATTCTGTATATTGCAAATATCTCCTGGCTACCCATACGAATTATGTATATCGATGTAAAAAGCGTTACAAAACGAACCGATTTCGCAGATACGACGAGCGCGTGTTCGTACTTTTCAGGTGCATGAAAATTAATATTCGATACAGAACGTTGTAAATTAATGAGAGAAGGTGGTACCATTTCATTCTGTAAATGCTGAAACCATTTTCGGGTACCTCTACGTTTCATAATAATTTTGTGTTATGCTCAAGCAAATTGGAATAATATTTTTCAGACCACCTGTCTTTCTGATATCTATACGTACAGTGCTTTTGAATATGTATATATATACACAGGGTGACTTTGAAGTTGACTGATTAATTTTCAGATAATGATTGTAGAGGGAAGATAAACCAAAATATGTGTGTAAAAATAAAAAAAAAGTTACCTTGTTTTATAAAGTATCCTCCCAACAAGTATTTCAGTGCGGACCTGTATTTGATCGTGAGGTCTTGGAGCACCGGCATGCCGTCCCCTGTGAGGTCTTAAGTCACCTGATTCACGAGCCCGTTGTACTACATTAACAAAGGCACGAGGGGTTGGTTGCACTCGATTTTGAAACCGATCCGCATAAACATGTGCCATTTTTTATTTCGTTTGAGCCACGCAACAGACACCACTATTCACTCACGCGTTACCGACTGGCACTGACTGTATACAACTGAATAGAATAATTGTAAAAACATCGTTCCAAATTCTTTCGCTTTTTTGTTTCCGATGCGATGAACCGATAAGGCGGATTATATCCGTTGTTGCCAAACACGAGCACATAATATTATTATTGAGACAGGGCGGTACTCAAACTTCCAAAGGGCTATAACTTTGTTACTTTAATTTTACCAGAAAAATGGTAAAGTAAAAAAACATTTCTTTTGATCAGATCTACTCACTGTTAAAATAAATGACTCAACTTCGAAGTTGTATATATATAACTTGAGACGTGGTCATTGTCGTCTAGATCAGTTAGGTGAAAAATTAAAGCTTCCGCCTTTTGTTGGGTACTTCAACAAAATTTAAGGAGGACTCTTTATACTTACACCAATACACAGATGCGATATCGTTACTCAACCAACTTTCCTTCTTTCACATCTTCTCATAGATAAACACTACTTGGCTTATGGCCATAGCCTTTTGATGACGCTCACAACGATCACAACGAGCAAACGTGGAATGAACCATTTGCACACTAAAAACTACCTATACTATAACTATCTAAAACTGTAATGACTCATCGATGTTCACGTGAACATCACT